CGTGACATAGTAGCGATTTGGCGCTTCCTTATTGGCCAGTCACTATAAGAGCCTCCTTTGATCAGCAAGCACGTTTCGGTTGCGAAGGTTGTCAATTTGTAGTGATGGCGTCGTTTTGGATGCTCGGAGGCCGTGTGGTATTTGTTGTTCTCCTGCTTAGCCAAGGGGGATTTTTTTTCGCTTATTCCATCAAATATAAGGTTGCAGCTTGGGCACCGATAGTACAAGCTGTTTTATTTGCTATAACAGCGATCGTGTGGCTTGCTCTCATCTGCAAGAAAGCGAAACTTAGTCGTCTGTTTTATGTCTGGGTTTCATACGTTATTACCCTTGTCGCGAACATTGGAATCTTATTTGGAACTATCGGAGACAAACTTGACAGCGAAAAATTCCTTGGCCCTAATGTCCTGAAGGGAGTTCTGTGTGTCACACCTCCTCTGTTGCTGTTGTTGTTACACAATGCCAATGACTTAGATCGCTCTGATGAACGCAAGGATCTAGTGTCTAGGCTTTCCTACCAAATGGCCATCGATCTTTTCGACGTTGTGGATATGATAGATATCGTCTTAGAAGACAAAAGACACGGGAGTGCGAATTGCTCGTGTACAAATACTATAATAAAAGAAACCAACCTGACAAGTGCAACTTCAAGCCTCAAAACAATTCCTGAAAGTTTCGGAATAGTCATGGTTACAGTGGCATCTCTCAGTCTACTTATGTCACTTTGGCAATTGTTTGAGAACAAGCTATCAACAGATGACACAAAGATTCGCTTCCGAGCGACAGTTCTTCGCAATTTGGTAGAGATAGCTTTGGTTAATTTCGTCTTCTTGATCATTCGCTTAGTGGTGTACGCTGAGTACCGCAGAGATGAGTCTATTTTTATTGCAAAGAATATCATATCAATAGTTTTGTCCATTTTGGAAATTAATGCACATTGTGAAACGCATTCCGTCAGATTTTGGTCTGAGTTATGTAAAAGTTGTTTTGGACTGAGAGTGGTCTAAAATGGCAAGCAGTGTTTGTTGTCATTATTTACACAGAGCGAAATCGGTTTAGAGACAACTTTGTGAAAACTGCTTAGACATTATTTAGTTATCATTATTGTCATTGTAGTAATTTTTTACTATTGTATCGCTGTATGATGGTAGACATTCCGAAAATCGCTTGGTGTAATAATAGACGATAAACTCGATTGGCATAGTCACATCGAAAAATTAACCAAAAAGATCGCCTCTGGTATCGGGGCCCTAAAGCGAATTAGGCACCTGATCCCAGCATCAACCTTACATCTCGTTTACCAAGCCTTAGTAAAACATCACTTTGATTACTGTGACATTGTTTGGGATAACTGTGGGAAAACGCTACGAGAAAATTGCAGAAAATGCAGAAATTGCAGAATAGAGCAGCCCGTGCGTTGACATTCTCTAATTATGATGCTGATGCAACTGAACTACTCGAGTTTTTAAGGTGGAAAAATCCTGCACGCCAGCAGGAAATTCACAAAGCCACCATGGTGTTTAGATGTCTACACGGGCTAGCTCCAGAGTATCTGTGTTCAAAGTTTACGTGGCGTGACTCTGCTTATGACCTCAAGGACTCTGAAAATAAGCTCAATGTTCCATTACCGCGCACTAATTATTACCGAAAAAGCTTTAGCTGCAATGGCGCCACATTATGGAACAGTCTACCATGCGATATAAGGAACACAGAGTCTCTGGGGGTATTTAAACGTAAGATCAATGACATTCTTTAAGTCTAACGCACGGCACTCACGGGAAACAGCTTTTAGTGTTATAGTATATAGTTTGAGTTTTAAATATTCTAGCGTATGTGATATGTATTTTTTAGGCTGATGAATTGACCGTGTTTAAATAAAAATGAAATGAAATGAAAATGAAATAAGTGATATCTCATGCATGATTAATGTGTGCGGCGCTTCTAAAGCCGAGGTCAAATACAAGGTAGCGTTGTAAGTTTTAAAAAAAATCTTACAAGTTTTGCTACTTTATACTCTTTTACTACTTTTTAAGGTTTAAATTTACTGTAACATAAGATATATGATTTCATATCTGTTGAGAAATTAAGACTATATCAGACTCTTGATGTGCAACTGAATGTGTAATCATGGAAATTATTAAACAGCTCACCCAAAGCGATCACTAAACTACGGTGACGTACATTAAGGACTGTGTTTCTAACAGTGTTCAAATATTTAATTTTAACATGGTGACCCAGAAACTAAAAAGACAGCCATCTCAGTGGGTGATAATCAATAAATTTAGTCTATAGACTTTGTATACGAATTATGAAATCACTTACAAATTTACACCTTTGACTTTGCCTGTCAAGAACTATTACGAAGGCACGGTAAACTATTGATTCGAACTGCGAAAGATTACGCACAAAACTTCAATTTTGTTGTTGGGGAGTTCACATTCAACTAAAAGTTAGTGTTCAAAGGCAAAAGTTTATTTTTCAGAATGTTTTTAAAATTCTTGTCCTATGAGACACGAAAGATTTTTTCTAGAATTCTTCAAATTAAATCGTTCAATTCATATAAAGAACGGCAATTTTGTTTTTTTCTCGAGTGGAAGGCTAAAAAGTTCGAATTTGAATTCCTTAAACAATCGAAAACGATGGAAAGGCAGCCATGATTAGATACAAATTTTGTATCCTACGCAATTCAGGGGAGTCGCTTAACTCGACAGTTGCTCTTATTACGTTACTTACCGAAAGCTATCAGGTTTTTTATTTGTATTTGTTCACATCCGCTTTTCTCGGAAAAGATTACTTCATTGTCTTACGCTTTCTTAGAAACAACGTTCTTGAATTATGCTTATGAAAAAGTTTATTTCGATGCAACAGCAGTAACTTTGTTATAGGAGCTTCTGAAGGCGAAACTCGTCGTTGAAGTGCCTTAAAAGATTATCTTTATTTTGGCCTCTTGGTTGGTCTGCGTTGGGCGATTCCTTTTCTTTGGCTTGTTAGGCCTCCAGGCCTACTCGCTAGCTTCGTATCCTGCCGAGTACGAAAGCGAAGATGATTTCTATGGACTAGTCCTCCTGTACGGACCCGCAATGTGTCTTTGGCTTTATATCATGTGGGACGACAAACATTTACCATGGTTATTTGCTGTCTGGATATGCTATATCTTAGGTTTCGTGATCTTCATCCTTATCATATTTGGAGGCGACAAACCGATTGAAGATAAGCTCGACAAAGCGAAATTCTTCGGTCCAAACAATCTAAAGATGACACTTTGCCTTGCCCCAGTGATTCTGTTGTTGCTTTTGAGTACTGGAACAGATTCTAACCGCTATAGAGATCAAATCTGGCAGATATCCCTACGAATGGCTCTGGATCTCTTCGATGGAGTTGAAATGCTGGAAGTTATCATCGAAGAAAATGAAGTTAGCCATGGTGTTCCAAAGCCCTTTGAAAAAGCCATACTCGCTTTTGTCTGTATCAGTTTTATCTTCTCCCCATTGCAACTGGTTGAGATAAAGTCAAGAACTTCCAATAGGTGGGGATTTCTACGTAGATGTAGAGAAGGTTTGCGAACAGCACTACAGATCATCTGTGTTAATTGTGTGTTTTTGGGGCTTCGCATGTATCTATGGCGGGGCTATGGAAAAGATGCCTCTATTTTTATCGCTAAAAATGCTATTGTCATTTGCCTTGGCCTTTTCGAGGTATGTTCAATCGGTAAATGTTGTGGTTGTGACGGTTATTGAGCAGAATTTTACATAGAATCGGCCAGTAATCGGTATAAACTTGACAATCTTTCTGAGAAAACCATGGAAAAATTTGAAATAATTATCGTGAGCGTTTCATTAGAAGCAAATATCTTTAAATGATTTCATTTTTATCTTATACTCTCTTCTTAATATTAGTCTTGGATTTAAGATAGAACTTGACTCGTTTTGGATTTGTTCTATGGACCAGATGTCTTGACGATGACCGTTTGCCTAACTCCACTCCTTTTGTTGCTGTTGCTTAACACATTTGAAACGAAAAGTAAAGACAGAGAGTTCTTATTAAAACTGGCCTTCCAAATAACATTAGATCTCTTCGACGGAATTTAAATGCAGCAAGTTTTTCTGGAGGGAAATGAACTTGGCATTCCCAAGCGCTTTGAGGCAGTATCATTGCCTTCGTTGGCAGAAGTTTTCAATTTTCAATTAGAGGAGAACAGGATTTCGGTCTATTTACAAATACACAGCCTTCATCCGTATCACCCTTCAGATTTTATTGAGTAATTGTGAGTTTTTGGGTCTTCGTTTGGCTCTGTTCTTTAAGTTCAAGAGAGATGTGTCAATTTTCATGGCCAAATATGGCATTTTGATCAATCATAGGATTTTGGAGATTTTTCAGTGTTGTAAGGATTAGTTAGGAAATTGTAGGAACCAGGAAAGACTTGAATCAAAAGCGCGATCACATACTCGACAACTTTAAGCTCCTTCGCAAAGTTGTGTATTTTTCTAGTTTGTTTATCCTTTAGCCGTTCGTCGGAGTCGGATTGCAAATTAAATCTTTTTTAACATAATCGCGTGAGTGTGCCTGATTTGCTGTTTATTATGTCACTTAACGTAAACAAGAGAAGGAAGAGGAAGGGGAGATTGGTGACATTGGCACCTATGTATGTTTACATAAAACAACAGCCCCTATCCCCTCCCCCCTTCGCTCCCGCCAAAGCCTTTTACAAGAAACAGATTTGCTATCTTTTTCACGTTCTGAGCTCTGCTGAGTTTTCAGAAAGCCTGACTACTTCTGGGTTGATTAAAACGCTTCAAATATCTCTCGAAGGGTTGAATGCATGAGCCAGCTGAAGTGGTAAGCCAGAGAACCTTCAGGCTGTCAGAAAAAATTGTCTCTCAGCTCAGGAATTGTTAATTGATTGATTGGTTGAAAACTTTATTTAAACACGGTTAAAAATTCCTTCGGCATAATTTACAAGTAAAACATCTAATTCTGTTGAGCTAATCTAACTAGTAAAATAAGATAAAATCTAAATGTCCTGTGGGTAATGCCATGCCTCAGCTGTGATAAATTTAATTGAAGAAGCTGTAAAACGCATACCTTGGGATAGGCTGTTAATCTTCCACACCTCGGCACCTTTTTAAGAGAAACTTCTCTATAAATAATTGGTGCGGTGCTCCAAGTCATGGTGTTTTAAAACTTGAACTTGAAATTTTGTCTGATATTGCTCAAAACAAAATGTAAATCAATTGGATCCCTTATGAGCATTCCCTTCAAAACTCCAGTTTTCCTTTTCCCTACATTGTTTTTCTTTTGTATTCTCATATTTTTCGTGACAAAGATAGTTTTTCTTAGAAATAGATTAATGATATTGTTCATCAACTGATACAAGACTTCAAGTCTTCTTGGAAAAAGTGAGTCTCACAGATTTTCTTTGAAGAAATGTGAATTTATTCACATGTTTAATTCACTGTCCTATTCGTGGCTGATACATGTAGAATATAGTTCCATTATTAACGAGGAGAAAAAAAATTGAGGCGAAGTCATCTAGGTACACCTGATACAAAAATTAGCTGCCAGTTCTGCGCAATTCACAAGCCCTTGAGTTCAAACATGCTTTCTATCACATATATACGACTGGATACAACACAATAAACTGATCTCCAAAAGATATATTTGAGATACATGAAAAAAGTAATTGCAAGCTTTCTGTGCAGTTTCCAGAACCGAAAAAATAAAACTGTGGAGGAAATAAAAATAGTCTACTCATATCAGACTTCAAGAGACTGAATAAAATGGGAATTGTATTAGACACATCTGAGATACATTAAAAAATTAATTTTAAGCTTTATGTACAGTTTGCACAGCCGAAAAAGTAAAACTATAGAGGAAATGAAAAATATTCTACTTCTATCAGGTTACAGGGAACTAGTTAAAATGGCAATTTTTTGCTGGCAAAATGTGATGTAAAAATAAAAGTGCATTTTAAGATCTTAAAAAGAAATCGAGGAGCTATAAAAATGTACCTATTTTATTCTACTTGGTCTTCTTGTCTAACCCGACGTAAACGGAGTAGATTACGAATTTCCAAGATGGAAAGTATTATTGCTATGCCATTCTTGGCAATGAAGATGGACTCGTCTTTGCCAAACTTAAAGAACACCACCGCACGAATAACCAAGAATGGTAGATTTACGAAAACTATTTGAACAATATTGCGGCATAATGCGGTACAGACACGAATTTCCGGCCCCTCTTTGGTACGTTTGATTTCTGCCATTTGCCAAGGAGATGCCAATATACTGAGCCACGCCAACACGATAATTGCTGTACTGAATGCTTTGGGTATTCCAAAGTCGTGCTCTCTTTCTTCTAACACGATATCTATCATCTCGATTCCATCGAACAGATCGACGGCCATGGGCAAACACAACTTGGAAACAATCTCTCTTTCTTCGTCGTCTGAATCATCGAGATCGCCCGTGTTTAGCAACAGTAGTAGCAGAAGTGGTGTAATGCACAGAACCATCTTCAATACATTTGGTCCTAAAAACTCGGTCTTGTCGATTCTATCTCCGACTTTTCCAAATACCATTGCGATGTTTACAACCAAAGCCACAATGTACAGGCCCCAAATTTGAAAGAGGCAGCCAAGGTACAACGCATCGAAAAATAGAAAAAAAATCCAAACAAAAACTGCTGGGCCAAAGGAAAAGACCATGAGATACCAATTGGATGTACCTTCATACTTCGCGAGATAAGCAGATAGAAAACAGCACTGCGTAATTATCAGACCGAAGAAAGCGAATCGCCCGAACCGTGTTAAAAACGAGCCCAGTCGTCCGAGCCATGTGAGAAACGAAGCCATAATTATATGTATGAAAGCTGTCTGAAACTGGAAGAAGCGAATTGTGCTGACTACTGCAATAGGAATCAACACCGTATATTTGCGTGAAAAATTTAGCAGCCAATGAAGTAACGCCACAGCGATCTTGATCAAATGATGCTAAAGGAATTACCTGAATGTTCCAGAAGGTCACATGCACAGACTGATTGCATACGTAATTTTGTCACTGCTGGGGACTGGATATTCCTACGTAACTTAAGTAATCTGGGTTTCTGTTTCTTTATTGTTATTATTGTAAGTTTTTCTTCTTTCACTCTCAAAAAAAAAACTCTAAAGTTTTTGAACTAACGAGGTTTTTGCAATAAAAATTAATTCGCTGAAAATCTAAACCTGTCAAAATAACCATTTCTGAGAAACCTTGCTAGGTGACATATGGAGTTTCTGGGAAAAATTTTGCATAACAAGGATTAGGGGATTCCCCGAACACCACTCATTTCCACAGACTGCTTCATTACGATAAAGCCATCTTTGATTACTTCAAATTCGTTTTCCTCAGAGTATTTATATAAATTTTATTTGCTGTTTCCTCTTTCATTCTCTTGAACTTCATTTACTGTACTTTACAAGCACCACCAGTTGCATTACCATGAACGCCAAATTTACGAAGATGATCTACAAAGCATTTGCGAGAAACGTCAGCTTTTAAACTCTTTAAGGTGCCGATTTACGTCACAAACCCGGTTGATAATACTAAATCACCTTGTAAATTCGTGGGTCGCGATCCTTCCAAAATAATACCGTAATACTGTGAAGTTATCAGACCGAAGAAAGCGAATCGCCCGAACCGTGTTAAAAACGAGACCAGTCGTCCGAGCCATGTGAAAAACGAAGCCATAATTATATGTACGAAAGCTGTCTGAAACTGGAAGAAGCAAATTGTGCCGACTACTGCAATAGGAATTAATACCATATATTTGCATGAAAAATTTAGCAGCCAACGAGGTAACGCCACAGCGATCTTGACCAAATGATGCTAAAGGAATTACCCGAATATTCCAGAAGCTTACATGGCACAGACTGATTGCATACATAAATTGGTCACTGCTGGCGATTTGATATTCCTTTGAAGCTTCTTTAAAGTGCTTGTGACACGAATTGCTTTTTGCATTTTCTGGTTGATAGCTGTATTTAAAAATAGAAATAATCGACCTTAGCGCCTAGCAAGTTCTCCTTGACCATTGTTTTTGTGCATTGAAAGTACGATTTGGCGGCCAATACAATCATGTCACCTAGCTGTGACGTAAACTATGGTAGAGAAAAAAAAGTCTCGAAGAAAGGACGAACGTATTGCGTGGCTGGAGCGCCAAATGATATTAGCTACAAGAGTAATACACATATACTAGATATTTCTATACACTTCTTTCCAAAGAATGTAGCTGTATGGCCAAAATGGACGCGTTTCGATCGTCCACATCGAAGAGATTTTACTCCTCAATGTCGTCGGCCTTATGCTCCCTATCGGTTTCGAAGACTGCTGTTACGAACACATACCACTAGTCAAATAAGAGGAAGATAACCAATGAATTCATTTGAAAATAATGCTAATTAAGGGGCCTGTTTCCCCACCATACACGATTGTTCAACTTTCTTTTCGGCTGATATTTCGCAAGCGAAGAATGGTGAACTCCTTATTATTGTTTACTTCACGCGCTTGAGATGTACTCATACTCCTTGTCTTTCCACATGCCTTTATTTGCGCTTTTCTTATCGTACGAAAATCCAACAAATTACAGCTTTCATCGTATTTTAATAACGCAAATACATAATTTATAATAAAGGTTTTTTTTTTAATTTTTCTTCTATCGGAATTGGTTTGTATATTTGATATGCTAAATATTTACGCAAAAAAATGTTACCGGCACTTTAATCTGCGGCTCTGTTTTTGTTTTTTTGTTTTTTTTTTTTGGCTTTTGTTTTTGTTTTGTTTGTACTCTCAATTACAAAAAGGAGTCTAAAGATTTTGAATTAACGAGAATTTTGCAAGAAGAATCAATTCGCTGAAAATCTGAAGCTGTCAAATGAACAATTTCCGAGAAACCTAACCAGGTGACATATGGATTTTCTAAGAAAAAAAGTTACATAAAGATGACTAGGGGAATCCTCACACACCATTCATTTCCATGGATACGTCATGATGATGAAGCCATCTTTGACTACTTCAAATTCGTTCTTTTTAGAATATTTATATAAATTTCATTTGTAGTTTTTTCTTTTATTCTTTTGAACTTCCTTTTCTAATATTTTCCCTCACTATCACATTTCGCACAAATTTGTTAAAGCCGCACTAAGCTTAGTTTTCTGAGGAATTTGTTTGCTGATAGTCAGTTTCAAGGGATTCCCTGAAAAGAAATCACCTACAAGAATCTAGGTGAAAGATAACAAAACGTGCGACATTATAAAAATAATTTTCAACGACTTCTGTCAAATATTGGAAGTTTTGGGGGGTATCTTTGCTTAGTGAACGACATTCAGCTTGCATATCGAATATAAACTTTTTTGATTGACAGATCCGATGAGAGTCTAACAACAACACTAAAGCCTTTACTGCATAACTGTTTTTATTAGTTTTAAGAATTTCTAAAAGTACAAATAGAGTGGCAAAATAAATAATACTTTGCAAAAAGAAGTCTCAAATTAGCTCTTCCAGATCCAATAGATCTGCATCGCGGAGAGAAAGATGGAGATCAGATTCTTTGTTATGAAGATGGACTCATTATCGTCTTTTTTGTTGTTTTTAACTACAACCACGCGTATTGCCATGAAAGGCAAATTCACGAAAAATATCTGCAAAACATATGCGAGAATCGCCACTTCTTTGCGAAGAGAGACGGTTCCTATGTGTGCAATTTGCAGCAAAGTCAACAGAAAGCTCAAGCACACTGCTGCTATCATTGCATATCCACACTCTTTTGGGATTCCGTCACTGTTCTCCCTTTCATCGAGCACAATATCCAACATCTCGACGCTATCGACAAGATCTATTGTTATCACGACTGACAGCGTCAAGGCCAGGGTTTTGTAGTCTTCGTATTTGCCCAAATCGCCCGCTGTATTCACCAGAATGAGAAAGGCAACAGGTGTGATGCACAGGATCACTTTCAAACAGGTCGGGCTGAGAAAACTGTCCTTGTTGAGTACGTCTCCGCACAACGGAAAAATGATTGCGATGTAAGGGATCAAACCAAAAATAATGTAGAGACCCCAAGTGCGGAAAACTTTACGGAGTTCTCCACCAGTAGCCAGACAAATCCCATAGTAAATCAGGGCAGGAAAAGACAAAAGTAGCAAGGATACTAGACGTTTATCATCCCTGTAACAGACAGGAAAAGCTGTCAGGAACCCACATTGGACGCACAGAAGAAGAACGGCAAGAAAACGACCGACCAAAACCAATCCACAATCCATGCTTTTCTTTTCTCTTTAAAACGGTGCTGTTCTCGTCGAAGGCTATATAGTTTAAAATCTGCAGTGTCATCGTTTTAAATTTGGAAGTTACATGTCAAAACCACGTGAGATGGAAATCTTCCCGTAATAGGTAACTTCTATTTTTGCACTAACCAATACTGCTATAGCTTCATGTGATCTTTTTCCAGAAGCTCACTTGCACAGACTGATTGCATACGTAATTTGGTCATTGCTAGAAACTTGACATTCCTATGTAGCTTCTTCTATCAGCGCTTCTGGCTTTTTCTTCGTATTTTTTCACATCCGCTTTTCTCGGAAAAGATTATTTCATTGTATTGCTCTTCCTAGGAAACGTTCTTCAATTAGACGCAAAGTTCATTTCCATGCAATTATTATAGCATCAACTTTGTTATTGGACCTTCTTGAAGAAACAATTATCGTAGAGATGGCCTCATGCTTAGTCTACGTTGGCAGACTCCTTTCCTTCGTCTTAGTAGGCCTCCAGGCCTCCTCGCTGGCTTCGTATCCTGCAGAATACAAACACAAAGATAGTTTCTATGGATTGGTTGTCCTGTACATACCTACAGTTGGTTTATGGCTTTACATCATGTGCGACGACAAGAAATTACAGTGGTTATTATATTTGCTGTCTGGACGTGCTATATCGTTGGGTTCGTAATCTTCGTCGTGAACATATTTAGAGGTGACGAACCGATTGAAGATAACCTCGACAAAGTAAAATTCTTTGGTCCAAACATTCTAAAGACGACACTTTGCCTTGCCCCATTGATTCTGTTGTTGTTTTTAAGTACGGGAACGAATTCCATCGTCTACCGAGAGCTGATCTGTTAGTCGTCTCTCCGAATGGCGTTGAATCTTTTCGATGGAGTGGAAATGCTGGATGTCATTATTGAAGAGAATTAACTCAGCCATGGCGTTCCTAAAGGCTTTGAAAAAAAAAGCAGTGCTTGCATTCGTCTGTATCAGCTTTCTGTTGTCTCCATTACAACTAGTCGAAATAAAAATAAGAGGTTCCGAACGGTGGAAAATTCGCAGATGTACAGCTGGTTTGCGCACAACCTTACAAATAATCTGTGTTAATTGCATGTTTTTAGGGCTTCGTATGTATCTACGGCGGGGCTACGAGAAAGATGTATCCATTTTTATTGCCAAAAATGCTATTGTCATTTGCCTTGATCTCTTTGAGATATGATCAATCTGCGAGTGTTGTAGTTCTGACGATTACTAAGCGAGATTTTGAGTAATCAAAGTAGAGTGCCTATGACCTGGATAATATCGTTGTAAAGAATTTAAGTGACGCTTGCTTTTCAAATGGAGCAGGAAGTGTTATCTCCTCTCTAATGTTGGAAATTATGGGGAGTTTCTTTGCTTAATGAATGACGTTCAGCTTGCATAATATGGTAAATTTGTTCTGACAGTTATGATTATAAACTGTTTGGGTCAACAGACCATGAAAGTTTAACAACAACACCCGAAAGCTTTTCTGCATAATTGTGTTCATCACCTGTTAGAACAAGGCTGTAGAGTTTAAAAATACCAACTCTTTACACTTCCAAAAACATAAAGTACACTGTTTAGAGCGGCAAAATAAATTATATTTCGCAAAGAGAAATCTTCTCACAAACACAAATGTTGTGGTGTCACAAACAGGCCGTAAAGCGATGAATGAAACCTTTTTGCCTCGTCAGCACAATTTATACAATAATCTGTTTTGAATGTGTATAAGGCGCAATAACCGCTTTTTCACTACGCGAAACGCATCTATCAATGTTGCCGAGGTTGTTTCCACCATTTTGTAACAGGGTCAACAGAAAACTCAAGGAAGCCATGACGATCAATCCTGTCCCAAACTCTTTCGAAATTCCGAGACTATTTTCCTTGCCGTCGGTTACAATGCTCAAGATAACGACTCCACCGAAAAGATCGATAGATAACTGAACGGACAACTGCTGGTACTCTTGAGATTCGTCCAGATTTCTGGCTGTATGCGATTCACTAAAACCGAAAAAACAAAGGTGTAGCGCAAAGAACCACTTTCAGACCAGTCCGGTTAATTATCTTTTTGACAACCCTGAGAAGGCATTACTTGGCCGCGGGTTAATACGAATTTATCCTTGAGTGTCGACAATATCTCTCACGAGTGAGAGATACTATAAAATTGTATCCACTAGCAGGCAAATTATGTTCCGTTTAGTCTATATCTATCCTTACTGAATACGTATCCACGCATAACAATTTACACTAATCAGTGCCATTGTACAGTTATTTTGCACGAATGTCTTTTTTTGCCCTCACAACACCCCTGTACATGTAGGTCTTTACACGGTTTAAATGCTTGATCTCGTCTGAAATCGATTTTGTGGTTAATCAAAACTATAACAAAATTATTGAACGTGATTGATTTGAGCACCAACAGTGTATGCATCATGCTTTTAATTGGACAGTTGAATAGAACAGTTAACACGTCGTGTCTGTGTAAGTGGACAGTGCGTGTCATGAGCACTCGCTGTTGTTGTGCATTTCGACGATTTGACGGTTCGTATTTTGATGAAAACGTATAACCGATGTCTAATTGCTCTCTCAAACCCGTTATAGACAAATCGGACTCTCGCTTTGCGCTGTCGTCCAACTTTGTCAATCACTCGTATGATTACAGACCGTGTTGGACTCTACTCGGTCCTATTTCTATAATTAATTTACAACATAAACAATCACATTGCCTAAGTGATGAATCAATAACTCTTTGAACTCTCCCGAAAAAATTAGAAGGCAAATTGCTGATTCTAGCAATTTTCTTTCGCATTCTCTTGCGACACATGCCATGTCACAAGTTTCCGTAAATTAATAAAATAATAAAACTTAAAGATATTTGCAAAAGGTTTGTTTACGAAGAACTGAATGTTACTTTCAAAAATGGGCATTAATTTCAGAATGTAAACTTCTTTCCCTTTGAAGTCTATGACCAAAATCCGATTATCAAGCATTGTGGTAATACTCCAGAGCCATCCAAATTGAATATTAGTACTTGTCTTTCCAGAAAAAGTTCCTTCCAATGTAAACTGTTTAATGTGATCACCCTCACATAAGAAAACGTTGTCATGTTTTTCAACACATAAGCCATACGGCTGATTAATCTGTCCATTAACGTTTCCTTTTTCTCCAAACTTCTACAAAAACTGTCCTCCTCTCTCGTCAATCACTTTCACACAGTTATTTTCGAGGTCAGTTACGATGAATTTGTCCGCGTAACAAATGCAAACGAGCGGATGATCCAACCTTCTGGGCCGCTGTCTCCAAACTTAAACACAGGTTCACCATCCACTGTAAACACCTGAATTCTGCTGTTCTCATATTCCGCTACAACGATAAAACGTCCATCACTTGAGATACAAACACTTGTAGGTATCTTAAACTCTCCATCTCCACTTCCCTGCTTTCCAAAGCTTTTCACAAAGTTCCCTGTCTGTACGTTCCACTGCTGTTATTCGGTGATTACATTCATCTACCACCAGAATCTCGTCATCGTTGAGGAATACGACTTCGACTAGTTCTTCAAACTTCCATCTATATGTCTAGGGCAACCAAGTCGCACAAACATTCCTGTGTCATCAAAGACCAGGATATAGAGACCATCCAAATCAGCCACGGCAATAACACCTTTACTGTTCACTGCAATGCCAGCTGAACTCGGGGGCATTTCTCCCGGAAAGTCCAACTTGCCTATAATATTTAACTCTCATACTTTTATTAGAAATGAGAACGGACTCCTGACAAGTTTCTGTCCATTTATCTTTACTTCCACTCTATAAGTACCTAGTATTTTCGCTGAAAAAACTTTTCCTGGAAACGTCCATCTTGTTTATCACTCCTCTCCAAACTCCTCACCTGATCAGCAGGGTCCACGTGTATTTCAACACGATCTGTTGTGTGTTTCTGATCCCTCCTTCGCTTTTTTGGGGACAAACTAGTAGCTCTGCTTCTACACCAGCTTGGACTTCGAAGTCTTTACTCTGCAAATTTTATCGCACTAGGGCTAAGACAATTTGTACCTTTCGAAAGTTTTCATTCTCTGTTGGTGTTCCTTGATTAACTCCTTGAATTTGAGTATTATTGTTTATTGTTGGAGACATATGTTTCTTCACTCTGCTTTAATAGATTCAATAGCTGGTTCGCCATTCTGTTTGTACACTTCCTCTTGACTTGCGTATTCCTGGTCCAGAATAGGTTTCAATTAGAGCTTTCACGATCCATCTTGAGGCTTGGCATTCCATTGCAGCGAGGAACATCGCGGAGAGGTGGAGAGAAGCCTTTCACTGACCAAATCAGATATGGAAGAGGAAGGAGTGGATGCGGCTATAGCAGCATAGATCTTCCAACTTCTTGTTTGTCTCGAGAAGCTTTCATTCAAAGCAACCCTCTCATTTCAGTGCACGATAGTAAAGAGAAGAAGAAGCTATTATATTTTTCAAATCTAATATGGGTCTGAAATTTTACCTTTCCATTTGTACAATTTTGGCTCCAATCACAATTTTCAGACGGAAAACAATCGGTTAAGTACACTCAGTATAGTTCAGCCTTCGGACGCCAAGATGAATGTATTATTGTTGCCTCAGTAAGATGTCACATGAACGTGAATCTGAGCAGCGATTGGTTACTGTTTTTTTTGGTCTGGATCATCCGAATCTGATAACTATCCCGAACTATTTACTAAAATAAAGCTTCCTCGTTGGCTGAGAAATAGATGCGATTTAGAGATAAAATGTGTTATTTGTGAACAAATCCCACCGATAGGAGCCAGTCAGATTTCAAGGAACACCAGTGATTTATTGCATTCAAAATAGATGTAATAAAAACTAATATCTTGTTTTTCCGTTTCCCCCCGTTTTTGAAACACTCTGAGTATATTTTTTTTCGGTTTTGAGCTCCTCCCGCGGGGCGAGAAGGTTCATTTAAAAATTAAGGCCGCCGATTCTTTTCATCGAAATTGCATAAATATTTTCTGCGCGGTAGCGTAGAACGGTTAATCATACACATCCAATGTCGTTGTAGAAATCAATTTGGTGTCAATTACATAAAAAAAGAGGAACGCCGACTTAAGTTTGTACCTGGTTTCATATTTATTTTGGGTGACAACAAGAGGCATAGTTTCCTATGTGCTAATACTCCACAACTAAAATTAAGTGGAATTTATCATATCGATTTTGAGGTGAGAGCAAAAAAAATTGCGCCAAGACTAAGTTCTTTTTATAGTAATTAAAAGAATAGACGGGATGGCTTGAGAAGTAGTTTGTGGGAATTTTCTAGTATTTTCTCGGATTATGGCAGCTAAAAGTGAAAAATCCGTATCACTTACAGACAGTGACGTTAAAACTTTCCTAGAAGGGAAAGAAAACCAGTATACGAAAAGAAAAACCGAAATGTAAGTATTAAGAGTGAATGTCTCTAAAAATCAAAGAAAAATAAGAAAATCACGGACATGGTAAAAAATCCTTTCGTCCCATTTTTTGTCTACAGGTAGCTATAGGTACTACTTAAAGTGAAGTGAGGTTAGTTTGAATAAATATTCATTTTAACGGAAATAAACCGTTACTAATTGCATGATCGAAAATGAGTGCGTGCGAGCTCTAAATTATTCAGTTTTCAGGCAGTCCTTGCATGAACTAAAATGCAACAGCAGGACTTCTCTGTCTATAAATATATACATGTGGCCTTCCGTTACCAAGATATAGTGATATTTTTTGTATCGTGTCCTTCCTGACGAAACCACGGGTTAATTACCAGTGGACGTGTTCGCCATTTTTAATTTATGCCAAACCGGCCTAATGTGGTGTGGCAAAAACGCACGTGGTAGTTTCTCAAAATCTCCAGCAATACTATCACGAGGGCTTATAAGGTGGGTCTTCAAATTAATCGTTTCATTTTTCTGGTATCTTCTGCTGTTTTTATATACCAACCAACCAAACTTCGCTAAAATTATAAATAGCGCCAGATTGAAATGAACAAAATCAACATTGCAATGACACAAGCAAAGCATTGTTTGAGTCGCAGCCGCACTTAGCTTTTTATGTTTGCTTTGACATTAATAGTTCCTTACCTTAGAAATCTTTCATAGGCCCTTGTTACTCCGTTTGGAAGATATTTTCGAAATACTGTCCTTTGCAATTTGGTGTGAAGGGGGCCGACCGGCGAACTCATTGAAGCCACTGAGCCGGGATGAGTAAAATAAAGTTACTTCTTCTTGTCATTTTTTTACAGCGTGTCGCAACCCAGTTACTTTTAGTCTACTTTGATCCTAATTTTGGCTTTTTTTTGACGTCCCACACAAAAAGGGTCCCGTACAAAACGGCAGGTAACGCTCGGGATTTGCCGGATTTTAATTAATTTTTCACAGGTTCCTGTCACTCTGCGTGACATATGATAATCTGTCACGTAACGAGATCAACAAACAATTCATTCTGCCTCACATATAAAGTTTAAACAAATATACTGCCATCTTGAACGAAAACGATACAACAAAGAAATAGACTTTACAAAATTTCATAAACATAAACCGTACGATGAAAACCTTACGGACCGAAAATAACGATACAATTTTCCCACTGAAAAACAATGTGATCGGTTAACGAAAGTAAACAAAAAACAAAAGCGCAATAATCGTCGGTGAGAGGAATAAAGACAGTGGTTGCTTTAACTCCAGCAGAAAAAGAATGTCTTGTTCTTTACTTGATATTGTAGGTGGCGTTTGTGGTGCAGAGGAACGCGCAAGGCATCAGTCCACTCAGTCAGTATCTCTATCATCATGCAGCAAGGATGTCAGAAGCCACAAGCGTTTTTTACAATTTTCAGGTGTTAAGACAGAGATTGAACTTATCTTGGCAAGAAGCAGAATTTTCGTGAAGCCCGTAAATTTTTCAGAAATGACTGTTTGTCCATTACATCAATCAAGCTTTGAAATCGGATAGAGAAAGGGGGAATTACTTTGCAGCACTCAAAGTAAGCGATTACAATGAGTCATGATCTTGTAAGAATTGACGTCCCTCTAGTTTATTCTCATTGTATGTAAGGATGAACATCCGTATAGCTTCTCATTTCGCGCAGGTTACTTGGCGGGAATCACGGACTCCATATCCTAACTTCAAATCACTTCACTGTCGCGTAAAACAACGCCAAGTTTAACAGAAAAATTATTTTCATGTCTTTTCGGATTTTTGCAAATATTTTTACCTCGGAAAACACTGGCGTTCACTCAACATTTTCGTCTCTCTCAAAACTTATTCAAAGCCGGTGATGGGCTCCTGTCAAAACTAATTAATGGCGTGGGGAACGCTCGAATTGAAATATTCACAGATATTAGAATTCCTTCAATCAATGCGGGGGAAAAAGGAAAGAAACGTGAAACACTGACTTGTGACAAGGTTAACTACAGAATGCGTCATCAGTTTGGGGTTTGTGGGGCTTTTGCCTGGGCTAGTTTTGTTCTTTTGCCACATGCAGAGCTATTTTTTCAAGGAGGATGTGTAAGGTAAAAAAGTATAAATTAATTCTTTCTCTGAAAATATTAAAGGAATTTGTGTGCGATGTCGACAGTCCCTAGCAAAAATTAAAAAATCCGTTACAATCGCAGAGCTTGGGTGCCACAGGAGGTGTGGAAAACATCAAAGAAGGTCTAAGTGGTCTAACCTTGGTGAGTTTCTTCAAAGTGTTAATGAAGAATTTCCATCCAATGTAATTAATAAAAGTGGAAAACCTCAACGCATTCTCTGAATTCTCCCTTCTTCGCCATTTTCATGCTTAGGGATTCAACCCAGATGGGAGGAGGGCGTGTCCAGGCTAACTTGTATGCGAATGCTCAAACGCCGCCATTGCTGCCCGTCAACGACTAGGCAAAGCCATACATGGCACAAGAATTGGATAGGCGTGCCCAGATAGCAAATCACACTCCAGGATATGTCCAAATAATAAATGTTTTAAATTATTATATGGCTTCTCAACATTTTTTTTCGAAATGCTCCAAATGGGAAATATTATTGAGAAGTAATTGGATAAAGATATCAGGATAGGTTATCAGTCAATTATATTATAAGGTAAAAATAATTATCGACAATTAGCTTCCGCCTTGCATGCGACTTGCGCCTTCATACACGACACCCCGTGTGTGGATACGGTTGATCTCATTTTGAAGCCATCCCAAGCAATGTGTTCACTTTTTCGTCAGGTTGATGAACAAGGAGTGACTCTGATATTCCTGCCACTTGTGCTGTCACTGTTGGTGATGAAGCATTGTCAGAAGGTTCCACATCCAGACGGCAGAGCCTATTTGTTCCGCAAGAAGATTCCGAAGAGAGTGATGAAGGCTCCAGTCTAGACAACGAGTCCCAGGTTCAGCTAAAACGCTTCTTACACCTTCGAGTGTATCAGTGCAGTGGAATACAGCGCACGAGCGTACTAAATGCAGATACCTACAGAAAGCTCAACAATGTATTTCTGCAATGCTGGATGTCCTGGCACCTGAAAATTCGCAAGATTTGTGGACGGAGCTTTGTGATCGTCACGCTGTATGCAGCGAGAGTCGGGTTGTGGTCGAAGGCAGGAGACGGAGCTTCTTAATGCATTTGCTGAAAGCTACTTGAACACGCAACATTGGAGCACCAGACGGCAAATGCTCTCTTTGATGGCAGACAAGTTATCCCTTAAGGAGATGAGGGAGTTTATTCCAACCGTTACTAGCTATCGCTACAACATTGCCCGACGCCACAGGCTGATACATGGAAGAGCTGCTCCTCTTCCAAACCAGGAGAAAAGGAGAATGAGAGTTGAACCTGTAAAATTAGAACATTTTGTTTCTTTTATAACAAGTCCACACGTTATTCAAGATGTTCCTTTCGGGGAAAACTTCTGAAATTGTCGACTGGCGAGATCATAAAAACACCCAATGTTATCAGAACAATGATACCAGAGCGTATTGTTCAGCAGTATCAACAATACTGCTGTGAAACCAACTTTGAGCCTACGAGTAAGAGAACTCTACAGAGAGTTTTGGCCGTGTGTTCTTCATCTTTTCGCAAGTCTATGCAAGCACTTGATAACTTTTCAGCATCAGGAGTGGAAGCATTTGATGCATTTGATGCTCGTAGACAAGCTTGTTCACTGTGGCAAGACTCAGCAATGGGCGAGGGAAATTAAGCAGCAACTTCGTTTGTCGAAGCAGTACCTAAAGGGCGACTACAAGGTGGGTGCATATTTTATAATTATGCGTTGCCTTTTCAGAAGTGATGTAGTAAACTTCATATTACGATTCACGGCTACCTCTTTCTTTCTCTCCAAGTCTTCTTTATACTTAATTTATGAAACAGCAGTTTACAATTCACTGTAATAAGCTTACACACATGTATACAATGCTGAGAATCGGTTAAGTAATCTTTTTGAAATGTCGATCATATGTGCATGCGTTGCTTTGCAACTATACACTGAATCACGCGCTTGTCATTTTACTTTTTATCTTAGGTATGTGCAGGAGGCCTCAGAGGTTCCCGATCATTGTCGAATTTACGCGCCAAATGACCCAAGCAATGCTGAATTTCGTGGCTCCTGCGACCATCTCCACAATGAGTCTTGTGAACAGTGTTATGACTTACAGGAAGTATTGCGTACCATAAAAGATGAGTGTTCAAGTGCGCTCTCGTCAGCAGAAGATCAAGCTGACATGCTGCATACCATCAAACAGGCAAGGGATGATATCATTAGCTGGAAAGCTCATCAGCTACGTTCAGTCCACCAAGCTGAGGCGAAGCATTCAGTTTTAGCCAAACTCGACAGCCGATCGGTGCTGTTAGTCCAGGACTAGGCAATGAATTATATGCTTCGAAATATCGAGAGACACAGTCAGATTGGTTTGCGAAGCGAAGATTGCCATGGCACATTGTTGTTGCCATAAGACGGTCAGAGGATTCTGAGCACTTTGAATCGCAGACACTTGTTCACGTATTTCAAAGCTGCGCCCAAGACAGTGTGACTGTGGCTTCGATAATGCTTGACTGCCTCACTACCCTGAAAAAGGAAATTCCAGAGCTGGAAATGGCTTATTACAAACAAGATAACGCTGGCTGGAAAGGGGGTATGTGATCGCAAAGCGCCAACAATCAAGGGAGACGTTGGAAGGTGCGTAAACGAAGGCAATGATGTCATCAACGCTCTACAGTTCAAACCAGCCATTGAATCTGGCCAAGGAACCACAGGAGTGAAATCAAGTTATGTTGCTGCCAAACCGTCAAGCACCTTTAATATCAAATGGGATGGCATAGGCTTACTCAACAATTTTGAGTACGATGAAAGTGGCGTACGAGTGTGGAGAGCATTCAATGTGGGTTCCGGTAGAGTATTGCCATGGGCCAAGTTCGAAGGAGTCATGAAGCAGGCCGAAAAATTGGAAATCCTAGACTCGCCATCGCAGAATCCAAGTGGTGCACCGACGTTCAAGATTGTGAGACACCGACATATTAAGAAAAGATCTGTCTAAGTACATTTCTCAACTGAAAGCGAAAACCAAGATCGAAGCTGTAATGGGGAATATAAGCCAGATGACACGCTTTTCCCGTGACCAGAAGAAGGATGTGTAAAAGCATACAGTCACTTTGCAAACCTCCCGACACACCCAGATACTGGAAAACACCAGATGATGCTCTAACAGGAAACTCTCTACGATAAAGCTAAAAGAGAATATTCTCCCAAGCCGACGGAGGGACGCAGTCGAATACCAAGCGTTCAAGTTGCTGCGCAATCAAAGAGTGACGGTTTGCCGCCTTTTCCAATGGGTTGGGCCGTGAAGACAATTAAGAAAAAGGTGCGTTTTACAAAGAAACAGACCGAATTCTTAACTGACCAATTTCAAAAAGGGGAGTATAGTGGACGGAAAAGCGATCCACAGGAAGTTTCGAAAACCATGAGCCTAGCAAGAGACCAAGCGGGGGGACGCCGATTTCAGCCTGATGAAGTCCTTACGTCGCAGCAGATTAGTGGCTTCTTCAGCCGTCTTTCAGGAAAGAAGCGATTATAAGTTACAGCCGCCGGTAACGAAGCAAAAGCTAGTGAAGTCTCAGAAGTGGACATGGAGAGCGTCGACGAGGACGAAATCTCCGCCGAAGCTGAGAGTCATCTATCTGTAGTGTGTGCAAATGTGATGAGAGATGTGGCTATTCAGCATTCGATTGTATCTTTCGATCTTAACACCTGCGAACTTGTAAAAAAACGTACACTCACAACTTTAAGAGTGGATAGGTTAAGAGACATGTCCATCGACCTTGGGCTAGATATATCTGACATTTTACCTCAGAAGACGAAAAATCCATTCATGGCGCGACTCACACAATTAGTCCAGGAGTGTACTTGTTCTTCCAAGTAACTGAGCACCGAAAGTTTTACGAATAACTAATCCGCTGATTTTAAAAGCGGTGCGTGTATTATTTACAAGGAGGCGTTGCGTGACAGCAGAGTCCTACATATCGGATTTCAGTCACTCGAGCTCACCACTGCTTGTGAAACCTTCTCATCTTTGGTTGGACGATTTTCGGCATATTCGAAACTGGCGAGTGCAGAAGGCGCAGAAGGGATGCAAATGCTCGAATCCATGTTCATCGGATGAGAAGTAAACGGAAACTAACGGCTTTGTGCCAAATTTAACCTGTTGAGTGCAATTCAACTGTTTAACCTGTTGTGTGTAGAATTATGCAGAATTATGGCGTGATTCTCAGGGTAGCAAAGGCCGAAAATTGTTTCTCCTGTCTCCTTATATAAAAATCAAGGGTAGTTATAGACATTTTAATATGTTTCTAGTCATTTTAACGGCCAGTGAAGATATAACTGACGAAAACAGTTATTTGTGTCCAACGTGTTTAATTTTGTTATTATGCATCTCATTATGGCGTCATAGTGATTTAACCGAAATTCGGCTGGTGGTCATATTTAGATAGTCAAAGGTCCCAAAGAAATAAAACCCCAATCGTAAAGAACCATCTTTCAAGGCTTCTTGGTAGTGTTATTGTAAACTTTGAGACACTATTACATGTATTTCTGCCAAGCTATTCTAGGCCACCTTTGCCTTAGTTTCAAAACGCCGAAGATGTCGTTTCTTAAAAGGGACGTAGCTCCTCCAAGAATGAAATGAGACAAAAACTATCACTTTGTCTCGATAATGCAGGTCCAACTCAATATTTCTATAACAAGAAAAGTCCTTCCGTTAAATTTTTGTTATCATGACAAGTGCCCGAAAAGTGCATAATTTCAGGATCACGCTTGGTGAAATTTGAGCTATTTACCCCTGGAAATGTTGAAACAAATTATTCCCGTTAAAATGCATATTTCAAAAATTTAACCCCATTTCTGTTTGTTTGCTAGATAAGGCTACCCACAGGCAAAAAATGAACCAAATCGATCTTTGACCATGTCCGCGACTTTTTCGATAATCTGTGATTTTTATTGACATTTATTCTTGGTGGCTTTAATAACAGCATTTCTTGCGGCCGAGAGCGAAAATCGGCGACTGGAAGATTTGCTATAGGCCGATGTGGCCGTTTACCTGAAAGATTTCTTCTGTTGGTAAAGATGAATGAGAATTTTGTAAATTTAAAATTACATCCATGATTGTTTTTGCAATCATGATTCAACGAATATTTCCATCTTGAGCCTTAGCGCCAACCCACTGTGCGATTTTTATTGGGGATTGTCCATTCCTTTATTTTCAGTCATGAATAAAGTCGGCTTTTCTTCTCAGTATAGGGCTTTTGTGTTTATATGATAAACAAAATAATACATGATTAGTAAATTATTGGTGGGGTGCTCTAAGTCATTTAAGTGTTTTAAAAACCTGAAAGTTTTTGTTTGATATTGCTCAAAGCAAAATGTAAATCAACTGGATCCCTAACGAGCATTCTCTTCAAAACTCCAGTTTTCCTTTTCCCCAATTTTTTTTTCTTTTGTTCAAAAGTCATACAAACTACGGTGTTATACAAGGATTTCCAGCCCCGAGAAATGCCGTAACAACACACGTGAATAAATACCATATTTTCTCACGTGTATTTGATATCGCCAATCAGCTGCTGACACGTCAATCGCCTTTCGCACTCCTCGGTCAGGTTAGATGAATGAACGGCAAAACCTTTGCCATTCTCAATCCAAGGTAGTTTGTGGGAATTTTCTCGGATTGTGGCGGCTAACACTGAAAAATCCGTATCACTTACAGACGGTGACGTTCAATTTTCCTAGAAGGGAAAAAAAAAAGTATACGAAAAGAAAACCGAAAGTTACGTTTTCAGTGGCTTTAATTACAGCATTTCACGGGGCCGAGAGGGAAAATCGGCTACTGGAAGATTTGCCATAGGCGATCTGACCGTTTACCTAAAACATTCCTTCTTTCAGTAAGGACGAATTCGTTGAATGAGAACTTTGCAAATTGAAAATTAAGTCCATAATTCTGTTCGTATTAATAATTCAATGCATTTTGCCATCTTGAGCCTTTAGCGCCAACCCCCTGTGCGATTTTTTTATAGGGGAATTGTCGATTTCTTTATTTTTATTCATTAATAAAGTCGACTTTTCTTGTCGGTAAAGGGCTATTGTGTTTATATGATGAACAAAATAATACAAGATTTTATAAATAATTGGTGGGGTGCTCTAAGTCATTTAGGTGTTTAAAAGACCTGAAAAATTTTGTTTGATATTGCTTAAAACAAAATGTAAATCAACCGGATCCCTAATGAGCATTCTCTTCAAAACTCAAGTTTTCTATTCTTGTCAGTAAAGGGTTATTGTGTTTGTACAATAAACAAAATAACACATGATTTGATAAATAATTGGTGGGGTGCTCTAAGTAATTTAAGTGTATTAAAAAATTTTGTTTGATATTCTCAAAACAAAATGTAAATCAACTGGATCCCTAAAGAGCATTCTCTTTAAAACTCCAGTTTCCTTTTCCCTAAATTTTTTTCCTTTGTATTTACTTACTTTTCGTGATAAAGATAGTTTTTCATGTTTTCCTTTGATATAGAAAAATGATATTTTCCATCAACTGACAGAAGTCTTCAGGTTCTCTTGAAAAGAGTGAACCTCACAGAAGTTCTGTGCGTAAATGTGAATTTATTTGCATGTTTTAATTCAATTCCAAATTGTGGCTGATACATGTAGAATATAGTTCCATTATTCAAGAGAAGAAAAAGAATTAAGGAAGTCATCTAGGTACACCTGTTACAAAAATTAACTGCCGTTTCAGCGCAATTCATAAGCCCTACAGTTTAAAAATCATTTCTATCACGTACATACGACTAGATACAACACAATAAACTGATATATATATGAGATATATTTAGGACAAATAAAAAAAGTAATTTCAAGTTCTCTGTAAAGTTTGCAGAACCGAAAAAAAAACTATAGGGGAAACAGAAAGCGATTTAATCACATCAGGTTACAAGAGACTGATTAAAATGGGAATTTGCTGCTTGCAAAATGTAATACAAAAATGGTAGTGCATTTTGAGATCTTAACATGAAATTAGGGAGCTACAAAAATGAACTTATTTTAAACTACTTGATCTCCTTGGTCTCCTTGGTCTCCTTGGTCTCCTTGGTCTCCTTGGTCTCCTTGGTCTCCTTGGTCTCCTTGGTCTCCTTGGTCTCCTTGGTCTCCTTGGTCTCCTTGGTCTCCTTGGTCTCCTTGGTCTCCTTGGTCTCCTTGGTCTCCTTGGTCTCCTTGGTCTCCTTGGTCTCCTTGGTCTCCTTGGTCTCCTTGGTCTCCTTGGTCTCCTTGGTCTCCTTGGTCTCCTTGGTCTTCTTGGTCTCCTTGGTCTTCTTGGTCTCCTTGATCTCCTTGGTCTCTTTGGTCTTCTTAGTCTCCTTGGTCTCCTTGGTCTCCTTGGTCTCCTTGGTCTCCCTGGTCTCCTTGGTCTCCTTGGTCTCCTTAGTCTACTGGAACTCCTTGGTCTACTGGGACTTCTTGGTCTCTCTGGTCTCTTTCGTGTCTTTCGTCTCTTTGGTCTTCTCCTGGTTGAACCTGACGTGGACGCCATAGATCAAGAAACTCCTTAGAGGAAAACATTATTCCTATCAAATTCTTGGCAATGAAAATGGACTCGTCTTTGCCAAACTTATAGAACACCACCGCACGAATAACCAAGAATGGTACATTTACGAAAAATGTGTGAAGAATATTGCGACACAAAATAATTTGCTGCCCCCTTTCGGTGGATCTATCTTCTAACATTTTCCAGGGAATTATCGACATAGTAAAACTGATGCAAGCGAACACGATCATTGTTATACTGAATGCTTTGGGTATTCCAAGGTCGTGCTCTATTCCTTTTAACACGGTATCTATCATCACGACTCCATCTAACAGATCGACGGTCATGGAAAAACGCAACTCAGAAACAATCATTGTTTTCATGCCTGTGAATAGGAAGAGTACTAGCAGAAGTGGTGTAATGCACAGAATCGCCTTCAATACATTTGGACTTAAAACCTCGGTCTTGCTGATTCTATCTCCGACGATTGCTAATATCACTGCGATGTTTACAACCAAGGCCACGATATACAGACCCCAAACTCCAAAGAGGCTACCAAGGTAGGGTGAATTTGAACATAGATATACAAACCAAACACCAATTGCTGGGCCAAAGGAAAAGGCCATGAAATACCACTTGGAGTTGCCCTCATACTTCGCGAGATAAGCAGATAGAAGTAAGCTCTGTGTAATTATCAGACCGAAGAGAACCACTCGTCCGAGTTTTGTTAAAAGCGAAGCCATAATGTCTGACAGCTGTCTGAAACTAGAAGAGGCAAATTGTGCTGACTACTGCAATAACAATCGATACCGTATATTTGTAAGAAAGACTTAGCAACGAATGAGGAAACGCCACATCTATCCTGATCAAATGATGCAAAAGGGAATTACCCGAATTTTCCAGAAGCTCAGATGCACAGACTGATTGCATACGTAATTTGGTCACTGCTGGAGACTTTATATTTCTATGTAGCTTCGTTAATCAGCGATTCTGGCTTTTTATTTGTAATTGTTCACAACTACTTTTCTCGGAATAGATTATTTCATTGTATTGCACTTTCTGTGAAACTTTCTTGAATTCGGCGCAAAGTTTATTTCGATGCAATTATTATAGCATCAACTTTCTTATTGGACTTTCTTGAAGAAACGCTTATCGTAGAAAAACCTTTCAAAAAGAATATCTTTCTCATGGCCTCATGCTTAGACTACATTAACAGATTCCTTGTCTTCGTCTTAGCAGGCCTCCAAGCCCACTCGCTGGCTTTGTATCGTGCAAAATACAAACAAAAAGATGGTTTTTATGGATTGGTCGCCCTGTACGCTCCTGCAATTGTTCTAAGGCTTTACATCATGTTCGACGACAAGAAATTGCAGCGGTTATTTGCTGTTTGGACTTGCTTTATCGTTCCTTTCGTGACCTTCGTTGTGAGCATATTTGGAGATGACAAAAAGATTAAAGATAACCTTGACAAAGCGAAATTCTTCGGTCCAAACATTCGAAAGACGACACTTAGCCTTGCCCTGGTGATTGTGTGGTTGCTTTCAAGTGCGGAAAGGGATTGCATCTTCTACCGAGACCTGATCTGGCAGTTGTCTCTCCGAATGGCGTTGGATCTCTTCGATGGAGTGGAAATGCTGGATGTCATTATCGAAGAGAATGAATAGAGCCATGGCGTTCCAAAAGGACTTGAAAGAACAATGCTTGCATTTGTCTTCATAAGCTTTCATCAGCTGTCTCCATTACAACTGGTCGAGACAAAGATAAGAGGTTCTGGACGGTGGAAAATTCGCAGATGGACGGCTGGTTTGCGCACAACCTTACAAATTGTCTGTGTCGGGGCTAAGAGAAAGATGCATCCATTTTTATTACTAAAAATGCTATTTTTACTCATAAAATTGCCATTGTCATTTGTCCCGGTCTCTTTGCTGAGATATGTTCAATCTGGGAGTGTTGTGGTAGTGACCATTAATAAGCTAGATTTTGAGTCATCAGTATGGAGCCTTTGATCCGGAAAATGTTGTAACGAAGTGAGTTGACGTTCAATTTTTTTACGGAAGAGAAAGTGTTAACTAAGTTTTTTTTGTTTTTCAACAGTAGTTTTCTACATGTGTATTTATCCATTAGAGTGAATTCGTATAATCCGTTCGTTATAAGCGAATGCCGAGTTTGTCACTAGATACTAATGAGAGGAACAGTTATAGACGGCTGTGAACATTCAATCAAATACATCTTCACCGCTAAATTTTTCCCGTGAAAAATCACAATCAACCAATGCTGCAATAGCTTATGATCTTCGTCGGGTGGTTTAAAGTCACACAAATCACCATAAAGGCGAGTATATTGAAAAGCTCTACACGTATGTGTGCACCTCCATAGAATTTTCTTGGCATTATTACATGTGATATTACGTCTGAAATCATATGCGCATATGAATGAGTTCAAAATCAAAGGAGTGTGCAGCGCGAGTTTGATATGAAATCACAGTATGATTGCACGAAACTAAGTTTAAACACCACTTTATTATATCCATTTTGAAATGGCCAAATTTAGTTCCTCGGATACAGGACTTTTAAGTCTGTAGAAATGCTTTTTCGATCCAGTAATGAGCTGGTCTTCAGAAAGCTGAAAAAGTGGTTTTTCAATTTCATTGGGTGGTAAAAAGTGATTTTTGTGAATAAATCATACCGATGAGAGCCAATAAGATTAAAAGGATCATCAGTGAATGCAAAATGGATGTAATAAAACTAATGTCGTGTCTTTTCCACCATTTTTGAAACGTGTAAAGGTATGCTGATCCTTTTTTTTTATGGTTTTTGCGCCTCCCGCAGGGCGGTTAGGTTCTTTTTCTCGAAATTGCATAAATGCTTTCTATGTGGTGGCACAGAAATTGATCATGGATGTCCGATCAATTTGGTGGCGATTACAATAAAAGATTGAGGAACGCCGACTTAAGTTTGTACCTGGTTTCAAATTTACTTTGGGTGACAACACGAGGGATAGTTTCCTAATTGCTAATACTCCACAACTAAAGTTAAGTAGAATTTAACATTTCGATTGTGAGTTGAGGGCATAAGAAGAATGGCACCTAGACTAGGTACTTTTAAAGCAATTCAGAGAAGAAACGAGGTGGCTTTAGGAAGGTGAAAGTTGCAACTCACAAAGTGAATTTGGGAAATGAAACGAAACACCAAGGGACGAACACAAAAAACAAGCCAAGTCATATATCGTTCATTTTTTACCAAAAATCGTGGCTATCGCCCGATGATTTTTCTATTGTTATCTAAGCCTCAGTTTACTGTTATTAGCTGCTTTATTTTTCATGTCTTACTGTGAGGTGGGTGCCTTTTAGTCCGTTATCTGATCCCTGCCTTTCTTTGTCAACTAACCATGTTGGTTGAGCAGTGGTAATGTTAAATGAGCAGGTAGAAGAAATAACCGTGTGTATTGGCGGGCGAACTCATTTCTGTTTTATTTTAAGAAACATGCGGTGGTATAGATCTAAGCTTGAAATATGTGTTTGAGAGCAAGGATACATCGATACATAATATGCATGTAAACGACCTCGTTAGTAATTTTGTTACCCGTGTTTGCCGAGACAGAAACGGTAGCATTTTGAATAATGGGGTACATAGAGTCAGAAGGCTTTCCAGGAAAACTTGAGATCCGTTTGTCTTTGATAATTTTTTTTTCCTGAGAAACAGAAGAAGCTGGTTCAAATGACGCGTCTTTAGATTGATTATCAATTTAAAGTCCTCATTCAGAGGTGAACGGAGTTTCTCAGTTTCTAAGCAGTCCTTTTAAGTCTACAACAACAACAGCAATTTGAGTCTGAAAATGGCTCAATCGTTGTTGGCTTGGGTTACACGTGCTGCCTTCTCCATCGTGATGATCCTTCAGTATATCGCCTTCGCTTCGTATCCAGCACGCTACGAAAATCAATATGGCTGGTTTGCTTTTCTTCTTCTCTACAATCCATCCTTGACTCTCTGGTTTATCGTTGTGTGCAATGACAACCTCATCACTTGAGTGCCTTCCGTTTGGACTCTGCACGTGTGGCTTGCTTTCGTGCCCATACTTTGAGTAATATTTGGGCGAATCAAAGACAAAAGCGAAAAGGATTTATTCTTTAATTTGGCCCGGATCTTTTGTAAATGACCCTTTTCCTAACTCCGCTCCTTTTATTGCTGTTGCCTAACACATTTGAAATGAAAAGTAAAGAAAGAGAGCTCCTATTAAAGCTGGCTTTCCAAATAACATTAGATCTCTTCGACGGAATTGAAATGCCGCAAGTTATTCTGGAGGGAAATGATTTTGGCATTTAATGAACATGGAAACGGCTTTGAGGCAGCTATCATTGCCTTCGTCTGCATCAGTTTTATGCTTTCGCATTTTCAATTAGAGGAGAACACCATTTAGGACAAGTCTATTTACCAATATGCAGCCATCGTCCGTATCACCCTTCAGTTTTTACTCGCTAAGTGTGTGTTTTTAGGCCTTCGTTTTGCTCTGTTCTTTAGGTTCAAGAGAGATGCGTCAATTTTCATCGCTGAAAATGGCACCTTGATCATTCTTGGGATTTTGGAGATTTTTCAGTGTTGTAATGATTAGCTAAGAAGTTAGGAAGTCTAGGAGCCCGGAGAGACTGAACTGTTCAATCAAACGCGCGGTCGCACATTCGACAACTTTAAGCTGATTTGCAAAGTTGTGTATTTTTCTAGTTTGTTTAACATTTAGCCGTTTGTGATTGCATATGAAATTTTTGTCTTTAATTAACATAATTGCGTGGGTGTGCCAGATTTGCGGTTTATTATGTCACTTTATGCAAACACAAGAAGGGAGAGGGAGGAGAAAATGGTGACATTTACAAAAAACAAGGCCCTTATCCACTTCCTTCTTCACTCCCGCCAGACCTTTTTGAAGGAAACACATTTGCTGTATTTTTTTACCTTCTGAACCCGCTAAGGAAACACTTTTGAACCCGCTCAGTTTTCAGAAAGCCTGACCACGCCTAGGTTGATTTAATTACTTCAAATATCTCTCGAAGGGCTGAATACATGATCAGCTGAAGTAACTAAGCAGTGAGCCTTCAGGCTATCAGAAAAAAAGTTGTCTCACAGGAGTTGCACATTGATTGATTTGTTGATAACTTAATTTATCATATAAACTAGGGTGTTGTAAAAGGAGCTCCGAGAAATGCCGTAACAAAACACGTGAAAAAATACCATATTTTGGCACGTCACATGCCTTTCACGCTACCTGGTCGGGTTGATGAATGAACGGCAAAGCCTTCGCCATTCTCAATCCAAGGTAGTTTGCGAGGATTTTCTCGGATTATGGGGGCCAACAATGAAAAATCTGTATCACTTACAGACAGTGACGTTCAAACTTTCTTAAAAGGAAAAGAAAACCAGCATACGAAAAAAAAACAGAAAGTTGTATTCAGTGGCTTTGGTAACAACATTTCTCGCTGTTAAGAGCGAAAATCGGCGACTGGAAGGTTTGCCACAGTCCTATTTGGCCGTTTACCTGAAAGATTTCTTTTGTCGGTAAGGATGAAGTCGATGAATGAGAATTTTGTAAATTAAAAATTGCGTCCATAATTGTTTTTGTAATCATGTTTCAACGCATTTTCCTGTCCTGGGCCTTAAGCGCCAACCCACTGTGTGATTTTTATTGGGGAATTGTCGATTTCTCTATTTTTATTCATTAATAAAGTCGGCTTTTCTTATCAGTAAAGGGCTTTTGTGTTTATATAATAAACAAAATAATACACGATTTTATAAATAATTGGTGGGGTGCTCTGAGTCATTTAAGTGTTTTAAAAACCAGAATTTTTTTTTTTTATATTGCTCAAAACAAAATGTAAATCAACCGGATCCCTAATGAGCATTTTCTTCAAATTTTTTACCTAATTTTTTTTCTTTTGTATTTTCTTACTTTTGTGACAAAGATAGTTTTTCATGTTTTCCTTTGATATAATTAATAATATTGTCCATCAACTGATACAAGACTTCCAGTCTTCCAAATTAATTGTAAGCTCTATATAAAGTTTGCAGAACCAAAAAAATTAACCGCCATTTCAGTGTAATTCACAAGCCCTAGAGTTCAAAAATCCTTTCTATCACATAAATCCGACTTGATACAACACAATAAACTGATCTATATAAGATATGTTTGGGACACATAAAAAAATAATTTTAAGCTCTATGTAAAGTTTTCAGAACCGAAAAAATAAAACCATAGAGGAAACAGGAAATAGTCTACTCACATCAGATTACAGAAGACTACTTAAAGCGGCAATTTGTTGCTTGGAAAACGTTATACAAAAATTAGAGTGCATTTTGAGATCCTAACATGAAATTGAGGAGCTACAAATATGTACTTAATCTAAACTACTTGGTCCCCTTGGTCTCCTTGGTCTCCTTGGTCTCCTTGGTCTCCTTGGTCTCCTTGGTCTCCTTGGTCTCCTTGGTCTCCTTGGTCTCCTTGGTCTCCTTGGTCTCTTTGGTGTCCTTGATCTTCTTGGTCTCCTTTGTCTCCTTGGCCTCCTTGGTGTCCTTGGTCTCCTTGGTCTCCTTGGTGTCCTTGGTCTCCATGGTCTCTTTGTCCAACCCGACTTAAACGGGTTAGATTACGACCAATTTCCAAACTGAAAAGTACTATTCCTATGCCATTCTTGGCGATGAAGATGGACTCGTCTTTGCCAAACATAGAGTACACCACCGCACGAATAACCAAGAATGGTACATTTACGCAAACTATTTGAAGAATATTGTGAAATATTGCAGTACGGACAAGAATTTTTGACTCTTCGGTGAGTTTCGTTTCTACCATTTGCCAGGGAATTACCAACACGATGAAACTGAAGCTAGCCAACGCGATCATTGCTGCACTGAATGCTTTGGGTATTCCGAAGTCGTACTCTCTCTCCTCTAACACGATATATATCATCTCTATTCCATCGAACAGATCGACGGCCATGGAGAAACATAGCTTGGAAACAATCTCTCTTCCTTTTTTACTTTCGTGTGAATCATCGAGATCGCCTGTGTTTAGCAACAGTAGTAGCAGAAGTGGTGTAATGCACAGAATCACCTTCAATACATTTGGACATAAAAACTCGGTCTTGCTGATTTTATCCCCGACGATTCTTAATACCATTGCGATGTTTACAACAAAAGCCAAAATATTCAGACCCCAAATTCGAAAGAGCCAAGCAAGGTACCGCGATTTGAAACGTAGAAACGATTTGAAACGTAGAACAAGAATCCAAGCAAAAACTGCTGGGCTTAAGGAAAAGGCCATGAAATACCAATTAGATTTGCCCTCATACTTCGCGAGATAAGCAGATAGAAACATGCTCTGTGTAGTTATCAGACCGAAGAAAACGAATCGTCCGAGCCATGTTAAAGAGGATGCCATATTTATATGTCTGACAGCTGTCTGAAAGTAGAAGAGGCAAATTGTGCTGACTACCGCTATAGGAATTGATATCGTATATTTAGCAGCGAATGAGGAAACGCCACATCTATCCTGATCAAACGATGCAAAAGTGAATTACCCGAATATTCCAGAAGCTCAGATGCACAGACTGATTGGATACGTAGTTTGGTCGCTGCTGGTGACTTGATATTCCTATGTAGCTTCTCTAACCAGCGATTCTGGCTTTTTCTTTGTATTTATTCGCATCTGCTTTTCTCGGAAAACAATACTTCGTTGTATTGGGCTTTCTAGAAAATTCTCTTGGATTCGGCGTAAAGTTTATTTCGATGCAATTATTATAGTATCAAATTTGTCATTGGACTTTCTTAAAGAAACGCTTATCGTAGGAAAACCTTTCAAAATGAATATCTTTCTCATGGCCTCATGCTTATTCTATATCAACAAATTCCTTTTCTTCGTCTTAGCAGGCCTCCAGGCCTACTCGCTGGCTTTGTATCCTGCAAAATACAAAACAAAAAGATGGTTTGTATGGATTGGTCGCCCTGTTCTGTCCTGCAATTGTTCTAAGGTTTTGCATCATTTTCGACGAAAAAGAAATTACAGTGGTTATTTACTGTTTAGACGTGCTATATTGTTGGTTTCGTAATTTTCGTTGTGATCATATTTGGAGGTTACGAACCGATTGAAGTAACCTTGACAAGGCGAAATTCTTCGGTCCAAACATTCTAAAGATGACACTCTGCCTTGCCCTGGTGATTATGTCGTTGCTTTCAAGTACGGGAAGGGATTGCCCCTTTCACCGAGACCTGGTAGAGCAGTTGTCTCTCCGAATGGTGTTTGATTTCTTCGATGGAGTGGAAATTCTGGATGTCATTATCGAAGAGAATGAATTTAGCCATAACGTTCCTAAAGGCTTCGAAAGAAATATGCGGGCATTCGTCTGTATCAGCTTTCTGGTGTCTCCATTACAACTGGTCGAGATAAAGATAGGAGGTTCCGATACATCCATTTTTATCGCTAAAAATACTATTGTCATTGGCCGTGGTCTCTTTGAGATATTTTCAATCTGTGAGTGTTGTGGTTGTGACGATTACTAAACTAGATTTTTAGTAATCAGTATAGTGCGTGTGATCCGGATAATTTAATATATTTGACGTTCCTTTTTCTAAATGAAAGAGGTAGTGGTGACTAAGTTTTCTTTTGTTATACAACAGTAGTTTTCTACATATGTATTCATCCATTAGAGTGAATTCGTATAACCCGTTTGTTAGAAGTTAATGCCGAGTTTATTGCAAGATGAGAGGAACAGTTATAGACGGTTGTAAACTTTTGATGAAATACATGTTCAACGCTAAATTTTGCCCGTGAAAATTCCCAATCAACCAATGCTGCAATAGCTTATGATTTTCGACGGATGGTGCATGGTGACTGTAAAGTCACACAAATAAGCAAAGGACCAGTTTATTCAAAAGCTCTACACGTATGTGTGCCCTTCGTGACCTTTCGGTTCCACGAAATTTTCTTGGCATTATTACATATATTATTAGGTCCGAAACCATATGCGCATATTAGTTATTTCAAAATCAAAGGAGTGTACAGCACGAGTTTGATTTGAAATCACAAGTATGATTGCACGAAACTAAGTTTAAACACCACTTTCTTACATCCATTTTAAAATGGCAAAATTCACTTCCTCAGATACAGTACTTTTTAGTCTATAGAAATGCTTTTTGATCCAGCAGTGAGCTGGTCTTAAAAAAGCTGCAAGAGTGGTTTTTCAATTTCATTGGGTGGGAGAAAGATGCGATTTGGAGAAAAAAGGGGCTTTTCGTGAATAAATCGCACCAATGAGAGCCAATCAGACTACAAGGATCACCAGTGGTTTCAAGATGGATGTAATAAAACTGATGTCGTGTCTTTTCATTTTTGAAACATATTAAAGTACTATAATTCTTTTTGTTGTTGTTGTTATTTTTGCGCCTCCCATAGGGCCAGTAGGCTTAATCAAAAAGTAAAATTGCCGGTTCTTCTCCTCAAAATTGTATAAATATTTTCTGAGCGGTAGCGCAAAAGTTGATCATGGATGTCCAATCAATCTGGTGTCGATTACATCAGACGATAGAGGAAAAACGACTTAAGTTTTTACCTGGTTTCATAGTTACTTTAAGGGATAGTTTCCTAATTGCCAATACCCCACAACAAAAATTAAGTAGAATTTAACATATCCATTATGAGGTGAGAGCAAAATAAGAATGGCACCTAGACTAGGTACTCTTTAAAGAAATTTAAAGAATAGACTGGGTGGCTTAAGGAAAGGTGAAAGGTCCAACTCACAGAGTGAATTTGGGAAATGAAACGAAAAACCAAGGGACGAACACGAAAAACAAGCTAAGTCTTATATCGTGAAATATTTACCAAAAATCATGGCTATTGCCCGATGACTTTTCTATTGTTCTTTAAGCCACAGTTTAATGTTATTAGCTGCCTTATTTTTCATGTCTTACCGTAACTTGGGTACCTTTTAGTCCGTTATCCGATCGCTGCATTTCTTTGTCAACCAACAATGTTGGTTGAGTAGTGTTAATGTTTAATGGGAAAGTAGAAGAAAAAGCCGTCTGTATTGGGCAAACTCATTTCTGCTTTACTTTAAGAAACATGCGGTTGCATCGATCTAAGCTTGTAATATATGTTGTGGAGCAAGGATACATCGATGCATAATATGCATGTAAACGACCTCGTTGGTTAGTAATTTTGTTACCCGTGTTTGGCGAGACAGAAACGGTAGGAATTTGGATAATGGGATACATAAAGTCGATAGGCTTTCCATAAAAACTTGAGATCCGTTGGTCTTTGATAATTTTTTTCCTGAGAAACAGAGGAGGTTGGTTCAAATGACACGTCTTTAGGTTGATTATCAATTTAAAGTCCTCATTCAGAGGTCAACGGAGTTTCTCAGTGTCTAAGCAGTCCTCTTAAGGCTACAACAACAACAGCAATTTGAGTCTGAAAATGGCTCGTTCGCCGTTGGCTTGGGTTGCACGTACTGCCTTCTTCATCGTGATGATCTTTCGGTCTATATCCTTCGCTTCGTATCCAGCACGCTACGAAAATCGAAATGGCTGGTATGCGTTACTTCTTCTCTACATCCAATCCTTGACTCTCTGATTTATCGTTGTATGCAATGACAACCTCATCACCTGGGTATCTTCCGTTTGAGCTCTGTACGTATGGCTTTCTTTTGTGCCCATAATTGGAGGGGGCGAACCATGGCAAAAGCGAAAAGGATTTGTTCTTTTATTTGGCCCGGATCTCTTGAAGATGACCCTTTGCCTAACTCCGTTCCTTTTGTTGCTGTTGCTTAACACATTTGAAACGAAAAGTGAAGACAGAGAGCTCTTATTAAAGCTGGCCTTCCAAATAACATTAGATCTCTTCGACGGAATTGAAATGTTGCAAGTTATTCTGGAGGGAAATGAACTTGGCATTCAATGAACTTGGAAACGGCTTTGAGGCAGCTATCATGCCTTCGTCTTTCATAAGTTTTCGCATTTTCAATTAGAGGAGAACAGCATTTCGGACAAGTCTATTTACAGATATGCAGCCACATCACCCTTCAGATTTTACTCGGTAATTGTGTGTCTTTAGGCCTTCGTTTGGCTCTGGTCTTAATCATGGAATTTTGGAGATTTCTCAGTATTGTAAGGATTAGTTAGGAAGTGTAGGAACAAGGAAAGACTTACCTTTTGAATCAAAAGCGTGATCACATATTCTACAACTTTAAGCTCCTTCACAAAGTTGTGTATTTTTCTAGTTTATTTATCCTTCAGCAGTTCGTCGGCTAAACGATAAAAAAACTAGATCGCGTGTGCCTGATTTGCGGTTTATTATATCATTTTGCGTAAACAAAACGGCCCCTATCCCCCACCGTTCAATCGCGCCAAAGCTTCTTAGAGGAAACAGATTTGCTTTCCTTTTTACATTCTGAGCCCCGCTGAGTTTTCAGGAAGCCTGACCACGCCTGGGTTGCTTAAAATGGTTCAAATTATCTCTCGAAGGGTTGAATACATGAGCCAGCTGAAGTGGTTAGGCAGTGAACCTACAGGCTGTCACTAAACGAGTTGTCTCACAGGAGTTTTAAATTGATTGATTGGTCGACAACTTTATCTAAACACTGTAAAAATTTCCTTTGGCATAATTTACAAGTAAAACATGTTATTTTGTTCACCTAATCTGATTAGTAAAATAAGATCAAATCCAACTTGTCCTGAGGGTAATTTTTAGGTTTTGAGGGTAATTTTTTTAGTTTCATTCGAAGCTGTGAAGAATTTGATTAAAGAAGTTGCAGAGCGCGTATCTTGGGATAGGCTGTTATGTAGATATAGTTTCATTATTCACGAGGAGAAAAGAATTGAGGCGAAGTCATATAGGTACACCTGATACAAAAATTAGCTGCCATTTCAGCGCAATTCACAAGCCCTATATAGAATTCCAAAATTCTTTCTATAATCTAAAATTATATACGACTGGATACAACACAACAAACTGATCTCTGTAAGATGTATTTGAGATAGCTGTAAAATTAATTGTAAGCTTTATGTACAGTTTGCAGAACCAAAAAAATAAAACTGTAGAGGAAACAAAATAGTCTACTCATATCAATCTACAGGACTACGGGAGACTGAATAAAATGGGAATCGTATAAGATATATTTGAGATACATTAAAAAATTAATTGTAAGCTTTATGAACAGTTTGCAGAGCCGAAAAATAAAACCATAGAGAACACAAAAATAGTCTACTCAGATCAGATTACAGAGACTAATTAAAGTGGGAATTTGTTGCTTCCGAAATGTAATACAAATATAAAAGTGCATTTTGAGATCTTAACATGAAATCGAGGAGCTACAAAAATCTCCTTATTTTAAACTAGTCGGTTTTCTTGTCCAACCCGACGTAAACGGTATCGATTACGACGAATTTCTAAAATGGAAAGTACTATTGCTATGCCATTCTTGGCAATGAAGATGGACTCGTTTTCGCCAAACATAAACAACACCACCGCACGAATAACTAAGAATGGTAGATTTACCAAACTATTTGAACAATACTGCGGAATAGAGCGCTACGGAAACGAATTTTCCACACCTCTTCGATGAATTTTTTTCTGCCATTTGCCAGAGTGATACCAACATGCTGAGGCAAGCCAATACAATCATGGTTATACTGAATGCTTTGAGTATCCCAAAGTCGTGCTCTCTTTCTTCTAACACGATGTCTATCATCTCGATTCCATCGAACAGATCGATGGAAACAATCTCTCTTTCTTCCTCATTTTCGTGTGAATCATCGAGATCGCCTGTGTTTAGCAACAGTAGTAGCAGAAGTTGTGTAATGCACAGAATCATTTTCAATACATTTGGTCCTAAAAACTCGGTCTTGTCGATTCCATCTCCGACTTCCCGAGATAAGCAGATAAAAATAAGCACTGTGTAGTCATCAGACGGACAAAAGCCAATCGTCCGAGCCATGATAAAAACGAGGCCATAATTATATGTGTGAAAGCTGTCTGAAACTGGAAGAAGCAAATTGTGCTGACTGATACAATAGGAATTGATATCGTATATTTGTATGAAAAACTTTGCAGCGAATGAGGTAACGCCACAACGATCTTGATCAAGTGATGCAAAAGGGAATTACCCGAACATGCACAGACTGATTCTATAAATAATTTGATCGCTGCTGGAGTCTATATATTTCTATGTAGCTTCTTCAATCAGCGATTCTGTCTCTTTGTTTATTTGTTTAATGTGTTTTTGTTTTTGTTTTTGATTCTGTTTTGTTGTTAGTGTTGTTTTTTTAACTCTTAATTAAAAACAGTCTAAAAACTTTGAAATTACGAGATTTTTGCGAGAAAAAATTAATTCGCTGAAAATCTGAATTTGTCAAATGAGCCATTTCCGAGAAACCTACCCAGGTGACATATGGAGTTTCTAGGAAAAATGTTGCATAACAATAATTAGGGGATTCTCCGAACACTACTGAGTCATAACGATGAAGCCATCTTTGATTACTTCAAATTCGTTCTTCTTAGAGTATTTATATAAAGTTCATTTGCGGTTTCCTCTTTTATTCTCTTGAACTTCATTTTCTAATATTTTCTTTTCTCACTGTAACATATCCAATAAATTTGTCAAAGCTGCAACAGGCTTATTTTTCTAAGGAATTTGTTTGGTTATAGCCAGTTTCAGCAGTCCCTCGAAAGGTAGCTGATGGTTAGAAGGATCAAGGTGAAAGATAACAAAACGTGCGTCATTATGAAAATAATTTCCAACGACTTCTCTAAAATCGATCTTGAAAATTTTGGGGTTTCTTTGCTTAGTAAATGACATTCAGCTTGCATAATGTGATCAATTTAGTCTAACAGTTAGGATTGTAACTGTTTTGGTCGACAGATCATGAGAGTGTATCAACAACACCGAAGGTTTTTCTGGATAATTGTTTTATTAACTGTTAGAACAAAGATTTAGAGTTTAAAAATACAAACTCGTTACACTTCCAAAAACAGAAAGTACAATGTTTGGAGCGGCAAATAATTAATTAACCATCCGAAGAAAATCATAACTTATTGCAGTATCGATTAATTGGGAATTTTCATGGGGAAATTATTAGCGGTGAAGACGTATTTGACTAAATCTTCACAACCGTTCTTAATTGCTCCTCTCGTTAGAATATAGTGACAAGCTCATGAGAATATAAAGAGCGGGTTATGACGAAATCACTCCAATGGATGAATACATATGTAGAAAACTGCTGTTGAATAACAAATAAAATAATATCGTTAACACTTCCTTTTCCATTTGAAAAGCAAACGTCACTCAAACTTGTTAAAATAATATTATCCAGATCATAGGCACTCTACTGATTACTCAAAATCTAGCTTAGTAATCGTCACAACCACAACACTCACAGATTGAACATATCTCAAAGAGACCAAGGCAAATGACAATAGCATTTTTAGCAATAAAAATTGATGCATCTTTCTCGTAGCCCCGCCATAGGTACATGCGGAACCACAAAAAAACGCAATTAACACAGATTATTTGTAAGGTTGTGCGCAAACCAGCTGTCCATTTGCGAATTTTCCACCGTCCGGAACCTCTTATCTTTATCTCGACCAGTTGTAATGGAGACAGCAGAAAGCTGATACAGACGAATGCAACCATTGCTTTTTCAAAGCTTTTGGGAACACCATGGCTGAATTCATTCTCTTCAATAATGACATCCAGCATTTCCACTCCATCGAAAAGATCCAACGCCATTCGGAGAGACAACTGCCAGATCAGGTCTCGGTAGACGATGGAATTCGTTCCTGTACTTAAAAGTAACAACAGAATCAATGGGGCAAGGCAAAGTGTCGTCTTTAGAATGTTTGGACCGAAGAAGTTCGCTTTGTCGAGATTATCTTCAATCGGTTCGTCGCCTCCAAATATGATCACGACGAAGATTACGAACCCAACGATATAGCACGTCCAGACAGCAAATAACCACTGTAATTTCTTGTCGTCGCACATGATGTAAAGCCATAAACCAACTGCAGGTATGTACAGGACAACCAATCCATAGAAACTATCTTTGTGTTTGTATTCTGCAGGATACGAAGCCAGCGAGTAAGCCTGGAGGCCTACCAAGGCGAAGAAAAGGAGTCTGCCAATGTAGACTAAGCATGAGGCCATCTCTAAGACAAGTGTTTCTTCAAGAAGGTCCAATAACAAAGTTAATGCTATAATAATTGCATAGAAATGAACTTTACGTCTAATTCAAGAACGTTTCCTAGAAAGAGCAAGAAATACAATGAAGTAATCTTTTCCGAGAAAAGCGGATGTGAACAAATACGAAGAAAAAGCCAGAAGCGCCGATAGAAGAAGCTACAGTGACCAATATACGTATGCAATCAGTCTGAGCACATGAGCTTCTGAAATAAGATCACATGAAGCTATTGCAGCATCGGTTGGTGCAAAAACAGAAATTACCTACTACGGGAAGATATGTATGCAATCAGTCTGTGCTGACTAATGAGATAACGCCTCATCGATCCTGATCAAATGATGCGAAAAGGACGGAACTACCCGAATACTCCAGAAGTTCACTTGCTAAAAAAGTCTAAAAATCTTGAGCTAAAGAGACTTTTAATTCGCTGAAAATCTGGACCTGTCAAATGATTCATTTCCGAGAAACCTTGCAAGGTGACATATGGAGTTTCTAGGAAAAATGTTGCATAACAATGATTCGGGGATTCCCCGAACAACCCTCATTTTCACGGATTGCGTCATGACGATGAAGCCATCTATCAGTAAACAAAGTCCTCAAAAAAATAGGCCCGGTGCAGTTTTGACAAATTTTTGGGAAATATTGCAGTGAGAGAAGATATTGGAAAATGAAGTTCAAGAGAATAAAAGAGGAAACCGCAAATAAAATTTCTATAAATACTCTAAGAAGAACGAATTTGAAGTCATTTTTTAAATACTTCTTGTGAACTTTACGTCCTAGCTATCAACTGATGTAATCTGGCAGAGTCAAAAAGTAATCCTCACGTTTGCAAATCAAACGAGCAAATTTATTCACAATGCATTCAGTAAAATTTCGTTTAAACAATGGTCAATGCTATATACAAACCTAAAAGATAAGCATTGTGGAACAGTTTATGAGTACAATGGAAAATATCCTATAATATCAGTTATTCATTCAATCAATCTACATTTTCATAATACTTAAAGGAACTTTTTCATGAAAACTTCACCATGCATAAAATACCTAAATAGAAATGCCAACTTGATGCATTCAAAACATTCCTCAGCCTTTAGACGGTTTATAATCACATTTCAAATGTCATCCTCCAAAAGCAACTAAGTACTACGGAATTGTCAAATTGTTTACAGCATAATCATGCAAGGTACAGTCCATAACTGCTAATTTAAAAGCATGCTCCATCTGACGAGCGAACTACTATCATCAAATTTAACTAAAAGTCCTCCAAAATATTCTCAGGGAAAATTCTATTTATACATACTGAACAAGTGTAAATCTGATAATTAGAAATCATCCACGCATAACAATTTACACTAATCAGTGCCAATGTACAGTTATTTTGCAGAAATGTATTTTTTTTGCCCTCACAACACTCCCAGGTCTTTACACGGTTAAAAAGCTTAATCTCGTCTGAAATCGATTTTGTGGTTAATCAAAACTATAACAAGATTAGTGAACGTGATTGATTTGAGCACCAATAGGATAGTGTATGCATCATGCTTTTAATTGGACAGTTGAACAGAACAGTTGACACGTCGTGTCTGTGTAAGTGGACAGTGCGTGTCATGAGCACTCGCTGTTGTTGTGAATTTCGACGATTTGACGGTTCGTATTTTGATGAAAACTTACAACCGATGTCTAATTGCTTTCTCAAACCCGTTATGGACAAATCGGATTCTCGCTTTACGCTGTCGTCCAACTTTGTCAATCACTCGTATGATTTCAGACCGTGTTAAACTCTACTTGGTACTATTACCATTATTAATTTACAACATAAACAATCACATTACCGAAGTGATGAATCAACAACTTTTTGAACTCTCCTGACAAAATTAGAAGGCAAATTGCTGATTCTAGCCATTTTCTTTCGCATTCTCTTGCAACACATGTCATGGCACAAGTTTCTGTAAATTAATAAAACAATAAAACTTAAAGATATTCGGAAGAGGTTTGTTTACGAAGAATTGAATGTTACTTTCGAAAACGGGCATTCAGTTCAGAAAGTAAACTTCTTTCCCTTTAAGTCTGTGACCAAAATCTGATCATCGAGCATTGTGGTAACACTCCAGGGCCATTCAAATTGAATAATAGTACTTATCTTTCCAGTGAAAGTTCCTTCCAATGTAAACTGTTGAATGCGATCACCCTCACATAAGAAACGTTGTCATGTTTGTCAACACATAAGCCATACGGCCGATTCAATAGTCCATCACCGTTTCCTTTTCTTCCAAACTTATACAAAAACTTTCCTCTCTCATCAAACACTTTCCACAATTATTATCGAGGTCAGTTACAATGAATATGTCCACGCAACAGATGCAAACGAGCGGATGATCCAGCCTTTCTGGGCCGCTGTCTCCAAACTTAAACACAGGTTCACCATCCGTTGTAAAAACCTGAATTCTGCTGTTCTCATACTCCACTACAACGATAAAACGTTCATCACTTGAAATACAAATACTTGTGGGTATCTTAAACTCTCCATCTCCACTTCCCTGTTTACCAAAGCTTTTCACAAAGTTCCCTGTCTGTACGTTCAACTGCTGTATTCAGTGATTACATTCATCTGCCACCAAAATCTCGTCATCATTGAAGAATGTGACGTCGACTGGTTCGTCAAACTGTCCATCCATGTGTCCAGGACTACCAAGTTTTCGCACAAACTTTCCTGTTTCATCAAATACCTGGATACAGTGACCATCCAAATCAGCTACAGCAATAACACTTTATTGTTCACTGCAATGCCTGCTGGACACGGACGTATTTCTCACGGAAAGTCCAACTCGCCTATAATATTTAATTCTCGCACTTTTTATAGAAATGAAAACGGACTCTTGGCAAGTTTCTGTCCATTTATCTTTACTTCCATTTTATAAGTACCTGGTACTTTCGCTAAAAATTTTCCTAGGAAAAGTCCATCTTGTTTATCACTCCTCTTCAAACTCCTCACCTGATCAGCAGTCCATGTGTATTTCCACACGATCTGTGTGCTGAGTGTTTCTGATCTCCCCTTCGCTTGTTTTGGGACAAAATAGTAACTCCGCTTCTACTTCAGTTTGGAAATTCTGATCCAGTCCTTCCACGGTCGATCATGGCACATCTGTTTCCCTGAATTTCGTAAATCCCAGACACAAACTCTCTGGTTCACATGTCGACACAAATTCTACAGACGAGCTTACCGGAAGAGCTGGCATTGTGGTCTTGGTGTGCGATTCGTTCTTTTACATTTTTCTTGTTTTGCATTATATCTGAACTTGAGCCTCTTTCATCCAGGTTGTTACTAAACTCAAATGCCTGGTCAAGTTGCTTTTTGAAAGAGACAACCGATGCTTTTCCAGAATGTAATTTCTCTATCCTTGACACCCGAGTCTTCTCGAAGGCAGTAATGGCTTCACGTTCCAGTTGACGAAGCTTTTCCATCATCTGCTCGGCTGCTTGGGAAACCTGGCGTTTAGCTGTGGTAATCTTCGTTTCCAGCTCATGTTACGTCCTCTCAAAGTCACGAATAACTTCTCGGGCAGACCTCCTTCTTCTCTTTGATCAGCTTCGTTGTGGCAATGATGTTTGTTTTTCATCGTCCACTGCCTTTTCAAGCGAAACAACATCGTGGCTCTTGTGATCAGAGGCGATGCAAAATTGACACACTCAGCTTTGACAGCCCACGCAGAAAAACTTTTTTACTTCTTTCACATGGTACTTAAGGGAGCAAAATGACTGTCGTTCAATAAGGTCTCGTAGTCTGTGGCTTGAAACTGTCGCACCTGTGTCACTTTGTGTCCCTGAAACAAAGCTTTCGCACAGTCCCAGGGCATAAACTTCTCGCAATCAAAGCAGTAGTTGATCTCCGCGCTCTTCTTCTGGCATGTACTACAACTGATCTTATTTCCTTCGCCGCTGCGTCGAACGGGGAGAAGACTCAAAAAACTGTTGTGTAGAAAACTGCCTGGCAGATCATCAAAACGCTTTCCTTCAGGGATGCGAGCTTGTGCCTGACGCTTGGAGCATCGGTAAAATCCTCGAACCCTTGTTTTTGGCTCGTTAATGGATGTCTCTCTTGGTATTCACTGCAGAACGTATGAAGACAAGAAATGGTCTTCGATTTGGTGTGAGTATCTAAACAAATTGAACATGTTACATCCTCTTTAAGGTTTTTTTAAAAGCAACTCCATCACGAATAGCAGAGAAAAACACAGCCCAGTTTTGCTTGAGATTCCCAGAAACTAACCTTGCATTAGATTTAGATTTAAATCAGCGAATCAGATCTCTTCAAAGAGATCTCGTGTTCTCTAGAGTGGTATTTGAAAGCTTCAAGTAGATTTCAATGTTTCTAAGGATGCGTGAGAGAGTAACAATAAACAGACATCTGGTTTTCATGTGGTGTTACGAGAGACCGAAAAGGTAAAATCTCCTTTCTTATGAGAACGGAAACTAGTTTCCTAAAGGTTGTAACTTATTTTGATTCGTTTACGTATCGCATTTGGTGCGGACCGTGTACTAGGATCAATGTCAGAGGAATTGCGCCCCTGCCCCTCCCGTAACTCAAAAACAGTCTACCGATAACAAGTTAGGGTCCATGTTGGGTAAGTTGAGGGGTACGTGCACAGTAGCTGGGATAGACAATCAATTGTTGCAGTAATTGTGTCAACTAAATGTAGGTGAGAGTTAAGAAAAAAAAATGCTCGGCTCCAATTCTTCTCAGTCTCATTATTTTCAGTTGATTCTTGAGACCATGCAACTTTCAAACATCAGCCTTCCGATACAACAAATATGAACGGAGCGGTGGAAGGGAGGGGGGGATAATGGGTGAAAAAAAAGACTCAATTGAAAGGAAATGAAGGAGTCACCCTCCTAACCAAGTCCTCTCCTTTTTTCACTTTCTCTCTTAAGCGCTCGGTGACAGCCTAACAGAGGCTGCTGTGGCCTTCTGTCCATAGGAGTTTCAAAAGAGTTCTTGTTCTTTAAATATCCTTCGGCTCTTTCCTTTTCTCGCGCTCTGAACGATACTTGAAAATGAATTAAAAGGTCTATAAATGGCAGAGAATCTGAAAGCCCATTATCTTTATGTGCATGTCGCTTTTTCCTCGTGACCTGCACAGTTTCCATAAGACACAGACCTTTCATGCGCAATTTATTCCCATTACCACCTCCTACCATAATTAATTTAAAAAGGCTCATTAAAAGGTAGATGGCCCTACACCTTCGGCAAAAATTTCTTTTTGACCCTTCGAAGAAAGATGATAGTCTTGGTGTAATAAAAAACTGGGCTTTGATATTGGTCCTGCGTAAGAGTTACAGACAAAAGGTGTTGTTATTGTTAGTTTCGGCATCTTTCTATGATCTCAACACACACCGCCCCCTTAAAAAAGTTTCCAGAGTACTGACCTCTCTGTCTCGTAACAGACATGAAAGAATGAAAATGATGGAAAAAGAACTTTTTAGGGCCGCCTTCTTTGTATCACAGTCCGGTTACTCAAACTTTTATGACAACCCTAAGAAGGCATTAGTTGGCCGCGGGTTAGTACGAATTTACCAGACTATACGAAGGCTTGAAATTCTATTAAGAACGATTCTGGCCGCTTTGTTAAAAACCAAATGCAATGACCGCCTTGTTGAAAACAAAATTTATTAAGAAGCGGGCAAGGAATACGATGCTTTTAATCTCTGTTTTTATCATTCGAACATTTTTTGTCTAATTGACGATTTCGTATCACTGGACTATACTTAATTTGTAAGAAAACCTTTTAAAATCAATGATGGTTCCTTATGTTATTCAGAGAATATAGTGAAATTTTTTTTTTTACCAATTCAAGTACTCAAGTAGTTTTTTTTATAGACATGAAATGTAAATAAACTAAATTGGGTTTCAATAAACAAAAATATAATTTGGTTTTAGTGGTACATACTGTAGCATATGCTCTTCATGGCTATTCCTTCATCTATCAAAGTCCAGACTTAATCGCAATTTAGAAAAAGCAGACAACAAATGTGTTGAATTTTTTAATTATAGTTTCATGAAAATTAATGAGATGCAGGTGTTAGGTTTCCAACAAATTCAATTCCATGTTGTGTCAAGGAACTATCAATTCATCTGCCTTGCATATGACTTACTGAAAGCATAAATAAATATAATATTTTATGTTATTTTTTTAGATGGTCTTTTGGACTTTTTGTATTGTATTTTATTGTTTTGTTTCAATAAATCCTTTATATCTCTTTACAAATATTTCACTGTGCTTCAAATTAGTGTGTCAATTTAATTCAGTGTGTCAGTGAACTTAAACAGGATATGCACGCTGAGCAGGAACTTTTATTCGGAAAGATCATGATCATGAAGTTTATGTTCAATCATTGAACATTTCCTTCTGCATGTCTGGGTCATCATTTCCATTATTGTTGTTGACTTACATGAAACTGTGTAACTGCTCCGACCATGGCATCGGGTGTTAACATTTTGCTTCATTTCACCGCAGGTTATGGGTCTAAGATTTAGTTTCTAGCTGCAAAAGCACAATTTTAATTTTTTCCCCACTTTTACTGTATTTCTTTATTTGAAAATAATGAATCTTCTTGAATGGCCTTGATTGAGGTAGTTTTATGCGATTATTCTTATGTTCTGATGATTAGATGATTTTCAACATTGCAAAAAGTGTTATGAAACAAATTGTTCTTACTTTTCTCCATGCTATAATTTACCAATGGAAGTTTTCTTTCATGTTTTGAATGAAATATAGGTTATTTAATTTTGCCCTTCATTGAGATTCTTTCATCCAACGAAGTCTTGCTCGAAGTCTTTGCTCTATAAATTGTCTTGCACTAGGGCTAGGACATTTTGTAGCTTTAGAAAGTTTTCATTCTCTGTTGGTGTTCCTTGATGAACTCCTTGAATTTGAGTATTATTGTTTATTGTTAGAGACGTATGTTTCTTCACTCTGCTGTAATAGATTCAATAGTTGAGTCACCATTCTGTTTGTACATTTCCTCTTGACTTGCGTATTCCTGGTCCAGAATAGGTTTCAATTAGCGCTTTCATAATCCACATCCTGAGGCTTGGCATTCCATTGCAGCGAGGAACATCGCGGAGAGGTGGAGAGAAGCCTTTCATTGACCAAATCAGAAATGGAAGAGGAAGGAGTGGATGCGGCCATGGCAGCATAGATCTTCCAACTTCTTACTTGTTTCGAGAAGCTCTCATTCAAAGCAACCCTCTCATTTCAGTACACGATAGTAAAGAGGAGAAGAAGCTATTATATTTTTCAATTCTAATATGGGTCTGAAATTGTACCTTTCCATTTGTACAATTTTGGCTACAATCGCAATTTTCAGACGGAAAACACTCGGTTTAGTACTTCAGTGTGGTTCGGCCTTCGGACGCCAAGATGAATGTATTATTGTTGCCTTGGTAAGATGTCACATGAACGTGAATCTGAGCAGCGATTGGTTACTGTTTTGTTTTGGTCTGGGTCATCCGAATCTGATAACTATCCCTAACTATTGCATCCAAAATGGATATAATAAAAACTAATACCTTGTCTTTCCGTTTCCCCCCGTTTTTGAAACATTTTGAGTATGATATTTTTTTTCGATTTTGAGCTCCTCCCGCAGGACGAGAAGGTTCATTTAAAAATTAAGGCCACCGATTCTTTTCATCGAAATTGCATAAATATTCTCTGCGCGGTAGCGTAGAACGGTTAATCATACATGTTCAATGTCGTTGTAGAAATCAATTTGTCGTCAATTACATAAAAAAAGAGGAACACCGACTTAAGTTTGTACCTGGCTTCATATTTACTTTGGGTAACAACAAGAGGCATAGTTTTCTATATGCTAATACTCCACAACTAAAATTAATTAGAATTTATCATATCGATTTTGAGGTGAGGGCAAAAAAATGGCGCCTTGATTAAGTATTTTTTATAGTAATTAAAAGAGTAGACGGGATGGCTTGAGAAGTAGTTTGTGGGAATTTTCTCGGATTATGGCAGCTAAAAATAAAAAATCCGTATAACTTACAGACAGTGATGTTAAAACTTTCCTAGGAGGGAGAGAAAACCAGTATACGAAAAAAAAACCGAAATGTAAGTATTAAGTAGCTTTAACAACAGCATTTCTCGCCGCCGAGAGCGAAAATCGGCAACTGGAAGATTTGCCACAGGCCGATGTGGCCGTTTACCTGAAAGATTTCTTCTGTTGGTAAAGATGAATGAGAATTTTGTAAATTTAAATTTACGTCCGTGATTGTTTTTGTAATCATGATTCAACGACTATTTCCATCCTGAGCCTTAGCGCCAACCCACTGTGCGATTTTTATTGGGGAATTGTCCATTCCTCTATTTTCAGTCATGAATAAAGTCGGCTTTTCTTGTCAGTATAGGGCTATTGTGTTTATATGATAAACAAAATAATACATGATTTTATAAATAATTGGTGGGGTGCTCTAAGTCATTTAAGTGTTTTAAAAACCTGAAAGTTTTTGTTTGATATTGCTCGAAGCAAAATGTAAATCAACCGGATCCCAGATGAGCATTCTCTTCAAAACTCCAGTTTTCCTTTTCCCCCATTTTTTTTCTTTTGTACAAAATTCATACAAACTACGGTGTTATACATCTTGAGCCTCTAGCGCCATCCCACTGTGCGTTTTTTTAAGGGAAATTGACGATTTCTTTATTTTTATTCATTAATAAAGTCGACTATTCTTGTCAGTTAAGGGCTATTGTGTTTATATGATAAACAAAATAATACAAGATTTTATAAATAATGGGTTGGGGTGCTTTAAGACATTTAGGTGTTTAAAAACCTGAAAATGTTTGTTTGATATTGCTCGAAACAAAATGTAAATCAACCGGATCCTAATGAGCATCCTCTTCAATACTCCAGTTTTCCTTTTCCCTAACTTTTGTCTTTTGATATTTTCTTACTTGGGTTAAAGATAGATTTTCATGTTTTCCTTTGATATAGATAAATGATATTGTCCATCAACTGATAGACGTCTTCAAGTTCTCTTGAATAGAGTGAACCTCACAGAACTTCTTCGCGTAAATGTAAATTTATGTACATGTTCAATTCACTTTCCCAATCGTGACTGATACATGTAGAATATAGTTCCATAGTTCAAGAGAGGAAAAAGGATTAAGACAAAGTCATCTACGGTCACCTGCTATTAAAACTAACTGCCATTTCAGCGCAATTCACAAGTCCTAGAGTTAAAAGGTCCTTTCTATCACACAAATACGACTGGATACAACACAATAAACTGATCTATACAAGATATAATCGGGAAACATGGAAAATTTAATTGTAAGCTATATGGACAGTTTTCAGAACCGAAAACAAAACTATAGAGGAAACAAAAATTGGTCTACTCACATCAGGTTACAAGAGACTGATTAAAATGGGAATTTGTTGCTGGAGTGCATTTTGAGAACTTAACGTGAAATTGAGGAGCTACAGCCTACAGCTACAGCTACAGCTACAAACTACTTGGTCTCCTCGGTCCCCTCGGTCCCCTCGGTCCCCTTGGTCTCCTTGCTGTCCTTGATGTCCTTGGTCTCCTTACTGACCTTGGTCTCCTTGGTTTCCATGTCTAACCCGACGTAAATCGCGTAGATCATGGATTTCCATAATGAAAGGGACTATTCCTATGCCATTCTTGGCAATGAAGATGGACTCGTCTTTGCCAAACATAGAGAACACCACCGCACGAATAACCAAGAAAGGTACATTTACGCAAACTATTTGAACAACATTGCGATACAATTTGGTACGGAAACGAGGTTTCCACCAATCTTTGGTTAATCTAGTTTCTACCATTTGCCAGGGAGATACCAACATGATAAAACAGAAGCAAGCCAACGCGAACATTGCCGTACTGAATGCTTTGGGTATTCCGAGGTCGTACTCTCTTCCTTCTAACACGATATGTATCATCTCGACTCTATCGAACAGATCGATGGTCATGGGTAACCACAAATGGGAAAACAATCTCTGTTTCTTTATGATTTTCGTGAGAATCGTCGAGATCGCCTGTGTTTGGCAACAGTAGTAGCAGAAGTGGTGTAATGCACAGAATCGCCTTATATACGTTTGGACTCAAAAACTCGGTCTTGCTGATTCTATCTCCGAGCATTATTACTACCATGATGATGTTTACAACCAAAGCCACGATATACAGACCCCAAATTCGAAACAGCCAACCAAGGTACAGCGATTTGAAATATAGACACACAATCCAAGCAACAACTGCTGAGCCAAAGGAAAAGGCTATGAAATACCAACTATATTTGCCCTCATACTTCGCGAGATAAACAGATAGAAGTATGCTCTGTATAGTTATCAGACCTAAGAAAGCCACTCTTCTGAGAAATGTTGAAAACGAAGCCATATTATGTCTGACAGCTGTTTGAAACTAGAAGAAGCAAATTGTGTTGACTACTGCAATAGTAATTGATACTGTACATTTGTAAGAAAAACTTCGCAGTGAATGAGGAAACGCCTCATCTATCCTGATCAAATGATGCAAGAATGAATTACCCGAATATTCCAGAAGTTTAAATGCACAGACTGATTGCATACGTAATTTGGTCGCTGCTGAAGACTTGATATTCCTATGTAGCTTCCTTAATCAGCGATTCTGGCTTTTTATTTGTATTTGTTCACATCTGCTTTTCTCGGAATAGATTACTCCACTGTATTGCACTTTCAAGAAAACTTTCTTGAAATCGGCGTATAGTTTATTTCGATGCAATTATTTTAGCATCAACTTTGTTATTGGACTTTCTTGAAGAAACGCTTATCGTAGAAAAACCTTTCAAAAAGGATATCTTTCTCATGGCCTCCTGCTTAGTCTACATTGGTAGATTCCTTTTCTTCGTCTTAGCAGGCCTCCAGGCCTACTCGCTGGCTTTGTATCTTGCAAAATACAAACAAAAAGATGGTTTCTATGGATTGGTCGCCCTGTACGCTTCTGCAATTGTTCTAAGGCTTTACATCATGTTCGACTACAAGAAATTACAATTGTTATTAGCTGTTTGGACGTGCTATATCGTTGGTTTCGTAATCTTCGTTGAGATCATATTTGGAGGAGACGAACCGATTAAAGATAACTTTGACAAAGCTAAATTCTTCGGTCCAAACATTCTAAAGACGACACTTTGCCGTTCCCTGGTGATTATTTCGTTGCTTTCAAGTACGGGAAGGGATTGCATCGTCTACCGAGACCTGATCCGGCAGTTGTCTCTCCGAATGACGTTGGATCTCTTCGATGGAGTGGAAAAGCTGGTCATTATCGAAGAGAATAAATAGAGCCATGGCGATTAGTAAGGTAGATTTTGAGTAATCAGTATGGTGCCTGTGATCGGGATAATTTAATTTAATTGATGTTCGTCTTTTAATGGAAGAGGAAGTGTTACCTAAGTTTTCTTTTGTTTTTTTATAGAAGTTTTCTACATATGTACTCATCCATTAGAGTGAATCTGCATAACCCGTTCGTTATAAGCTAATGCTGAGTTTGTCACTAGATGCTAAGGAAAGGAACAGTTATGGACGGTTGTGAACATCTAATCAAATACATCTTCACCGCTAAATTTGCCCGTGAAAATTCCCAATCAAGCAATGCTGCAATAGCTAATGATTTTCGTCGGGTGGTGCACGGTGACTGTAAAGTCACACAAATCGGAAAAAGGCGAGTATATTCAAAAGCTCCACACGAATGTAAGCACCTTCATAACCTCTCCGCTCCACTTAATTTTCTTGACATTATTACATGTGTTATTAGGTCTGAAATCATATGCGCATATGAGTGATTTCAAAATCAAAGAAGTGTGCGGCACGAGGCACGAGTTTAGACACCACTTTATTACGTCCATTTTGAAATGGCAAAATTTAGGCCTTCAGATACAGGACATTTTAGTCTGTAAAAATGCTTTTTTGATCCAGTCGTGAGCTGGTCTTCAAAAGGCTGCAAAAGCCGTTTTTCAATTTCATCGGGTGGGAGAAAGATGCAATTTAGAGAAAAAAGGGTGCTTTTTGTAAATAAATCATAATTACTTTGGGTGGCAACACGAGGGATGATTTCCTAATTACTCCACAACTAAAATTCAGTAGTAAGTAATTAATTAATTTAATTAAGTAAACATATCGATTGGAAGGTGGGGACAGAAGAAGAATGGCACCTAGACTAGGAACTTTTTAAAGCAATTTAAAGAATAGACGGGATGGCTCGAGGAAGGTGAAAGAAGGTGAAAGGTGAAAGGTGCAACTCACAAAGGGAATTTGGGAAATGAAACGAAACACTAAGGGACGAAATCGAAGAACAAGCCAAGTCATATATCGTGCATTTTTTACCAAAAATCGTGACTATCGCCTGATGATTTTTTCTATTGTTATCTAAGCCACATTTTACTGTTAGTAGCTGCTTTATTTTGCATGTCTTGCTGTAAGTTGGGTGCCTTTTAGTCCGTTACCTGATACCTGCCTTTCTTTGTCAACTAACAATGTTAGTTGAGTAGTGGTAAAGTTAAATAAGAAAGTAGAAGAAATAACTGTCTGTATTGGCGGGCAAACTCATTTCTGCTTTACTTTAAGAAACATGCAGTTGTATCGATCTAAGTTTGAAATACGTGTTTAGGAGCAAAGATACATTGATGCATAATATGCATGTAAACGACCTCATTAGTTAGTAATTTTGTTACCTGTGTTTGCCGAGACAGAAACGGTAGCATCTTGGATAATTGGGTACATAAAGTCAGGAGGCTTTCCAGGAAAACTTGAGATCCGTTAGTCTTTGATAATTTTTTTTTCCTGAGAAAAAGAATAAATTTGTTCTAATGACGCATCTTTAGATTGATTATCAATTTAAAGTCCTCATTACGGGGTGAACGGAGTTTTCCAGTGTCTGAGCATTCCTCTTAAGTCTACCACAACAAGAGCAATTTGAGTCTTAAAATGTCTCAATCTTTGTTGGCTTGCCTCCTTCGCTTCATATCCAACACGCTACGAAAATCAAAATAACTGGTATACTTTTCTTCTCTCTACATCCCATCCTTGACTCTCTGGTTTATCGTTGTGTGCAATGACAACCTCATCACTTGGGTACCTTCCGTTTGGGATCTGTACGTATGGCTTGCTCTAGTGCCATAATTGGAGTCATATTTACACGAATCAAAGACAGAAGCGAAAAGGATTTGTTCTTTAATTTGGCCCGGATCTCTTGACGATTCCGCTCCTTTTGTTGCTGTGGCTTAACACATTTGAAACGAAAAGTGAAGACAAAGAGCCCTAATTAAAGCTGGTCTTCCAAATAACATTAGATCTTTTCGACGGAACTGAAATGCTGCAAGTTATTCCGGAGGTAAATGACCTTGGCATTCCCAAGCGCTTTGAGGAAGCTATCATTACCTTCGTTTGCATACGTTTTATGCTTTCGCATTTTCAATTAGTTGAGAACAAGATTTCGGACAAGTCTATTTACAAATAATCAGCCATCATCGGTATCACCTTTCAGTTTTTACTTATTTATTGTGTTTTTTTAGGCCTTCGATTGGCTCTGTGCTTTAAGTTCAAGAGAGATGCGTCAATTTTCGTGGCCAAAAATGGCATTTTGATCATTCATTGGATTTTGGAGATTTTTCAGTGTTGTAACGATGAGCTAAGAAGTTAGGGAGTCTAGGAGCCCAGAGAGACTGAACTGTTCAATCAAACGCGAGATCACACATTCGACAACTTTAAGTTCCTTTGCACAGTTATGTATTTTTCTAGTTTGTTTAACATTTCACCGTTTGATTTCCAGCTCCAAGAAATGTCGTAACAAAACAAGTGAAAAAAATACCATATTTTTTTCACGTGTATTTGATATCCCCAATCAGCTGCTGACACGTCACTTGCCTTTTGCGCCACTCGGTCAGGTCAGATGAATGAACGGCAAAACCTTCGCGATTCTCAATCCAAGGTAGTTTGTGGGAATTTCCTCGGATCATGGCGGCTAACACTGAAATATCCGTATCACTTACAGACAGTGACGTTCAAACTTTCTGAGAAGGGAATGAAAAATCGAAAGTAACAGCATTTGTCGCGGCTGAGAGCGAAAATCGACGACTGGAAGATTTGCCATGGGCAGTTGGGGCCATTTACCAGAAAGATTTCTTCTGTCGGTAAGGACAAAGTCGATGAATGTGAATTTTGTACATTGAAAATTACGCCCATAATTATTTTTGTAATCATGACTCAACGTATTTTTCCATCTTGAGCCATGGCACCAACCCACTGTGCGATTTCTATTGGGGACTTGTCGATTTCTTTATTTTAATTCACTAATAAAGTCGGCTTTTCTCTTCAGTAAAGGGCTATTGTATTTATATGATAGACAAAATAATACATGATTTTATAAATAATTGGTGGGGTGCTCAAACTCATTTGAGTGTTTTAAAAACCTGAAATATCTTGTTTGATATTGCTTAAAATAAAATGTAAATCAACCGGAGCATTCTCTTCAAACTTCCAATTTTCCTTTTCCTTTTCCCGTTCAAACTTTCCTAGAATGGAAAGAAAACCGTTATACGAAAGAAAAACAAAAGTTACGTATTCAGTGGCTTTGGTAATAACATTTCTCTTGGCCGAGAACGAAGATCGGCAACTGAAAGATTTGCAACAGGCCGATTTGGCCGTTTACCTAAAAGATTTGTTTTGTCGGTAAGGACGAAGTCGATGAATTAAATTTGTTCAAATTAAAAATTACGTCCATAATTGTTTTTGTAATTATGATTTAAAACATTTTTCCATCTTGAGCCTTGTCACCAACCCACTGTGCGATTTTTCTTGGGGAATTGTCGATTTCTTTATTTTTATTCATTGATAAAGTCGGCTTTTCTCGTCAGTAAAGGGCTATTGTGTTTATATGATAAACAAAATAATACATGATGTTATAAATAATTGGTGGGGTGCTCTAAGTCATTTGAGTGTTTATAAACCTGAAAAATTGTGTTTGATATTGCTTAAAACTAATTGTAAATAAACCGGATCCCTAATAAGCATTCTTTTCAAAACTCCAATTTTCCTTTTCCCTAATTTGTTTTCTTTTGTATTTTCTTACTTTTCGTGATAAAGATGGTTTTCCATGTTTTTCTTTGATATGGATTAATGATATTGTCCATCAACTGATACAAGACCTCAGGCTCTCTTGAAAAGAGTGAACCTCACACAACTTGTTTGCATAAATGTGAATTCATTCACATGTTCAATTCACTTTCCTAATCGGGGCTGATACATGTAGAAGACAGTTCAATTATTCAAGAGAAGAAAAATAATTAAGTCATAATCATCTAGATACACCTAATAAAAAAATTAACTGCCATTTCGGCGCAATTCACAAACCGTACAGTTCAAAAATCTTTTCTATCACATACATACGACTGGAGATAACACAATAAACTGTTCTATAAAAGATATATTTGGGACACATGAAAAAATTCATTGTAAACTCTATGTACAATTTGCAGAGCCGAAAAAATTTAACTATAGAGGAAACAAAAAATAGTCTACTCACAATAGGTTACAGGAGACTGATTTCAATGGGAGTTAGTTGCTTGCAAAATGTAAGACAAAATTAATAGTGCATTTTGAGATCTTAACATGAAATCGAGGAGCTACAAAAATGTACTTATTCTCTAAACTACTTGGTATCGGTCCAACCCGGCGTAAACTGTATAGATTACGAATTTCCAAAACAGAAAGTACTATTGCTATGCCATTCTTAGCACTGAAGATGAACTCATCTTTGCCAAACATAAAGAACACCACTGCACGAATAACCAAGAATGGTACATTTATGCAAACTATTTGAACAATATTGCGGTACAATGTGGTATGGAAACGAATCTCGGCCCCTTTTCGGTGAGTTTAGTTTCTGTCTAGTTTTCTGTTTTAGTTTTAGTTTCTAGTTTTCTATCATGAGCCAGCTGAAGTGGCTTGGCAGTGAGCATTCAGGCTGTCAGAAAAAAAAACAGCTGTCTCACAGGAGTTGTAAATTGATTGGTTGGTTGATAACTTAATTTATCATACAAACTACGGTGTTATAAAAGGATTTCCTGCCCCGAGAAATTCTGTAACAAAACACGTGAAAAATTACATATTTTTTCACGTGTATTTGTTGTCGCCAATCAGCAGCTGACACGTCACTCGCCTTTCACGCCACTCGGTCGGGTTAGATGAATGAACGGCAAAACCTTCGCCATTCTCAATCCAAGGTAGTTTAGTTTTTAGTTTTCCGTGGCTAACACGGAAAAATCCGTATCACTTACAGACAGTGAAAGAAAGGGAAAGAAAACCAGTATTCGAAAAGAAAAACCGAAATGTATGTATTAAGTGGCTTTAATAACAGCATTTCTCGCGGCTGAGAGCGAAAATTGGCGACTGGAAGATTTGCCACCGGCCGATGTGGCCGTTTACCTGAAAGATTACTTCTGTTGTTAAGATGAATGAGAATTTTGTTTTTGTTTTGATTGTTTTTGTTATCATGATTCAACGAATTTTTCCTTAGCGCCAACCCACTGTGCAATTTTTATTGGGCAATAGTCCATTCCTTTATTTCGGCTTTTCTCGTCAGTAAAGGGCTATTGTGTTTATATGATAAACATAATTATACATGATTTTATAAATAATTGATGGGGTGCTCTAAGTCTTTAAGTGTTTTTAAAACCTGAAAAATTTTATTTGATATTGCTGGAAACAAAATGTAAATCAACCGGATCCCTAATGAGCATTCTCTTCAAAACTCCAGTTTTCCTTTTCCCCAATTTTTTTTCTTTTGTAAAAAAATTAATACAAACTACGGTGTTATAAAAGGATTTCCTGCCCCGAGAAATTATTTAACAAAACACGTGAAAAAATATCATATTTTATACCACGTGTATTTGTTATCGCTAATCAGCAGCTGACACGTCACTCGCCTTGCGCACCACTCGGTCAGGTTGGATGAATGAACGGCAAAACCTTCGCCATTCTCAATCCAAGGTAGTTTGTGGGAATTTTCTGGGATTACGGAAGCTAACACTGAAAAATCCAAAACAAAGATAGTTTTTCATGTTTTCCTTTGATGTAGATTGTCCATCAACTGATATAAGACTTCAATTCTCTGGAAAAGAGTGAACCTCACAGAACTTCTTTGCGTAAATGTGAATTTATTTACATGTGTAATTCACTTTCCTAATCGTCGCTGATACGTGTAGAGTATAGTTCCATTATTCAAAGGAAGAAAAAGAATTAAGGCAGTTATCTAGGTACACCTGATACAAAAATTAATTGCCATTTCAGTGCAATTCACAAGCCCTGCGATTCAAAAATCTTTTCTATCATATATATACGACTGGATACAACACAGTAAACTGAACTATATAAGATATATTTGGAACACATGGAAATATTAATTGTAAGCTCTATATACAGTCTGCAGAACCGAAAAAACCATAGACGAAACAAAATGCAGTCTACTCACATCAGGTTACAAGAGACTGATTAAAAATTGGAATTTGTTGCTTGCAAAATGTAATACAAAAACAAGAGTGCATTTTGAGATCTTAACATAAAATTGAGGAGCTACAAACTACAGCTACAGCTACAAACTTGGTCTACTTGGTCTCCCTGATCCCCTTGGTGTCCTTGGCGCTATTGGTCTCCTTAGTCTCCTTGCTGTTCTTGGTTTCCTTGGTGTCCTTGCTGTCCTTGGTCTCCTTGGTGTCCTTGGTCTCCTTGCTGTCCTTGGTCTCCTTGTCTAACACGACGTGAATGGCGTAGATTACGAATTTCCATAATGGAAAGTACTATTCCTAAGCCATTCTTGGCAATGAAGATGGACTCGTCTTTGCCAAACACAGAGAACACCACCGTACGAAAGACCAAGAAAGGTACATTTACGCAAACTATTTGAACAATATTGCGATACCTTTGGGTGTGGAAACGAATCTTCGCCTCATCAGGGGTGATTTTAATTTCTGTCATGTGCCAGGGAGATACCAACATGATAAAACCGAAGCAAGCCAACGCGATAATTGCTGTACTGAATGCTTTGGGTATTTCAAAGTGGCACTCTCTTGCTTCTAACACGATATCTATCATCTCGACTCCATCGAACAGATCGACGGTCATGGGAAGACACAGATAGGAAACAATCTCTGTTTCTTTATAATTTCCGTGTGAATCATTGAGATCGCCTGTGTTTAGCAACGGTAGTAAAACAATTGGTGTAATGCACAGAATCGCCTTCAATGCATTTGGACTCAAAAACTCGGTCTTGCTGATTCTATCTCCGACGAGTACTACTACCATTGCAATGTTTACAACCAAAGCCACAACATACAGACCCCAAATTCGAAAGAGCCAACGAAGGCACAGCGATTTAAAAGATTTCCATATCCAAACAACAACCGCTGGGACAAAGGAAATAACCATGAAATACCAATTGGATTTGCCTTCATACTTCGCAAGATAAGCAGATAGAAAAATGCTCTGTGTAGTTATCAGAACGAAGAGAGCCAATCTTCCGAGCGTTGCTGAAAACGAAGCCATAATTATGTCTAACAGCTGTCTGAAACAATAAGAAGCAAATTGTGCTGATCACTACAATTGGAAATGATACCGTACATTTAGCAGCGAATGAGGAAACGCCACATCTATCCTGATCAAATGATGCAAAAGTAAATTACCCGAATGTTCCAGAAGCTCAGATGCACAGACTGATTGCATACTTAATTTGGTCGCTGCTGGAGACTTGATATTCCTATGTAGCTTCTTTAATCAGCGATTCTGGCTTTTGATTTCTATTTGTTCACACTTGCTTTTCTGGGATAAGATTACTTCATTAAATTGCACTTTCTAGGAAACTTTCTAGAATTCGGCGTAAAGTTTATTTCGATGCAATTATTATAGTATCAACTTTGTTATTGGACTTTCTCGAAGAAACGCTTATCGTAAAAAAAAACTTTTCAAAAAGGATATCTTTCTCATGGCCTCATACTTAGTCTACATCGGCAGATTCTTTTTCTGCAGCAAACAAACGAGTAAGCTCTCACAACTTCAAATTAAAAAATTTGAATTTATTATTTTCCTTGCCGTTTCCTTAATGAACAGAGGTAAATCTTCGAACATGAACGAGTCGTCGATCAGAGTGAATAATACTTTCCGTTAGATCATTGACTGTTTTTGAAGAAAACATTGTCGTGACAGTCCTTGCCAAACTAGTTCCGTTGTTTTTCAAATCTTGGTGCGCTTTTTTCTTCTTACGCGCTCTCTAATTGACAGGTGTCAGATTGTCACAGGTACTTGTGAAAATAATGTTTCAAAGTTTGTTAAGAGGCCTTTTAAATCACCTTTATCGTTTCCGAAATGAAAATGCTTCGGTGAGGCATCTCTCTTTAATTTGCATCACCCCTATTTTAACCAGTTACTCGGTCAAAAATTGTTCAGTTTATGGAAGATCTTGCCGTATTTACAGCCCTAAATCATTCGGGTTCTTTCGGAAAGAATCTCGTCAAGTTTAAAAAAAATAAACATGTTATTTACCGGCTAAGGGTCGGTCCGTATGGTGGAAAACTGTCAACCTCGGTCTTGAAAATGTTGCCGTCGGCCAACGGCCTCGGGCAGTATTTTCAAGACCTCGGTCACAGTTTTTCACCATACGGACCTCCCAGCCGGCAAATAACATATATGTATCTTTTTTAATCTGCGATTCTGGCTTTTTTTCACATCTGCTTTTCTTGGAAGAGATTACTTCATTGTATTACACTTTCTAGGAAACTTTCCTAAATTCGGCGTAAAGTTTATTTCCATGCAATTATTATAGTATCAACTTTGTTATTGGACTTTCTTGAAGAAACGCATATCGTAGAAAAACCTTTCGAAAAGGATATCTTTCTCATGGCCTCATACTTAGTCTACATTGGCAGATTCCTTTTCTTTGTCTTAGCAGGCCTCCAGGCCTACTCGCTTGCTTTGTATCCTGCAAAATACAAACACAAAGATTAGTTTCTCTGGATTGGTCGCCCTGTATTTTCCTGCAATTGTTCTGCAATGCTTGCATTCGTCTTTATCAGCCTTCTGGTGTCTCAACTGTTCGGGATAAAGATAAGAGGTTCCGGACGGTGGACAACTCGCAGATGGACAGCTAGTTTGAGCACAATTAACAATTAGTAAGCTAGATTTTGAGTAATCAATATAGTGCCTGTGATCTGGATAATGTTGTTGTAACGAACTTAATTGACGTTGGAAGAAGAACTGTTACCTAAGTTTTCTTTCATTATTAAACGGTAGTTTTCTATATATGTATTCATCCAATAGAGTGAATTCGTATTAACCGTGCGCTATAAGCTAATGCCAAGTTTGTCACTAGATACTAATGAGAGGAACAGTTATGGACGGTTGTGAACATTTAATCAAATATGTCTTCACCGCTAAATTTTGCCTGTGAAAATTCCCAATCAACTAATGCTGCAATAGCTGATGATTTTCTTGGGGAGGGGGGGGGGGTGCATGGTGACTGTTGAGTCCCGCAAATCCGCAAAACGCCAAGTATTTTCGAAAGCTCCACATGTTTGTGTGCACCTTCATGACCTTTCGGCTCCATAGAATTCTCTTGGCAATATTTTATGTATTATTAGGTCTGAGGTCATATGCGCATATGAGTAATTCTAAATTTAAAGGACTGTGCAGCACGAGTTTGATTTGAAATCACAAGTATGATTGCACGAAACGAATTTCAAACACCACTTTATTACATCCAGTTTGAAATGACAAAATTCAGTTCCTCGGATACAGGACTTTTTAGTCTGTGGAAATGCTTTTTTTATCTAGTAGCGAGCTGGTCTTCAGAAATTTGCAAAACTGAGTCCTTTTTCAATTTCATTGGGTGGGAGAAAGATGCAATTTAGAGGAAAAAGGTGCTTTTTGTGAATAAATCGCACCATTAGAGCCAATCAGATTACAAGGATCAGCAGTTATTTCAGAATGGATGTAATAAAAACCAGTGTCGTGTCTTTTCTTCAATTTTTGAAACGTGTAAAAGAATGATAATTCTTTTTTTTTTTTTTTTTTTTTTTTTTTTTTTTTTTTTTGGGGGCTACTGGACGGAATGGCTTGGGGATGATGAAAAGTCCAACTCACAGAGTGAATTTGGGAAATCAACGAAAATCGTAAATATTTGGGCGAAACGAAGACAAAATCGAAAAGGATTTGTTCTTTAGCCCGGATTTTTTGAGGATGACACTTTGCCTAACTCCGCCGTTTTTTTTTTTTTTTTTAACTCTCAATTTAAAAAAAGTCTAAAGATTTTGAACTAAAGAGACTTTTAATTCGCTGAAAATCTGGACCTGTCAAATGAGCCATTTCCGAGAAACCTTGCAAGGTGACGCATGGAATTTCTAAGAAAAATGTTGCATAGCAATGATTCGGGGATTCCCCGAATACCACTCACTTCCACGGATTGCATCATGTAATAATTGTCCTAAATGTAATAAAGTCCTAAATGTAATTACATTTGGTCCTAAATGTAATAAGTTTCCAATGCAATCGTTTAACTCCGCCAGTGCATTCGTGTTATAGCGGACATTCTCATTGAGATGTTAAAGTGACAGCTGTTGCACCGAAAAATCCTCCGACCAGTATTCATGTCACATTGCGGGCTCACTGATATCAATCAGCGTGTTCCTATTAGCTAGACGTAAGTGGAGAAGCACTGGCTACAAACCGTTTTACTGATGATCAATCGGTATCAAATGACAGCGGCCAAAACAATGAGTCCGCTGACCAATATCTCTCCATTCATATATCACTGGCTCAGACTCTTAAGTACAATAGATTTTGGAAAAATGTGATAACGTAATACTAGTGTGATCAGAGATTTAGAGTTAACAAGTCATAAACCAAATTAAAACTTGGACAAGGGATTCCGCTGACTCGTAGGTCAGACAATTTGCAAGCTCGGATATACATTTTTTGAACCTAGGATATTGCATTTCTAGCCCTCTATGGCTTCACTCCACCTCGGTAATCAGTTCATGTACCATGTAACTATAAGTGGACACTGTTGAGCTTTCTTTTTTCATATATTTGTTTATCTATTCATTTTCTCCCCTCACAGCGGGCAGAAGAGATGAAGACAAAAAGTGAAATAAAAACTTGAGATCGACTATGGAATATATTTTCTCTCTTGACCAATCTTATTCGGTCAAGATGACTTCCCTTTCCATGTAATTTGGTTCATAAATGTTAACTTTAACACTGATCACATAAGAATATCGTCAAAATATGTTGCACTAAAGAGTCGGAGCCAATGATATAAAGAGAAGTATTGGTCAGCGTTCTCATCTGTAAATTTGGAATTACGTCTGGTGTTTTGACTGTAATTTGGAGAGCTTTGTTTGCTAAGCGGATAAAGATAAAGCAGATGTAGTCTTTGAAATTCATAAATATTTCGTCCATGAAATATTATGCAAATTCACGCCTAAAATTGAAGCGAACCGTAATTTCAGCTTTTTGTTTACATAAGTTTGGGTGGTATTTAAAAGTAAAAGTCGGTCTTCTTAAAGCGAAGACATTGTTCACTAAAGAGAAAGGTTTCTTCGATTTCTTTTCCGATCAGGCAGTGTTCGATCCCTGATCTCTCTTGGATCACAGACGCTGCGATTCTTCTCCGCATTCCAGCCGTCAAAGGAAACGATCACGTAATCATCGTTTACTTCTTCAACAATGCACTCGCACCAAACTCCTTCTTCATCGACTGCTTCAGCCTTGAAGCCCACAGTTTGTGGAAGCGCCATCACGTTTTTAGTCAACCGTGCGTTTAGGTCATGCGATCAATGAGACGCTAGAATTACCCTGGGTAATTCTAGCGCCTCATTGCGCATGTGTCGATTAAAATCGGAATTCTTAATCAATTACACACTTTGTCCGTGTTGAAAACGTCATGTGAATGAACGGCAAAACCTTCGCCATTCTCAACCCAGGGTAGTTTGTGGGAATTTTCTGGGATTATGGCGGCTAACACTGAAAAATCCGTATCACTTACAAACAGTGACGTTCAAACTTTCTTAGAAGGGAAAGAAAACCAGTATACGAAAAGAAAAACCGAAATGTATGTATTTAGTGGCTTTGGTAACAGCATTTCGCGCGGCTGAGAGCGAAAATCGGCGACTGGAAAATTTGCCACAGGCCCATTTGGCCGTTACCTGAAAGATTTCTTCTGTCGGTAAAGACAATGTCGATGAAAGGGAATATTGTGCACTGAAAGTTACGTCCATTATTGTTTTTGTAATCATGATTCAACGCATTTTTCCATTTCGGGCCTTTAGCGTTAACCCACTGTGCGAAGGGGAATTGTCGATTTCTTTATTTTATTCGTTAATGAAGTCGGCTTTTCTTTTCAGTAAAGGGCTATTGCGTTTATGTAATAAACAAAATAATACATGATTTTATAATTAATTGGTAGGGTGCTCTAGGTGATTGTGTTTTAAAAACCTACAAAATGTTTTTGGTATTGCTCGAGACAAAATGTAAATCAACCGGATCCCTAATAGACATTCTCTTCAAAACTCCAATTTTCCTTTTCCCTACATTTTTCCTTTTGTATTTTCAAACTTTTCGTGACAAAGATAGTTTCTGTTTTCCTTCGATATAGATTAATGATAATGTCCATCAACTGACACAAGACTTCAAGTTCTCTTGAAAAGAGTGAACCTGACAGGACTTCTTTGCGTAAATGTGAATTTATTTACATGTTTAATTCACTTTTCTAGTCGTGGCTGATACATATAGAATGTAGTTCCATTATTCAAGACAGGAAAAAGAATTAAGGCCGTCATCTAGGTACATATGATACAAAAATTAATTGTCATTTCAGCGCAATTCACAAGCCCTGGAGTTCAAAAATCCTTTCTATCACATATATACGACTGGATACAGCACAATAAACTGATCTATATAAGATACATTTGAGACACATGAGAAATTAATTGTAAGCTCTATGTAAAGTTTGCAGAACCGAAAAAAAAAACTATAGAGGAAACAAAAAGTAGCCTACTCACATCAGGTTACAGGAGTCTAATTAAAATGGGAATTTGTTGCTTGCAAATACTAATACAAAAATTTAAGTGCATTTTGAGATCTTGACGTGAGATTGGGGAGCTACAAAATGTACTTATTCTAAACTACTTGGTCTCCTTGGTCTCCTTGATCTCCTTGGTCTCCTTGGTCTCTTTGGTCTCCTTGGTCTCTTTGGTCTCCATAGTCTCCATGTCCAACCCGACGTGAATGGCGTAGATCACGAATTTCCATTAGGGAAAGTACTATTCCTATGCAATTCTTGGCAATGAAGATGGACTCGTCTTTGCCAAACATGAACACCACCGAACGAATAACCAAGAATGGTACATTTACGCAAACCATTTGAACAATGTTGTGGACTATTGCAGTACGGAAACGAGTTTTCGACCCCTTTTCGGTAAGTTTAGTCTCTACCATTTGCCAGGGAATTACCAACATGATGAAACTTGAGCTAGCCGACGCGATCATTGCTGCACTGAATGCTTTAGGTATTCCAAAGTTATGCTCCCTCGCCTCTAACACGATATCTATCATCTCGACTCCATCGAACAGATCGACGGCCATGGGAAAACATAGCTTGGAAACAATCTCCCTTGCTTTCTTACCTTCGGCTGAATCATCGAGATCGCCTGTGTTTAGCAACAGTAGTAGCAGAAGTGGTGTAATGCACAGAATTGCCCTCAATACATTTGGACTTAAAAACTCAGTCTTGCTGACTCTATCCCCGATCATTACTAATACCATTGCGATGTTTGCAACAAAAGCCAAAATATACAGACCCCAAATTCGAAAGAGCCAACGAAGGCACAGCGATTTTAACCGTAGACGATGAATCCAAGCAAAAACTGCTGGGCCAAAGGAAAAGGCCATGAAATACCAATTGGATTTGCCTTCATACTTAGCGAGATAGGCAGACAGAAAGATGCTCTGTGTAGTTATCAGAACGAAGAAAGCCAATCGTCCGAGGCTTGTTAAAAACGAAGCCATATTTATATGCCTGACAGCTGTCTGAAACTAGAAGAGGCAAATTGTGTTGATCACTGCAATCGCTTTAGATATCGTATATTTATAAGAAAAAAACTTAGCAGCGAATGAGGAAACGCCACATCAATCCTGATCAAAAAATGTAAATGTAAATTACCCGAGTATTCCAAAAGCTCAGATGCATACGTAATTTGGTCGCTGCTGGAGACTTGATATTCCTATGTAGCTTTTTTAATCAGCGATTCTGGCTTTTTCTTTGTATTTGTTCACCTCTGCTTTTCTGGGATAAGATTACTTCATTAAATTGCACTTTCTAGGAAACTTTCTTGAATTCGGCGTAAAGTTTACTTCGATGCAATTATTGTAGCATCAACTTTGTTATTGGACTTTCTTATATTTTTCTCATTTAAAAAATGATATTTTCCTCATGGCCTCGTGCTTAGTCTACATTAGCAGGTTCCTTTTCTTCGTCTCAGTAAGCCTCCAGGCCTACTCGTTGGCTTCGTATCCCGCAAAATACAAACACAAAGATAGTTTTTATGGATTGTTCGCCCGGTTCCGTTCTGCAATTGCTCTAAGGCTTTACATCATTTTCGACCACAAGAACTTACAGCGGTAATTTGGTGTTTGGACGTGTTACATCGTTGGTTTCGTAATTTTCGTTGTGATCATATTTGGAGGTGACGAACCGATTGAAGATAACTTTGGAAAAGGCATATCTTTGAGATATGATCAATCTGCGAGTGTTGTGGTTGTGACGATTACTAAGCTAGATTTTGAGTAATCAAAGTAGAGTGCCTATGATCTTGATAATATCGTTGTAACGAATCTAAGTGACGTTTGCTCTTCAAATGCAACAGGAAATGTTAACTTCTCTCAAATGTTGGAAATTTTGGGGAGTTTCTTTGCTTGATGAACGGCGTTCAGCTTGCATAATATGATCAATTTGGTCTGACAGTTAGGATTGTAAACTGTTTAGGTCAACAGACCATGAGAGTTTAGCAACAACACCCGAAAGCTTTTCTGCATAATTGTTTCTATCAACTGTTAAAACAAAGCTGTAGAGTTTAAAAATACCAACTCTTTACACTTCCAAAAACATAAAATACACTGTTTAGAGCGGCAAAATAAATGATATTTCGCAAAGAGAAATCTTCTCACAAACGCAAATGTTGTGGTGTCACAAACAGACCATAAAGCAATGAATGAAATCTTCTTGCCTCTCAGAAAAATTTAAACAATACTTCTTTTTTGATTGTGTTTAAGGCGCAATCACCACTTTTTCACTTCGCGAAACGCATCCATCAATGTTGCCGAGGTTGCTTCCGCCATTTTGTAACAGGGTCAACAGAAAACTCAAGGAAGCCATGACGATCAATCCTGTCCCAAACTCTTTCGAAATTCCGAGACCATTTTCCTTGCCGTCGGTTACAATGCCCAAGATAACAACTTCACCGAAAAGATCGATAGATAACTAAACGGACAACCGCTGGTACTCTTGAGATTCGACCAGATTTCTGGATGTGTGCGATTCACTAAAACCGAAAAAACAAAGGTGTAATGCAAAGAACCACTTTCAGACCAGTCCGGTTAGTTATCGTTTTGACAACACTGAGAAGGTATTACTTGGCCGCAGTTTAATACGAATTTATCCTTGAGTGTCGACAATATCTCTCACGAGTGAGAGATACTATAAAATAGGTCCGCAATACGTACATGTGTGGCTTACGAAATTGAGCTGCTTTTTTGTATCTGGTGTCTCATTGGGTTTCTATTAGAAGAGCTAATATCTGATTAAGATTAGATAGTTTTCAATATTGATCCTGTTCATCAATAACACAAGATAACTAGCAAATAAACGTCCTGAATTGTTCATTCTGAAGATGAGAGTTATTGGCCAAACTTTATTATAGAGGTCTCATTTTGACAACAAAGGTTGCACGCGTAACCTGAGGATTTTGGAAATGAAAAAACATCAACATAATCTCCCATAGTGGCCTGATAGATTCAGTCATGATCATATTTACGTAACGATTGTAGGTTGATTGTCTTTTCCAAGGCAAGTGATGTGAAATGAACTCTAGGGAAGCATTTCATATGAATATTTTTAACATTTTGTGTACCAGTACAAGAGGACAAAACTTTGCAGAAGGGCAGGGACATTTGGGAAATGATGTAATCTACATTAGAAGCCATCGGTAGCTTGATTTGGTTTGAATGTATGACCAATTTTGGACAATACATACATGTAAAGTAACACAATGCTGATTGCAGGTTTCCTTTGTCCATTAGGGCATAAAGTTCAACTTTCAGTTGGTTGAGAGCAAAACGTTTATTATAATTATTGTATTTAGGTTTTGTGGGACTGTATTTCAATAAAGAACACAGAAAAATTTAGTTCAGGTAGGTAGATATGAGGTTGCAAATGGAAGAATCTAGGGGAAAAAGATAGGTGCATTACAAGATCAGAACGCAAGCAATATTTTAATGAATTATATGTTGAGATAAGTACTCTGAAGTAACATTACATTAACGTTGCTAATAATTTTAAACCCAATAAGATTTACAATTTGACCTAGAGGTTTTATTTAACAGAAAGTTCAAAAGAGATAGAGTGTCACCATAATCGATTTCAGGAACAGTAATCAGAGACATAACTTAAACACAGCAGAGTTCAGTGTACAGGCAAGTGCATGATGGTATCATATGTTTAAACTATCAGAAGCTTTCAAGTTTTCTTATTACTGAAAGTGTAATTTCATGCCAGTGAGTCAACCAAATTAAAGTTATGTGGATGAAATGTAATTTTCTTCCTGACCATTTGGTATAAACAGAAATTCCGGATAAACAACGTTCCGGTAAATGACTTACGTGAAAAGTGACCGCACAGAGAGTCAATAATGACTCCTTAGTTTCAATGTGGCGCGACCCGCACTAAAGGTCCAGACCGTGAAAGGTTGGCCTGTGAGAGCACAACTCCACGCTGTAATCTGCACTCAGAAGACAAGCCGACTGCAGGAAAGCCGGCGTGTGAAATCTTAGCCACAAAGATGAACAAAAAACTTGATAAAAAAAACGATCTTCGACAGCGTGCTATAGCCACCATTGCCAAATGGTTACTTTCTGAAGTTTTGAAGCTTACGTAACTTAGCCGAGCGTACACTGGAACCTATCTTCGACGTTAGTAAACCACGTGACAAGCGCTCTGTTCCAGTGACAAATCCAGCCAGGAATAAATATCTCAGATCATGACATAGCGTGGTTTACAATTCGTGTAAGCTACACAGAAATTGTATCCATCAGCATGAAAATTATGTTCCGTTTAGTCTAGATCTATCCTTACTGAATACGTATTTAAACCAAAAACAATTTTTAAACACGTAAGAACATCGAATGCAGAGAACATCAGCACATAAGATCAGTTCGCAGAAAAGCTACTTCAACCTCCGACTAGATATAAAACAAGTTCTTATTCCAAACATACAGCAAAGTTCGGTAAAAATAGTTCATTACTCTACTTGCAGTTCTGATATGTACACACGGATAGAAAACACTGTATTCTCTAAGAGCGCATTTCAACTGTGTTTCCTAAAAAAAAATCCATTGTGATCTCTACTGCCAGCCAATCATCGAGCACTTTTCAATTGAGTATCGAAAATCAAAACCAAAGTAATCACAACTACTAATCAGAACAAAAGCTTACCATGATTATTAACCAATGAGAACTTAAACTAGAAACAGGCAATCTCCTTAAAGCGCGGGAAATGCGAGTGACCAAGTCATGATTGGTTTTAATTTCACATTTGATTGCCAATTGTGACACAAGTTTTCTGGACCAATCACACAATGAAGTATGGCTAAACAAAAGCAATCTAGCAGCACTTCGATACTCAGTTGGAAACTGCTCTAACAAAGTTAGTTGGTAATCCGAGCATTCTCATAGTTTATTCTCAGTCATCGTCGGCCTTTGTTCCAAAATTGAAACTGTCTGCAAGAAAAAGTGGCTCAATGAATATAACAATCTCTCCCCTACACTGAAAAATGTCTATAAAAAAATCAAATATCATTGCGTTAAAGCGTAAGCTAAAACATCTCCACGTTGTACGAAATGTTTGCCTCGTCTCCTTACAGCAAAAAAATCAAACGAGACTGTTCATAGCTTCTTTCCCGATGGGGGCCATCAACTTGATAGTTAGCTTTTGTTTCAAACAGAAACAATTGGCAATCAAATGTGAAATTAAAACCAATCATGACTTGGTCACTCGCATTTCCCGCGCTTTAAGGAGATTGCCTGTTTCTAGCTTGAGTTCTCATTGGTTAAAAATCATGGTAAGCTTTTGTTCTGATTAGTAGTTGTGATTACTTTGGTTTTTTTTTTGAGTTCTCATTGGTTAATAATATCAATTCATCACATGAAAACGATGGAAATAGAACTTTTTAGTGCGGCCTTCTTCGTATCACAGTCCGGTTACTCAAAATTTTATGACAACCCTGAGAAGGCATTAGTTGGCCGCGGGTTAGTATGAATTTATCAGACTATACGAAGGCTTCACATTCTATTAAGAACGATTCTGGCCACTTTGTTAAAAATCAAATGCAATGACCGCCTTGTTGAAAACAAAATTTATAAAGAGGCGGGCAAGGAATGTTCCACAATAGCGCAAATGATCGTGAAAGATGATCGAGGAAAAGCGATTGCGTGACCCTCGATTAGTTGTTAGATGACATGTTATCGCGTATCAGACGTAAAAACACTTTAAAATTCACGGTCTGTAGTTTGCACCCAGTCTGCATTTTGTGCTGACCGATTTTCGTACCTAATCCGAAATGTCCGCTGTTTATTCGTTATTACGCGCCATATGTACTATAATTCGATTGGAAATTAGTAAATAGATACTTATCTTCGCGAGTGTTTAAGATGGTGGTCATCACGGAGTGACATGGGCGAAAATTTAAGTATAGAAATAACAGGACAGATGAAATGACACGTTTGATTGATTGAGGTATGTCTTTCAACTTTGCCCCAAAGTTTAGGTTAGTAAATAAATTTTTCCGGAGTCAAAAAAAAATTTTGGAACTGTTCTTCAATCTATTGTCTTTCGATTCAACTGTTAATTATCATGATGCAAACTGCAGGAAAACAAGTGCATGGAGTGGTCTTGATTTACCTCTTAATCAGTCGCCAACCGCCATGTTGTGTTTTCTACGATGCTTTTAATCTCTGTTTTTATCATTCGAACATTTTTTGTCTAATTGACGATTTCTTATCACTGGACTATACTTAGTTTGTAAGGAAACCTTTTAAAATCAATGATGGTTCCTTATGTTATTCAGAGAAGATAGTGAAATTTTTTTTTTTTACCAATTCAAGTACGCAAGTAGTTTTTTTTATAGACATGAAATGTAAATAAACTAAATTGGGTTTCAATAAACAAAAATATAATTTGGTTTTAGTGGTACATACTGTAGCATATCCTCTTCATGGCTATTCCTTCATCTATCAAAGTCCAGATTTAATCGCAATTTAGAAAAAGCAGACAACAAATGTGTTGAATTGTTTAAGTATCGTTTCATGAAAATTAATGAGATGCAGGTGTTAGGTTTCCAACAAATTCAATTCCATGTTGTGTCAAGGAACTATCAATTCATCTGCCTTACATATGACTTATTGAAAGCATAAATAAATATATCTTATGTTATTTTTTTAGATGGTCTTTTGGACTTTTTGTATTGTATTTTATTGTTTTGTTTCAATAAATCCCTAATATCTCTTTACAGATATTTCACTGTGCTTCAAATTAGTGTGTCAATTTAATTCAGTGTGTCAGTGAACTTAAACAGGATATGCACGCTGAGCAGGAACTTTTATTCTGAAAGATCATGATCATGAAGTTTATGTTCAATCACTGAACATTTCCTTCTGCATATCTGGGTCATCATTTCCATTATTGTTGTTGACTTACATGAAACTGTGTAACTGCTCCGACCATGGCATCGGGTGTTAACATTTTGCTTCATTTCACCTGAGTTATGAGTCTAAGATTTAGTTTCAAGCTGCAAAAGCAATTTTAATTGTTTCCCCACTTTTACTGTATTTGTTTATTTGAAAATAATGAATCTTCTTGAATGGCCTTAATTGAGGTAGTTTTATGTGATTATTCTTATGTTCTGATGATTAGATGATTTTCAACATTGCAAAAAGTATTATGAAACAAATTGTTCTTACTTTTCTCCACGCTATAATTTACCAATGGAAGTTTCTTTCATGTTTTGAATGAAATATAGGTTATTTAATTTTGCCCTTCATTGAGATTCTTTCATCCAACGAAGTCTTGCTCGAAGTCTTTGTTCTATAAATTGTCTTGCACTAGGGCTAGGACATTTTGTAGCTTTAGAAAGTTTTCATTCTCTGTTGGTGTTCCTTGATGAACCCCTTGAATTTGAGTATTATTGTTTATTGTTGGAGACATATGTTTCTTCTCTCTGCTGTAATAGATTCAATAGCTGAGTCACCATTCTGTTTGTACATTTCCTCTTGACTTGCATATTCCTGGTCCAGAATAGGTTTCAATTAACGCTTTCATAATCCACCTTAAGGCTTGGCATTCCATTGCAGCGAGGAACATCACGGAGAGGCGGAGAGATGCCTTTCATTGCCCAAATCAGAAATGGAAGAGGAAGGAGTGGATGCGGCCATAGCAGTATAGATTTTCCAACTTCTTACTTGCTTCGAGAAGCTTTCAACAACCCTTTCATTTACACAGTGGAAAAAAGAAGAAGAAAATATTATGTTTTTCAAATCTAATAACGATCCGAAATTTTACCCTTCCATTTGTACAATTTTAGCTACAATCACAATTTTCAGTCGAAAAACAGTCGGTTTAGTACACCCAGTGTGGTTCAGCCTTAAGACGCCAAGTTGAATATATTATTGTTGCCTCAGTAAGATGTCACATGAACGTGAATCTGAGCAGCGATTGGTTACTGTTTTGGTTTGGTTTGGGTCATGCGAATCTGATAACGATCACGGACTGTTTATTAAAATAAAGCTTCCTCATAAAAGATGCGATTTAGATATAAAAGGTGCAATTTGTGAACAAATTGCACCAATGGGAGCCAGTCAGATTTCAAGGAACACCAATGATTTATTACATCCAAAATGGATGTAATAAAAACTAATGTCTTGTCTTTCCCCCCCTTTTTTGAATGATTTTAAAGTATGATTTTTTTTTCGGTTTTGAGGTCCTCTTGCAGGGCGCTAAAGTTGATTCACAAAATTAAAGCCGCCGATTATTTTCTTCGAAATTGCATAAATATTATCTGCGCGGTAACGTAGAACGGTTAATCATACATGTCTAACGTCGTTATAGAAATCAATTTGGTGTCGATTACATAAAAAGATAGAGGAACGGCGACTCAAGGTTGTACCAAAAATCGTGGCTATCGCCATTTAAGTCACAGCTTATTGTTATTAGCCGCTTTATTTTTCATGTTCTACTGTAGGTTGGGTGCCTTTTAGTCCGTTATCTAATCCGTGCATGCTTTTCTTTGTCAACTAACACTGTTGGTTGAGTAGTAGTAACGTCAAATAAGAAAGTAGAAGAAACAACCGTCTGTATTGGCGGGCAAACTCATTTCTGCTTTACTTTAAGAAACATGGGGTTGTATTGATCTAAGCGGCTTGAAATGTATGTTTGGGAGCAATGATACATCGATGCATAATATACATGCAAATGACCTTGTTAGTTGAGTAATTTTGTTACCGGTATTTGCCGTGACAGAAACGGAAGGATTTTTGATAATGGGGTACATAAGGTCAATAGGCTTTCTGGGAAAACTTGAAATCCGTTGGTCTTTGATAACTTTTTTTTCCGAGAAACGCAGGAAGTTGGTTCAAATGACACGTCGTTAGAATGATTATAAATTTGAATTCCTCATTCCGGGGTGAACGGAGTTTCTCAGTGTATAAGCAGTCCTTTTAAGTCTACAACAACAACAGCAAATTGAGTTTCAAAATGACTCATTCGGTGTTGGCTTGGGTTGCACGTGCTGCCTTTTTCATCGTGATGATCCTTCAGTATATCTCCTTCGCTTCGTATCCAGCACGCTACGAAAATCAAAATGGCTGGTATGCTTTACTTCTTCTCTGCATCCCATCCTTGATTCTCTGGTTTCTCGTCGTGTGCAATGAAAAGCTCATCACCTGGGTATTTTCCGTTTGGGGTCTGTACATATGGCTTGCTTTAGTGCCCATAATTGGAGTAATATTTGGGCGAATCAAAGAAAAAATCGAGAAGGATTTGTTCTTTGGACCAGATGTCTTGACCATGACCCTTTGCCTAACACCGCTCCTTTTGCTGCTGTTGCTTAACACATTTGAAATAGAAAGTAAAGGCAGAGAGCTCGTATTAAAGCTGGCCTTCCAAATAACATTAGATCTCTTCGACGGAATTGAAATGCTGCAAGTTATTCTGGAGGAAAGTGAAGTTAGCATTCCCAGGAGCTTTGAGAACGCTATCATTGCCTTCGTCTGCATAAGTTTTATGCTTTCGCATTTTCAATTGGAGGAGAACAGGTTTTTGGACACGTCTATTTACAAGTACTTAGCCGTCATTCGTATCACCCTTCAGATTTTACTCGGTAATTGTGTGTTTTTAGGCCTTCGTTTGGCTCTGTTCTTAAAGTTCAAGAGAAATGCGTCAATTTTCATCGCCAAGATGGCATTTTGATCATTCATGGGATTTTGGAGATCTTTCAGTGTTGTAAGGATTAGTTAGGAAGTCTAGGAAACAAGAAGGACTAACTGTCCAATTAAAGCACGATCGCATATTCGACAACTTTAAGCTCCTTTGCAAAGTAGTGAATTTTTGTAGTTTGTTTATCCTTTAGCCGTTCGGCGGACTCGGATTGCAAATTAAATTTTTTGTTTTAACACAATAGCGTGGGTGTGCCTGATTTGCGGTTTAGTATGTCACCTAACGTAAACAAACGAAGGGAGAGGGAGGGGAGAATGGTGACGTTGGCACCCTCTGTTAAGTATGTTTACATGAAACAATGCTCCTTATCCCCTCCCCGCTTCACTCCCGCAAAGCTTTTTAAAGGAAACAAACTTACTTCCTCTTTTACATTATGAACCCCGCTGAGTTTTCAGAAAGCCTGACCATGCTTGGGTTGCTTAAAATACTCCAAACATCTAGTGAAGGGTTGAATACATCACAGGAGGCTCAAACCCACATCTCGAGAAAAAGCCAATGATTAATTCATGAAAGCGTCACGCGTTGTGTGACTCGGTGATAAGTTACAAGAGGAACCGTCGAAAATTTAAACACGTTATAAGGAGTTGTACGAGGAACGAAATATGGTCGATTTACAACGATAAATATTTCGAAATAGAAAACATTTTAAGCGTAAAATCATTAAAACTTACTCACATCCTGTGTTACAAGTTTGCTTTACTATTAATATTATAGTTTTACATGTTTTCTTTTGATATAGAATAATGATGTTGTCCATCAACTGATACAAGACTTCAAGTTCTCCTTAAAAGGTTTAACCTCACAGGACTTCTTGGAATAAATGTAAATTTATTCACAAGTTTATAATTCACTGTCCTATTCGTGGCTGATACATGCAATTCACACGCCCTAGAATTCAAAATTCTTTCTATCACATGTATACGACTAGATACAACACAATAAATCGATCTCTGTAAGATATATTTCAGACACATGAAAAAAGTAATTGTAAGCTTTATGTACAGTTTGCAGAACCGAAAACATAAAACTATAGAGGAAACAAAAAATAGTCTACTTCTATCAGGTTACAGGAGACCACTTAAACTGGGAATGTCTCTTGCAAAATGTAATACAAAATAGAAGTGGATTTTGAGATCTTAAGATGAAATCGAGGAGCTACAAAAATATACCTTTTCTAAACTGCTTGGTCTTCTTGTTCAACCCGACGTAAACGGAGAAGATTACGAATTTCCAAAATGGAAAGTACTATTGCTATGCCATTCTTAGCAATGAAGATGGTCTCGTCTTTGCCAAACATAAAGAACACCACCGCACGAATAACCAAGAATGGTAGATTAACGAAAACTATTTGAACAATACTGCGGTATAATGCGGTACGGAAGCGAATTTTTGGCCCATCTTTAGTGAGTTTGTTTTCTGCCATTTGCCAGGGAGATACCAACATGCTGAGGCAAGCCAACACGATCATTGCTGTACTGAATGCTTTGGGTATTCCAAAGTCGTGCTCTCTTTCTTCTAACACGATATCTATCATCTCGATTCCATCGAACAGATCGACGGCCATGGGAAAACACAACTTAGAAACAATCTCTCTTTCTTCCTCATTTTCGTCTGAATCATCGTGATCGCCTGTGTTTAGCAACAGTAGTAGCAGAAGTGGTGTAATGCACAGAAACACCTTCAGTGCATTTGGTCCTAAAAGCTCGTTCTTGTCAATTCTATCTCCGACTTTTCCAAATACCATTGCGATGTTTACAACCAAAGCCACAATATACAGACCCCAAATTCGAAAGAGACAGCTAAGGTACAGCGCTTTGAAAAGTAGAAGAAGAATCCAGACAAAAATTGCCGGGCCAAAGGAAATGGCTGTGAGATACCACTTGGAACTGTCTTCATACTTCGCGAGATAAGCAGATAGAATAAAGCACTGTGTAGTTATCAGACCGAAGAAAGCGAATCTCCCGAAACATGTTAAAAACGAAGCCATAGTTATATGTATGAAAGCTTTCTAAAACTGGAAGAAGCAAATTGTGCTGACTAATGCAATAGGAATAGATACCGTATATTTTTATGAAATATTTGGTAGCGAATGATATAACGCCACAACGATCTTGAACAAATAAATGATGGTAAAGGGAATTACCCGAATATTCCAGAAGCTCACATGCTCAGACATAGCATCCGTAATTTGTCGCCGCTGGAGACTTGATATTCTTATGTAGTTTCTCTAATCTGCGGTTCTCTTTTTTTCTTTTTTTTTCTCTTTTTTTTTTACTCATAATTAAAAAAAGTCTAAAGATTTTGAACTAACGAGGTTTTAGAAAGAAAAATTAATTCGCTGAAAATCTGAACCTGTCAAAATAACCATTTCCGAGAAACCTTGCAAGGTGATATATGGAGTTTCTAAGAAAAATGTCGCATAACAATGATTAGGGGATTCCCCGAACACCACTCATTTCCACAGATTGCGTCATGACAATGAAGCCATCTTTAATTACTTCAAATTCGTTCTTCTTAGAGTATTTATATAAATTTCATTAGCAATTTTCTCTTTTATTCTCTTGAACTTCATTTTTTAATATTTTCTCTCAATGTAACATTTCCCACAAATTTGTCAAAGCTGCACCAGGCTTACTTTCTGAGGAATTTGTTTGCTAATAGGTCAGTTTCAAGGGATTCCCCGAAAAGCTGTCTGATAATTAGAAGGATCTAGGTGAAAGATAACAAAACGTGCGACATTGTGAAAATAGTTTGCAACGACTTTTCTCAAATCGATCTTGAAATTTTTGAGGGGTTACTTTGCTTAGTGAATGACGTTCAGTTACCATAATGTGATCAATTTGGTCTGACTGTCAGGATTGTAACTGTTTTGGTCGACAGGTCATGAGAGTCTAACAACAACCCCGAAGCTTTTCTGCGTAATTATTGTTATTAACTGTAAGAACAAGGCTTCAGAGTTTAAAAATACCAACTTGTTACATCTCCAAAAACAGAAAGTACGATGTTTAGAGCGGCAAAATAAATATTACTTTTCACAGAATTAGCTGTTTCGGATCCAGTAGATCTGCATCACGGAGAGAAAGATGGCGATCAGATTCTTTGTGATGAAGATGGTCTCATTATCATCTTTGTTGTACTTGACAATAACAACAAGTCGCATTACCATGAAAGGCAAATTCACGAAAATAATCTGCAAAACATTTGCGAGAATCGCCACTGCATTGCGAAGAGAGACGGTTCCGTTTTTGAGTTCATTCTCCGCAATTTGCAGCAAAGTCAACAGAAAGCTTACGCACGCCGCTGCTATCATCGCATATCCAAACTCTTTTGGGATTCCGTGACTGTTCTCTCTCATCGAGCACAATATCCAACATCTCGACGCTATCGACAAGATCTATTGTTATCACTACTGACAGCGTCCACGCCAGGGTTTTGTAGTCTTCGTGTTTGCCCAAATCGCTCGCTGTATTCACCAGAATGAGAAAGGCAACAGGCGTGATGCACAGGATCACTTTCAAACAGGTCGGGCTGAGGAAATTGTTCTTGTCGAGTACGTCTCCGCACAACGCAAAAATGATGGCGATGTAAGGGATCAAACTGCAAATAATATAGAGACCCCACATGCGGAAAACTTTACGGAGTTTTCCACCAGTAGCCAGACAAATCCCATAGTAAATCAAGGAAGGAAAAAATAACAGTACCAAGGATATCAGACGTTTATCATCCCTGTAACAGACAGGAAAAGCTGTCAGGAACCCCATTTGGACGCACAGAAGAAGAACGGCTAGAAAACGACCGACCAAAACCAATCCGCAATCCATGCTTCGCTTTTCTCTTTAAAAGGGTGCTGTTCTCGTCGAAGGCTATATAGTTTAAAAGCTTTCTAAAACTGAAAGAAGCAAATTGTGCTGACTACTGCAATAGGAACTGATACCGTATATTTGTATGGAAATTTAGTAGCCAATGTGGTAACGCCACAGCGATCTTGATCAAATGATGCGAAAGGGAATTACCCGAATATTCCAGAAGCATTGCATACGTAATTTGGTCGCTGCTGGAGACTTGATATTCCTATGTACCTTCTTTAATACGCGGATCTGTTTCTTTTTTTCTTTCTTTCTTTTTTTTTTATATCTCAATTAAAAAAAGGTCTAAAAATTTTATGCTAACGAGGTTTAAGCAAGAAAAATTAATTCGCTAAAAATCTGAACCTATCAAGATAACCATCTCTGAGAAACCTTGCCAGGTGACATATGGATTTTTTTATGTAAAATGTTGCACAACAATAGTTAGGGGATTCCCCGAACACCACTCATTTGCATGGATTGCGTCATGACGATGAAGCCATCTTTGATTACTTCAAGTTCGTTCTTCTTAGAGTATTTATATAAATTTCATTTGCAGTTTTTTCTTTTATTCTCTTGAACTTCATTTTCTAATATTTTCTCTCACTGTAACATATCCGATAAATTTGTCAAAGTTGCACCAGGCTTATTTTTCTGAGGAATTTGTTTGCTGATGGCCACTTTCAGGGGATTCCCCGAAAAGCTGTCTGATAATTAGAAGGATCTAGGTGAAAGATAACAAAACGTGTGACATTATGAAAATAATTTCCAACGACTCCTCTTAAATCTTAGAAATTTTTCTTTTTTTGGGGGGGGTGGTTGTTTTGCCTTGTGAATAACGTTCAGCTTGCATAATATGATCAATTTGGTCTAACAAGAAGGACTGAAAACTGTTTTGATCGACAGATCATGAGAGTCTAACAACAACACCGAAGCTTTTTCAACGCAATTGTGTTTATTTACAATTAGAGCAAATACTAACTCGTTACACCTCCAAAAACAGAAAGTACAATTTTTGAGCGGCAAAATAAATAATGTGAAAATATATGACTTTCATATATTCTTAACCATTTATTCATCACTTCACGGGTTTATTTAGAACCAACTTCATGACCAGCTCCCAGTTGGCTTGTTAGCTCAGTTGGTAGAGCGCTGCACCGATATCGCAGAGGTCATGGGTTCAAATCCCGTACAGGCCTGAATTTTTTTTCAGGCCTTATTTTCACTACTGCCTAAGTAGTGCAAATTACTGCGAGGATCACTTTCATTCACGTCTTTATCCGCAGTTCAAATATATGACTTTCATATATTCTTAACCATTTATTCATCACTTCACGGGTTCATTTAGAACCAACTTCATGACCAGCTCCCAGTTGACTTGTTAGCTCAGTTGGTAGAGCGCTGCACCGGTATCGCAGAGGTCATGGGTTCAAATCCCGTACAGGCCTGAATTTTTTTCAGGCCTTATTTTCACTACTGCCTAAGTAGTGCAAATTACTGCGAGGATCACTTTCATTCACGTCTTTATCCGCAGTTCAAATATATGACTTTCATATATTCTTAACCATTTAAAATAAATAATACTTCGCAAAGAGAAATCTTCTCACAAACACAAATGTTGCAGTAACATAAACAGGTCCCAAACTGATGAATGAGACCCTCTTGCCTCGTCAGCACTATTTTGTACAATACTTCTGTTTTAATTGTGTGTAAGGCGCTGTCACCTGCAGCTAAATCGGAGTGTCATCCCTTAATTTTATTCACAATATTTCATTTCGTTCCGTTTCATTACTGCCTTTGAACATTGAACATTAAAATAACTATCGTGCAAAGATCATGAACGAGGTAGGCAATGCTTACAATTTCTAAAACCTTTTTATTTTCGTTTTCCTTCCGGAAAAAAAACTATTATTTGCTAAAATTCGACTCTGTCAAAAAAAGTTGGACTGATAGCTGATGATGGTTTGAAAGACCCGAGAGATATCTTGTTTTAATGATGAGGTGTGATCGTACTTTCAGTTTCAAACTTATCAAGCGGCTGTTGATAATCGTCGAAATACATCCTCCTTAAAAAGTCTCAGTTTCCTTTCCTTAGATGCAATTTCAAATCGAATACGTCTCTCTGTTCAGTTAATTTCACATACTCAAATTAGCTCTGTCGGATCCAGTAGATCTGCATTGCTGAGAGAAAGATGAAGATCACATTCTTCATGATGAAGAGGGACTCATTCTCATCTTTGTTGTACTTTATAATAACCACCAGTCGCATTACCATGAACGCCAAATTTACGAAGATGATTTGCAAAACATTTGCGAGGATTATCACTCCTTTGCGAGGGGAAACGGTCCCTTCTTTGAGTTTATTCTGCGCAATTTGCAGCAGAGTCAACAGAAAGCTCCCGCACGCCACTGCTACAATCGCATATCCAAACTCTTTTGGGATTCCGTGACTGTTCTCTCTCTCATCGACCACAATATCCAACATCTCGACGCCATCGACTAGATCTATTGTTGTCACGATTGACAGCGACCAGACCAGGGTTGTATACTTTTCATGTTCACCCAAATCACTCGCTGTATTCACCAGAATGAGAAAGACAACAGGGGTGATGCAAAGGATCACTTTCAAACAGGTCGGGCTGAGAAAATTATTCTTGTCGAGTACGTCTCCACACAATGCAAAAATGATAACGATGTAAGGGATCAAACCGAAAAAAACGTAAAGACCCCACGTACGGAACACTTTATGGAGTTTTGTTGCAGTAGCCAAACAAAAGACATAGTAAACCAGAGTGGGAGAAAATAGCAGTAGCAAGGGCATCAGGCGAAAATCATCCTTATACCAGACAGGAAAGGCTGTCAGGAACCCACACTGGACGAACAGAAGAAGAAAGGCCAGAAAACGACCGACCAAAACAAATCTGCAATCCATTCTTCGCTTTTCTCTTTAAATTAAAGGGTTGTGTCTTTGTCGAAGGCTATATAGTTTTGAAATCTGCAGTGTAATCGTTTTCGATTCGGAAATTACGTTATCTAAAAAGCATCTGCAAGGGAAACATCCCTAGTAGTAAGTAACTTCTTTTTCGTCATAAAATGCTTAAAATGCTTGTTTCATTGCACTATCACCGATAATGAGATTCATGAATGTTCCTTTTAAAATTGGTTAAGTTCCCAGTTTCATTTTCGATGGTATTATCAATGGTATTATCAGGGAATGACGAAATTGTGGAAATGAACATAACAACGGAGAACAAGTTTTCGCATTGGTTCGCATTTTTCATCATTAGCCGAGAATCTATAAAATACGCTCATTCCCTGTCCGCGATCAAAGTAAAAAATTTCAAAGAAATCCCCGACAAGCAGTAAATTCATGGGTTGCGAGCTTGTCCCTAGGGTCTCCTCTCTTCCAGACGAAAAAAAAAAAGAACAAGGGAGATGTCCCCTGGGACTTTACCTGAAAGCGAGGTTGAATTTACCGGTTTTCGTGAAATAATTTCCTTAAAAGATTCCCCGATCATGGCAACAAGAACGACTTATGATTACTAAAAAAATCAAGCAAGAGGTCAACTGCTTTATTTTAAGATTTGGGCAAATTTTTCTCCAATGTTTCTTTGTAACAAAGAAAGCCAAAACGTTCAAAAATACTGATAAGAACTGGTACAGGTTTAACTAATTTAGACTCAGAGAGTGCCTTTGATACAAATTAAAGCTACATATTTTTTCGCTGACAGAAGGATACAATTTATCTAGTTTCAGTTTAAATAGAATTTCATAGTAGAGGATTCAATACCAGACTAATGAACTCAGGATACAATTCCACCAATGAAAATGGTATCACATGATACACAGGTGATAGAGTCATAGATCTCGTCAGAGCTATTTTATCCATTGAATTTCAACACCTGGTGTATGAATGAATTCTTAAAAACTGAAATATACGCCTTAATTTTAAAGCTTTCAAACACACGCTCTTCATTGAAATATATTGGTAAATTAGAGGAGAAAGAATATCACTCTGCAGACGATGTAAATGCCACAGTTACAATTCACTCTTGGTTCTTAATCCAGTAAATCTGTAAGGCAGATAGAAAGGTGGCGATTCCATTCTTTGCAATGGAAATAGACTCGTCTTTGACTTGTATTTGATAAACACTACTAGACGCATAATCATGAATGGCAAATTCACAAGAACAGTCCGAAAAAAGTCACCGCTTTTTCACGAGGCGAAAAGCTTCCATCAATGTTGCCGTGATCGTTCTCTACCATTTGTAACAGGGTAAACAGAAAACTCAAGGAACTCATGACAATATGGAACCAATCCTGTTTCAAACTCTTTCGAAATTCCGACACTATTTTCCTTGCTGTCGATTACAATGCCCAAGACATCTACTCCGAAAAGAGCGATAGTTGAACTGAACGGACAACACCGTTGCTAACCGCTGGTACTCTTGAGATTCGTCCAAATTGCTGGCTGTATTCATTGAAAACCGAAAAAACAAAAGGTGTAATGCAAAGATCACTCTTACATTGTTCGGCCCAAGAAAGCCGTACTTATACTTAAGCTGTATTACACTTATGGTATTTTGCTTCTCCTATTGTTCTTGCGTTGACCCGATGTTGTTAATATCAATCCTAATATACGATGAGACGGACGTGACGTGATACAGTCAGTTTCTTCACACAACGGATCAACCATGAGCATTCTTGATATCTTCTGTGCTGTTGTCACTTTTGTTTTCCTCCCTCTCTCTCTTTTGTCTTTCTGCATTTGTCTGCGACGGAAATCGAGACAGTCACGTCAGAAGAAGGTCATATCACGCAATCTTCTCTCGTTTTCCACCATTTGCAACATGGTCAAAATTTGACTCCGTCAGGCATTATCAACAGTTTTTCGTCTTTTCAAGTAAGCCACCAGAAGCTCTTTCAAACACAGCTAATGTTTCATTTGCAAGAGATACTTTAGATTTCTCACAAGTTTGGTTGAAAAATTACTCTATAACTTTGTTCTTTCGTGAGAGGCAATGAGACAGAACATAAACACCACCTCCGAGCTTCAATTTTCTCAGGTTGATATCCGCGGACGAAGCAAGGATTTTTCAAGGAAGGAAGCAGAGGTATTGCGGCTACAAATTTGCGCGCGTCTCACGTGTTGGCCTTTTAATTTTACCGTTGCGTTACACCCAAAGTAAGCCCTCTGAGTATCGATTTCCGTGTTAACCTGACGCGTGGAAAAGACTGGAAACGAGTTGTGGAAAGAACAGGTTGTGCAAACTTTTGAGCGAACCTGAAATATGGCTGCCTTTGAGTTCGAAGCCGCAAACAAATTCGCGCTAGATCTTCATAAATGCCTGAAAAGTACCGATAAATTTGCCGGTGAAAACCTCTTCTACTCTCCTGCAAGTTTACTGATTGCACTTGCGATGACTTCTCTCGGAACGAGGGGGAATACTGCTTTGGAACTAATGAAAGTTTTGCACGTGGATTCAGTTTCATCAGATGATTTGGGCAAGAGCATGAAGAACTTCATCGATAGCTTGAATAGGGCGAGCGATGAGAACAACAAGCTTCTGATAGCTAACCGACTCTTCGTGCAAAAGAGCTTCGAAATCCTGTCGTCCTTTCAACAAGGAATGCGAGAGTTCTACCGCGCTGAAATCGCTTTGGTAGACTACATTGCAAATGTCGAGAAAGCCAGAGAAGAGATCAACAAATGGGTCGAACAGCAAACAAACGATAAGATTAAAGATCTTATTCCTGCAGGTATGCTGGGTTCGGATACCAGGCTGACTCTGGTGAACGCGATCTACTTTAAAAGTGTGTGGCAAGAGAAGTTCAAAAAAGAAGACACATTCACAGGGTCATTCTTCCCGTCACAAAAAGAAGAAATGAAAGTTGAAATGATGTGCCAGGAAGGTGATTTTAAGTTTGTGGAATCAAAGGATCTGGCTTGTCAAATTCTTGAAATGCCATACCTGGGTAATAAATTGTCTATGGTAATCTTTCTTCCCGTGGAAATTGATGGTCTGGCCAAGCTGGAAAACAGGATCACTTATGAGACTCTTCAGCAGTCACTATCCCTGCTTGATGGTTCAATGGGTGAAGTTGAAGTCATTTTGCCTAAATTTAAGCTGACTCAGCAGTTTGACCTCAACAACGTGTTGGCAAAGATGGGAGCAGAAGAGATGTTTATTCCTGGAAAGGCTGACCTTTCTGGTATCTCAAGTGAGCCATTGTGTGTTTCAAAGATTGTGCACAAGGCATTTGTCGAGGTGGATGAAGAAGGCACCGAAGCAGCTGCTGCTACTGCTATTGGTGTGGCTGTAATGAGTATGCCTTTGCCGAAGCCAATGTTCAAAGCTGATCACCCTTTCCTGTTCATTATAAGACAAAATGAATCAGGAGCCATTCTGTTCCTTGGTCGGCTTATGAAACCAAGTCTTGAATAAATCAAAGACACTGATCAAATAGTCAAAATACTGAAAGAGAGACTTAGCAGTTAGATATAGAGTGACCAGCATCTATTTTCTCCTTGCTATAATATTGCTGAATCATTCATTTAAGATCATGAGAATAAAGGAAATGATCACCAACTAAAGAAGCTCTTGATTGTTAAACAAATTCTCCTTGTCAGCACCGTAGGAAATGTATAGAGAACATTATGGAGAATATACATACTGATGTTAGGGTGGAAATAGTTTAGACTGGATATTGAGGTAAAGAGGTCTCTCTCTAGTGACTTCGATGATTATAGACCTTAGACTATTTGTGCTTGGAACTCTTTAACTCCCATGATCTGATTGTTAATGCTCCCCTCTAGCTGCAACTCATTTCCTCGTAATGGATAAAGAGAATGTGTTGTGTGATCAAGGTTAGAACTTTTGCATGATAAATTCAAGAATTCTCATTACCTGTTTGCTGTATAATGTATGGATGTTGAAAGGGAGAAGTTACATGATGATCACCTTTGGGATTTAAAGAATTAGAGGAAGAAGCTCTTGTTATAATAATGAAAATATTTAAAGCTGTGAATTAAAATAAGAAATTCATGTTGGTTGGATTTTGTTTTTGTAGAGAAGCATCGCCAAATTTTTTGGAATGTTATTTCAAAAGTGTTGTAAGTTTTTGAGGTAAAAGAAAAATACAATACTTTGAAATACAATGAAAAGTGGTAATTTAAAGATAGGTGAATTATTGAGAGAAAATTATTTCTTTTCTACTGAAAATTAAATATTTCCTTTGTAATTCAACATCTGTTAGGGTCTTAAAGTTTTTTTCATGGTTAGGACTGATATGAATAATCTCCAAAACACTCAAATAGTTTAAATATGATAAAAAAAAATGCAAAATTTATGTGTTAAGATCAACATCTGACAGCTAAGCCACTACTGTATGAAAATATTTTAATATTGTAAAACTGATTTCCAAGATTTTGTTCTAGATATTATTAGATAAATAATTATGAGATTATATTATGAGAAATAAAAGAGACCTTACAGGTTTTAGTACTTTGTTGCTCTTTTTCTCCTTGCTGCATTCACCCTAAGTTATTGATATGAATCCTAATTAGCAGAGGAAGTCTAAATACTCTCAGCTTCTTCCCAAAATTGATCATTTATGAGCATTCTTGATATCTTTTGACATGCTGTCTTTACGTGATATCTTCTCTTTCTCTCCCTCTGCCCCCCCCCCCCCCAACTTTCTCTTTTTGCATATTTTTAACATGTGTATTTGCATGTGTATCTGTTTTTTCTTGGTTGTTCTGTTGTATTTGGCTTTTGTCTTTCCGGTTTTAATTTATTTTGCTACTAAAATCGAGACTTTCAGGTCACAGGTAAGTCACGAAATCCTTGCACGAAACGACGAGACGGACGCGACGTGTTATGTTTATGATCAGCGGTTTGTCGGTCAGAAACCCGCGAAACATGGCTTCTTGGGCAGCGATTGAATGAGCAAATCGGTCGCCCAAAATAACCAAGTTATGGCGAGATTGAGGTCAGATTCTGCTAAAACGAAGAGAGAAACTACGAGGAAAACTTTTTCTGCCTCAAGAGTTTGTAAAAATGGTAAATCTGGAGCGACAGTGGCGAAGAACTCTGTATCTTCAAAAGCAAGCTTGCGATCAGTCAAGCGCGAAACAGAACCGGCTGCCGATTCTTTACAGAAATCAACTAAGTGCTGTGACAAATCGACGGATGAACCCTCCAGAAACGGTGAGTTTTTCGAAAATATTCTGGGCGTCTTACCTTTACAAAAGTGACTTCGTCTTATTTTCTGTTGATCAGTAGCTGCGATTGCAGTGAAGGTGGTTATGAATCAGAAATGCCTTCTTTAGTTACGTAACACACAAGGGGGCTTTGTACCCAATTCTGGGGCTCTGAAAAGATTTTCTATTAGGGGGGTAATGGCGGAAACTAGTATCTTAGTTGCCTTTGGAAAACACGTTAGGTTGCCGCGGTATTATGAATTTACTTCTCTTGAAAGGGTTTATACCACATACATCTACCCTCTCTCTACCCCACCCTTTGCTAAATGTTTGTCCTTGTTATAGAGCCATGAATGGTTAAGGTAATTTACAAGTATGATATTGGCTGCAGTCACACTAGACATGTTAACCAGGTTATTTCTAATTAATTAATCAATTAGAGTTAATGTACCTTGTTGTCGTGGCTGTTGTTACCAGACTCCCATGTTCAGAAGTAATACACTTCCTTGTGCCATGTAGAACAACATTTCCCACACAGACCACAATGACTGATACATTTGGAGAAAAAATTAATTCATGGCACTGATAAGAAAACACTAACCAGTGTTGAACTACACAGAAAAGTAGTTCAGAATTAGCCAAACTCAGTTAAAAAATCTTTTGTTCTCCATCCATTTATATGGTTGCTGTTTACCCTTTAACTCCCACGAGTCACCATAACAGAATTTCTCCTCAACATATCAACACCATGCCAAGAAGACAAGTGATGAGAATAAAGAGAAATATGAGTTGGGCAATTGTTAGTTGATTCAATACTGAATTCTCAAAACTAACATCACAAGAACTGTATGGCAGACAGTAAGGAGAATTACTTATGTGATCTGGGATTGAAAGGGTTAAGCCAGTTTCAGTTTGATAAAGAGTCAAAAAAGCAGCTGCATCATGATTTTTCAGTTACTTGGTCACTCAAGCACCACAATCAAATTACTGTAGGATTTACAATCAGTACTGCTACTTGGAAACAAGTGTTTCTTTTTATCATAAATATTGAAAGAATACATCACTGTGCTTGAAAGACCTTGATGTTCATTCAAAAGTGCTCTACGAAAGTTACACATGGCAGGATTCATGATTTCCCCAAGCCATCTCTGATTTCTTGGATAGAACCAAACTCAGGGACAATTGATTCAACCACAATAGAGGACAATCTGATATCTACACAAAATCAACATCATGCTGAAGGACAGTACCTTGGAAGTTTGTGTGGTATGCATCTGAAGGAAGAGGGATTACCATGTCTGTGAGGGTATAGAAAGGAGACTAAATGAAAGAAAGAGAAACCAGAAAATAAGAGCATGGTCATCAACTTCTGCATTTTATTTGGTTTTCCCCATGATGTCAACTAGGTTCACCTACTCTATAACCCATGTCAGTGTGGTAATTCAACAAATGTAACCCCTTTGTTTCATCTTAACCAAATCTTTCACCAAGTTTGTTTTTAGGAAATTTGAACCAGGTGTCTTAAAAAAAGACCCAGTTAACTACCCTGGTGTGGCTGCAGCCATTAATTCATATTCTTACCAAGGGTATAAATATTTGTTATTTTAAAATTTAGGGCCCTCTCACAGAGGCAAGAGGAGAAAGTTCTCATCCCAGGAGCTTAGTGAATCTCCCTCAAAAAAACCTAAAGTGAATTTATCCGAAGACCAAATGCCAGAGAATGTGAAAAATGTAGATGGCAAGAAAAGATTTTCCAAGGCAGAGAAACGTAAATCATCTGCGTGTTTGAAACAAGCCTCTAATAAGAATGGTGTGAAACCAAAGGCCACCTCCCTTGAGTTGAAACAGGTGCATGTACCTATTGCAAAGATAAAAGGGAAGCTGAAAAAAGAAAGTCCAGTGAAACATAAACATTCACCTGTACCTACTCCTGGAAATGAACAGAGTTCACCTAGAAAACATCATGCAGCTGCAAGCAAAAGGTTGAAACTAGATTTGACAGGAAATGTCAAAGAAGAGAATGATGTTGAGGAAAATAAAGCAAAAGAATCTATGGAAGACGATTCTAGTGATGATGAGGAGATAGAGTGGGAAGATGTTGATGGTAGGTATACAATATGTGTTTTGGCATGAGAACCATTGAGACCAACATTAACCCTTGGGCCACTTACAGTGACCAGCATATAATTTCTCCTTACCACATCACCCCTGAATCATACATTTACGTCATGAGAATAGAGAAAATAATTACCAATTCAAAAAGATCTTGATTATTCAACAAAGTCTCCTCATCAGAATGCTAGGAAATGCATAGAAAACAGTATGGAGAATATGCATACTGATGTGAGGGTGTAAAGGGTTAAGAAAAAGGAAAGGATCCCTATAATTTTAGATGCAACAATATCGTTCTATAAAGATTTAAATGCAGTTTCCTACTCCATGGGAGGGGTGACTGAAGCCCCCTTGAAGGAGGGGGAGGAGGATAAAGTCTCAAAAACTGAAATTTGTAGAGGAATACCTGGAGCAAAACTTACCAACACTGGACATTTATCCCAGTTCAATGTAATTGTAATTGTTTAAAAAGAACATATAGTCTTAAAGTTTGAATAAATGTACCAATAATTCTCTGTTTTGATTTGCTTTGTTTTGGTAGAGGCTGATGTTGTGGATCATGGACCTGAACATGAGGAAGCTTCAACCTCACAGGAGGATCAGCCACCCAGCAAAAGCAGTGTTGAGATCAGTATTACAGTACCGGGAACAAAAAAGAAAAAAAAAGGATGGTAATCTCATATCTTAGTACAAATTGATTACAACTAATCATGCAGTCAGTCAGTCAATTAATCAATCATTCAGTCAGTCTGTCAATCAGTGAATCAGTTGGTCTGTCAATCAGTCAATCAGCCATCAGTCAGTCAGTCAATCAGTAAGTCTGTCAATCAGTTAATCAGTCAGTGAGTCAGTTAGGCAATCAGGTATTAACTCAGTAAGTCAGTTACTCAGTTAGTCAGTCACTCAATCAGTCAGTGAGTCAGTTAGTCAGTTAGTCAGTCAGTCAGTCATTCTGTCAGTAGGTCAGTCAGTCAGTGAGTCAGTAAGTCAGTGAGTCAGTAATCAGACAGTTAGTTAGTAAGCCAAGCAGCCAATCTGTGTGTTCTTCAAATTTGGCTGGAAAAAAGGAATTGTCTTCCCTCACTTTTAAATATGTTTTTAGTTAGTGATAAAACTCTACTTTTTTTTTTGTCCTTTTACTGTTTTACAGGAGTCATGAAGATGTTGTCAAATACATTAAAAGAGCAATTAACAGATTTAGGAAAGATGTTTACACCAGCGCCCACAAGGTATTGGACCGTTGTTCCATAATATAACATTGTGCATGGCTTGTCTTCAATACAGTGTATATATACATTATTGACCAAGCATGAGGCCATCATGGCTGGATATTGGCCAATTTCTTTCCATGGGTGCTGCCAACTATATGAAATGTGATGTTTGTAGTATTAAACCATTTAATTTCTCTTTTACAATGTATATTTTCCTCAGGTTCACATTTTGACTCTTATTGCACGTGGATTCTTTAGAAACAACATTTGTAATGGGTCCCTGCTACAGGTAAAAAAAAATTTAATTACAACCCCTGGGACCCAGTTGTTCAAATGCCAATGAGCAGTAACCCAGGGTTAAATTTTGATCCTGCTTTTTTTGTTCCTTTGTTCTAAAGCATTTTTTCTTTTTTCTTTTTTTCTTTTTTCTTTTTAGAGCATCCAATCATCAAATTGTAGCAAAAAAGAGTTACACTGAATTTTCATTTTAAGGTTTCATCTCTGAAATCAGATTTCACACTAACCAGGGTCATCTAAACCCAGCTTTGAACAACCCAGCCCTGTTGGACAATTTCTGACCTTAAAAAAAGGCTTTTGTTTGTTTTAAAGGACAATGCATAAACCAGACAGAAAATCTTGATAATTATTGACATTTTTTTTCTGTTTTGAAGGTTTGAATGATCTAAAGTCTAAAGAAGTTACCAAATACCTGCTGATGATTTCAACTTTTCATCCTCCAGGCTATTCTGCTATCCCACGTTCCAGGGGACTTTGTTTCTGTGAACAAGAGGAAATGGGACGTGGTACAACTTACAAACTTCTTGAAATGGTTAGACTTCTTTTTTTCTTTTTTCTTTTTTTTTTAAGAAAAAGAGACATCATGAGGATAAAGTAATGTACATGTAAAACTCAGCCTTCTATCACTCAAAATGTTAGACAAAGGGCTATCACTCAAAATGTTAGCCTTTAAACTCTTTACAGTGGTAAATTACATTTTCAACACTAAATTACTTGTTATACTCTCCCACCAATGCAGCACCAGTTTTTTTAGAAACTTATCCTCTCTATCCTTAAAATTGTATGTTTATTGATAAAAATTGCATATGCAGTTGCATGTTTGGATTACCCCATAGCTTCTGATGTCTTAAAATTCAGGTTTCAAAGTGAGTTCTCCAGCACTGATGATTTAAGAACTGGAGACAAAGAGGTAACAATTTAAAACTACATTAAATCAGTATCTAATCATACATGGAATATGCCTACCATGCTTATTAATCACATTTATGTACAATTTTATGTGTGTGTGTATTTGCTATCACCACATAATCAGTATCCCTCACTCCTAGTTTCTGTTGTCTATCACACCTCACCCAATTGCCTGGCCACACCCAATTCCCCTCTCACTTGCACAACATTTCCATCCCTTGTCCCTATCCTCCCTGTTCCAAACCTCCATTCCCACTCCTGTTTCCACACCCTGCCCCAAATCCCTGTTCCCCTTTCCGATGTCCCAGTATTTTCCCTTGTTTCCATTTCTTGTAATCATCCCCCAATCCCTGTTCCTTTTCCATGTGCTCATCTCCTGTCATCTCTCACTGTATCTCCATCCACTTTAGCTGCCTTTACACCATCCCAAACCCCCCTCTTACCTTTCATTCCTCCAGTTCCCATATCCTGTTCCCACAGCTTGTCCCATGTTATTATTTCCTATCCCATTCCTCAGTTCCAGTCCCATCCCCATCTCTGTTCATTGCTCTTACTTCCTGTTCTTATCCCCTGCTCATACCTTATTTTCCCACCATTTCACTTTCTCTCCTGTTTTCTGGAGATAATTCAACTAACTCCTTTTCTATTGTTCTTTTAGACAGACAAACAGATTGCCAGATTTCAAAACTTATCTGAGGTTTGTAGTTATGAAGAAAGCTTAACTTAATTAACCCTGAACAGTTGTGAGTATAAATTAATTAAATGCGATCTGTTAAATTGACAATATAATCAATAAACCTTCCCTTGATCAATTTTTTCCTTGTAATCTGTCAAGAATGTGATTTGTCAAAAACAGAAGTAAATGGAACTTGGGAGTTGCTGTGTATCATAATAAAATTATTCTTGGGTAGCTTATCACAGAGTCATCAGGACTGAATTTAATGGGGTTTCTTGTGTGTATCTGGTTGATGTATTACTCAGCTTGTATATGACTTCTCCAAAGTGGAATGTATACCCACTAAAAGCTCAATTGTCTTTACATGTTCTCACAATAAATTTTCAGGTATTTGTGACAATCTTCAGAGCACTTGGATTTCTGACAAGGCTTGTGTATTCCCTTCAGGTAAGATTTTCCAAACATTTTTCATATAAACAGATCTCCAATTTTGCCTAACCAGAGGAACTAGAGGGGGAAGTTATGCATCTTCCAGACCACATACTTATGAAATGTTGACATCCTAAGAAGACTGATAAACAATGTATATTTGTCTTTACTTTGTTTATGTCAGCCCATGTCAGCTAAAGGTGACGTAGATGGTAAAACAAGCTCTAAAGTAAGTACTGAATTGTGTTCATGAACAAATTGATAATCTTTTATCAATAAATGGCAAAGAAAAATTTGATTGATTACAGAGCTAATTAACAACTCTTTTTAATGATTATGATATTGTTATTTGTGCAGACTGTGAAGAAGAATACTCCCAAGGGGAAAAAAGTATCTCCTCAAAATTCAAAAAAATTATCATTGCCACATGTGCAGGAGGAAGCTGCTACAAAGTCAAAGAATTTCAAATCAGAAAATGAAGCCAAGACAACTCCATCTAAATCTGTGACACTCGTTTCCGAAAATACAGGTGATATTGACAGTAAGAAATTAAAAAAGGAGAAGGTAACTAAAACTGGTACAAAGGAAGGAGGTAAATTGATTAGCGGTGTTCAAAGAACTCCTAAGACTTCCGATAAGAATAGCAAAGTCAGTATGACTAGGAAAAAGAACAAGGATAACATTGGTGATGACCCTGCTAAAAAACCTGTGAAGAAGAGACCTTTACGCAAGAGAGCCAAGGTAGATTACTCACTCAGTGACCATGAGAAGGAAATTGATGATGACAAAGAATGGAGTGAACCATCTAGTGAAAGTGAAGAGGAGGAAGACACAAACTGCTCGGAAAAATTCCCAAAGAAGAAAAACAAGTCTCCTCTGGCCAGGACAAAAGTGTCCTCTGCAGATAGTTGTAATGGTACACCAACTGAGAACATTAGCATGTCATTTATTAATCTTTTGGATGATGATAGTGATTTTGAAGTTTCAAGCAAACCATTGGTTAAAAGAAAACTGGCTGCTGATTCATCAAACAAAAAGAAGCCTGTGAAGATTATCAGCTCTGATGATTCTGATGAAAGTATCAAGTGTTTGGGAGTTTTTGCTGATGAAACAGGTTTGTATCACCAGTAGGAATGTGTGCACTTGTTTGGTTAGCCATTACTGTGGAATGGAGAACAAGATGCCTTTTCATAGCATGCAAAATTATCTCCCTTTTCTTGAGGAAAAGGAAATCCCCATAGGCTTCCAAAAAAGGCTTTTCCATCCTCTTTTTTATAATAGTGCTATATTGTAACAAAGAGGTGTTTTTACTTAGGCAGTATGTTTTATTTAACAGGTATCAACTGGTGGACTGAGGTGTTTTTGCCTTCCGACAAGAAATGGATTTGTAAGTGTAATGCTTGAGCAGCTATATTCTATCTTAATTCTCTGAGGTAATAATATTTCTATTATCATAATGGGGACATGACAAAGCATTGCTAAGTTTCTTTCCTTTTTTTGCCAGGTGTTCATCTTGAATCTTCTAGTGTCAATCATCCTGAACTGTGTGAACAACAAGCAACCCAACCTATGGTATATGTTGTGTCATTTGATAATGGTTAGTTTGACAAAATCGATTTTCCACTTGATACTTCTGTCCTTTTACCTCATTCAACTTCTCTCTACTTAGTACCTTACAAAGTGTTGGTAAAAGTACATTTACGGTTGAAGTGTTTTTATATCTTTCCTTTAAGATAATGCTGTCAAAGACGTCACCAATAGGTATGCCTCTTCCTTCATGTCTAAGACCAGGAAGCTTCGCATTGATTCTGATTGGTGGGAAGATACACTTCTTCCATACAAGTCAAAAAATAAGGTAAAATGCTCTATTATTCAATGTTGTATTAACACCACTATTTTAAAATACAGTTCTGTATATTTTAACCTTATGTTATTGGAATAGTTTAAACTGTTAGAGATGGTTTTGTATCATCGAACATCATTTTACTTGAAAAGGATAAAGTGAATCTCTAGACTATTAATTAAAACTGCTTTTCTCTTTTTGGCTAGAAAATGGATAAAATGGAAAATTCTCTTCTTGAGGGTATGTATTAAGCTCCACACCAGAACCAGAGGAGTTGTATTTGACGTTAAATCCAGTTGAATTGATCGAACAATTGCAGCACAACTCGAGCTTTGCCTTTTTAAACGTTCACAGTTTTACCTTTTTTCCCACTAGATCAACTTCTTGACAAACCTCTGCCCACCAGCATAACGGAGTACAAAAACCATCCTCTGTGAGTTTATATTGTATTTCTTTCCCTCTTTACACCTATAGGATAAGTGAGTCAGTTAAATGTAATTGTTTGCGTTAACTTGCAGTTACGTGTTGAAGAGACATCTCCTTAAATTTGAAGGTTAGTTAAAGTATACAACCTTACTGGTAGACTTAGGGTATCCACCTGTCACTGACACTTGTTCTTGACATCATGTGGCGCCATCTATTAGCGGTAGCAAAATTCTTGCAAGTCACTGTTTCCTGTGACCTCTCATAAGTCTTTGATCGACGTATTCCTTTTTTCTCAGTCCTAAAGGCATTTATCCACAAACGTTGTGCAATGAAAGTCACCATAAAATTGTAAAAGCAAAAAATTGATGCTTTGATTTAACTAACAGTTGTCATGATGATTAGGACTTTGATTTCTCAGGCTTGTACCCAGAAACTGCAGCCATTTTGGGTTATTGCCGCGGTGAAGCAGTCTACTCAAGACAATGTGTTCATTTGGTGAGTAAACTCTTCCACTCGCTTTGAGAATTTGGTGTCAGATCAAGCAATATCCCCTAGTTGGTATTTTTTTACCTCCTCAACTCGTTTCTGCTTGAAAATGTGTTAATACTATTAGTTCTTTTGTTGATCTTGCAATCGCTGGACTATCGCTTGAGAAATTTTTAATTGAAATGTCGAAAGTATAAATCGGGGATTGCTATGGTTTTTCTTCTGACACGATGTGTGATTGGTTTAGAAAACTCGCGCCACTTTCTCGGCAAATCAGATTTCGAGCCAACACCACTCGCGACTTGGTCACCCGCGTTTTCCCGCGCTTCAGGCTTCAGGTTCTTTAAGTTCTCATTGGATCCTGGTGACATTTTCCTTCTCGTGATTGGCTGTTGTGATTGCTTGGGTTTTGGATTCGGACTCTCGATTGAAAGAAACTTTATCGTGTATTTTTCTTTCGACTTTTTTTCTAGCTCCACACAAGAGAGAAGTGGTTGAATGAGGCTTTGGTTGTGAAGGCAAGAGATGCGTTTCTTTACCAGTTTATAGGAATGGACATTTTTTTCCAAAATAAACTGTTGATGTTTTTTTATTTTTCTTCTGTAAACTTATTTTGTATTACTCTTATTTTAGCAAGGCGAGAAACCTTACAAGGTTGTAAAAGGACGGCCTAAAAGGGTGAGAACTATTTTTATGTCTTTGAAGGTCGAGATTTCTAAATGTATACGGAGTTTGAAAGTTTTTTATTGATTTTTTGTTTGTTTACTCAGAATCAACCAATCCATGAGCGAGATTCAGTCACAATTGACTTGTTTGGCAGATGGCAAACAGAGAAATATAAACCTCCGCCAGCGAAAGATGTAAGGAGCTTGAAAAACAAGTGTTTGTGGCATTTAGAGAAGGAAATATGTGCATTTAAAATGAAATATTTGTGTGAATCTTTTTGGCTTTCAGGGAAAAGTACCAAGGAATGAATATGGTAACGTAGAGTTATTCCAACCTTGTATGCTGCCACCAGGAACGAGGCACATTCAAAGTGAGTTTCTTATATTATGTGATAAGTGTCAGCTCTATTGCACTTTAGAAGACGCCGCCCTTATTTTTCTGCGCCGGTAGAAGGTTGGAGGTTTATCGGATTTTTAGTAACAGGGTGGGAGTTGGGGTTGATGAATAAGATACAGTTGTGTGGGATGTTACTTTTCTGTTCGAATGACACATATTTCACGGCAGGTTCCCCCCACCCCCCCCCCTCCCCTCCCTGGTAATTTCCTGAAACACGGACTTTTTACTCGTGAGTAAGGGAAGGGATGGGGCATCTGTGTGAAGGAGGAAAGAGGGAGGAATGGGGAAGGAAGGCAAAGAAGGCGAAGGGGGTGAGGAGGCTGGGGGCTAAGGGGGGGGGGGTTAAGGAAGGGGAATAAAAGACAAGGGGGAGAAGGGAGGAGAAATGAGGGCGGACACCGTGAAATCAGAATTTCCTTGAATATTAGGTCATCGCTTCTTCAACGATGTGAGACGGACAGTAGTTCTTATCATCGCTCTTTTGTTTAATAGTTAACGGCATCCAACGGGTGGCTAAGAAACTCGGCATTGATTGCGCTCAGGCTGTGATTGGATTTGATTTTCATTGTGGTTTTAGCCATCCTGTGTAAGTAGATATTTTAAAAATGTTTTCCTCTACCGGTAAGAAGCTGTTCACCATTTTGTAGCCGCGACAGTTAGAGATATCTGAATTTTATTCTCGAATTTTAATTTATTAATGTTCTCGTTTGTGAAATTTTGGGTAGAAATAACTTACATTAATTTACGTTCATTAAAACAATGAGCGCCGTGTTGTGTTCATGACAATAATTGGAGCTCTCTCTGAGGGTCTTTCCTTAATAGGACGCAGTAGAATAGCCAGCTTTTCTTGAAGTGGAAGTAAATGGCTTGGGGACAATAACCGTTCTGGGCAGTGCAAAGTTTTTTTTTATTATTATTTGAAAGCTTGCATAAATTGTAAATTTTCTCGTCAACCTTTTTTTCTCAGTATTGATGGTGTTGTGGTGTGTGAGGAATATGAACAGGTGTTATTGGATGCGTGGCATGAAGAAGAGGAACAAGCAGAGAGGAAAAGAGCAGAGGTCTGTTTATCAATTCTCCCCACCTTATGCCATATATTTTCTTTTAAATTATTTGTGAGAATTTGATGTTTTATCGAGATAAACCATGATGAGGTTGATAAAATTTCTAATCAGCTGTTCGCTGGACATTGAATCGATTGTACGAGAAGGAGTTGACTGTGTGTTTGCTCTTCATATCTTGATTTCCGCAGAAGCGCGAAAAACGTATGCTGGCGAACTGGAAGCTTTTGACGAGGTCACTGTTAATCCGTGAAAGACTGAAGAAAAGATACAACACAGAGGTAGAGCCACATTTACTTGTCAATCTCAATCCTGTCTTATTTCGTGCCAGCTTTTCCGCGATCAGGAAACGAGAGCGAAAAGGCAGACGGACTAAAATCGAAATAGAGAAGCCCTCTTTCCGTCGTCATCGGTTTCATCCCTCCTACGTTTTTTTCCCGCTCGCTCCGCCTTTTTGTTCGTCCCATCGAACTGAGTACATGGAATAGGTTAGTTTGAAGCAGACATGGTTTCTCTTGTACCTGGATATTTTTCTTGTTGTCACTTAAATAATTGAATCGAAACAACCCAGTAACATTAAATTATTGAAATCGCGAGAAAGAGCGACATACATATTCGAAAATGTACGCGGAGTCTTGAAAATAATAGCTGTTGAGGTACAATTTTTGCATTCACTCTCTCTAAAGTCTTCGCAACTGCTAGATTTGTTAGTGTCATGCTGCTACGTAGGTCGAGCTTATGTACTTCTTTCTTGCGCTCTGCATTTTCGGACCCTTGCACATGTATGATTCCTGATCCAACCTCCATGTGTTGAGAAGTCAACTCTGGTACTAATAATCGCTCTTCATGTGGCCGTCTTTGCAGGAGACAAGCACAGTTGAGACACCAAGCCAAGAGGACGAGGCTGCCACCGACACCTTAGTTTCATGGCCTCAAAACAGACAAGGTAACGCTCTGTTGATAACTAAGCCATTTTATAGAGATATGGCCAAAGTGTGTTTGGCACGGTGATTTTTTTAACAATGTGCAATGAAAATTGGCACAGAATTCGTTTTGGTAGGGGAATTTCAGTACAGACGAAATTTTTCGACTCTAGTTAGCGTCACTTTCGTAGTAATAAACTTGTTTAGTTTTACAGTAAAGCGACAATTGTTTGTTTAGTCTGATCCTCCCGATGAACGTAGTCTTGAGAAGGATTGTTGTTAGTAATAGCGACTGACGTTTCGACAACCTAAGCGGAAGACATCATCCGAGTCGAATTGTTTTAGTTCGGTTCATGTCAGTTGATCGGTCTGTTGTGCAGAGATGTGATTGGCTGCGAGACTCGAGTAGAGTTCGTCGGTCATGATTGGTCAGTTTTGATCTGTTAGTCTTGTTGGTCGTTCTGCTCTGTTTGTCTGTAGAGTAAATTTCGCGAATAAGTTGACGGACTTCCAATCCAACGGAAACAAATAACATCACGCTTTCTTTACCACAAAGGTTGTCGAAACGTCAGTTTCTAGCACCGAAAGTAAAAGTTCTCAAGACTACTCATCCGGACGATCAGATTACACGATCAAATAGTACAGTATTAACCTTTTTCTTCATGTTGTCTTTGAAGCGGGCAAAACGAGTGTTGCTGGTGAGGGACATTGCCATGTATTTCCTGAGAGTGGACACTCACAGGATCCTGTTACCGGAGAATGGAGTAAATCATGTTCGTGTGGATTAACTCTTCCGTTCGAAAAAATGTAGACAGAAAAAAAAAAAAAACTCCGTCAAACAAAATTCAAATTGTAAGTTAATATTAACAGTGTAAATCCAAACGTTTCTTTCTACACCTTGTAAAACTACTATTTAGTTCCTGAAGTTTGACTAAAGAAAACATGCCCATGGAAAAGAAAAATTGCGCACTTGAGTTTTGAGCACCGTTGGTGCTGCAGTAGCATATATTATGACCTTGAGTAAACGCAAAGAAGGTTGTTGTTAGTCTCTGACTGTGGGTGAAATAATCTTCAGAAACAATTGACCATCGCCTAGCCAACAATTTGGAATAACTTTTTGAACGAGTGACGTAAACCCAAAACCAGAATACTGTTTGAGCGCTTTTTACTCGTGCCGTAAAACCGCCCGTCATAGCGAAGGGAAATTCCCTGATAACTTAAGGTAAAAAGAAGCAAACGAATTAATAAAAGCAAAACCAAAGCAATATCTGATCATTTTCGACACTCATGGAAAATTGCTCTCTGTCCGATCAATACGAAGGTAAACATCACTAGGCACCAGTCAGAACTTAAACAAAGGCTTGGGAAACGCGGCTGTCAAAGCATGATTGATTAACGGATTCTCATCTCGTTAGTCGAGAACGTGTCGCAAAATTCCAAGGCTAATCGCACGGCACAAATACGTACAATAGTCAATTGAAAATTGGTCTATGAACAACAGGAAAATGAGGAACTAAAATTGTGGTTCTCTACTATTTCATGGAATATTTGTTACATCTATGTCCAAATCAACATTGGTTTAACATACTTTAATTAGTTTATACCACACAGGTTGACAGTACTTTTTTGCACACGCAGAATGGCCGGTTTGGAAGTGATTAGCAAATACTATCCACCTCCAAGCTGCCAAAGAGGAAAAATTGAACATCAACAGTTTGGTTTCTGTGTGTTTTATACTAAAAACTAATTATTATTCACCTCGGTGTTGGTGAATAAGGTGTATATTTACCTCCACTTTAGTGAATAATTATTTTTTATACTTTATTTTAACTGACATGTATCAATTTTTCCAGTTGCATTATTATTTGACTTCTTTTTGGATTGCAATCATTGCAATCACGAGGGTGGCATTAAGGGATGTAACAATTGGTCATTAAATGACAAAATGCAGATGTATTGCAACAGGATAGTATCTAGTTCATAAGCTAAATAAATTGTTTTGTTTATGCAGATGTTACTTTTACAATGTATTTTTCTTTTTTAAGAGTAACTGTCACATAATAAATTGTTGTTAACAATGCAATCATTTGAGCAAGACCGTTGTTCATTTTCAGAAGGGAGGGGTCATAATCAGATGGGTTGAAAGTTTCTACCCTGAGCTCAAACTGGCTTCTTTAACCCTTTAGCCCTTTCATTCCTGAGGGTGACTAACATCTAATTTCTCCATTCAATATCACCCCTGAATCAAACATTAAGGTCATGAGAATAAAGGAAATGATAATCAACTGTAGAACCTCTTGATTGTTTAACAAATTCTCCTTTCAACACATTAAGAAATGTATAGAGAACAGTATAGAGAATATTTATGTTAGGGTGTAGAGGGTTAACTCCTAAGATCTCATTAGTAGTTCTCCTTACTGTCTGCTATACAATTCATATGATGTTAGTTTGGAGAATTTAGAATTGGGCTGACCAATAATCCCCTGATTGATATTTTTCTTTATTCTCATTACTTGTCTACTTGACATTGCACTGATAGCATAAGGAGAAATTCTTTCTTGGTCACTAAGAGGACTTACAGGGTTAACAACTTATCACTACCTTGATTTTCCTTCCTAGGGATCCACAAGCTACAACATCCCCCTCCCCAGCCAAGATTGTTCACTCAAATGCTTAACAAAAACATCTTTGTTTAAATTCTTTTTGGTCAATGCGAAAATATTTCTGTAGTTTTGGTTCCAATTTCAAAATCATGCCATTTACCACTGCTACTTTCTTAGCACAGACTCCAGCTGTTGTTGTTATTTTGATGAGTCACAATCATCTCTGCATGCAGGTGCACTAAAACAACCATAGCCAGTGACTAACTGTAAGTCTCTTTCCCACTTTTGTTTTGCACTGTTTTTTTTTCCTTCTTCTGACACACAGTAAGTCCTCTGTGTGGGCTTGTTTCAGTTGAAAGCCACCAGCCTAATAAGATTGCAGTCTTGAGGGTGTCGCTTAGCTATGCCACACCTAAGTAACAGTTCAATGTATGGTGGCCAGTGACTTTCCTTGATTCTGATGTAAGGATCGTGAGGCCTAACGTAGGAGATGTTCATCAGATCCTGTTTCAAAAAAAAAAAAAAAAATTTTAAGAAACATTCCTTGGAAAAATACACTAATTGCATAAAATTACTCCTTAAATGACAGGCCTGGCAGGATGGTTTACATTTGCATGCACCTCAACCATAAAGTAGTGTAGACAAAGATTTTTGCTCCTGGGGAGCAAGAATGGTAGGGTTTTGATCCTTTAACTCCCAGGGGTGGCGTTGGGGGGATTTCTCTTTACAGTATCAGCTTTAGAAGCATTAAGATTATGGGAATGAAGAAAAGACTAGGGATACTGTTTTATTTAATTCTAAGCTCTCACTTATGAGCTACAAGAAATGTACAGCAAACATTGTGGAGAATTGAAATTTAGATCTCTGGGGTCAGAGGGTTAGGAAAGTTTCCTTCTCTCTCCTAGGTATCATCCCAGATATGTGGGTTGCAAGTAGTATTGATTTTGTTTGCCTTAAAGTCTCTTTTTCTTTAGGTTCTTCAAATTTCCTCCCTCCAAAAAACCAACTCTCCAAATTCCAAAGCTTTATTTTTATTTTTTTTTTCTCTAACTTGATTACCATGTTACCAACAGGGTCAGCCTGGTGGTGTAGCAATTATCACACCCAACAAGCGTATTGAAGAAATTTCATTTCAAAGAGAATTTTTTTTCAAACATTTCACAGTACATTGTAAGATAAAATCTAAAGATACCAACAGTAACAGGTAAAATACTTTCCCTTATGTATGCAAAAGAACTGCTATAAGATAAAGATCTGGTGAGAATATGTACCTCAGTTAACTTTTGCATTGAGATGTACCTAACATTAGGGTTTAGATGGACCTTTCCCTGGAATAAAAATAAATTAAAAGTTTATGATAACTCAGGGCATAATGGCAACAAAGTGTACCCTAACAGTTTGCTACAATTATAGTCTGCCATTTAATGCAATTAATACAATTTCCTTTTTGAATGATGATCATAATTGTAGTAAATAATTGCCAACTGTTGCCAATAGGAAACTGGTACATATAATTCATATTGCCAACATCAAGTCCTGAGGGATTACTGACACAATCCTATTCTTATCAATACTCATAATTAACCATTTAACCCATAAAAGTGACCAACATCTAATTTCTCCTTACAATATCACCCCTGAATCAAACATTAAGGTCATGAGAATAAAGGAGATGATCACCAACTAAAGAAGCTCTTGATTGTTGAACAAATTCTCCTTGTCAGAACCTTAGGAAATGTCTAGGGAGTAGTATGGAGAATATGCATACTGATGTTAGAGAGTAAGGGGTTAAAGTAAATAATTGCCAACTGTTGCCATTAGGAAACTGGTACTCATAATTCATATTGCCAACATCAAGACCTGAGGGATTACTGGCACAACCCTCCTCTAATCAATGCCACCTTAACTTGTGAATGTGTATGCTAGCTACGTGCCCTCCACTACACATCAAATGACATTTACCTTGCTTCCTTTCAAGTTATCAGGTGATGGAAGGGGAAAGTTTTCAGCCAAAAAAGAACCCTGAAAAATTAAGCAAAGGAAAGCCTGAAGCTGAAAATCAAATTAAATTCATGATTGATATTTAATTTTTAATACAGTGCCTTTGAGGTATGATCTGGCAACTGCCACTCCCCTGTCAAAAAATTCTCTGTAATATAAGTCAACTTCTTTGGCTGATCAAATTTTTTTTCATTCTTACAACCTGTTTCCCATGTCCACACTGACATTACAGGAGAGCAATTTTAAAGCCTGTGCATGTGCTGAATGACTGACTAGCTACCTCCAGGTTAGTGGAACAAGAGCCAAGTCCTTTAGAAGCTGAATCCTGGGGCTTGACACAGAGCTAGTGTTAATCTATCAAATAAGATATCAATAAAACTAACCAGTTTCTTTGTGATCTCCACAAGATATGCATCTGCAGATTTCTTCTTTCTTTCCAGCTCCTTCACCTGGCTGCAATGAAGGCAACAGACAATACAACTCACTTATATCTAAAAATATATCACAAAGGAAAAAAGATCCTTGACTTCAGGATGACATTATAAATGAGAGCCCCAGCTGAAAGTATGCAATAGGGAATGCAACCTGATCAGAAAAACTCCAAAGAAGCCCCACCCACCCATTCCCAACATCACCACCACCACTAAAGCATTTTATAAGCTTTGCTACAGAGAGGCAAATTTTAGTAATAACTGACCCAAGAGTTCTTATGTTCCTTCTGAGCTTATTGTGAAGCATGCAAATACACTGCAGAAGATCCAAAACTTGAGAGAATTTTTCCAAATGTATCAATTTTGAACACCTAAGTTTTTCATTCCCCTTCATAGAAATCTCTCCTAAGAAAAACAAAAATACACTCAGTCTCCATAAATTTCACTACATTGGCCAGGGCTCCTAAATCACAGCATTTCCATTCAAGTTCCAAGAAAATAATATTATACCTCACCCTGCTGAAAACAGGGGTTTGAGTTGTGGAATTCAATACATCTCTTTTAGACTTTGATCCCTAAAAGCATCTAGCATCTAACTCTCCTTAAAATACCACCCCTGAATCAAACATTGTTGCTTTTTATTTTCAAGACCTTACCAATGACATTAAATTATATGAACTTTCTTTTTCTTCAATATATAATTTTCCATATTAACTATTCACAACCACTTGTTTGCCGCATGCAGATTTCAATCTTGAGAAGCCAGTATTAACTCTCTAACTTCTAGTGGTGATTAGCATCTAATTTCTCCTTACAATGTCCCCCCTGAATCACAAATTAAGGTCACAAGAATAAAGGAAATGATCAACTTAAGAAGCCCTTGATTGTTAAGAAAATTCTCCTTGTCAGCACCTTAAAAAACATATGGAGAACAGTATGGAGAAAATGCATACTGATTTTGGGGTGTACAGAGTTAATTAAAAGTAACTTCAAACTATTATATTTAACCATTTTTACCTTGTTACACCCTGAACATTTTCTTTCTCCTGCTCTAGACTATTGATTTTGATCTGTAGAGATTTTTGTACTTCCTGGTGCTGTTGTAGAAGCTCTTCCTCTCTAAATATCACAGTAAAACATTTATCAATATTGCAGCATAGATGCATACATCTAACCCTTTAACTCCCAGAAGTGATTTACATGTAACTTCTCCCAACTATATCCATACATTATCCAACAAACAGGTTATGAGATAATGCAAACTTATCAGTTGGAGATTGTTATCATGATATAACACCAAATTCTTGTCACAAACACAAGGAAATGTGAAACAGCTAGATGGGAGAATTGACAATCAGATCTTGGGAGTTAAAGGGTTAATAGGCCATTTTACAGTTGTGTACTTGTTGTGATAGAGACTAGTATCTAGTTAACATTGATAATAACAAGGCAATTTGCATTTGAAAAACAGCAAAGTTTGTGCCAAACAAGGTCACCTTTAGCCTTACTCCTATTAAAACGCTTGGCAGCCAAGCATGTAACTGTAAAATGAACTATTTATCAAATGCACTTCCAATATGTGCCTCTTCTCCCACTGGTATCTAGGTCAAATTTGAAATTTGGAAAGTTGTTTTTGTGGAAGCAAAAAAAAAATTTAGAAAACCCTCAGAGCAAGACTAAAAACTAACAGCAAATTTAAAATAAGTAACATTTCATAAGACACCAGCAGTGGAAGGGTGCAGTCTCATCATTCTACCCCTCTTCAAATCCCCCCACCCCCCCCCCCATACTACCCAGGTCTATGTACTAAATCATCACCTTTTCAGATCATCTTCCACCTGTTTGCGTTGTCCTTTTATGATTTGCAATGTTTCTTCTAGCTGCTGTATACTTGTCAGCAACTATATTGGACAATTAAAGCAGAGTAAAGTAAGAATCACTGAAGAACTGTGTTGTGTGATGGATTACAAGCAAGTGTCCATAAAGGGCACCAACGAGTAAAGTGAACAAAAGAAGAAAAGGTACATTAACATCCTCTCTAAAGAGTCTTTTACAGTTAATACAGAGTTACAAATATTCATAAAAACATTTCAAGTCATTCATACCTCACTTTTCAGATGAGCATCAGTATAGTTAGGATCCGTTGATGTCACTGAAACAAAATTCAATTCATCATAAAAAACAAAAACTTAAGAAATTAAAAAGAAGACATTAAGACTTGGCTTAACCCTTTAACTCACATGAGTGACCAAGACAGAATTTCTCCTCACAATATCAACACAATATTAAACCAGATAAGTAATGAGAATAAAGAAAAATATCAAGTTGGGGATAATTAGTTGATCCAATACTAAATTCTCTGAACTATCATTATAAGAATTGTATGGGTGACAGTAAGGAGGATTACACATTTGATCTGAGAGTTAAAGGCTTAATAAATGAAAGCAGCTTTAAAATACCCATATATACAGAGTTCTTACCTAAGCAATTTCAGCAACTGAAAATAATTTCTTAGCCCTTCTAAGCCATTATCTTAGGCATTTCCAAACAAATTAAAACATTAATATCAATATCATTAAAAAAAAATTATTATTAAATGATAGTCACATTTACATGCATCAATCAGCAGGAGTTAAACTAAAAGCCCCATACTTAAGTAGAGTGACAACTACTACAAGACCACTCTGACTGCTGCCTTTTTAGCCACAAACAGGCTCTCCTGTTTGCGCTTTGCCTCATGGCCTCTTTTCTGGGCACAGCCAGGTTTTACACCACAGACAACCATAGACAAGGTTCCCAAGGCTCTTTCATCAGTGGTAACACATGTTCATACACACAAGTAACAGGGTGCATGCCCTTTTTCAGAAACAAATTTCAATGACTTTTCCAGGACTTTTCCAGGATTTTCTAGGATTCAGATTGTTTTCTCCAGGACTCCAAATTTTACCTTTAAACCTTCCATTCCCAAGATCTACAAATCAGTTCTCCTTACCATCTAGATACATTTTGTATAACATAAATTCTAAAAACTTTGTTGCTTGATTTCAACAAATTTCAAGGACTTTTCCATGACTCAGATGGATTCTTCCAGGACTCTGAATTTTACCTTAAAACCTTTTAGTTCCAAGATTTAAAAATCAGTTCTCCTTACCACCTACATAAATTTTGTGTAACATAAATTCTGAAAACCTTACTGCTTGATTTAAGCAAATTTCCAGGACTTTCCAAGAGCTGTAGTCTCTTCCCAGGAATTTCAAGTTCTGGAAAATGCCAAAATAAAATTCCACAGCTTTCCAGGATTTTCAGAACCTGTGCAAACCCTGGAGTAATTCTTCAACTTACCTTGGAGTCCTTGATTTTCAACTGCTATGAGTTCTGTTTGAAGCTTCTTCTCTTTTACTTTTAAGACTCGCTCAAGAACCTAAAGAACAGTGTATAATATAGGCTTTTGTGTTCATATGGCTTCACTAATAAAGACCATCTTGCTGTCAAAATAGCAAACAGAAATTGCTTTCAATGATTAACAAGACTTAGCTTTGGTCTCAGCAGTTTGTAAAGTTTGATGTCCTAAGTATGGATTAAGTATTGTTTTTGTTCTTGCTGATTTTGACCATTTAAGGCTTCCAGTTACATAAAGGACTTTGAGATCGAATACAGTTAGGCTTGAGGAGAATCTTTGACCAAATGATCCAGAATTTGGGTTTCTATGTACTTATTGTAGATCACATCAAGATTGCAACTGCACTCTCAAATTAACTTACCTTATAAGCATCAAACTCCTCTTCACCCATGTAAGTTGTGTTAGAATTTGTGGATCTTGCATCAAGACGAGCATGGGTCTGAAAAGAAATGAATTGATAAAAATATCATCTAAAAAAAGATTGACCATAGATAGTTATGTAGGTCATAACATTGTACCATATTCAAGAGAGTACTTTTTTCAGCATTTATAGAAAGGAAATAGAAAAAAAAATAATCAGGCTTCTATAATGTAGTACTTTGGGCACACATTTGTATTATTTACATACATAAGCATTGATTCCTAATAAAAAGTGTCAGAGGTTCAATAATCCTAAGAGATAAGAGAGTCTTTTTTAGTTCTGATAGATTTTTAACAGTTATATGTCTGATCAAGTATCATTTTGGAGCAACTGCACCAAGTGGAAGGACTGAACAGAAAAACATTTGGCACAGGACCATGACTTCAGGAACAACCACAGAGAAGTTTGTGCATCATGATCAAGAGCCAAATATTTTCCTGTCTGGCTCAACCAAAGTCAGTGGATAAGCATTTTATCATATGACCATTAAGCATCGAAAATTTGGTAAAATTATGTTTCAACTCACAGTAAATAGGATGCAATAGATGGGCACAGGCAAGATACCTACAAACAATATTTTAAATTCTTATTTTTTTCGGAGTCAGAACTAGAACTTCAAAATTCAATTCAATTCTTGAGTTTTCGCAATAAGGCCATGTAAGTCCCAAGACTGACAGCTTTTTACCTTGCACATGACAGCTTTCACTATGTTTTGCAATAGGATTGAGCATGCTGTGCCTGACAGGTCATATGATAATGTAAACCAGGGCATGCCTGCATGGCTCACTACAGCTACATTAGAGATACATCACTCACATTATTCAGTTCTTTCCAGATATTTTCACAATCATTCCTGAGTTGTGTTTCAGTTGGCGTTTGCTCAGCAGACATCTCATCAACTTGTTCACTTGACTTGTTGTTATTTCCATCTTCTGAAACAGCTGAGCTCTCTTCAAAGCTTAAGGAACGCCGAACATCTTTGACACTCTGAGAATAAAAGTAATTGTAATCCTCAATAAGAAAATTTGCCCACAGGAAACTTAAAAATTCACATAGTCTGGCGGCATATATATCTTATCAAGAGATCTACAATCAACTTCCTTTGTTGGAGATCAGGTTTGATACCAAGTAAACAAAGTTTTACATGACTATCAATTGAAGAAAACATATTCTCTTCTTACCAAGTTATTTGATGTGCTCACAGACATCTTGAACAACAATTATAATTCCTGGATAAAACAAAACATAAATGTTTATTACTGAAAGACCATTACATAGAGAACTACATAGAGCCCATGATCTTTATTTCATCCAGCGCATTTACAATGCTCTAAAATCAAAACAATACAACAACAAAAAAACAATTTAAAATATCTTTCCCTTTCCTTTAAAGCATGACAACCACTTTCATGATTAAATGGAAAAAGTAATCATGGTTCAGACTGGTTTCAAAATTTGTTACCAAGAAAATATTTGAACCATTACATGATGAAAAAATTTGTTGAAACATAAGTGCGCCCCTAACAGCAGCCATTATGAGCATGTTCAAGATCTGAACTATTCAATTTGAAAAAAGCCAATCAGAGTTGGGAATAAATCTTTTACATACAGATATATTCAAAAAGTAATTCAATAACAATAGCAATCTGCTCACTTCAAAACATTTTCACCCCATCCATACTTGGCACATGCTCTGAACAGTAAAGGAAGGGAATCAATGACCTTGGAAACTTCAAAGTGGTAACTATCATGTTTCACTGATTAATTTCACTGATTCTGGTTAATTTCATGAGCACAAATGACAGATGACAAAACCTTGGCCTTGGGCTACAAAAAAGGGTGATATTTTATGCTTGCACAGTGAGACACCCTACTGACCAGGGGGCTGTAAGTTTTAGAAAAAGTAAAAGCCTCCTCGATCACTATCACATGAACAAATTCATATTTTCTCTTGCCATAACACAAATGCATATACATGCATATTTAAAGTAAAACATTATGGAAATCATGTGTCAGGAGTTCTACCTCAGTTTCACTGAACAATTAGAGGAACAAGTTTAGACATGTAAATCCATGCTTCTTTACATTTTAATGAGCTCTTTGAGAGTCAGTCAACACTTAATAAGGGGAAGGTATCATGCAAAAGGAATGTTGCTCTTTCATCGAAAAAAGGAAGTGATTATCACTATTCTAACCTGAAAATAAAAAATTCAGTCAATTTTTGAGTCAACTAAAGGGATAAAAATTTTCATAAGCGATGAAGTAGTTGACTGATATGATTTCTGATGGTGGGTCATTAAATCTTATTGACATCTGTCAACTAGTAAAATAATGATGATAACCTTTGCAAAACAAAAGCATAACATTACCAATGACACATAGAAAGAGGTTGATCCTGGTCTTCCCTTCAACCATAGCAAATTATAACATTGGCTGTTAATGGAATACACTTCAATACGCTAATCGTATAGCAGGTAAGGTTTATCATTATTGACTTTCCCTTGGAGCGCTGGATCTATAAATTTAACGCTTACTCTTCTTCATTCATCGGGTTTTTTATAAAACGAGTTAAATTTTCTATAAAATGGTTTGTAGCAACAAAGATGCGGTTTATTCGCTGAGAGATACCTGAAATAAGACCATTTTCAATGTATAACAGCTAAGCGTCCTAAAATATCTCTTATTTGGGCTGCGAGCCGCCATGCTGCTAAAAAGGCGCGAAATTGACATTAAATGAGGTAAACGAGCTGTCTTCAAAGAACAGAGATTTCTTTCGAGCTAAAGAGCATTGCGGTGGTAAGAAACAAAACAACTGACCGTCAGTTTGCACATATAGGAGCAGATCTCCACGATTTCAAAAGAATCATTAGCTCATCGTCGAATCAATAATCAAATACAGATGCTCGACACTTTGTTGACAGGCCCGGGCAAGCACTTTACGCGCGCAATCACGACATATCACGTGACGCGAATTGAGTGACAACACTCCATGAATGAACTAATTTAGACCGTCGTATTGTTGCAAACAGCCAATCACCGCCGTCAAAATGTTGTTGATATAGCAACTTGCGTAAAAAATTTGAAAGGACAATGGCGTCGGTTACGGTCCGTAGTAAGAATTTTCTGCCTCCCCGGCTGGCGGTCGGAAAGGTTTGATTTTCGCCTAATCTTAGCGAGACAGGCTACGAAATCACTGAATCTTGTAGAAATTCGCAAAGCTGTTGTGTGATCACATCTCTCTTTGACACCAACCGCGACAACTTCGAGGTAAGTGTAAAAATTTTCATTCAAAAGCACTCCGCGATATTTAGGACGGCTTCTGCAAGCCTGAGCAATACTGGCGCCGAAGAGAGCTTGCAAGTGACCGATGCGTGTTCTCGCCTCTCTTTCGCTCGGGTTTGGAAATCGAAATGCGGTGTTTCAATGCGCAGATCATGTGTTCTACAATGTTCCAAACAAAGTCCGGACATGATTGATCAAAGTACAAAAAATGCGAAGAGTAATGACAATAGTACAATAGTCCCATATCGTAAACAAGTAACTGGAGGACGACTTTGATTCTTGTTTTGGCTTATTTTTAAGACCGTTTTTCGTCGATCAACAGATTCAATGCTTGTTCTCACCGTAAAAAGACAGATTCAAAATATTTTCATCGGGGATTCCCCCAGGATGTAACAAGTTTTTTACTCAAGGTCGTTCCATAATGGTTGCGATCGTACGACCCGGCGACTTTGCTTTCCATTTGGAAGCAATATTTAGAACATCCGTTCTAAATACAAATCGATGAAAACTATATTTATCCATACAACGCTATACAAGTACTGCACGAAATTGTTTTGAAAGGTGATTTTGTGGTGAAGAAGCTGTCTGCTTTCCTAAGATCCGTTTTCGATTAAAAAAAACCATCTTTCAATGACATTCCTTTACACAATACTAAACCGCAAGAATACGTCCCAGCAAGACCATTAAACTATCAGGTTTAAAACCTTTAAAGGTCATTCTAGAACACAAGATCGTACATTGGGTATCGAATACATCACATGGATGATTTACTCGCATTTTTTTAAAATATTCTGATGTGGAAGAAAGAGGAGCTTTCGTTTAAAAAATACTGACTTGGTGAAGGAATATTTTGACTTCTATTGTAATGCAAATACAGAGATCAGGTGAGGTTCTCTATTGTTCATTGTTGTACCAGTTCAAAACAAAGACCTCTTTCATAGCAAGAAAGAACTCCGGAAAATGTCAATTTTCAACCGATTTCTCTCAAAACATACAACTCTGTCGGGGGCTCAACTTAAAAACAAACGTGGGAAAGAAAGGAAGTCGAAGCTAGCCGATTTTCTTACGATAACATCGATTGTTTTCAAAGTACGATTGCGGTTTGACAGACATGTTTACGTACTAGAAAACAAGTACCTTATTGGTACACGGAATTTTGATATCGATTGAAATCATAGATTTTTAAATCAGTATTTAATGTAGTTTATAATTTGTCCTCCAATTTAACAAAATTTTCAGCTAGTCTAGGAATGTACCGTTTACGCGCGGGTCAATTCTCATTGTGTGGGTTATCGAGACTCTAAGCCGTTATTTTACTGAAGTTAAAAAAAAATTGTAATATCAAAAAGGCGTTTGCTACCGCCAATATCAGATAATTCAAATTTAATCCAAATATATTGATGTTTGGCAACGGTAGGTTTAAATATCGATTTCCTGAATCCTAAATCCACTACTGACAGTGAACGATTGTTATATTTTTTATTTCATTGGTTGGAATTTCAGGTCATTTCTAAATATATAGTTAGCCTATATTTAGTCGAAGATGTGTAGTTTCTGAATGATTAGGCTGCTAATTTGGAATGGAGAGCCCGAGCGGTAGAGATGCACTTTTCTCGGTACTTAGATAATACTTACATGTTGCAACGGTTTCGTTACGAAAAAAGGATTGTCAAGAAAAATAGTCTGTTAAAACTTACCCCCTAGTCCAAATAAGATGACTGCTTATTAAATGAAATATGACTTTATCGTATATCTTGACTCACAGTTTATAAATATCAACTCCATTAGCGTTTTACTCAAATCTAGAGAAAGAACCAGTTCGTTTTGTCCATTCGCGAAGGTTTATAATGTCCTTATGTACATTGCTACGGAACTCCGACCAAGATAATATTAACTCATTTATTGAAGAAAAACACATGAGAAAGCTCTAATCTAAACCCCATCGCCAGGTCCTATCGTCTAAAGAAGATGTTTAGAGATAACCCAAATGATGCATCTCTTCCACTTTTGGACTATTGCAACCTCTCCTCAGTGAAACTTAGCCAAAGGGTTGTACATTAATCCAATTTTCTTATCTTTTCTTCGCCCTTTCCTTGACAATTTACGAATGACATAGGCGCTACGCTCTAAAATATATACAAATACCACAATAATAGGAGATGAGTGTCATATTTATTAAACATCCGTTTTCTAAGGATCAAATCGCCTCTATTAGGCTACACAACGGAAACAAATTTACAGCATTCACTGCATTCAAGCGGGATACTTAAGCTGCAATGATAACCTTTGTGAAGTCGCTCTTAAATTTAGTGGAATCTAGCTGTGATTCTTTGCTTCAAAGCTCTTTGTCTTTCTTGACAAACTTTTGTGAAGACCTGAGTTGGATTCGGTCAACATGACGCCAAATCCAGCGTATGTTTACAAATCGAATTGACATCTTTGCATATATTACAGACTAGTGGTAACTGAAAATTTAGTTAGAAGTATACAATTTAATATGATTTAATCCAGAGCTTTTTTTTCTGGTTTATAATTGTGTTAGCGCCTCAAGACACTGAAACACTTAATTATTTTTGTTTTTTTTGTTTTTTTTTTTACTAATTCGCGTGCAATAAGTTTACTTTTTCTATGTATGTGAAAAATTGTTTTTACTTTGGTACCTCTCACTTTCTATTTTTGCTGTTTTTCGAGGGCCCTCAAGAAAATTTCTCACAGGAATAAGTCCACTTTCTCTCCAATATAATTGAGACAAATTAATCTTGTATTTGTCTCAGTGTGTATTTATAGAAAATAAAATATGAGTGATTTGTTTCGATCGAGACAATAAGTTAACAGAAATCCACGCTGTATTGATGACGGGGTGGAATGTCTGGTAGGAAACAGAAATGGTGTTTTTGATGCCATGAAAAGAAGCGCTTTTCCAAACAACGCCCGCACTTAAATGAAATGTCTGCGCCGGTATTCCGTTGTAATCAGAAATTGTGAATCCTGCGTCCAAATTGAGAATTTGATCATGTGATTATTATTTTAAAGCTGAACTGTGAGATCATTTTCAAGGGACGATAGATTTCCTCTTATTAACTCGCTTAGGCAAAGTTTGCGAACTGCTAATTAGCCGATTCAGTTGTCCAATACCCAACTTGTTTTCACATGCGTTTGCTGAATCATTTTTCCCCGTTTCTTCCATGGTCATTTGTTATTGCAAGGTTTTTGTTATGACATGGCTTCAGATCGTTGTTATCTTACACTTTAGAAGGTAAAACTGAATGATCTGTTGTCTATCGGTCTATCACAGCGTCATTGACATATTGAAAATATGAATTACTATCCTGCCGAGTTACATTGGATGTTAAAGATCGGTGCACCTAATTACAAATTGCTTGGGATTTTTTACGCGTGGTTGAAATAAATTAGGGTGTAAAAGCTGCACAGCCAAAACTGCTTGTTTACAGCAATTAGACAATGATGTCATCAAGGGAAATTTACCTACGCGATTTTCAGTTTCGATAAAACAAAAACCTATGCAAATTTTACGATTGAGTGCACTTGGTTCCAAAATGGTGGTTTCGACTGAAGTCATACAATTCGTCGAAAAGTTGCATCATCTTTTTTTGTGAAACGTTGTGTAACGTTTTTGCAATGACGAGTTGGGCTTTTGTTCCTTTATGCACTACTTCAGTTCTGTATAACTGAAAAAAACTGGCTTTGCATATGATATGTTCACAGTTTAATTCAGTTTTCTGGTATATTTATGAAGTTGATGAATGTTATTTGGTTGACTGAATTTTTTTTCTGTTCAATGAAGACTCTTGAATCGAAGCAGTTTCATTGATTGCTTGATTGTGGTCTCCAAATGCCATTTTGCGTTTTCAAGTCTCACTAATTGACCACACGGTTAGAACCGCAACTATTTGCCGAGACATCTTGCAGTTTAGGCTCCGAAGTATTTTGAAATTTTTTCCAATTGTTCTCGATGGAAAAGTGGTTCCTTATCAGCCATAGTCTAACTCAAGGAAATAAATCGATTTCTACGCTTCAAAGTTCAGTCCCAAACGTCAGAATTTGATCCTATCGTAAATGAACTTTTGAAGACCTAAGAGCTTTAATGTGCCGTAGGCGGTTAACTACATCAACTATGCATAATAGAAGGTTAGACAATCATACCTTTACGGGGTTATTTTCAGCTGTATAACTAGCGACAACATTTTGAATTTGATATCAAAACAATCAACTCACATGTAGATTCGCTGTTTCATTTGCATACGTGAAAATGAAACTATTCGACCTAAACCTATAAACTGTAAGATTTTGGTGAAAGATAATCTAGAGTTGGCAAATGAACTTGCTAAGTAGACATAATCATATTGATTAACATCGGAACAGGAGAATTTTGGCAAAAATATACGTGCTTCTCAGAGGAAAAAAACACATCGCACCAAAATCTAAGCAATATATCTAATATCTAACCGAAAAATACCCAACCGGCGTGCAACTGAACTAGCGTGGAACTGAAGGCGTAATGCCATGGAAACTCTTGAAATATCTTTAATTTTTCATTGCACTACACTCCAGGAAGTCCATTTTCGGAACAATAGAGTCATTGCGCAAGGGAAAACTGAAGAGGTCTGACTAGACTCGTACCGATTATTTGCGGTTTTGCGTATCATGATTCGCTGCTTCGGAGCAATTCGCCTTGGCTGTTTATCTATGAGTTTCTCATCTTAGTCTCCCTGTGCTTGTTCAAGTGATCGAGAGTACAGCGAAGATTTTTACCTTTACAAGATCAAGTTCAGGTTTGGCATAGTTTCAAATGTTTTATTTCCTTTTGGGTTCAATCGTTTTTCGCTTGAGTTGTTGTAACGCGCATTCATACCTTTCGCTATTTCAGTGGCGGGTTTCCTCGCGTGTCATATTTGCTTTTGACTGAAATTGTATCGTCTTAAAACAGAAGATTATGCCCTCTGTGGCAAAGATGGCCCTGAGCTCTCCTTTTTGTTTTCTCACTTTTGAAGTTGTTGAGTTACTCATGACAAGTATTTCGCACAAAGGATCTCTAAAGTATCGCAAATTTTTGCCAAAGTTTGTCCCGTATTAAAAAATCCCTCAGTGCTGATTCAAAGGTTTGTCACAGATTCATGAAATTCTTTAGTACAACCTTCCGGGAAAATATCAGATGTGGTCGAACCGCGTAGTGAAAATTGAAAGTAAAACTATTTCGTCAGCATAAACATTAAGTAAATATTTTAAAAGAATGTGTTGAATTGACAAAAATCGCTGAGCGGAACTCACTACTGCGTCATCAAATCTAACACATTTCGAATGGGAATTTCCAAGGGTTTTTCTCTTTCCTGTGTAAAACTGATTTCTGTCAAACTTGAAGCTCAGACGGTAAGCTCTCTTTCAGAATTAAGTTTATCATGATAGTGTGCTCCACTTTTCGCGTTTGGTGATTTCATTTCCGTTTTGTTATACGGAATGATATTCTGCCGAAGAGGCGGTTTTAGTTCAAAACCAAGACGTCCCGGAAAATGTTGAACAACTTTAAATGTATTAGCCCATTAGGTTGAATTAAGAACTTTGTAATTGTTCATGAGTGAAAAAGGAATATTCTAGCGAGGGCTGATGTAAAGGCATCTTTCATTTACCTGTCGAAAGGTTTCTCAAACTGTAGCTGAAGAAGATGGCGTATAAAATTTTCAGTTCGGTCATCAAATGATAAAAGATTACATCCATTTTCCAATGATATGGTATTAAGAAAAAATCTTACTTATCCACCAGAATTCGGGCCTTAAACGTTTAGATTTCGCGGTGCGATGTTCCAGAAGAGAAAGCTTCTATACAGAGCCATACCGTCTTTGTTTACATATAAAATTGGAATCTTAACGGTTCGGGCGAAATCTATACATCGTTTGGACAGTTTTTCCGATATGAATGGTGAAATAGATAAAAACCATTAATCCTGTCAAAATTAGTAGTTAAAGCTTTATTGTTTTAAGAATATAATTGTTATAGAATTTGCTGGCAGAGGGCTCGTAGATTGGCGATTAAACCGATTTTCATTAATCTGTGATTTTGACGCGAAAAACAAGAAGAAAAAAAAGCCCCGTGAACACATATTGTATTACTGTCTGTTCTACAGTCTGACGAGGGATTAAGAGAAATCATTACTTGAGAAATATTCTGGATTTTTCCAAAATACATGTCCAGTCAAAACTTGTTCCTTTATTTAGTTGTTTACAATAGGAAATCGAATCTTTCTTTCATTTGAGTTTTGCACGCCGTAGGTTAATTCGGCTTGTCTTCAACTTATCTGTGGAAACTTTCTCTTTTCTTTAGTGATTTCAGGTTAATTTTCTAACAAAGAGATGCAGCCAATAAAAGAAAGGCAAATAAAGCCTCATCAGTGCAAACATTGTCCGAAGTCTTTCAAGAGTTCTAACGGTTTGAAGTATCATTTGGAAAAGGTACACTTTGACGAAGAGAACAAGATGGAAGAAGGGAAAAGCTTCTTTTCAATGGAAGGTATGATAGGCAGATTATGTATTTCTAGCTTGTTCATAAATGCTATCGTTTTGTTCAAGAATGAAAGGGGAATTTTTCACGAGTAGAAATTCTCTAGATAATTTTCTAAACAAGCCTGTTCTTAGTCCAGACAGCTTCAGATAAATGTTTTGAATGGAAACATGGTGTAATCCGTTCTAAATTTGTAGCTGCATTTTTAAACCATGAGAGTATATGATTGATAAAAGCGAACCTTTTCAGTGATGAATTATTGAACTAAAGTACGATCGTCATTTCAGGGAAGATTTCATCCGTCTTTTGTTTTTTTTCCGCGTCATTTCACATTTGTTGAACAGAAAGCTTGTTAAACCGCCCTTAAATGCTTTTTAACACGTCTATCATTGTTGTCAATAAAAATTACCGATATATCTTTGATGTTGAATAAATTGTCCGTAAACTGTGGTAAATTACAGCCGATAAAAATCGTTCTTTTCTTCCGTGATCGTTTAGTAAATTTATCAGAGAAGTATGTTTCCTGAATTACAAATAAAATTTTGAGTCATCCTCAGGATATTTTAAGTGGAGTAGGAATCCGTTTCCTGTCTACGTAAAAATGAAAGTGGAGGATAAAAATTGTTCAAGTACGCTCACGAAAAAAAAAATCATAATTTAATGAGATTCAACGGATTTTGTTTCACGTGTCAACAAAGATATTCTTTCCTAACCATCTCTCGCAGGTGTACTTGGCTAATGATGTTTAAGAAAAACTGATCTTTCTTAAAAAAAAAAGCCTCCAAACGGTAAAACTCAGAAAAGTATGAGCCAAACAAGCGAAGGAAATGACTGAGAGTCTCGTTGAAAAAAAAAAAACTGTCAAATCTTGAAGTCAATCACAAGACATAATTGTGCGACAAGTCTGTCTGATCGAGAAAGATTATATGATTTTCCCGTCCAGTGTGTAGAAGTGTGTGAAGTTTTAATAGTTTCTAAAATCGGAAAATTTTCTTAAATGGGATGCCTCATAGAGGACTTTTAAGTAGAATGAGAGGACAGAATCCTTCATGTCCTTATCTTAACAAGTATTGATCTGATACACAGACAGATTAATCCTTAATATCTAAACTAGCTTTCACACGTCACTTCCCTTTACGAAAGGATGAACACAACAGCTTGGCACTCGCAGTTTCGATGTGTACCCTGAAAAAAAAATTGAGTTTAACCTTTGTTTTGATTTCACCAAAATCAGCTGATTCTAACAGGTTTCCGGCCACGAGATATTACACATGATGGCAAATGGTAGTAAAAATTCTGAAAATAGAGTTTGTAACGCGGGGAATCACACACGTGATTATGGTGGATGAGAGATCATTTAACAAGATTAGTCCTTAATAACTGAACTAGCTTTGACGCGTTACAACCCTTTACGAAAGGATGAACACGAAAGCTCCGCGCACGCTGTTTCGATGCTTACCCTGAGAAAAATATTGAATTTAACCTATGTTTTGATTTTACCAAAATCAGCTGGTTCTAACAGGTTTCCGGCCACGAGATATTACACATGATGGCAAAACCGAATGAAATGGCTATCTCGTCGGTTCCGGTTCTTAAACCGGGCATGACTCATCTGAAAGCACGTGATTATGGCGGACAAGAAATTTCACTAAAAGACACCTGCTATAACGCTGTGGAAAGAATCTTCTTTCGACTTAACTTTTAGCCTGATGCCTGCGCCGATTTCAGCGTTAAGTCCTGCGTAGAATAAATTCAATCTTTTAATACAATTGGAAAAGCCCAGGTAACCTTTAATCAAAAATCAAAAAGGCCGAGGACTTTACACTTTTAAAACAAGTTTCGCAGCCAGCAATCTTCAAACGTGTTCCGGCCCTGCATGTCCGCTTAAAGTAGTGTAAATTTCTGCTTGAACAAACAATCAAGCGTAGATGTCTGTATTTTAATCTGAAGCATGCCATTGCATGTAAATGAAAGAAAAATATTTTGCAAACTTTAAATAAATAGAGTATTCAAAATTTTGTGCTCTGACGAATGTGACACTCTCGCAAGCGATTTAAATAGAGGTGGAGATTGTGTTGCAACTTTTACTGCCGAAGAAATTTATCATTTTGTCGCGAGTATAGTTGTTTAAAAATCTATTTTCGGTGGAATAAAAGGATCTTGGCCCACTCTCATCATTCAAAATCGCCTTTTCATTGATGAGTTAAAAGCGTGCGGATGTTATTAGGCAAGGTATGGGAAAAGGCTATCACAGGATCTTAGCAAAATTCAGGACGTATTTCGCATACAAACCTAGAGTTTGATCCTTGGCTCGCGGGCAAGTTCTTTTTAGCTCGGTAGAGCTGAAAAATCACACCCTTCTCGCGAAAATTATTTAATATAGAATCAGTTAAGTTTTTAGAAGTTTACGACTCACGATAATGTGATAAAAGCGTCTGTAAGCTGCGTCACAAGCATTCTTCGAAACAATTTCATGCTTTACATACATTTTTTTTCCAGTTTTGATGTTGTTAAAACTACTAGAGAGTATTTTTTACTCACTTACTTTACCTTTCATTAAACAAAATTGCTTTCTAAATGAATTCAGCAAGTGAATTCAGCATTTTTAGACCAGTCCTCAAAACAAGAATGAAATGTTTATACAATCAGTTTTTTTTTTTTACCCGTCAGCCTGTTGTATTTAGATATTTCGTAATCATGAACTTATGTGCGCAACTGCTGTGATCCTTATGACGTTTTTGTCTCGCAAGCCGTTGGATACTACTTGTTGAAGAAAATGTCGAGTCTGAACTCAGCCACCATGTTATTGTGAAACCAATCAAATACGTTAAATTTCGTAACCGAAATCTTTCAGTGGCATTAAACCTTTTTTTTCCTTCATCATTCAGAAAACTCTTCACAAATGCTTGCAAAGCCTCGCACCATTCCCCCTGCCCTAAATCTGCGCGCAGAGGAAGTAACTTTGCTGACGGAGTTTGCCCTGATTGCTACCAGTCCACAAAGTCCACTGGTGAGAGAAGTATGCGGGGAGAACTCTTACGTCAGGCGCCGTGAAGATGACAGTCCACCACCTCAGCTTATGGTATGTAGATGGAATACTGGGTGGAGAGGAGATAGTTTTCCTTTAACTGCACCTTTTACGAGTGTAACGTGCAATAGCTTTCATCTTTCTTGCTTTGGATGGAAAAATGAACGCTATGCAGCGCAAATTCAGAAATACCATACATAACATTAAAATTAGGAGATTTAGGAACCATTCAGGAGGGGTTTGGTTGTATCCCAATAAAATTTACCTGATCCCCTGATAAGAGGGCTCTGTAATATTCTAGTGATCGTCTTTCTCACCCCCCCGCTTTCCCCCCCCCACATTGGTAATTAAAACTATTCAGCCCTTTAAACTTTTTTAGAAACAAATAGTCCCCATTTGTTCTCCCTAACCCCTGAACCCCATGTGATCCCTCCAAAATCCTCGAGTCCTCCCCCCCAAACTGGGAGGGGGAGGGGAAATATTTTGAAAGATAATTTGGTTTTATCAACCGAGATGATAATGCAGATTGGCCGCTGGAAAGAGTTTCTTAAGCTGATTTTTCGAGCGTTAGCCCCTCGTCAGAGCGAGTTTTGAACGTCTTCTCCGCCAGGGACCTAGAAATCTATTAATTTGCCTTTTGCATTTTCACTTCTCTTCCTACCTCCATTGCTTGCCGAAAAACCGCCAATGTAAGCGGTCTAGACGGCTTCTGCGTCCGGCAACAAAGACCGCACGGTATATAAGGAAATAAAAACTGACTGCCCATAGAAATATAAATAGCTAATGATATTATCTTCGCGTTTCCGTTTGCGTAAATAAGTCGGTAAATCAATATATTTTAAATTGCATGATATTTCGATGTTGGCTTGAGATGAAAAAGTGTTATTTCCAAATAAAGAAGTTTCTAGATCACAGCGCCTTCCGGAATAAATTTCTTTGAACTGAAAGGAAATTCCGCTTTAATTGCACGTAGGGGCTAAAAATATTCAACTGTATTCATTTTTTCCGGGAATCTGTTGATATGCCTGAGGCATGGGAAATGCGTGGTTTTCAGGAAAAGGTTGAAGCCATTTGGCGAAATGTGATTAAGTGTAAGGGTCGGTTGATCGTTTATGATATGAGTTGTGAGAGAGTTTTCAAATCTACCAGAATATCAAAGAAATATGTAATTAGAAAGTTTAAAAATCTTTATCATGATTTTCTTATCAACAAATTCTAAAAACACCATAATACATATACAGAATATCACGACTAAGGACAGTATATTTCTATTTTTAGAATTTTTCATTGGAGACGTTTCTTCTTTGAGGCATTTAATATTGTTCAAAACTTGTTTCTTTTTTTTTGTCAATTCAACTTATAGCGATTTTCGGTAGTCTTTGGAAAATATTTACAACAGCGCAAGCACAAACGTTCAAACAAACGTTGGAAAACTTTTGCGTGGTATAGACAGTTGATAGTATCTTTCAGTGGCTTAAGTGTACGCAAACTTTATATCTATTATCTGTTCTCCTTTTTAGGATCTTCAGTCCACTGGTAATTGGCGATGTGTTTCAAAAACCACTTCAGAAAATCTATCACAAACAGAATTGCTAAACACTACACCAGCTGCCAAGCGGCAATATTTTATGGCGGGAACCAAATTGAGTTTCCCGGATGAAGATGGCTGGACATGGCGAACGGTCGACGATCTCGATATGGATGAAATATCCGCTGACATGTTTCGGGATGGACTTCGAGTCATGGACTACCAGAGGATTGAAGCGAAATTTGATAACAATACCACGGTATGTTAAGAGTTTGGTTTGTTAAGATTGAATTATTTCCCCCTAATTAATTTGTTTAGGGTACAATTTATTAAAACGAAGAGGAAGTATGGCCTCTTGTAAGCCTCTTCTTCTTTAACCTGCTGACCGATTTATTGACGGTTTCAAAGTAATTGTTAAACAGACTGACTAAGTAACTGACAGACCGACTTATAGATTGACTTATTGCTGCATAAGTAACGAACAGGTAAATAAAATTGTTGACAAACTGAATCGCTTGATGGTTTACTCAGTGACTCAGTTACTAACTCACTGACCGACCGAACGATCAACTGAAAGATTGGTTGACTCACCAACTGACTGACTGACATTTCGCTGATTGTTCGCCCATAAGCCAATTCTACAAATGCCTCGACTAAAAATGTTTAGTTTACCGACCCTTAAACCCTCCTTTATTCCTTACTAGGATGAATTCATCGTAACTTTCAAATCATGCAGTAATGAAGAAACAAATTTTCAAGCAGAAATCACCGCTGATCATCCGTTCCTCGTCAAGGGTGCAGACACAACAGGTTGGGCGTCGTTTGACCCAGCAGCGACCGAATCGCATTATGGGATAAGTTGCCAGCCATTGCGACGTAATGTCTGTGTATTGCCATATGACTCAGAAGTTGTGGGATTGACTTTGAACGGAAAGCAATTGGATGGAAAGGAGAAAACGTACGTCAAATAAGAGCATTCTCTCTCATACACCGTATTTTTAGTTTCTTATCAATAATTTTTTTCCTATTTTAGGTCAGAATTTACTGCCATGGATTCCACAGCCGCTCTTACACTCAGTAGTATGGCCAAGGTATGTGCAAGGAGATAAACAATAAACTGTCGTGTGCCACAGGTCTTCCAGAAGCCTGGAACGAGTCAGGAAACCTACGAAGTTTATGAGAAATGTCAAAATAGCCTTATATAGAGAAGATAGAATTGTATGATAAAGTTTAATCTTGGTTGTAAAATTACGAATAATCTTTTTTCATATAACAGGATAAAGAGGAACACAGTCACCGAAGAACCAAACTTTTCTCAGGGTCCCATAGTCCACCCAGCCCGGTTAAAAGAAACAATACGCATCAGTTTAACAAAAGACCAATGAACGCCTTCATGTTATTTGCTAAACGCTTTCGATTGGAAATAACTCAGGCTCATCCAGGCAAAGACAATAGGTAAGCATGTATTTTTCACGATCGTGGTTGAGGTGGGGAGGGAGGGGGAGGAAGGGTAGATAAGCAGAATTTTTTTTTATCAAGAGGGGGGAGAGGGTTAAACACCGACGTTTCATTGCGAATAAGAACATATTTCAATTTTTCATTTTTCAAAAGAACTGAAAGATCTTCAGAGCAGAAGGGTTGAGTAAACGTACCTCCTTGAACCATCCCCTAAGAAATTTCTTGCATGGCTTTATAAAAAAATTCAGCAAATCCAGTAGGTGTCGATCTGGTCACTTCTTTTGTTAGAATTTTGTTGCCTATGTGAGGACGAAAATAAAGTATTCTATCTATTTGAAAGGTATTTAAACACACTGTCTCGGTGATGTTAATCTATACGTAATTATGTAATTAGTAAAGTACTGTGATTTAGTATTCTCTCATTAGACCATTTTAGCTTTTGAAGACTGGCCCTAGATTTTATTTTAAGAATGACCAAAACCGACAAAGATGACGATGTTTTAACGCCTCATCATCGCTTTTTTTAGGGCAATAAGTGTGATTCTTGGTGACAAATGGAAGGCCATGAAGCAAGAGGATAGGAAAGAGTATGTGCTCCAAGCAAAACTGTTAGCGGATGAACACAAACGAGTGAATCCAGACTGTTGGAAGAGAAAGAGAACCTCTGAGGTCAGTTTATAACTCTTCTTTCTCCTCACATTTCTAATCTAACATCTAGATCTCGAGCTCGAGATTTCTCTCGCGTGATAGCTGATGAGAGCGAAACTCGAATCAACTAACACGCATAGAAATCAAGAGCGAATAACGCAATTGTTTTAGCATAAATTTTCTAGTCTTTTAAAACTTTACAACAAGAAAAGCTCACGGCTTTGTTCAGGCCACTCACTTCTCGCTGTTTATCACGGAATAGCGACGATTATCGTAGCCATTCGGATTGCAGCATTTATGATAGAATGCCAGGAAATTTATGTTGAAAATACGTATCGGCTAAGGCTATAGTTGGGAGAAAACACATCGCTATCAGCCCAATTCTTATGGTGTCTCAAGCGATATACTGGGTTCTTTTATCTGTCGTGATCTTGAGGGACATGAATTCAGGGAATTGGAAAAATTAGTTGAAATAAAAGTGATGAGGTAATTTTAGAAATACAACTTTTAGCTTTTAGAGGTTGTAGGCCACGTTAGGCGAGATGCTGTTACTGATAACCGAAGATTTCTTGAGAATCTCAACACGAGCTCTCGTTAAACAGCGGTCATTTGAGCCTCGTAGGCGCGAGGAAGAAAATTAGACAACTGAAGAGAGAGACACGCAACACAAATTCTACCATGTTTATTTTCTCAACAAAAAAAAAAATTCACAAGTCCACTTTCTTTGGTTACATCGTGCGAAGTTTCTTTAAACTAACTTCCACTTTAATTCCTTGGCAGGGTTCCTCCAAGATAAGCTACAGAAGACCATGAAAGTGTGCTGCAGTAGTAGATACCCAGATACCTAATATATTTTTTTTCTGCAATATATCAGATATATTTTGAACCAAGTCAAAAGTATTTTTTCATTGACGGAAAACAAGGCATTAGTTATACTATGTATAACGTATTTATAAGGCTTCTTTGTAAATAATTTAACATAGTTTTGAAATGCTTTTATTGGGTACTGATTTTATAGAATAGTATTGAGAGTTTGGTAAGTTATTTTGTCCTATACACCTGGTTGTGATTAAATCAGCTTGGAAAACGAACTCTACGTCTGTGTGCCCTTTTTCGTAGTGATTTGGATGAATCATCAAGCTTGAGATAATACTTTTGAAGCTCAGAGATTTTCTAAGTAATTAAGCGCTTCCAAATGTAAAAAAAGTTGTAAACAATCCAGAAGATTGATAGAAGTTTTCAGAAAAGTTCCCAGAGACTTCGCTTCGGGATACATCTCAAGCTTGTTAGCTGTAATACAATTTTCGGAATTTCGTGATATGTTTTTCATTTTCCTTTTAAGTTGGTTTTATTCATGTGGAATAGAACCTGAGTTGAGGAATACTTTTATCAACTTGATTGAATCACCTGGCTTTCTTGACTCATTTAGTTATCAAGATTATTTGGTTTTATCAACTAAGCTGATAATGTAAATTGGCCACCGTAAGGAGTGTCCATAGCTGATGTTTCAAGAGTAAGCCCGCTGGTCAGAGCTCTTCTTTTCGCTCCATTGACGCAGCAGCACAATTCATTTTCCCTCAAAAACTTACCCTCTTTAGTGATTTAGTTATCGTCTACACTTTACCCGCTTCATTACTCGATATCAAAATTTTTTAACGCTTTCTTGGTCATTTAATATCGGCTATGTCGATTTAATTTCCTCAAATAGACGCCGAACGAAATTTCGTCTGCTGTGAAACTTCGAGAAATTGCATGCGAAGTTCAACTATTTTTATCTTCTTCAAGGATATTCCATAGTATAACACGCATGACTGAGACACACGCAACAAAAAGGTCGGCTTTTTCATGAACTAAGTTTGTCAGGTAATTCCACAGGTATCCTAACTCCTTATCAGCCATAACCGTTATAAGACATTGCCTCTTCGATGGTGTTTGTGTTTCCGTGCATTCTAGGGTCGTTTCAAAGCGATTCCAGCGTGTCTTATATTTACTGTTTTCTCGATACATTTTGGAAAAACACCTTTCCGCAAGTTGTTGCACAATTTTATATAATGTTCACAGCCGTAAAGGTGCATGGATAGCTATGTTTCCTCCAAGGAGCACAAGAGTTTTCTCTCTCATTATAAATCGTGCTCTTATTTTCTTTATAAAACAACTACAGATTAATCCACAGCAGAATGATATAATAAATATCGCAAAACATGTTTTCAAAAAATACTCTTGAACATAAGATTTGAAAGGAAGTGTAGACAAAGTCCTCTCGAAGGTTAACAAAGGCTCAGGCCGGATTACTTGGCCGCATTCGGTCAAGCCAGTCGCTGTCAATGTGTGTACAATTCCCTCCTTCTACCACAGTTATTTGAATGAGGGTGGGGGCTATAGGTTGCGTGCAGCAAAGCTCAGCGACAACCCAAAAGCTGCACGTATTTCATTCAGAAGGGATAACTCTGACGAGGCTATGGGGACTTTAGGCTGGTCTGACTTGGAAACAATTAGAAAACGAAACAGATGAGATTTAAAATGTTTGAATAACCTAGTGCTGGAATACCATAAGGAGTATTTGATCAAAAATAACCCATTCCATTCAAATAATGCAAGAACGAATGACAACATCATGTGCGCAGGCCAAAGCTTAGCCTGGGAAAGAGAAAAGTTTAATATTTTGATCGGCCTTTCTATCAATCTATCTATCTGGCTATCTAACTATCTATCAATCGATTTTTCTATCAATCTATCTATCTAACTATTTATCAATAAATCTTTCAATCAATCTATATCGATCTATCTATCTATCTATCTATCTATCAATCTTTCTAGCAATCTTTCGATCAATCAATCAATCTATCTATCTATCTGTCTATCAATCTTTCTATCAATCTTTCTATCAATCTCTCAATCAATCAATCTATCTATCTAGCTATCTATTTATCTATCTAGCTATGATGGTATGAGGAATTGCTATACGGCTCTGTGCAGAAGCCCTGAAGATAAAGCAAGAGCCTTGTTCTGATTGATTGCCTTCGAGAGTAGGACGAGCCGCTCGAAATTGCCCGCTTTGATCCCACGAAAACAAATCTCTTTTGATCAGAAGCAATATTCAGCTATCCTTACCTCAGGCTTGATCAATAAAACAGACTGTGACATCCAGCGCGCAGCTGCTAAATTCACGATTATGCATGGTACCCTCCATTTCCCTACATCCTTGAATCTCCCTGATATCAACAGCCATTAAGTAAAAAATTTAACAAATCTTAAAGCATGTTGCTGTTTCGGAAAAATTAATTAAAAAAAAAACCCTTTGCCTGTCAGAAAAAATAAAAAATTCTTCCGTGTATTGCTTTGTCGTAATTTTCCGACCGTCAAAACTTGAATATGGAGAACGCGTGTTTAAATATAGCAGTTTATACTGAAAAGCTGTAGGCTAATGTCAAAACCAACATAGAAGATATATTCTGCGCACTGGATTCAAATTAGAACACATTTTACAACGATTGTTCTCGAATCACTGTGAGAACGCTTTGTTTGATTTCTCTCTCTCTCTCTCTCTCTGTTTCCTGTGTATGCTCTAAGTCCGATATGACGTAGGAAGTGAAACATAAGATATCATAACCAATACAAGATATGGAAAAAAAAACAAAAGAAAAAGAATTTTACTTTATTTTTTGGTACATATATTATATTTGTTTATTTTTTCGGCGCATTAACCTACGCGGGGTGTTGGGAGAACACGAGAATATTTGTAAATCACGAACCGGAGGAAAGTGATTTACGAACTCTTTGAGTGTTCTCCCGACATCCCAAGTCGTTTTCTTCGCCGGTAAACCGATGGAAAGTGCGGCCTTCAATTAAACCCCGAAAAGTTTCAATTTTTTATGGGTTTACTGGTGTAACATAGGTTTTTTACCAATCAGGCCGTTCGTGGTACCTTAGTTAAATTTTTAATCGGGCATAACACTTAACGCTTTATTTATAATTAGTACGGTAGACATTTACGTAAAAACCCAGACATAAAAGTATGCAATGCATACTTCTAAATTGTGGAGATTATCTTAGTGAAAAACTGAGGATTTCTGAAGCACGACTTCAAGGTTTCTATAAAAAAAAATGAGTCGTATGTTAAGAACTTTAAGTTACACCTCCGCTGATTATCTGTCCTTCGGCATGAATCGCGTCTTCTATTTTGGATAAAAAACCATTGAATTGAAAATTGCGGAAGTTCATCCCAGGAGGGTTCCCAGCATACCTAAAATCACCTACGCAGATATCTTTTTCAGACATTTTCTGCTCAAAGCCTTGCTTTTTCCTCCATTCGTTTAATTTTTCCTTTCGTTCTGATTGTTCAAAAGTGCTTGCATTATCTCTTAGGAACAGTAAAGCTCATTGTTTCATTATAAGTTTCTAAAAGCACTTAAGTTTCAACTGCCCGTGAAATTCATCTCAGTAATGTTTCGTGTTTGAAGTAGGCCGACAGAATTTTCCCACGGATCTTCGTGGATGTTATAGGTGTAATAAGCGTCTGAGAGCCAGGAAAAAAAGTGGAAGACAATCTGCATAATTTGTCCAGTACTGGCCAAAATGACAACATATCTTACAAATCTCATCATTAACACTTAGATTAAAAAAAAAATTAGAAATACGTGAGCGATTCTCTTCCCACGAAAACTTTCTAATAGACTCTCTTGTGATATTGGATTCAATTTCCATATTTTCACGCAAAAAACACTCTCTTACATACACGTAATGTTTCACGAACTCTTTCTAGGAAACAGCGACATTTTCGTTCCAATTTTAGATTATTATAGCTGATAAAAATGGTTTTCCGTCCCCTTAAAAGCCAAATTAAACATAGAAGTACATATTATTATACACGCCTACTTTCTTAGCAATTAGACTCAATTACGATCGATTAGGCATTGTCTTTTGTAACAATTTTAGCTAGGGACAATTAAATTCAAGCGCTAGAAGTCTAAGGAACAATTGTTAAAATAATTACACCATTTTCGACGGAAAAATGAGATTAAAGTAGTCGTTTGAACAGCACCGTGGTTTTGATGCAAATGTAAATTTTCTTTTAAACAAGTCTATATATGAATTACAAAACTCTGGAAATAATAGTTATTGAAACAAACAAATTTCCCATTAGAACAAAAGAACGATTTTGGCTCTTTAATGAAGGCATCATAAAATTGTGCGCTAGAAAAGTTTTTTAGATATGCACAACAATTTCGTCGCAACGGAAGGGGCTTCTGTGAACGGAAATGGAATTTTAGTTGCGGTTTTCGACTTTGGAGAGCAATGACGACGGTCGTCTACGAGGAATGTTATGATGAATGATCATAGTTGTATGAGAAGACAGATTACTGCTTGAACTATACACTTACCCGGCCCTATGTGATCCATCGAACTTTGAAATCAAATATTGCAAACATTAACGTGTGCCTTAACAGTGCCATTGGCCAATTCATTGAATGGGGTGCTCCCGGGAATGCTCTGACGTCACGGTACTTCAGGGGCTGGGAAGTAATTGCGCAACGGTAGAGAGAGATGTGAAAACACGCTGCTTGCATCCAGTATCTTCAAAAAGACAAGGCCTTCGCACGATACGGACCTACAGGAAAGACCAGTTGTCGTAGAAGTGAAAAGACGAAACTTAACGACAACTCAAAAATGCCTCTCCTAGTACGGGGCTGGCTGTTAGTTCAAGTTCTGACAATTCTTCACTCAAATCAGAGGAACACCGTCCACGGAGGAATAAGTAAGTCTTTTCTATTTGTTCTAATGTCTAGATTTCTTTGAGCGATCCCTATTCAGTCGGCCTTTACTTTAAAGAAAGTTATCCGTCAGTACCAAACTATTTTTAAACACAGACGCACAAGATCTATCGACAATGAGGTTTGGTTTTCTTATGCAAAGTGAGACGTGTTCAAAGCTTTCTGAGCATCGTATTTATTGCGATATAGTTCAACTACGCACAAATCAAAAGAATTTGGACAGATCCAAACACTTTTATTTGCTAATTCCATTTACTTAAAGCAAACATAAACTTGTCTCTAGTCCTACTACACCTACACTAAATAAATAGGAGATTAATTTGAAATTAGGGACGCATTTTCCAGACTTATCCAGCTAGAAATGTTAGTGTGAAACCATGCGCCTTTCAATATACCTCATTTTTTTATGAACATGCATGAATGTCTAAATCTTCCGTAGGGATTTGCTGAAGAGATCGAATGTTGATTTTTGGCTCAGTTATTCAAACTGAGGAAGAAATTTAACAAGGAGTCTTTCGCCTTTTGTGAAAAAAGAGTTGATGAAACGCTAGAAAGCTGGAATTCAATACATCTACATAATATCAATTTCGGAAAGCTACCCGCGTTCATTTTGGGCAGTTTTTTTAGTGAAGAGGATAACAACATCTTCGCAGTTTTTCGCAAGAGTAACTGTATTTGTTCAGGCAATTTTGAAAACGTATTGTTCAAATGATTGTCTATTAACTCATTAAGGTAATTTTTCCGCAGGGAAAAAAAGTGATCGATTATTATTGATTGTTATTGAATGAAAGACCTTTTGTTAATCCTATTTGTATCGTTTCCCGGCCCTCTTCTTTTGTAAAGAAATGTATCTTCTTTTATTGAAGAAATCTTTCCGCCTCTGCAAACAAATAGATCTTCATTTACAAGAGAAGAAACAAAATAGGACAAAGAGCACAAAAGCGTTCGAAATATCATAAAAATTAAGTTCCTTTTCCCGTCGTTATCAATGTTAAGCTTCGGGTTGGTCTTGAAAATATTGATCTTTTCCTGAAACCACGCACTAGCAAAGCAAGCATGCATCAGCGGACGATATTTGCCACATATGCCATAATTTTGAATAATTTTCAGACCGCAAATTAACAATTTTAGAACAGAGTCAGCCCCAAAGTTTCGGCGGATCAAATATTTCATCGTTTGGTACTTTGAATTTGTTAACGCACAAAGAACATTTCTAGACATCAAACCACATTTGAAAGGAATTTATCGAGGGTCTCTAACCATGAGAACATAGGGAAGTCTTTGCGGTTTCAATTGAAGGATCTTTGTTAAAGAGAACTGGTGGCGCCATAAAAACGCTGTTTTTGAACTCACAGTTTGACAACAGGATTGTGGAGATATGCAAAGAAAAACTTGTTTTTTCAAAATTACTTTTTGCCATGGAGATCATTTGTTATTTATTGAAAATAATGACAATTTATTTGTAATTAGTTAACTAATGACAGAATCAAGTCAATGCTCAGAAGAAAAAAAAAAGGTTTACCAATATCAAGTGCTCTTTTGAACGTACATACGTGAAGATTGAAAAATGTTCCGCCCTTATTGAAGTGAATATGCCGTAAATACTTTGTTGCTTAGAAAGGTCGCCACTTTCTGGGGTTTGCAAACCGCAGTGAATGACGCATGCGGCGAAACGTGCCAAGTGAAACGCGCGAGAAGTCTTAAAAGATATCGTGTGATAAATATTCGTATCTGCACGTTAATGGCTGTTTATTAAACATGACGTTGTATTACTAGGTACGAATTTGTTTCGATTGTTTCTCGTCCATAATTACTTTATATTGGCTTTACATCTCATCCAAGATAAATCTATTTCCAGAAAAGCGCTTTCTTGGAGAAAAAACATCTTTAAAATGATTTTATTCACGAAAGATTAGTTTTAAAAGTTCACAATTATTCTCATAAGAGAGAACGTAGGGAATGCTTTGCTTCAGTTCCTCGCTGAACCAAATCTAGTCACGTGCCGTGTTTCCATAGGAATATCAGCGCTGACATAAATGCATTGCGAAGCACTTGTCTCTCGCTAAATTTTTGTCGTCTGGGTAAAGTATTGACACTTTCCGCATTGAAAACATGTTGCCAAACTTGATGAGTTTACCACATTTTTCATCTACTGAAGCACCGTAAATTTTTAGAGCTATGCTTGACTTGAAAAATTCTCAATTGCAGAAAAAAAATTCTGGCTTTGATGAACCTTATAATTAACGCAAATAGGGTAAACCTTCCTTGAAGATCACAGAAACTTTATTGAACAATTACTATGGAAGTGATATCAAGTTCGATTGAAATAAAGTCTCCATCCAGAGATCGAGGGATAAAAATAAAACGAATGATTCCAGAAAAAGAACGATAAAAGATCATTTCACTGATAAACTAATATTAATGACAATTGCAATACAGTAGAGCATAACTCTCTTCCTATATTGATTAGCATTAATTCATCTAACAAGCTGTGAAAGACTGAAAAAGCCTTCTAATCATTGAACAAATTCACTAAGATAGTTTAAAAAGCAATAAGGATTTTCCCTCTTATGATTTAACTAATTAGGATTTATTTCAATTTTTTTTTTTTGGCTATTAGTGTTGTTATTAGTATTACCGTTATAATATTGGGTCACTACTGATATTGTATATTGATTGTTTTTCAGATGATTGTTACTCCCTCATCACTGCAAACTCAAAGTTTTCAGCTTCTTCGAGTAACGTCCCTGGTGGTCCAGGGTTCGCAAAGATTAATGGGAATGTAACGTGGTGTGCAGCCATTCCAAACGATATGCAATATCTGACAGTCGACTTAGGTATGACACTTCCATCTCTTATACCTTAAGTCAAAAGCTCTTCTCCGTGTCTTTAAAATCTTTCAAGGGAAAGTAGATTTAAGACTTTTGTTTAAGTGACAGTTAGTTTTTTTAAATGTTCTACGTACGCTGTATGGTTCCAAAGGGCCAACGTCATTGGGCGGTGGATATAAAAACTTCAGGAAGATAGCCATCTATGTGATTCACTTGTCCGCCAACTTAGCGAAACGATTTCTACGAGACGGTTTTCTTTTTTTGAGCCCTGTGTCATCTTCATTAAGATCTACAATGAAAAGAAAATGTATTGGCACCTCCATTACGTTTCGGGTCTTTCTGCAATTTTCATTTGTCTCCCCCACTTCTCCATTTCAATGTTGCCTAGTGTTAAAAAAAAACGGTCACTAAATTTTTTCACCATTGTTTAGGGAGAAGGAAGGACTTTCAAATAAATAATTAAAGATGAATTGCAAGATTTTTGTTAATTATGTTGAGTGGAGGGTTGTCGCCCACCTTCAGTTTGTCTTTTAACTTCTTTTTAAGTTGCTAATTTTTTAATTTTTATTTTATTTATCTTCATTGCGCTCATAAAAAGATGATTCCTCCAGTGCTAAGTACTATATCCAGTACTAAGTACTATATATAATATATATATATAATATACATATAATATAATAATATATATATATTAGCATTACTCTTCAACTTCTTCAACTTCTTTAACCATTATTTTCTAGGTTTTAGTCTCTTGTTTGATCGTGTCGTCATGCAAGGGTTGCCAAACTCGAGAAGATCCGTATCACAATACAAGTTGAGCTACAGTGCCAACAATCAAGTTTATACCACTATTAATAACCAGGTGAGACCTAATGAAAGCAAAAACAAAAGTAGATCAATCCAAATTTTTCAATTGTGATGATCTGATAAGGAATACATCGTGAGCTGGAAATCAAAGAAAAGGTTACTTATCAGTCATCACGGTCTTCGTGGATTACTGATTGCAATTAAAACTCATGGATACTTAGTTCATGTTTTGTTTTTCATTAATTTCAATTCAATTTAGCCTCTCATTTATCCTCTAGTTTGAACCAAAGTGGTAAAATTATCAGTTTCTCACCGTCGCTGTTGCCATTATCGCTAAACTGAGTGATCGTTATTCGCTAAGTGTCATTCGTTAGTTGTTAATTGCTAATTGAAAATCGCCTGTGGGTCCATCGTGATGGTTATTTTTTATTTCTCATCTTATCCCTAATCGCAATCGATTTTTTGGTAATACTTCCTTGAAAATAAAGTTGCTCCTTTTCATTTGTCTTTCAGTATTTTTTTGGAAGTTTGTACAACGGTAATTCTCTGAAGGCAACTGATCTCACCACGCCTCAAACTAGCCGATACGTGAGGTTTTCTCCAATAGAACCTAAAGGAGTGAATGAAAACTATTTCTGCATGCGAGTGGATGTACAAAGCTGTCACGACGGTAAGTTTGAAATTACCTTCTTCTATGGTCCTTGTAAAGTGTAAGAGGTGGAGTTGTGGGCAAACCCGCCTTTATTGTGGCGGGTTCACATTCGTTATCCGTCAGTTCACCTAAACTGAAAGCAAACTCATTAAAGTTGCCATTCAACTCAGTTTTTTTGAAAGTTGCCCGGGATCATATTGTACAGTTTTATCTGCTGTGGACCGTAGGGTCAGATACATCATGCCGGCATACATTTCGACATACTGCCATGATCACGGCATAGGGCATAATTCAAGCATAATGGCAAATTCCCTTGATGTTACAGTTCAACAAGAGATAAATTCTGTAGCCTGAGCGCATCCAACAGTAAGCCTCTTTTTCTAGCTCGCGTTTCAGAAATTTGAGCTGGTAAAATGTCGTGTTCTGAGCCACGGTAAGCTACGTTGTACCTGTTAGTAATAGGAATATGAGAGGAAGGGGAGGGGGTTGAAAGGCTTAAAAGCTATTCTTTTAGAGCGAGTAAGAAGTAGGATAGAACATGACAGTTAATTTTTCCAGGAAGAATTGGTTATGGTAAGGATAACTGTTCAGCGTGTTAAAGCGCTCTATCCAAGATAGGCCACTTTGATATTCAGATGCCACTCGCTTAATCTACCTTACTGAGGCTTACTTATTCAAGTCCTTTTTATCAGAGAGGTACATTGGAATTCAGGGCCTGTCGGGAGCGCTAGAATGTTTAGTGGTATGTAGTTGAGGATCCCAGAATCAGCAGAATTAGCTTAAGAAAAAGGAAAGAAAGCCTTTAAACATAAAATTATGAAAATATACACATTTAATGACATTTTAGTTTCGCTATCTTATTATCGCTATGATAGTAAAAAAAATTGTTAAGAAGTTGAGGAAAACCGCGTGTATTAAGTGCTTGTTTCGTGAAATGGGGTCTGATGCGTGTCTTTCTCTCGTGCTGAATTACAAGACCCAAATCCTATCGATGGCGGATGGACCGAGTGGACGGTTTGGAGTCAATGCGCCCGTTGTGGTGGTCTCAAGGCTCGCACAAGGACGTGTACCAATCCTGCACCTGCGTTTGGTGGTCTGGATTGTGAAGGGGCTGATACCATTACTCAGTTCTGTCCTAACTATTGTCCCGGTGAGTATTCATGGCCTGGACTACTGTTTAGATAAAAACGGAACGAGAGATTACATCACGTTACTTCATTAATGTTACCTTGATAACATAGTATCAGCAGATAACAGCAGAAAAAGCGTTGGGTGTGAATGGGGGAAAAGAAAACATTTCTATGCACAACCATGAGCATGGGACGAACAAGAAGTTAAGTCACTTCTCGAGGATTCGAACCCAACTCCCAATTCTTTGGAGCTCAAGATTTCTTTCTTAAATATGAAACTAACCCACGATGTTTTCTTCATAGTTGATGGTCAGTGGTCCGCATGGGGTGTGTGGTATCCCTGCTCTAAAACATGTGGTCAAGGAACGAAATTCAGAGCACGTGATTGCGTTAACCCACCTCCATCCAATGGTGGAGCATTCTGTGTTGGTCAAGGATATCAATCTTACCCCTGCAATAACGGCCCATGTCCAGGTAGGCTTGTATCATGTAAGATCATGGACTATTTTTCGATTGATGCTCTGAAAACCACACCCAAAGTTCTTACACTGGCCATTCAAAACAAACTTAGATACGAGGAGGAGCCCATGAAAACTATAAATAAGAAAAAATAAATAAAAACAAACATCTGATTGATTGAGATGGTAGCTTAAGTTTTAGCAAGCTAATCACAGAGTGAAATGAAGAAAACTCAATCAGATCCTCGATTACTTTTGACACTCAATTAAAACTTGCCAACTCCAACCATTGATTGTGCATTCTTAAAGACTCTAAATTAAAGTTATCTTGCTTTTTTTTCAGATCCTACAACAGTCCCACCACCAACAACTCAGCCAGGTAACCTGCTTAAGTTTCTTCACTACACGATATTTCCTCATCGGTTTCATATCATAGTTAATTAGAACACGCTGTGATTGAAGGGTTTGACTGCGATGGTAGCTTATTGGTTAACGTATTTACTACTATATCTACAGCTACCACCACAGAGGCTACCACTACTACTGCAGCAACGACAACAGAAGCAACTACAACTGCAGCTACGACTACAGAAGCTACCACTACCGAAGCAACTACAACTAAGGCTGCTACCACCACTGCAGCTACCACAACGGAGACTGTCACCACAACTGAGGCTCCCACTACGACTAAGGCTGCCACCACAACTGAGGCTGCTGCTACAACTGAGGTTGCTACTACAACTGAGGCTGCTACCATAACTGAGGCTACTACCACAACTGAGGCTGCTACCACAACCGAGGCTGCTACCACAACAGAAGCTGCTACCACAACTGAGGCTGCTACCACAACTGAGGCTGCAACCACAACTAAGGCTACTACCACAACGGAGGCTGCTACCACAACTGAGACTGCTACCACAACTGAAGCTACTACCACAACTGAAGCTACTACCACAACTGAAGCTACTACCACAACTGAAGCTACTACCACTGAAGCAACTACCACAGAGGCTCCAACCACCACGGCTGCCCCTACCACAGCTACACCTACAGGTTTGTAAACATGTGTTGCAGAGGTATTTATCCTTGTACCGAAATATTGTATACCATTTTGAATCCATGAACGCGGAGAAGATTAGTTGACAAAATTTGAACAAACATTTCATCCGTGCACCTTTAGGTTATTAATACAACGATTTATAATCTCCAGAGTTTGTTTGTGTAGTTCATATTTGTATAATCTTGGAATCCTGTCACCGATGCGAATAATAAAAATAGGTCAACAGATTTTCCATCTAGTAATAGTTGTTTCCTTTAATTTTCGGCTACCATTTCGTTCTCTTTCACGTAGAGTGCTTCGCTCTCTCTTCTTTCCGACATCACCCTTTTTTCACATCTTTTTAGTCGTATCTTTTCCTGAAATTTTTTTTTGCTTCTCAAACTACAGGAATACCTGGCCTCTCGGATATCGATATCACATTTGCCTTGAGTGCGACATCAGCCAACTCCAACGCCACTTACACATTCATGCAGAACACACTTAAAACATTCATCGACAAGTACGGTGCCAACCAAATCCAATACAGTATCATTGTATATGGCGACCGCGTCGAACGTGTGGTGACCTTCAATAGCTCCTTTCCCCCAACTGACAATCAACTGAAATCAGCCATCGACGCGCAGTCAGCATTGGCGGGAGGTCCTGTCCTAGAAGATGCATTGCAGGAAACTTTCAAAATCTTCAACGAGTCAAAAGGAAGACCTGCTGCCAAGAAGGCTCTAGTAGTTGTCACAGATAACAACTCTGGAACAGATAAGGGAAAGCTCTCAGCTGCTGTAAAAACGGTAGAAGAACAAAACGTTTTAGTTATTTCTGTGGCTGTTGGAGGCGTCGTGGATACAAATGAGTTGGCGATCATCTCACCCAATCCCCTAGATGTTATATCGACAAATGTGAATGAAATTCCGGAGAAAGTGGGTGACCGCGTCATCGACAGAATATTGAGACGTAAGGAACTATTTTGCCTATTATCCACTGAACATAACTGGTAGTCCAGTCTCCGTAGCTTATTTTTTTATGAACGTAAATCGTTGAAAATCATACCACTCATTGATGGAAGGCACCAGTAATAAACTTGGGTTACCTTGAAAATGCATTTGAGTGAAAGGGTAGGGGCTTGAAACCAGGACCTTGCGACTAGGGCCATATAGTCTCAAAAATAATTTGAGAATTAAAAGTAACGACTGTTTTTTCCTGTTAACCAGGTACTATCCCAGATATAAACGTGGGTTTTGCCATCCGAGACGAAGAAGTAGAATCTATAGGTCTCTTCACGTTGATGCAAGACACTATTAATACAATTAACCATCGGTATGGAACAGAAAGAGTCAAATACACAGTCATTTTATACGGCAACATCAATTCTACGAGTGTGGACTTCTCCAACCGGAATGTCAATCACAGGGAGCTCATATCGATTGTGACGAGTTTAGAAAGAGTTCCTGGGGCTATTGATCTTCAAGCAAAGCTAACAGACGCAGAAGCTTTATTCCGATCTTTACCAAGTATACAAGGGAGCAAGAAAGTGTTCATTGTACTCACAGATGTGACTGCGGGTGGAAATGAAAGTGCAATTACTTCAGCGGGTGCTTCATTGGTAAGGGAAGGAATCCTTGTCTTCTCAGTGAATCGTAGTGAAGATGGAACTAACGTGGTGACAGTAACACAAATTGACTACCTTGATATTCCAACCTTCACTACGGATCGGTCAGTTGTCATTGCAGAGACCATCATAAGGAAAGCATCGTCAGGTAAAATATCAGCTTTTTCTGTTAGGACACGATTCATGATGCCCCTAACACCAGCTAAAATATGTCTCATTCATCAAACGTTTCTCGGTAGGAAGTCCCTTTTCCTATACATGGCAACCTCCACAAGCTTTGCCTCTAATCCTTAGGCAGGTTAAATGTTTTCCTGCAAAGTTCGCCACCGTTTTCGCCAGTCGTCTATTCCATTCGCCCTTCGAGTTAATCATCTCTTAAGCTTGATGAAAAAATCATCTCTTCATTTCTCAGGCACTATATGCATGGCTGCCTCACGCATGACTTTTTTTTAGAACATTGGCGTTTTTTGTATGATTTATTTCTTGGCGTATATTTTCTTTATTTCAGCGAATATCCCTCTGATCGATCTGACCTTCGCACTCAGCGCGACCTCAGTCTCGTCTGACTTGACTTTCTTCCTGATGCGAAATGCAGTCACTGCGATCATAGACAAATACGGTATTGACAGAATCCACTACAGCGTGATCATCTTCGGCTCTACTGTCATCAGAAGGGTGACCTTCGACGATCAATTTCCGGAAAAGAATGCATTAAATAGGATTGTGAGCAGATCTCAAAAAGTTGTCGGCGAGCCAAACCTATTGGCAGCTCTGGAAGAGGCGAAGCGCCTTTACGAACTACAATCGGTCAGGTCAAATGCCAGGAAAGTTCTCGTCGTCATTCTGGACGCCCCATCAGCCAGTAATGCTACGGCAGTGGGGCAAGCTGTCACTGACCTTGATAACAAAGATGTTCTCGTCATCGGGGTTGGAATGGGAAGTTCGGCGAATGAAAATGATTTGATTGGAATTACGAAGGACGATCGACACCTGATCGATGCACCTCTAAACAAGTCACACCGAGAAGTAGCCCAAGAAATTATCGAGGCCATATTTTATGGCATTAATAGTACGTATCTATGCTTCATTATTTTCCTCTGTTTTCCACTACTTTTTTTGTCTTTTGTCTTTTACTATTTGAGCCGGGGTAAAAACGTTATCTCGATTGGCATCTCTGACTTTTTTAATCACCTTTCATCAAAAGCTACTAAAATTTGCATGCAAGGTTTGTTCTATGAGAGAAACTCAGTTCACAGTTAATTCTTTTTCGCTGGTTCACATTTTGATTAGCAAGATAATCTGGGACTAGTTGCTTCATGAGCGGATAGAGCTATTTAACGATTGATGGTTACCACTGTATACAGATTCGCTCAGTGAAGGGTGATTTCCACTCTTCCAAAACCCGTGCTTATATCCACTTCCTTTCGAATATCTATCGCTTTGATGATCTTGTCATTTCCTTTGAGAAGTTCTTTCGTTGCTGAGGATGTATGAAAAACACCGCAAAGAAAACAGCTGATGAATCGGACGATTCTGCACTGAGAATACGTGTATGCATGTTGATAAACCTTTCAACAAAGCTGAAATTTGTATTTCAGCTGCCGGATTCAGTCAATGGGGAGATTGGAGCACATGCTCAGAGCCGTGTCGTTCTGGTGGTGTTGCTGGCACTCAACAGCGCAGTCGTATTTGCGAAATTCCCAGACGAGGATGCTTCGGTCCCACGGTGGAAACAAGAGAATGTAACACTCAAAACTGTCAAGGTTAGGAGACTGTTTTCAAAATAAGGTTTTCTGTGTGTTGTTTCGATACAATTCATTGTTCGAGAACATTCATAGAATATGTTAAAATTTTTTTGCAGTTTGCGGAGAAATAGGTCCATTGGAAGATAGTTCTTATCAAGCTTCGAGTTCTGTACAGTTACCACGATTCGCTAAACTAAACACGACTGATCCTGGTGTTAACAGGCGAGGCTGGTGCCCATCTCCAGATGATAATGACCCGTATCTCCAGATTGATTTAGGTAAAAAAAAAATTAAAAAATGAAATGATGAATCTGTCTTAAAATTTTTAATTTAACAGTGATGTAGTTTTAAATGATACAAATAAACTGCACCGATTTGAAGCAGAAGTCAACTAAATCTGCCCATGGTCTGCGCCGTAGGTCGTCCTAAAAGCAGGTGAATCTGAGATCTCAGGATTTCATGTTAGAATTCATTTTACATTCTCTTTTTTTATGTTTACACCTTACCTTTACGGTTAAAACAGAAAAACGATATTCCAGACGGATAAATCTAACTGTTTCCAACAGCAGGCATTTGAATGGTTGTTCCTATCTTCCTCTGAGTCGCCATGGTTTCTTCCCATAATAGTATAAGCCATTTTTTGGCATTTGAAAGCTCTTTCTTAATTTATCTGTCCCTTTTTGTGATCAATCATTTATCAGCTCATCTTTCTCTTACAGTTGATAGTGTCGATATCAGTGGTCTTGCCACAAAGGGGCAAGATTTTTCTGGACTTGAACGCTGGGTAACAAGTTACTATATCTCATACAGTGAGGATGGATTCAAATACATTGAGTATGTAGAAGGAGGCCAGAGGAAGGTAAGCTGAATGCAGATATGAATGCAGATATGATTTATTTTGACACTGAGTTGTAAAGGGAGAAGCATATTACACTGATCATAGACATCTAGGTGGTTTATTTAACGACGAAAGGACCAGAACTACCTTTAATAATTCATTGTTTACTTGAACTCTCACAGGATAGCATTTTGGAGCATTATGATTAACGAAAGAATATACTTTTCTGGGTTGTCAGTCAGTGGAGAGGAGCACGATAAATTGCGGACGACGTTCAGCGGATTTTAGGACAACCAGCAATTTTCCTCTCCAACCCTCTAACTCTCTCTTTTCGCTCTTCGCTTATTCACTTGCCTTTTCTAACCAAAAACCTATAACGGGTCGGAAAGAAACTTACTCCAAAATGATCACATAACTGAATTTTTTCCCACACACTGAAGTTGTCACAAAAAGCTTTTCAGGATCGTAAAAGCAAGTACTTTAAATCAAAAGTTTTCCCTGACGGCGAAATGATTATCTTTTAGGGTTTCCTTATCCTGTTTGATTTCTATGTGAACAAAGAAACAGAACGCAACAAAAATCGAGAACACAACGCTATTTCTAGAAGGCAGAAATCTAAGGGTCCGTTTCTTCTATATCATTTACCTTTTCAGAATTTCACTGGCAACACAGATCCAACGAATATTGTCATTAACGAGATCAATATAACGACAGCAGCCAAAAAAATCCGATTCCATCCTTTGACGTTCGTTGAGCAGGCGTGCATGCGAGCCTCAGTGTTTGGGTGCCCTCCGCCAGGTAAATACAGTTGGAATACGGTGAAAATCATTCCTTTGAAAGAACATGAGACACACGATGCCCTGGGTACCTGTGGACTGCGGATCGTTAGATCTGTTTACGAGCCGTAGCTGGCTTATTTTGTTGTGTTTTTGAACAAGACAATATACTCAACGAATACCCCTACCCTTTCCACCCAAGAATATAAATGATGTGTAACGGCTACCCGTCGGGTGACCAGAAAAAATATGGGGCGGGGGGCAAAACATTGCAATCCGGGGGAAGTAGCAACACTATGCTCCTTTTTTATTCCACCTATGAAAACAATTACCATTGCGGTCACGTAATATGACTCGTAGACTTTGAAGAAAGACTAAACTAAACCGTGTAGATCATGCTAAGCAAGCCACAAATAATGCACCTCTACACTGGAATCCTTAAACGATAAACTTGATGGAATTCTCCTTTTCTTGTAGAGGTCGGAAGTATCAGTAGCCCAATAGCACAAACTGGAATCTGTAAGTAACTGGTTTTTGTTTCCACTTTTGGAGTTATTGGTCTGAAATTCATTTTGAAAAATTATTTTTTCTACTTTTTCCGCTGTAGTTACAACTCCAAAAAGATATAGATGCTGGAGTTAAAAGCCATAGAATGAAAGTAGAGATTACTTAATTAAATTCCTTGTATTATCTTACAGTGATCGCGCTATGGATCTTGGCCGGAATTCTGTCATTCCTCCTACTCATGGCCTGTTGTTATTATTGTTGTTGGCATGTCTGCTGCGGAAGGTAAAAGTGAATTGATTATAAAACATGACTTCTCTTTGCTATATCAATACGTAATCAAGCAAAGCAGGTTTCGAGAATAGACACATCAGTTAGCTGGAGAGTTTTTTCTTGCTATGGTTCCATTTAAAACGAAACGTAGAACAGTTAAAAACCAAAATATGGATCAGATACTGTGAGTTTAAGGGGAGTTGACCACCTTTTACAACGCTGTCAGAAAATTGAATCTGTAAGATGACAAAACTTAAAAAGCCAAGTGTTTTTTCAGCCACGAAAATATAAGTTTGAATTTAAAAGAATTCAAACCTTTTTGAATGATGCAAAGCTTGAAGAGCTATTGGAGCTTTTTTCGGCTGAATGTGAACGAGTAACCGGTATCAAATTGTTTGGATCAATATCAGTATCTGGACAACTGCCCACCTATCCCTCCCCTAACCCAACAACAGTCTATTGATAACAAGTTAGGGTTAATGTTGGGTTAGGGGAGGGATAGGTGGGCAGTTGCCCAGATACTGATATTGATCCAACTGTTTTCATTCAAACAGCTTTAGAGATCGGTCCAGAAAATTCATGCTATCACAACCAATCAAATACAAAATTAAAACCGAATTGGCTTCTTGCGTTTTCCCGCCTATAGTTTTTCCTTCAAGTTCTGATTTGCTCTGATTGTATTCGGAAAGCGCCCGAAGCATTAACGCTTTATCTTACTTGCTTTGCAGAGGTAAAAAGAGGCGGGGTTTGACGGCCTTTAGACACACATGGATGGACGACCCAGATGGATATCTTATCGAAAGTTTAGAGAAGAGATGGAGGCTTCCGTCAGCGGATATAATGACTGCAGCTAAATCTGTTCCTCAGGATGAAATTCAAGAGGTCATTGTGGATATGCAGGACGAGAATTTTAAGCCATCAGGTAAATTGGCTCATTTCTGAAATTTCTTACCACTGAGTGGCACAAATCACTCACAAAAGAATTAGAATAATCTGACCTTAAATTTATCATTCGCGAGCTTATAATGAAATTTAGTCTTGCTAAACTGTAATTTGTCATGCATCGTTTGCCAGGAAAGGTAAATTTTATACTCTATGTCTGTTTGCTGGGCGTTTTCGTTTGCAATTCTGTTTCCCTCAAACGTATACGCACCTGACGGATCTCTTTAGTTTAACATCAACGGTGCAAAGATGGAATATATTTCAATTCAGTCTTACTTTTGTCATTTTGTCGCTGACACTAAGATTGCTTAAAAGAAGCATTCACCAGCGTTCGATTTTATCCAAGTTATTGACTGGACAGGGAATTATTACATTTATCTATGTGGTCCAACGCTGCACACTCTTTCTTCTTGCCTTAATTCTTCTATTTCAATTTTTACGTTATTTATTTTGATTCCTCTCTCTTGGACTTTTAGGAGTAATACAGTTCGGTATTGAGGCTGAAGCAAGCAAAGAAGCTCCCGTCACTGCCGACACCGTACACTCGGAGACACCAACGTACTCAGAAGATGCCGTCGATGATGTGAAAAATGGCGCCAGTATGATAAGTCTAAGTTCGGATACTGCACGGTACGCTTCCATTAACAGAAGAAAGCGAATCAAAAGTGACCCATCTGCAGTTGGGCCGAATCTTGGGGCAGCTTCTTTGGAACGAAACAGCACAAAAGGGCAGAGACGAGGCTCTGGTGTCACAAATGAAGGATTTACCAGGTTAGTTAATGCATATTAGGGTCAAACAACTGAGTAGTTTGTTCTTGGCTTCAAGGCAAGGGAATCGAAAGTAAACCGTAATTGCATTGGTTTTGGTTTAAGCTGTGTGACTGTACAAGAAAACGTACGAGTTATGATTGGCTTCTTATTACATTTTCCTTTGATCTTATAAAGCATTATAATAACTAAACTCTTTATTTAGATCCAAGGAGTGGTTACTTGACGATTCGCCCCAGGCCCGCCCTTTGACACCAGAAATGAGACGTGCCGTAAGTGCAGACGAACTCGCTGTGGTTGACTATGACATGTTCGCTCCACCAAGTGGTCAGCCTGCTTTCAGAGGGGAGCTGGGTCGGGATGGTTACATGAGAATGAAGCAAACTAACCCGGATCATACATATGAAGCACTTCCAATCGGAAACGCTGACGTTACCACGGGAGCCGAACAAGTGAGGGAGGCAGTTGTTATGGAAAACGAAGACCCGTTATACGCTGAAATACGTTTCAATGATGAGGTTGGTGAGACCTAGTTTAAATTTTATTTCAAGTCTAAAAAAACACCATAGAGCTTGCACCTTAAAAACTAGAGTAAGCGTCAGTTTATAGAAGGATGTAACTTCTACCCCTTCTCTACCTTAGTGTCCTTGATTCAACTTTGGCCTTTGAACTTTATCTTTCTAATAACCGAAATACTACGAGCGCCCTGATTGGTCAAAAAATTGCACCGGTAAACGCTCAGAAAAAAAGTCTCTTATGAAAAAGAGCTTTTCTCGCGTCCTCCCAACATCGCAAGTGGGTTACTACGCTGGTAAACCAATATAACGTGCTGTCTATTGCTTAAATATTCTAACAGCCTTTGACTCATTTCGGGGGGGCTGAATCTTATTTTCAATTACTTTTTTTCAACGGTATCTCGATTAGAAGCTTAATTCTAAATTCCTCATTGTTAAGGATAACTGAAAGCCTGAAGTCATTATTGTTTCCTTTTCTATGGGTACAGGGAGAAATGGTGGAGATCAAGTGAGACTATAGCGTTTAAGGACGGCATACAGCAAACCATGAACAAGGAAGGAACCCAATTTAGTGAAGTTGGAAAATCGTGAAAATATCCAAGATCTTTCCATAACGTTCGAGTTTAAAAGAGATGTCCAGCTTTTATTTTGTTTACAGTATCTTTTAGGAAAATGCACCATAAGTGTTTGAGAATGTGTACTTCGTGCAGTCGTAGGGAATACTTAGTTTCGTTTAGAATGGCAATTATTATGAAGATGTTATGTGTTAAAGGAGATTTAATTAGTTATAAAAGCAGTTTTAAGTCACATAAGTTACCAACTCGATCGAGTTTCATGGCCGAGAGGGCCTTGGAACAGTTTGACCAGCGAGCTACCATAAGCAAGCGGATAGTTCTGTATTCAAATATCAAAAATGTAGTAATATAATGAGGAAAAAAACAACGCTTATTGTAGCTTTGATCTGTTTGATTTGTGGGTAGATAGTTATTGCTGCACAATAATTATGACCGTACAGCATCCAAATTTGTATTTATCAAGTGTAATTCCCATTTTCTCAGTCGATGCTTTACGGAATATCTCAAGCTTCAAGGTGGAAAGAATGCAGCTTTGTTATATTCTGATAACTTTATTTGTAATATTCTCTAATTACGCATAAAAGGTTAAGTATTCTTTGGGTGTTGTTTCTACTTGTGACTCAATAAATAAAAGGTTAAAATTAAAAGAAGTACAATTGTAGTAGATGTGTATTGTGTATAAAGAAGAGTTGATGTTTGAGGCAGGAATATGAGGTCATATGTATGAATACGGCAGAATCCGAAGGTCAGAGTTTTGATTGGTCGCGAAGATTTTGTCCCCGCTCGTGACAAGACGAAAAAACATATTTTCATTCAGCCAAGTTGTGGGCAAACCCACCTTCATCACGGTGGGCTCACTTTGGTTATCCGTCTGTTCACTCAAGTTGAAAGCAAACTCATCTAAGTTGCCATCCTACTCAGTTATTTTGAAAGTTGTTCAGGATCATATTGAACAGTTTTATCTGCTGTGGATCTTAGGGTCAGATGCATTATGCCGGTATATTTTTGGACATGCTGCTATGATCAAAGCATAGAGCATAATTCCAGCATAATGACAAATTCCCTACAGAAAAACTCTGAGTGCTTCCAACAGCAAGCCTGTTTTTCTTGCTCGTGCTTCAGAACTTTGAGTCAATAAAATGTTGCGCTCTGAACCCCGGTAACCCAAAGTTTTACCTTTTGGTAATAGGAATGGAATGGGGGGTTTAAAGGCTCTCAAATGCTATTACTTTGAACTATTTCATTATGTGAGCATGATGAAAAAAATGGCATTATGAAAAAAATTCCATAGTTTGCACCTGATACTACAGTCACAGGGGTGACGCTCAAGAGCATATTGCTTAAATTTTCGAGCATGGTTTACCCGTTGTCTTTCTCGATTTCCATAGTAAAACGAGTAGTATTGTAAAAAGCCATTGACATGGTCTCGGTCTATGACTGGGAAGTGTCATCTACATATCGCTTCCAGATCTTAGGTTTGCAAGTCGCACTTGCTATTGCCTGTTCCTCAGATTCTTCTATGTAGATGTTAGCTATGACCGCGGATACAGGGCTTCTCATAGCTGCTCCGTCTTGTTGTTCATAAATCGACCCGTTGTATTGGAAATATGTTGATCTTAGGACGCGATTCGAGAGGTCGGCAAATCGAGAAAGGTAACACCATTTCTTTTCTCGACACTTCTGTCACAAGGGACTCAAACCGTCTTGTCAGTACCACTTTCTGCAGAAAGCTCACACACACTGACCATTTCCTAGCCTATGATTCACACCATCCTACGTCAGTGAAGTGCGGTATTGTTAAGTATCCATACGACCGAGCCCAACACCTCACAACAAAACCATCAGTTATCTCTGAGGAAAAGAAACACTTGTCATCAGTACTTGTTTCTAATGGTTATCATTCTTCGTTCGTACAAAAACTCGTAAAGACAACAAGAGTAACTGCCAACAAAGAAGGAATTTAAATCTACTGCCGTTCTCTCTTACATACAGGGTGTATCAGAGGTTCTTCGCCCCTGCCTACAACATCAAGGCATACGGACCGTTTTCAAGTATGACACAGCGCTTAGATCTCACTTGGTGAGACCTAAAGATGCCCTAGAACCAACAAAACAAAACGGTGTCGTTTTCAAGATCCCATGTGAATGTGGCAAAGTGTATATCGGTGAAACAGGGATATCAGTGCGAGAAAGTATAAAAAAAAAAATATGACAGAGACATACGGTTTGCTCGTACTCAGACCTCTGCGGTTTCGGAGCACACTAACGTAACGAAACGGGGTCTATTCCTATTTGGAACAAGGTTAAGTTTATTGATCGTGACCCTCACTGGTACACACGTAAGGTCACCTAGGCTATTCATATGAGACTTCATCTCAACGACATCAATAGAGGTAGCGGAATCGAAATCCCGAAGCTTGGATACCCACGATCAAACAACTGACAGCAGCCGATCAATACAGATCTATAAAGGAACAACATCTAACAACCAGAATAATAATGAGAATCGAAATGCACCAACTACAGCGAACCAACGTGCTACAAATAGCGACACGTAACCAATCGACCCCATCACCTGATGAAGATTTGCAGTATTGCAGTCGAAACGTCGCGATCAACATCGCAAGTGACTTCATCGTGAGACAAACGAATAAAGTTTATCTCTAAATCTTTACTTGTAACAATTCTTATCCCAATCCTAGGTTATATTGTAAGAAAAAAATCACTTTTTTCCGAATCACTTATTCTCTCGGTCAAAAGGTTGGAATTTGAACCCTGTTTTTTGTTCCTTAAAATATATTTGACTCCTATAATGCCTCGCTCGGATCAAGAGTGAGAATGAGTACCAGCCAACTGACAGGATAATCTGATGAGATATAACCCTTTGATGTAACAGCTACTGTCCCATCTAATGTAACTGTTACAACACTACAACATTTCTTTCTACTAAAGCCACAATTAATCTCTGTAGGATGGGTCCTCTAAATCAAGAGATAACTTTACCTTTACCCTTCTTAGTATCACGAGGATCCAGTGTGAAATTAATCTTATGACGTGGTGAATATTCTACTTTAAATAACCGAGGGGAAGAGGAATGTTTGAGGGTCTGGAAGAAGAGGGGGAAAGAAAAAGGGAGAGGGAGAAATGGGAAGGAAAAGATAGGGTGGGAGGCTGAAGAGGAGAATGAAGGATAGGGAAGGGGATAGGAGATAGAAAGTGGGGAGGGAGGGAGGGGAGAGATGAAGAGAAATTTAATGGAGGAGGTAAAATGGAAGAAAGAAGTGAAAAATAAACGAAAGAATGGGAACCTCTTAGTTTTCAAACACACATTAACACTTTATTAAAACACCATGTTTTATTTCAAGGAATGCCTCCAGCTAATACAATTGAAATAAGAATTTAATCGATTAAATTCAATAATTTAAACTACAGCAAGATAGCAATGTACTGAAACTCCTGTACTGTAACTCGACAAACAAAGTAAACATTTTTCAACTGTACAAAATGCTTGTAAATTTCCTAATAGGATTCTCTAGAAAAGAACTGCCCACTATGTTTTTATCTTATAGTTAAAAAGGAGAGCAAATGGGCTAATAAATTATTTCGCCTATAGAGAGATACCCAAGCAAAATGTTTCTCGACTGCAAGTTTAGGTGACAAGGCCTTCTCTCTTGAATGGAAAAACTTTGCAATAGCCTTTTCGCAAACGTGCGAATTTCTTTAGTTCTATGGGCAAAAAGGAATTGGAAATATACAGAAAGAGCTAATTTCTAATATAAAAAAAATAATAATACACACTAATAATCACACATTTGTTTTTTTTTTTTTCTTTTTTGGTAGGAAGAAATATTATCGCCGTCAATATTGTCCCTAAGTAATAAATTTGCTCCAACTTCTTATTTATTTATTAATGCATTTTAATTCATTGAACGCCTTTCGGTCAAAAGAAGAAGAAAGAATTTTCTATTTCCTTCGCCTCTGACCTGGAGAAGAGCAAAACGAGAGATCTGCACCTTAATTCATACCTACAGCTGTATCTCCACGCACAATGAGAATTTTCTAATGTTATCTTATTAAATCTATCCCACCCACACCGTCAGTGAGTAGGTTTCACAGAAAAACCTGACTGCAATCAATTTAACTAAAATTTTTTGGACTTCAGAAAAAGCGGTCCACCTCTAAAGTTAGACCTTTAAACCCATCGAGTTAGACTAATCGGTTTTCGAAGAATTTCACTAAATTTTCGTTGAAAAGATTGTAATCCTCCTTCGTTTTCTTTTGTATGGAAGGACTTAGTTTCGACTTCGCAGTTGTTCCTATTAGACAAGTCGGCTGTGCCTGAAGCCCTAAGAAATAAAAAAAAACATAAATTTAATTGGAATGATCAGATAAAACAATGAAAGTTTGATACAATTTGTCATAACGACGACGACAGCACCAAAAGTAAGCAAAAACAACATCCAAACAGGAGTTTAACAAACTGAACGATAAAAACAGGGCTATATTTCTTAATTTCAGATTTAAAAATAGTAGATAGATAGATAGATAGATAGTTTATTAAAACTACATCGCAGCCGAAGGCTGAATTACGCAATTATTACAAAAACTTTACAATACTTGAAAATTACAAATGAATCCTAGAAAATAAATCGAAAACTGTTTTTTAAGAAAATATTAAAAAATTCAATAAAACATATTCATATTGAAATATGTTAAAATATAAAGCATGGATATAAGTGAGATAAAACTACGGCCCGGACTGTCTCGACATCGCATATGTAACCGTATATTACTTCTTCTATTCGTGCAAAGCTTTGGTTATACCTTGAACTCAGACTAAAAGTAGTAAACACACTTAGATCCGATTTTCTCCATGATATTGATATCTGTTAGAATTCTCTGACAAATTTATCATATTTTGCGCATGAATAACAAACACGTTCCTCACTAACCTTGTTATCATGTTCTATTTCGTGGTAGATAGGTTGATGTTCCACATGGATCTCCCTAAATCCTTCATCCCTCAACCGACCGGGCTCATGTCCCCCACGAGCATACCACTCTTCCGTACGGTATCCCCCGTCTTCCAATTCATAATAATGACGTCCACCATTATCTGCCGAGAATGTCATCTCCTGTTCCTCCATTCCATAGAACTGGCTCGATCCCCGTTGGACATTCGGTGCCTCGATACCTCCGATAGCCAAATCTACAGTCCCCATTTGGAAGCCCCGGTCCGTTTCATCGACTGAAGAACCTCGGCTGCTTTGTTTCATCCTCATGTAACCATCACGACTCATTTCTCCTTTCAAGGCGCTCTGAGCCGACTCGCGTCGTTGTTCGAACATGTCGTAGTCGATGGCGGACAGTTCATCTGCGCTTTGAGCGCGTCTTAATTCCTGAGTTCGGGTACGAACTTGAGTAGGTGCGATTGACTCTTGAGATCTAAATAAGAGGATGGGATAAGGGTAAGTAGGAGCAGTTTTGATCGAGACTGTTCCGTGAAACAGAGGCGTTTACTGGACTGTCTTCTTTTCCATGAAGCGGATAAACTTCATTTTCTTGTTGCTTACTAAAGATGTTCGGTGGAATTGTCTTGAACGAGTGCGTGACCCTCTTGACCCATTAAAATATAAAACTGAAATTATTCTCTGAGTATTCTTTCGCACATTTGCCCTGTTTTCTTTGAATTTGAATGGGCTCCTTCTGATACTAACTTTTATTTTAATTGGAAGTTGTGATTACTTTACTTTTGCTTGCCTGACACTTAATCTGAATACTCCGTGATAATGAAATATACCTCATGTAACCTTCATTAGCAAAAGCAGAGCTCTGCCTCTGTTCTGTCTGGTACGACCATTGTTTGGAAGTAGCCTCGGCCTCCTCAAGAGTTGCAGCAGCAGATTCGCTCTGAGCGCGTTTCCTTTTCTGGGTGTCAGTGGAACTCATGGTCATCTTTGTAGCGCCTTTTTTGACTGTTCCAGTGTTGACCTCTTGAGAATACAATGGAGTCTCTGAGTGGACAGTTTCTGCTGTTACGTGTTGGTCTTTTGTGTTATCGGCTTCGATGCCGAATTGGATGACACCTGGAAAACATTTAGTTGGAGGAGAATTATCAATTAACAGTGGTAATACAGGTGACACGGTTTAGTTATTCCATGGGTAATTGAGTTCGATCGTACATGCATTGTGCACGCAGAGAATGATGAATTAATTTCGAGTTTATAAGAATACACGAAGGTCTTCTTATTCAAAAAAAGGAAGCGAAGTACTCACCAAGTTGGGGACCGTCTTCTTTCATCTCAATGCTAACCTCTTGCACCTCGTCTTCGGGAACCTTGTCGACCTTTGGTGCTCTTGCCACCATGGGAACCGCACGAGGATTCCATCTCTTGCTTTCACCGTCTTCTATAAGATACCCGCCATCTTCTTCCGTGGATGTTTCGCTAAAAGCTGTCAGACCTTTACTTTTCTTCCCTCTAAATGCCAATGAAAGAAATTAAGAGAGTTAGTAAGCCCTCAGGAATACTTCAACCCTTTCACTCCCAAGATCTCATGAGTAATTCTCCTCACTATTGGGCATACCCTTCTTATGATGTTATTTAAGGAAATTTAATCTTAGATCAACCAATAATCCCCTAGCTGATATTTTTCTTTATTCTTGTCACTAGTCTGCTTGATATTGTATTGATACTGTAAGGAGAAATTCTGTCTTGATCACTCACGGGAGTGAAAGGGTTACATAGTGATTACAAGTTAAAAGCAAGCCATCCATTGTTCTCGAGAATTTCTCCAACACTTCGCCTGAAATGATGGGTACTTTCTCAAGGAGAGTGGAAGAAAGTCCTTCGTGTTCAAAATTACGTAGAATCTTCTCCTACAACGCTGATCCCTTAAAGAAAAGACAGGCATATAAGTTTCGCCTCTATTTTTCTTCCCAATACGGCACATACCCACGAATTTTCGTTGCAGGCATAATTTCTAAAATTACAGCTGAGTATGTTGAATGCACAGCCTCCAGGTTCACATACATGTAAGACATGCTCAGTGGTAAAATAGAAATGACTTATTATGGGCTCTTTACCTCTTGCAGCAAACATGCCAGCAACAATAATACAAACAGGCCAGGAGAAGAAGGAAAGTTAAGATGCCAGCCAATATCCACAACGCGATCACTAAAAATATGAAAAAGTTGCAGGATTAGTTTGTTTAATCCTTTACACCTCAACATCAGTATTCATACTCTCCATCCTGTTCTCTGTACATTTACTGAGGTGCTGACAAGGAGAATTCGTCCAACAATCAAGAGTTTCTTCAGTTGGTGATCATTTCCTTTATTCTCATGACACTGATGTGTGATTCAGTGGTGATATTGTGAGGAGAAATTAGATGCTAGTCACTGTTAGGGGTTAAAGGGTTAATGAAAATGAGATTGAACTATAATCGCGATAAGGTCACTTTCCTTTTCCCGCGCATCGCAAAGACTGCCGGGTGGTTATTGTGTCTTCTCATATGATTGCTCGTCGTAGTTGCTTTGGGTTTGGCTTTACTTAGCTCAAACAAATGCACTTACATTGACAATTCCAAAGTGGTAAGAATCACAATGTAAAGAAAAATCCCACAAAAAAAAGACAAGAAATGTTACAACAACTTACAAATTCCATTTCCTGCATCTTCTGAAATTCGAGCTGGATTTGCTGTTGGGTCTATTATTTCTAGACACAGAAAATAAAAGAAACATATTATATATCTGATTGGACTCCAGGAGTTAAGATAACCATGAAACTGAGAAAAAGTAAATAATCGACCTGTTTCCGTGGAATTTACCTCAGTTACCCTCAACTTTAGTAACTTCAACCTGATATTACATTGCTGCAGTTAAATAACATTAAGTTGATAACAAACTTACAAAAGTGAAAATCATTGTTAAATGAATCGAATTCTGTTTAATAGGAATTCTTTGAAGTATAAAATAGCAGATGTGACTCACCAGTGCAGGCAAACACCGACGCCTGCATACATGGTTGCTGGTTAAATGTGATTGGATAAAAACGGACATATCGAACGGCTTGCGTGGCGTTGAGGTTGTTAAAAACAACGGATCTTGAATCCCGATTGCCAGAGAATACCTACAGTTATTTGCGAGATAATAGACAAAATTTAAGATCTTATAATGAATTGCTTTTTATTAAGATTTCCATCATTAACCCAGTTAAAGGTCTTACAATTTGAGCTACTTAGCACTACTCTCTTGATCAATTGTTAACTATTCCTGTGCGAGCGGGTTCTGTTCATCGTGCTGTTGATGGTTGTTCATTTGTAAGCCTCTGAGCAGTACTTTCGTGTCGTTCGGTTTGCTATGTTATACAAGTTTATTGAGTCTATAATGAAGCCCTCGTCTGTCATTTGCGAACTTCCGAATACAAACTGTCCACAGGTAAGAACATTTTCAAATGCTTTAAACTAAAGAATAAAGAGAAGACCAACCTTAGTTCTTCCGCCTTGGGTATAGTTAAAGAAGGAGTTGCCATCTGAGCTCAGCGTTATGTAATAACTCCTAACCCATCGATCGTTTTGTTCCTGACCTTTTGTAGCCACCTGGTAAACATCAGCAGTTTCCCCTGAGGTGATAAAGAACAAGAATTGTTTTGTTTTCTTCAAATTGATGAAGTCTTAAGATTCCGTGAACCAGGGTCAGCATTGAAAGGTCACGCAGTAACAGAATGGCTTTTTTTTATCTAAAGGGAACTTATGGTTTTCTCAAGAAATCAATTGCCTTTAAGGAACGTCGTATCCTTGTTACGCAATTTTGATATTTTGCAAACCCTGGTATGAAAAATAAACCGTGCGGTCCTTGTATAAATGGAGCTAAAGAACAAATTAACGCAAATTGGACCTGCCAAAATTTAAAGATTTAGGATAAATTGTCTATGAAGCAAAACCCATGACTTAGCTCCTTTGAACCTTAATATTATCTTTAAAAGGTTTTTTACCTAAGTCTATCTGCAAATAGCCACCAACGTTGTTGATGTCTCTGCACCAGGCTCTTTGCGATGCACTCGGGTTAGAAGTGTCCAGCTTGGCAAACTGAGCCGGTTGTTCAACAGTCGAGGCACTGTAATTTGTGTCATTGAGTGAGGTCCTTTCCGCACAGCCTAACAAATATAATTAATATGGGTTTTTTCAGTGTTTGCAAACCCAGGACTACATTAAATTTACGTACGTATTTAATTTACTGAGAGTAGGTGTGTCATATGTTAATTTTTTATTCTGCTTTATGCTGCCTTGCCACTTAACGTGTTTCCTCCGAATTTCTTACTCTGTCTATGTATGAAGAGTTTTCTTTCCTTAGGATTTAGATGGTTTCCTACAGTTTTCATTTGTTATCGGAGTTTTAGTCCGCGATAATTCCTGAGGTACTCTGAACAATATTTATCAGTTACCAACAAGATTCAAGAGTTGTTGAACTAAAAATCAAGTGTACTGACCTTCACAGTCTATTTTGTTGCATTCTTCAAATTGCTCACTAGGGCCATCACATCCTAGCTCACGAATATCACAAGTGCGCGTGCGTCTTCTGGTCCCGGCAACGCCTCTCTGGCGACAGGTTCTTGAGCATGCGCTCCATTCCGACCACTGTGAATAACCGGAAGCTGCAATTGATTAAAATTTTCGTTAAAATTTGCGAACATTTATGCGGACAGCAATGACATAGGGAAAAATGGATGATGTGCAGAATTGTTCGATAACTTGACCAAGTGTCCAGAGTTGATAGTTATCAATTTTCTGCTAGTTTTCTTTTTTTTCCTTTTTTTCTTTCATAGGCTATAGCAACCTTGTGCAAAGGATCGGAAGTCAGCAGCAGTCAAAAGCACAAAGGATCTCCCTATGCCTGAATATCTGGATGATCAATAAAACTAGGAAACAATACGAAGTAGTTCAATAAATCTCACTTCTTAAAATGATCTTCATAATTTCCCTTGCCACTTCCTCTGGCCTCTCAGTTGGTTCTACTTCAATGATATTTCGGTTTTCTTCGGTAATGTAAATAAGCTCATTTCGATCCACTGATCTTCCAATACCGACTCCGATGATTAGAATACTCTTCTGGACCAAATCGGTTGCAATCGTCTCTAACTGAACTTTGCTATTGTCCGTTGTTTTGTCCAAAATGACCACAAGCACTTTTTTCGCGTTAGGCCGGACCTCCCTCAACTCGTACACTCTCTTGACCTCTTGGAGAGCCTTCGCCAGGTCTGGAGTTCCAGTCTCTCTCTGAAGACTCGTCACCAAACGAGTCAATGTTTCTTTGTCTGGCACGTTAGTAGAGAAGTCAACACTTGTTGTGAAGCCAGAGCCAAAAACAATTACGGTGTAATGGATTCGGCTGATTCCATACTTGTCAATTATGTTATTGATTGTGGACTTCATCAATGTGAATGTTCTTTCGGTTGAAGCGGAAGTAGCACTGATGACAAAAGTCAGGTCGATCTCTGGAATATTGGCTGAATTTAGAAGGAAGGAAGAAATAAGTTATCATGATCACTGTACCAAATCAAGTTCTCAAAATTTAAAGGTTCGAACAAACCTCATCCCTTCTTTGAAACGCACTAACTCGCCGTTGCAAAAAAATCATTTCCAACAAATATCGCCATCTACTCAGTCCTAACACAAGTGTCAATGCTTAATCTCTAGGCATAAGCGGCACACACTTAAAGTTATACTTACCCTGCAGTGCTTTAAACATGATGGTCTCTGCTATCACAACTGGTCTCTGTGTAGTAAAATCCGGCACACTAATGTAATCACTTTGTGCTATAACCACCTTTGTCATCTGGTTACTAATTGCGTTCACCTGTTGTCCAAATCCTACTGATAGAATAAGCACACCTCCCTTTCGTAATCTGGCAGAAGTGGCTATAAGCGAGTTATCATCTCCACTTCCGACGATATCCGTGAGCACAACAAACACTCTGGTAGCGTTAGGCCTGGATGTCTTTGTGAACAGCTGTTCTGCTTCCTCTAGAGCTTTTTCGAGGTCAGGGTCTCCAGTAACCTTCTCAGTTCCATTCACTGCCTTGATGAGTTCCTCCTGAGTTATTGGTGCATTGTCAAAGGTGAATCTAGTGGTTACCCTGCTTCCGTAAACAATGAAGCTAAACCGGACTTTATTAACTCCATAACGATCAACAATTGTGTTGATTATTTGTTTCATCAGACTGAAGATTTTATCTGAATCAGCTGACGCAGCACTGATGGCAAAACCAACGTCAACGTCTGGGAAATTAACTGGAAATTTGAATGAATGAAAAGATTCTATTAGAGACAGACTGACTGATTGGCCGACCGGTGGACTGAATGACTGACTGAGAGACTGTAGACTTACTGACTCACACACTAACTGGTAAATAAATTGACTGACTGACTGACGGACAAAATGATAGACTGACAGACTGGCAAAGTGACAAATTGACTAACTAACTGACTGACTGACTGACAGACTGACTATCAGACTAACTGGGTGACTGATAGAATGACTGGAATTCACAACAGAACACTTAGGAGAACACATTAGATTCAAAGTGACTGGATACAGGGAAGACATCTTTGACTTGCAACGACAACATTAACAGCAGCAATAGCAATGAAACAATATTGTCGAAGTAAAGCTGAGCGAAATGGCTTACGTCTGAGAATCCTTTCCATTATACGCACGGCCAATACTGATGGATTGATGTTCAAACGAGCGGATATGACGTCCAACGGGTTAGGTGAAATGATATTCAACTCGCTTCTGGAGACTTCATTTCCTACTCCTATCGAAATCACCAAGACCCCTAGATCTTCTAGCGGTCTCACTGCTTGGCTCAAGGAGTTTGTACTCGAACCAGAATTCCTATCTGTAATAACTACCAAGACCTTCTTAGCACCAGATCGTCCAACACTCTCTTTAAAGACCCGATAAGCTTCTTGTAATGCATTTGTCAGCACGGGGCCCCCGGGCAAAGCAGGTTGGCGATCAATGGCTGTTTTAAGCTCATTTGCGGAGAGAGGAAAGGTTCTGTTAAAATTGACCACTCGGATTACTTGATTGCCGTACACAATGACGCTGTAATGGATTTTGTTCACGCCGTATGTATCGATGAATTTCTTGACGGTGTTTTTCATTAGCTCATAAGATTGTTTAGATGATGCTGATGTGGCACTAATGGCAAACACCAGGTCAATTTTGGGGATATTCGGATCTAAAGAAATGGAGGAAGAGAATAGATATTTTGGCTCTAAATAGACTATTTTTAGACTATTTATAACAAAAACCGACAGGTGTAATTGGATTTTATAGAGCTTCGACGAAAACTTGGTAAAAAGTGGTGTGTTTCAACACAGCTGCCTGAATTTAGTGAAGCTGGGCAGGATTGTAAAATTTCATCGGGTACAGAAATTTAGAACAGCAAAAATTGTTGCAATAGTGACAGTGCCATTTAAATAACGTGTACTCACCTATAGTAGGTGTAGGCAATGCAGTAGCCGTTGGCGCCGTAGTTGCTGTAAAAGTAGTATATCTATTAGTTTTTTACTTCCAAAAGCAAACCCGGTACATATTGCTCTGCAACCGATTTCACTCTTCATACATTATGTTGAACGATACTGAGGTGATCTGGTAAATGTAAGACTTTCCTTGCAACTGAAATTCTTGGAGAGTAGAGAGCGTTTTTTCGCGAGTATAATCAATCAGTTTTGGCCTTACTTGTGCTTTTCTTTCACCTAATAATAACTAGTAATCTAAATTATGAAATAAGCTAATTTCATCACCTTTACAAGGCCCAGAGTTACAGTTCTCCGTTTCAAAGGCTGGCCCCATACAGACGTCACCGCCTCCCGAGGCGGGTGGGTTAGTGCACGTTCTTGTTCGGTTACGTTTTCCATCGCCACATAGAACATTGCATGGCCCTGTAGCCCAGTTAGTCCATCCTCCATCAACTGAAATTAAGAAAGGATCATGAAGCTATCAATTTTAAGCGACAGAAACTATTTCTGTGCAAATGAGGTAAGTTTCCAAAGAAATTGTCGAGCTGCGTCGGTGTTAGGTATTACAAGTTTACTTGGTTTTATTATCTAACTTAAAGTAAATTGGCCATCGGAAAGAGTTTCTAAAGCTGACGTTTCGAGCATCGGCCCCACGTCAGAGTTCTAACGAAGTGCTATAATTTATTCTCTCGGTGATACTTTCAGCCTGAAACTATTATCGGGTGCAGAGTGCCATCAGTTCTAATTGTACTCTGGAGCGTTGAATTGTTACTGTCCTTAAAAAGAAGGATTGCGGTGGCCGAGAAACGAATCGATGATGCTTTTACCTGGACATGCCTGGGTCATGCATTCCCTTGTCTCTGTATCGTCGCCAGGACAAAACTTTCCTCCGTTGGACGGTTGCGGGCTGTCGCACTGACGTCTTCTTGACTGTGTTCCGCCACCGCATGTCCTGCTACAGGAGGTCCAACTTGCCCAATTTGACCAACTACCATCAGCTGTGGAAAGAATGAAGTCGATTTCTCTCTGTAAATTACAGAGAAGAGCTAGCTAGGCTTTTTGTCTTACTTTGTCTATGTCTATGGTTGATTGGTTAATCATTGTCACCGAAAACTTTCTCATTACTGCTGCGTGAATGGTAAAAAAGATGACCATTTCTTGCTCTTCAGATTTGACTTTGCCGTGTGTTAGAGTCGCCAAAGGACAACTCTACCTTCTTTTCTTTTAGTTGAAACTTTAACCATTACTTTTGCTGTGGAGTGAATCATTATCCGTTAATTTCTCGGTGGAAGGAAGGATCCCTCGGTATACCTTTCTTTTTTACTTATGAGTACCAATTTGGAAGCCGAAAACACTAATAGAACTCACCTGGACAGACGTTGGTGCTACACACTCGGGTCTGGAGGGTATCTCCAACACAGGGCTTCCCACCCTGGGAGGGAGGGGGACTACCACACTGCCGTGTCCGGGTTTGTGTTCCTCCTCCACACGTCTTGCTGCATTGTTTCCATGGAGTCCACGGAGAAAATTTGCCATCCACTAGCAGCAATAAAGAAAAAGAAGCATGGTAGATTTTCAACATCATTTGTCCTCACGGTTATCTTTACCTTTTTAAAAGATCAAATCTACGCATTCGGGTGCCAAGTTACTGTCAAGAAAAACGAAGTATTTAGAGTCGAAATTACAATTTCTGGGACAAAATGTTACAAATTCTCTGCTTTTATACAAAAAAATAATAATCCAAACTCATCACCCCAAAAGGAATGTCGTACGTAACTCTTGGTTAACTTTCCAGGTTCTTCTTCCTATACCTCACCTGGACACGATTGTGTGTTGCACCTTTCAACCTCCACGTATCCGCCAGTACATCCTGATCCGTCATTGGACGGTGGTGGATTGGTACAGGCACGTCTTCTTGATCGTGTTCCACCTCCGCATGTTGCACTGCATCCTGTCCATTGGGCCCACTCAGTCCACCCGCCGTCCACTGGAAACAAAAGGAACGAAGACATTCAATCTTTTTGTCTCACGAAACAGATATTTTGTAGATTCCTTCACTATGAGGGTAGTTTTATGCCTTCGATCCCCTATTTCTTACCTGGACATGCTTGTTTGTTGCACTGTTGGGACTCCTCTGAGTTTCCACTGCAGCTATTTCCACCATGTGCAGGAGTAGGGTTAGTGCAAGATCTTGTCCTCTTTTGTGTTCCTCCACTACACGATTTTGTACAGGTCGACCATTCACTCCAGTCGCTCCAGCCGCCATGTACTGGGCCTAAATTTTGAAAAAAAGAGAATTTTGTATGAAACCTGCGTTTATCAACTAATGTTGGGTTTCCAAGGTTTCTTTGTTCTCCTTTTGAGCCCAAGAGAAGGTCTGTTCACAATAAACTTGATACCACTGGTCTCAAGTAAATTTCGTCAGTTTAAAGTATCGTTATTAATTCATCCGTTAACCAGTTACTGATCATGTTGAGGTTCCTGGGCGACAATATTCTTGGTTGATTCTCGAGTTATTATGCACCTTTTGGTTCTTTACAGTGGAAAAATCAATCCTCCTGAGTATTTCACGTGATTTCCGATGAACAAATGCGTTATAGTGCATGATTCGAATGAGGTATGTACGGTATTTTGGTTTTCCCTCTATAAATAGCTCACCTTAAGTCTGGTTTTTTTTTTAGGTATAAAGTTAAGCTATTCTTGCACTTACCTGGACACTTTCCCACATTGCACGCTTCAGATTGTACTCTTAACCCTGGGCAAGAGGCTCCTTGGTTGGATGGCGGAGGATTGGCGCACGAGCGCTGCCTCGTTCGCTGTCCGTCGCAGGATTTACTACAGCTCGACCACTGACCCCACGCACTCCAACCACCATTGACTATTTCAGATAAAACATCATTTTTAAAGGCTCTGATTAACTCGTGCGAAGTCATTGATCATAAGTGGATACAATAAAATAGAAAATAGTGACGGAGATTGCTCCCAACGGAATAAAGCATGTCAAGAAGGCTCAATTCTTAATCACTCTCCAAAAATAGCCGAGATGAAGGAGCAGAACCAATAGAGTTGAAATATTGGAATCTTTGATTTAAATTCAGTAACTGAAAACGAACATGAACAATAAACGCCACTTTGAAACGGTTAAAGGAGAGTGTTATTGTGTGGCTTCAAATGACTCAGAGTAACTCTCTTATCAAGATTTGAAATACTAAATACGAGGATATTACTAATCATGTGTTAACTCCTGCTAAAGATATCCATGGGAGTGAGATTATTCCTTTTTTAAATCTTTTTGAACTGATCATTGGTTTTGGAAGTTGTAATGGGTAAATATAATACGACAATAATTTAATCGATTCATTGATTTGGACTTGATTTTGGTAAGTACCTGGGCATCCTTGCGAATTGCAACTCTGAACTTCGTAACCATTTCCAGGGCATGTTTTGCCACCGTTCTGAGGTGGTGGGCTGGTACATTGCCTTCGTCGATAGGAGCTGCCACCGCCACACGTTTTGTCACAGGCAGACCATTGTGTCCACTCAGTCCAGCCTCCATTAACTAAAATGGAAACATGATGATTCAAAAAGGAGTCGCCTCGCCATATTTGGAGTCAATTCTGCGCTACGTAAGACTATGTTTAGCATTAACGAAACAGGAAGATATTGTTTCGTCGAGAGTTACGGGCACAATTTGTAATTTACTTCCTTCCCAAGGGGATTATATTGAATTTTTACGACATGGACATACCTCAACAAATTTTTTTCCGCTCAGTGAACGAAGGTTCACACAATATGAAATGTAACTAATAGGTGAATTAGAACGAAAAAAAGCGTTTGAGTAAAAAAGGGAAAGGCTTAATTAACACATCTGGTTTCATTTACAAAATAAAAGTCAGATAAAATTGTTACAAAAACAGAATTTTTCCGTAGGATTAGCTTTTTAAACTTCTGTAGCCATTTGTAAAAGGTTCTACAGATATTATCTGCGAAATCTACTTACTGGGGCAATTTTCAGTGTTGCAAGATTGACGATCTGTATCGCTTCCTTTACAGTGAATGCCGCCATGTTGTGGTGGGGGATTGTTGCAAGAGCGCTTGCGCGTCTGTGAACCTCCTCCGCACGTCGCAGAGCAACCTGACCATGACTGCCAATTAGTCCAGCCGCCATTAACTGACCAAACAGAGAAAGGAATAAATAACAAATACTTGCAAATAAATTTTAAAAAAGTAGAGCTCTACATCGTATGGATGTTTAGAATCTATAATCTATAATCTAATCTGTTTGCACCAGTTCCGCGCGGACCAAGGGGATGGGAGTCGAGCTTTAATAAATAGTCTCCATTCCTCTCTCTACTTCACTGGTGGTTTCAGTACAAGGTTACTGGAAATAATCACCACAGCATTTTGTTGTCAGTTTGTCATCGTTTCAGAAGCGCGGAAAGGGTTCATCTTCTTGTGATTTGTGTCCCACCCTATAATTGATCCCTGGTACCGTCTTGTACCTCAGGTATCTTTGTGATACGTACTTGGACATGGGTCAGAGTTACAGTTTCGATGATCGACATTACTCCCCGCACAGTCATGGCCACCATGCTGAGGATATGGGCTGTTACATGTCCTATACCGTGTCTGTTTCCCTCCTCCACAGCTCACCGAGCATCCTCCAAAGCTGGACCAGGGAGACCATCCACCATTAACTATGCATTTCAAGAGAAAAGGAGAAAAAGCAAGGTTTTGCGCATCAAGTATTTAGTCGATTTTCCAGCCCATGGTTTATGAGCAACAAAACAAGCGTGACTTAGATGAATGTGAATAAATAAACTATCGCACGCCCAAAAATTTCGAAATTTTCCTCGTGCTGAAAAAAAAAGATTATCGTTCTAGTTTATAACGGCCAGAAATTGAGCAACACACTCTAAGGCTTTTTTTATGTTTTATGCAATGAAAAGTAAATTGAAGGAAAGTTAATACTGTATGATAAAAATTTCAGTAGTAGGAGATATTTCCATTATTCGGGAATAGCGAAGCAAGAAGTTTGATCAACAAGAGGGACTAAAATGTTCGATCTTGAAAATTAAAGGTTTCATGTTCATTCGTTTTGGCATAAAAAAATGAGATGAGCAGTAAATACTTGCATTTAGATTATCACCTACTTGGACAATGCAGACGATCACTACAATACTTCGTTTGTTTTGCGTCTCCAACACAAGAGGACCCGCCGCCAGAGGGAGGAGGACTATCACATTTCCTTGTCCGAGTTGCTGTCCCGTTACCGCAAGTTTTACTGCAGGCAGACCATTGTGACCAGTGACCCCAATTTCCATTCACTTGAGCTACAAGGAATCAGAACAATTTGGTTGTTTTAATTTCTAAAGGCGTAGGCGTGTTAAAGGTGGGCCAAGAGTGAATGCGACCCCTTTGTTAGTTTTGGAGACGCTGATAAAACTTTTTCATAAAGTTTCATAAAATTTGCATCGTGGGAAGAATCGTGGCTGTATGAAAACATTGTGAAATGAGAATACCATTACAAAATCGTGCCCCAAAGATTTATTTGTTTGGAAAATATATTGCTGGTTGGTGGTGCATCTAAAACATGATAAGTCAAACTAGATAGAATAATTATAGCACTTACAAGAACAGCTGTTTAAGCAAAAGGCATCTTCTCCCGAATTCCCTTTGCATGCGGCTCCTTCGAACGTAGGAATGGGATTTGAACAAGTCCTATGCCGACTCTTGATGGCATATCCAGATCCTTGACCATAAATGTGGCACTGCTGAGAACATTCTGACCAGCTGGACCAACTCGTCCATCCGCCATTTATAGGTGTCAGTTCTGCAAATGCCACACAGATACTTTAGAAGCATAACATTACAAAATGTTTAAGCTTTTATCACACCGGCGTCACATAGGTCCTTGCCAAGCCACAAAAGGTGTTGTTCTCGAGAAAAATGTTGGTTATAATAGCTGTAATCATATGAAAATCATATGTGTGCACTGCGGTTGAAGAAACGAATATAGAATCGATCATCGCAGTTATGAGCACTACTGAACTAGTAGTTTAAATAAGGCCTGAAAAACATTCAGGCCCGTACGGGATTTGAACCCATGGCCTCTGCGATACGAACCTGAATTTTTTTTCAAGCCTTATTTCAGGATCGATTCTATATTCGTTATCATTACAATCGACAGACGCGTATCCTCTCCTAATTTCAGTTCCTTTTATACTTTCCTCTTTAAAGGAATTATCGATGTATATTGGAGAGAAGGCGGAGAAATCTGATGGAATTTCTTCTTTGTTTGGTATGTCCCTTTGATCAATTATTTTTAAGCCTTCCCATGTGTCCTTAACCTCAAATTCAGATATTTACCGCCGTTGCATATATTAACGTCCACTCGCAGACAGAGACCATTTGCGTCTGTTTGTGGTTCTCTCGGATTAAACGATACATATCGAGCTTTGACAGGTTTCTTCAAGTTCGTTTTGGCCACAAAATCACCATCATCTATTGCACCCCAAAATGCCTGAAAAAAGGAAACAAGCGAAAAATTATATTGCCGCGCCGGCTTAAAAAAAGCCGGAGAATAATCTTACAGTCAGCGCAAAATGAGGGTTTGGATTACGGTTCTATTAATGTTAGCATGTCTGGTCTGGTCATGGGTAGACTATATTATCAAAGAATAAAATGCAAGCAATTGCGTCAAGATCAATTGGCACTTTGTTCACTCAATGATGTTTTACCTTGGGACGTGTTCCACTATCATCAAGAATGTAATTAAAAGTGCTCCCGTCTTTACTTGTTTTTACATAATACATTGAAACTGATTGCTTTGTGCCTGCTTTTCCTTGTATAGCCACGTGGTCTATCTTGACAACCCCACCTTGAAAGAAACGAAACAGTTAAAAATGTATGCCTAATCATTCTTTAGTTCCTCGACAACATTAATGCCCGAAAATAGGACTGAATATAAAAAGAAGTCATTCTCGTTGTATAATTTTCCTGATGTTTCATAAGAATAGATGACTTGGCATTGGAGTTGATCAAAGAAGTAGGCAAAACGAAGGCAATGGAAAACATTATCTATCTATACATATTTGAATTTTTTATGCTCGGTTAGCGGTTGCTAGCACTTCAAGCTGTTGCGCAAGATGTTATTCAACGATATGATGGCATTCCGTTGCAATGGAAATTACTTTATGGTAAAGACCCACTTGCCGCTGAAATCTCTGGAGCACAAATGCCAGGCTTTCCCCAGACCATGATGAAGGACCATGCAAGAAGGCACAGAGGGACTGAGAGGTTCCTTGTTTTGTGATTTACCTTGCACATTTTTCTGTCATACTTCTCGTGAAATACCCTTTCGCACACAGACCTGATTTCCAAGTAATTACCGCTATCTTTTAAACTCTTTTCTTTAAGCTATGTCTTTGATGGTATGCTGCTTCATGGAGTTCTGACAGTCCTATAACATATACACTTGAAATCTACGTCAACTACCCACCTAAATCGACAATGAGATGTTGTGCTTTGTCGATGGTTGCCGCGCACCATATGTCGTTTCCATTTATTATTGGGTGCCCAGGTCCCAGGCTGCTGGTCGAGGCGGTGAACTTTACATTATTGTTTGAGGGGATATATGACGGACATGCGGGCGATTGCGTAGTCGGTGCTAAGAAATAAAAGAAAAGACAAAACTCTAACGTCTGTGAAAGCAAGCTAACTGATCATTATAAATGACGACTGTAGACGATACTTTCGAACAGCTTACGCTCGTTTCAGTTCAAACCTTAAAATCTTAAGTTAAATTAAATGATCCTTGCAGTTACATGGGCTGAAATTTATGCAATTGCAGGAAAGAAGCCTGAAAAAAAATCCGTCTTCGACGGGATTCGAACCCAGTCCCCCTAAATACTAGTTGGACGCCTCTACCAACTGACCGACGAAACCACACTTTGGGAGGGAGGGAGGTCTTAGGTATAGCCCTGACTATGGGAAATGTGGTCCTGTAGTTATTAACATAAGCTATTCAATGAGCCTTTATTTTAAGCCGACGTCACAGAGATAAATGAGAACAAACGGGAAAGAGTATTTTCTGTTGAAGAAGAAACTAACAGGAATTGTTGAAACAAAGCATTTCCTGACGAGAAAATCGAAGGGAATTAGATATGGGAAATGACGAAAGATAACAAAAAGAGAGAGATTATGCAATAGTCACTTAAGATTTAAAAAAAAAATGCACAGCCGGAAATCACGCAAAAATACTTTCGAGGTTAAATGATTAATGATTGACGCTGGTGACATTTCTTCCTTTCCTCAGTTCAAAGCTATTTAGGGAAAATTATCTCTAAAAGCGATTCCCTACGTCGTTTCCTTCATTTACGCATATGCGATACTGGGTATTCAATTAACTATAATTGCTAAAAAAAAATACGCTTATCTGGTATAAGAGGACCAGTGTAAAACCGGCATGACTACTCATAAAGTTTCCGCGAACGCAAGAGAAAAACATCAAAGTTCCGCTTGTTCCACATATCAGAAAGAGCACAGCAGTTTAAATTGATTTATCGATTTCAGTTAGATTTTAGCTTGCTGTTCTTATAGCGAGTGGTTAAGTCAAGATTTTTAATTTTTTTTTTTTTACCTGTTGTGAATTAAGTTTCATTAGTTTAGGGAATTTGTTATTTTATGTAAAATTAAAGCGCTATTTGTTAGGCAGAGTGTAGCAGTTGTGGGAAAAGTAACTTGTTTACCGTCCTGGGAGTTTTAGGGGTTTTTCTAATGGGTTAAGCTTGAATTATGAGGAAGAAAGGCATAATATCTGACTAAAAACAGCGATCTTTATTTCACTGGGTTAATTGCCTGGAGGTTTACCCCACCCTTGTCTATGTTCTGGCGTTACTCAATATTGAGTGGCCGCAAGCCTTTTGCCATTGATGGCTTGTAAAAGAGAAATGAAATGGATCAGTTCCTGTGTTAAGATTTACTGTTGAATCCTGTCTACCGTCAAGGATTTGTCCTTGCTTGAAGAGGTTGTTGGAAAATTTCAAACGAATAGATTAAGTTTTCGTAAAGTTTGGTTTGTGGTCTAATTGCTCAACATAATGCTAAGAAAATTTTAATTTTTAAGAGCGTAGCTTGAAACTGATCGAAGATAAGAACAGGAGTACTAAGATCGTGTAAAAGAAACTTGCAGTTTTAATTTTTGCCAATTCTTTCTTAACTCTTGATAAAGAAACTGTTTTTATGTGGTTCAAATGCTCCCGTGTCAAATACTTAAATGCGTAGTCCCTAATCTTGGGTAGACAACAAACACTGTATTGCGCCACAAGCAAATGGGATTGTTCAGAGTAAGATTGATATTTTTATGCCTTGGGTAAAGTTGGTAACATTGTAATAACTTTGTGGCAAGAGAGCAGACATTGCTTCAAAGTCGTTTTCAATTTTTTGAACATTGACATACACTGGATCTTGCCTTGGTGTACACCAACAGTTATACAGCGTAAAAAAGAAAATAGATTTGGCACGTTTCCCTATCGAGACCAATATATTTTAGTGACCCACTCGTTGAAAATCCATCACATATGAAATCAGCTAATTTTAAGCGGGAGTGTAAAGAACAGTCTTTCAGAAAGATTTAACACAATGCAATACGCATTCTTTTAATGCATAAGGAATGTTCGCTCTATTGTTAGAAGGCAGGATGTACCATAGTGACAGGAATATGGATGAAAATCGTCAAGTGAGATGATATTATGACAAATACGTTGTCTTAAAATGAACATTTTTTCCTGCTTGTATTCTTTTCAATTGTAATGAAAGGCTTTATCATGGGAACGTTTAAATTACCTTAGGAAACGTAATTAGCTTCATGTAACGACTTGCTCGTCCTTTTTTGAGAGTTAGAGGAATTTAAACTTGTAACTTCAAAATTAGGAATTGATGATTAGGGAAGGTATTTGTTCAGAAAAATGTCAGAATCTTGCTTGAAAAGGTTTTTTGATATGAAATTTCCCAAAATTTTTTAAAGGGCAAATTATTTGAATTGTGGAATATACGCAGGTACTGCTGGGTAAAAGTGAACTTTTAAAAAGGTTTTTATGTAAACAGCATGTCTCGGTGAAAATTTTCATTCACTGTGTGTGGTTTTCTTGAGGTAAACAACTTAAAAAAAAAAAGTTAGAATCATTTTGGATCCAAAAAAAAGGAACCACGAATAAAGGTATATCATCTTTGAAAATTTTACGATAAAGAATCTACTTAAAAATTGCGTTTGATTAAGAACCGTACTTTGTTTCACAACTGTTCTGTAAGAAAAGCCTTACTGATGTTATTATACCAAAAAGGACAAAAAAAAAGGAAAAAAAATGTAAAAACTTACCTGGGTAATATCCATGTCCGTAATAAGTGCCTCTTGCTTGTGAGAATACGATTGCAATTATGAACACAAACAGCCATTTCCACGAAGAACGCGACATCTTGATCGGTTAAAACCTGTTCCTCTGGCACTTTGAGGCTACTTCTGCAGCCGACGGAGACCTTTTCGTTATGTCTATGTTAGCCCGGGTAACCTTGAACGTAGAGCATTAAGACTTCTTTTGTTTAGCTGACCGCAATCCAACGCCCGCTTAAGTACAAAGTTAAGTGACGTTCGTATATACGACGTCATATCGTATTTAATTAGACTGAGAAAAAATAATGTTCCATCAAAGAGCAATGCCATTACTTTCAGGGTTAGATCGGGGTGTTTTAAGCGATGACTCAGAAAGAGATCTTATTTATTTCTCTTTTGCTAAATTCTTCATGTGAAATTATCAAGGTCAAGTGCTGCAGGGTTTTAATTTTGGTTAATTTTATGGTTCGTGACCTTCTCTTGTCTATTCAACTTTAGTCGTTTAAAGATAATTGACGAGAGTTTTACACAATACCCTCAATTAAATTATTGATTCCCGCAAAGGCAAGCGTCAGAGAGATACACAGGGCGTACATATGTGAGATTTTAGAATGTAACTTGGCTTTAAGATGTTTTCATCTATATATTTTGCTGCGGTGAAACTGAAGAGATATAAGTTTCTGTGGCGCGTGCCTTAGTGAACTCCATACAAGAAATCATTTGCGTGAACTGAAAGTGATTGAGGCCAATATTAGACACCGTGTTCTCGTGGGAAGAAATTTTAACCCTTTGTTGAGATTTACTAGTTTTCATTGCAATGTAATGGCGTAAATCTTAAGTCTCAAACCGTCTTTGTGTAACAAATCGGGTTTTGTTAAGGTTGACGACAAACCGTGAGAACCTCTTGAAACAGAATGTTCTTGACTGCGATAGGAACACTTCACGGTTTGCTGACTATATCAGAATTTATGCCTCTTCAGCTTTTATCACTCTAAAATATATCGATAGAGGAATAAATATAACAAATCAAAGGGAAATTGTAGAACTTCCGAGTTTTATGCTGAGTTGTACCAACCCATAGTTCTCGTTTACTTCACCTTTTCATTGAAAAATTAAAAGAAAGGTTCTTTTTTTTTTCCTAGGACGCTCAGGTTTTCGAATTATTTGACGATTTTTTAAATTTTTTGTCCGTTACCCTAGGTGGGTATTTTATCGATGATAACGAAAAAGTCGGTATGATTTAGTGTAGAGTATTTTCCGTATAAGTGCATCAAAATGCAGACTCATGAGTGGCGACCTTACCGCAGTGGCCTAGGGCTGCAATTACCACTTGTCACTGATTCGTTTGGGGGGCAAGTGGTTTGATCTGTAATGAAGATATTGCTTTTACCCGATACAAGGGCGAATATAAAAGAAATAATCGATATTTGGCTACAATTTTTTTAGTAAATGTGTACTAAAATGCGATTTCCTATCTACATAGGTTTTGAACAATACACCAACGACTGAAGTTCATTTAAACTGGTTTTGTAAAATTGTGATGCTACATAGTATTCCTAGAATTGTGTAAAATTAAGTTAACTAACGAAATATGCATCTTTCGGAGCAACCAAGGTTCATTCTTTAATAATGATAAAGGTTTCTTTTATGCCGATTTCCCCATGGGTGTATATTTATTGATCGTCTCTAATTCAATCAATTTTAGTCAAAATAACAATTGTAGCATTGTTGATGATTACTAGAAGCTAGTTCCGGAAAATGATTCACGTCTTTCTTTCCAAGTTTTTTCTATTCTTTGCATTGAATGGACGCCAAAATTCGTTCCTAGGCTCTTTTGATATAAAAAAAGTCTCGTTTCTATCGCATAAACAATACCAACCGAACCGTAACCCTTGTTCAAATAAATTTCTCTCAAAACCACTTTTGACAAGAGTTCCGCCGGGACGTTTTTTACAGCGTCTGCGTAAGCAGGGTGATTAAACTTGTTCAGTGACAGTGCAGATTTTATCAGTATTTTCTTTCGGTCTTCATTAGCAAGATAATCCAGATATTTGTCGAAAATAGATCGTGAAGTTGCGTTCTTTCTTCTTTCCGTTCGATTCCTTTTGACGAAAAAAGAAAAGATTCGTTGGAATATTCAAAACATACAGCCATTCAGCCAAAATTCATCTTGTAATCTTGCAAAAAATTTTTCTAAAAAAGTGTCATTTTAGCAGAAGAGATGTAATTATGAAAATGAATGGAAATAATTGTACATTTGTTTGTCGGGTACGCTTTCACAAATATTAGAGTATCTTCGGTGATCTTTTTCCTTTTAGGTGTCCTGGATAATAAGAAAATACTAGGGTTTCAGAAAATTTATGGACATTTCTAAGTGAAATAGACTATCATTATTTGGACGTATACTTTTTTACTGTGAGGTTCACTTTTCCTCACTCCTCAAAATTTTAATATCGCCGGTTTAGAAAATGGTTCTTTGAAACAATATTGTGCTAGGACTATTCGGGCGCATCCCCGCGGATGAATTCCAGCAAGGAACTCATTTGCTTTGTTACGTTGTACAAACATTTTATTACGTTATTACGTAGTATTTAAGAAAATGCTAATTTCATTTCGGAGACACAAGCACTATATCGATTATATTGATGTCGGAACGTCCTTCACAGACAGTTTTTTTTTAGTAACTCCGAACTTTGTAGGAAACCCTTCTGGACAGTTAGCATACGAAGCCAAACTTTTCTTTAGTTACTTTAGTTACTTTAGTTACTAGTCAAAGAAAAAATGATGGCTGGTACTTAACTGAAGAATTCCAATTTGTATGAGAATAATTTCCCAAAAAAGCTCCTAATATTTCAAACACAACTTTTTCCTCGTAATGTCTCACTTTTAAAGGAGGCATGTTCGTTTTTTTAAGAAAGCAAAATCTTTCCATTTCTTAGCACTTGCTAGAGGAAAGTTGTCATTATGAAAAGATTTCAAGAAGATGGCATATGCAGGGCTAAGCAGATATACTTATATGCAGAACTATAAACTCAAGGCCCTCAATGATTCGAACTTCCTCATTGTATTGCACGAGAGAGAAGAGTATTATTCTTAACAAAATGACTTTTCATGGCAGAATAAAACTGTACCTTACAAAAGACATAAAACCGACAAGTCTTTTAATCAATGACTTTTTGACATGTTTTACAAATTAGAAGATAGAGAGGTCGTTGGTGTCAAACTTGCCGTAATGTAACAGATCATTTTCTTCATTCCTTGTCGTCATGAATGTAAATGTGGGTTACAATATAACCAAATGAACTTTGGAACTTTCGATCCACACTTCGCACAATATCCAAGAACCGATTGAGAAACGCCATTTAAAACAAAACGGTGAATTCTAATCGTGCATTACAGATTTATCAAATTGATTTGCTGCAAGGAAAATTGAAACAAATAAACTAGATTTATTAAACAGAGCAAACAGCGATTACAGAAATCTCTAACTTTTTCCAGTTGTGTGCCGATAAAACACCTTTCATTCCCTTAAGAATAGCATAAACGTAAACCAAAAACTATATCTTTAAGATCGAAAATGTAAGGGCAATGTGTATATTAACATGGAGCGAGAATATTCTAGGATATTTTATTATGAAGAATACCATGATATATTGAACAAGAAGGAGGAGAATGTGTCAATTTTAAATTCTTGCAGTTTCCTTTGGTAACTTAACCTAGATAATAGTGATATTATACTTTAAAGTCCGCAAAAAATGATGCCTTTGTCCTGATTAAACTCCAGATTTAAAATGGATGAACTTCTTATCGAAATAGACATCGTTACAACACGAGGCCAGTACTTTGGAAAAAGGTATCCGCCTTTCTCTCACTCTAAACTAATTAAATCTAATTAATGAGTTTACTTTTTCTTTCAAAAACCAAAAGACTCTTGAGTTGTTTTACTTTCTTCGCATAGCTGTTAACTGGTGATCACGCGTTTGACCTGTTTCAACTCAACCTGAAAAATGGTGTCGTCATAATTTAATTCTCATTAGAAATAATTCTCTATGTTTAGATCGTCAAAGTATTGCAAAATGAAATAATTGTGGAAGCGTGCTCTAGAATGTCTAACATTTAAAATGATTCTTATCGAAGATATACACTGTATCACATTAAGGGTTTTTTTATAGCGAGACACTTTACGAGAAAAATGTTTAAAGAGTTAATGTCATATTAAGAGAGTGCTAAAAAGCTTTGTAAAACGTTTGGCAAATTGTAAGAAAAATAGTCAAAAAGCTGTTTTGATTGCATAAATATTTTGTATTTTGTTTAGCATAAAGAATTCAGGCAACAATGAATTCTTCACCAAAGGTCTTAATGAGGTGTTAAAAGACTTAAAATAACTTAGTTGTTGTAGAATCAAGTGGCACTCGTTTTTGTTTTTCTTGCCCAACATCTATTGTATTCTTTTGTCATAACCTTTCTTCCAGATAAAACTCCATACAATATGGAAAATTTTAGTGCAAGGAATTTTTTTTACGTATTTCAATCAGATGAACAAAGTTTTGTGTTCTAAATGATCACAGATTTTCAGTCTTACGAAAGGTGTGCATTTCTAGTAAATTAGCCAAAACCAGCTTAGGTGTTTTACATGATTTACGAGGGCTAAGTACAAGTGTTCATGTCCTTTATATTAGCTACAAAGTAGAGTAAGCTTGAATGTTCCATATCATTCGTGCATGCTTACGACCATTCTAGAAATTCCTTCATTTATTTTCAATTTGCTTTAACGAGTACTTAGCTTCTCCCATGTGCTACGTGACTCGTGTGTGGATAAAATATGTGAAACTTTGCAGTATGAGTTAACTTTGATCCTTTCTCCTTTTTTTTTTGAAGGTTTACAATTCTTAAAAAAACACACATATACACACCATCAGGTTTTCTCTGTAAAAAAAAGTTGATTTTATTAAATAAATATTCTTTCCAGTCGTAGCTTTCGGCCCTCTTGACTTTACTCCAAAAAAAATGTTCCTATAAATTGTTTTGGCTTAATTGAAGATCGATTACAACGTAGTTTTGTTCAAAAAAGGCAATAGTTAAACTTTGTTCAAATGAAATACGACCTAACTACACTTTACAGCAGGAATGCCAAAGAGTTCTCATTTACTGAAACGTATGTTGGTATTTTTACAGGCATTCACCGATAAAGTCGCACGTAAAGTATAATTTTAGTACTTCCCGATAAAGACTAACGACTAGTACCAATGTAGCAGTCGAAATACCGCCATCTTCACTTGATAGCTTGACCGCACAATTGATGATTTTTTGCAATTATCCGCACTATCATAACTCTAATGAATAAACACATCTTTTATAATTCTTCCTTTCATCTGAAATAAACTACTAGTGAGAACTGATCGGGAGTAACGTTTTAACGCTTGTTTTAACGCTTTCTTTTATGAAAATGCGCTTCGGTAAAGGTTGCTCTGAGCTTTTAGAACCATACATGGATGTATTTCCCGTTCATATTTGGCTTTAAAACGTGGACGCTTCGTATCGTCGTTTTAATCTGTTTTAGATACAGGTGGTTTTAATTAGCTAGCCATTATAGTTTGATCGACGGAATGTACAGAGTACGCCCCAAAACGTGGACATTCGGTGGCAGCTCAAACTCTTCACGAATATGCTCTGATATTGGTGCTCTAGACCTGTGTCTTTCAGAGCACGTCCTGGAGTATGCTGTGGACACTCAGAAATGCTATTTGCTGGATTACTTGATAAGCTTTCGAGAGCGACTCCTAAAGACAAACTAGCCATGAACGTAGCACCTCTCCCTCTCAATAGTTCACGCTATATTTCAGATAATTGATTGGCGTGATAAAATCGTATTCACTGTCAAGCATATTCTTCTTCTATTTCTAACACACAGCGACTCGTAGCTCATTATTTTACTTAAACACCGATCACTTACAGTCTCTCTTGGTAGCATTCCTATAAATTAACAACTTTGCGGCGATTAGTTGTCGTCTGGAGAATATTCAAAACTCCTCTACCCCTCCTCCGGCCAGTTGTAATCTCTTTCTCCTTCAGAATTCTCTACAATTTTACGGATCTATTTTACAGTGGGAATTTCAAATACTTTTATTTTTAGCCCGAATGCCTTCGGGTCGAGCCATGAACTCGGCTTCATGTTTTTTTTAAGTTTTTTCTGCATTTCGACAACATTTAGAAGGGTTTTCCTCAAGGTCAGTTCAAAGAAAAGCAATAAAATTGTCTAAGCATGCTTTACACTCTATTAGAGACCTGATAATTTCAAAGGACTTTATACGCCGTATTTTAATTATCTAGCGAGGTTCCATAGAAAGTTGAAAATATCAGTTCATTTTGATACCTTATGGTCGTACTTTGACATCTGACCCGACCGTAGCAACGTAAGAAAGCTTTTTTTCTGATTTGATTTCAACAACAATTCACTTGACTGATTGATAAAATTCTAAAAAAACTCTTGCAGATATTTTTCTTTATCATTGGTTATTTTTAGCATCTTGCATCGCTTTTTATGCTGAAATGGTCTCTGAATTATAGTAAGGTGGCATGAAAAATTTCCATTAGATCAGGTGACCCATTTTCTATTCAATGGCTTCGTACAGATGTTGGGATTGCGCGGTGTTGCGGCGATTCTGTGAACTGACTGAAGCCCCCCTGATTGGCTGGTTCTGAGAAGTCAGTGAGGCTCCTCGGCTTGGTCCGTTTTTCGCCTGGTCTTGAATGATCGGCGGTAATTCCGCTTCATCCTCGTCAGTCACTGAAAAGTGAGTGACGCCATGTTTGTTGTCAAACCCATCGTCTGTGAAGTGGGCCACAACCTGAAAACCCATGAAAACATTCAAGAAGTTTGATATACAAATCCTTCTGCAAAAATCATGGAATGGCATTTCCTTTATTTCTTTAATAATGAAGCATACAATTTAGTTCATTTCTACGGTGATCCTCGAGGTATAATTGAGAGTATAATTGAGAGAACACAAGACAGGTGGAAAAAGCACTGATTTCCGGTTGATGTTAGCATTTCGTATCAGAGGAAGTACGAAGAATCATGAAAAGCTCTCGAAAACATAAAATGCCAGAAAATTTTTTGGTTGATGAATCTCTTTAGCCACGTGTAGCCATGTCTGGCCAGCTATGATCTGCCTAGTCACTCCTGGGTCAAATTTTTCCTCGAGTAACGGCAAGGGTCCTAATACTCAAGGTACATCTGCTTTTGTGTGGGCTCTTACCTCTTGTACTTCGTCCTCAGCCTCTTCATAAGCGCCATCCTCCTGTGTCTCCATGATGTCTGCCATTTCAATGGTCAACGTACCGTTTCTCTGTGACTTTGACCGTGGGGAAAATGGATTTGTGTAGAGAGATGGATTCTTTTCCGTTCTAGTTGGCCTTGGTTTTAGAGCTGGTCTGTGTTAATGAAAGAAATTAAGATGATAGGTATAGATAGGTATTTTATTATAAGACTTTGCAGTCCCGCGGCTGAGTTATACATAACAATGATGCAATTAAATATTTACATAAATATATCTATCAAAACTAAGTACAAAGATAATTTCTAATAAAATGGCAATATAACCTAAAATTTTATATCATTTACTGACCTCAATCGAAGAGGATATATAAAAACTATTCTAAACTCAGTTTTAACCGTTACTGAGGTAAGGTAGGTAAAGCCATAAATTAAACAGTCAAACATTCCTTCAAGCATTCGGAAGCATTGATAATACGTACTGTTTCCGGATTCGACGATAGAAAAAGCAAGCCAGGAAGATAAGGAAAAATAGCATGATTATTAAAACCCAGAGGAAAGGCCCTAGAAAAAAAAGGAGAAAAAAAAGAATGATTTAAAGTTGAGAATTCTCATCGTTATCTCATTGTTACAAAAAAACAATGAACTGTTCTCTCTCGTGCCATAAGTAATATGATGGCTACTTACACCACCAATAGTGTCGAATCGCAATTTCACTTTTTGTGATTATGGTGTGCGCTGGAAAGTAAATAGATAAGTTCTATTAGCCAATATTTTACGCAAATCTATCCGGACGTGTATTTTCTTGTATAACTTTATTACTTTATATGATTTTACTCGTAATCAAATCTATAACAAAATTCTCGAAGGCGATTGGTTATCACCAGCCCGATTTGAGCACCAATAGGACAGTGTGCGCGTCAAGCTTGTCATTGGAAAGTGTAACAACAGACCGAATTAGACTCCACTCGGTCCTATCACCAATAGTAAGCCAAGATCGACAGTTCAAGATCTTCTTTGAGTCGCACACAGTGGTTGTCACTTTACCTAGCTCCTGCGAAATCAAATATAAGGCTCCTCGATCGCAATTAACTTCTCACTTCTTTAGTAATGAATTTCTTCAGTTAGACTTCCAGCAAGATGTTGGAAATATATTGAAGGATTCCATCCAAAATGAACTTTGAAAAAAAACCAGTTACAAAAATTCTAAAGAAATTACACATTCTCTTCCTCTTCCGTAGTTTATTTATGATTGCAGCTATTATAATATCAACAAAGTCAATAATTAAAAGTATGTACCTGTTACGTTCCCTTTGCCAAAGACACCGACTCTCAAGCATATCTTTTTCTCCCACGACACAGGTTTGAACCGAACATATCTCACAACCAAAGGGTACGGAAGCTCACAGCAGGATACAGACCCGGCGTCTTTGTTCCCATCAAATATCTGTACCAACAAGAAAAAGAACCAATTTTATATGCTATCCTAATCATTTGACTATCAAATGGATTAATCATTTAGCAAAACCTATATGGAAAACGTTGACTATCGTGGTAAAGAAAATCTCTTCGGATTTTATCGGAGAATATTGAGTTCTTATTTCTCGAGAGTAAAAGTTTGAAATATGTGGCAAAGCTCTTATTAAACCTCCAAACGTTTCTTGTTTGTAAATAGAATAAAGCCGGAATGATGATAAAATTTGACGTTGGTGGTGAAAAAATATCTATTTCTTTATTTCTTCACCGAGCCCAAAATTTAGCATCTTTCTTATTTTATTTTCAAAAATGACTCTATCGTCATTACTGATCGTAGTGGTATGCAAAACGTGTGCCATACATGAACTTCGTAATGGCTTTCTTCACCATAGAGTCTTTGTGACTTAGCGGTAAAACACCGGAGAGTCGAATCGGAAAGTCTGAGGCTCGATTCCTCTTCTCAGATTTCTCAAAAATTTTTTTCCCACGCTCTTGATCAGAAGAAAAACATATTCTCTTATTTATGTGTCTCTTACCTTTAATTTTTTATCGAAATAATACCCGTTGTAAGTTTCACCATCAGAGCTATACTGCAGTGTATATTCTTTAACCCAGCTGGTGATGTTAGGGCCATTAACAACCTTAGAAGGATCGTTCAATCCTTGGGTCGCGATATGAGTAACTTTTGACGTATATGCTGAAATAAAGGGTGATGTCCTAGTATTAATCATAACAAAAATACAATTTCATTGTTGTAATTTTGCTATTAATTGGTAACAGGTTGTCATGTCGCCGCGCGGTCATCCGAGTTTGTTATCACTCTTGTGATTGCAGATCGAACTGGACGCCACTTAGTCCTATTGCAATTCTAACCAATCAGCCTCATGATTATGCTCTATGAATGTTACTCAATCCATCCATCAATCGGGAGATGGATTTATTAGTTTATTAATTTATCAAACCATCCATTATTTACGCCGTCAATAATCAATCTATTCATTGGTACACATAAATTCTTCGGTTTTGGGAAGGTCACGTGACTCCTTTAGCTGATCCATACTGCTGAACAGAAGCACAGTACTTTTCTCAGTTTATAATTAAATTAACCCTTAAACTCCCATAAGTGATCAAGACAGAGTTTCTCCTTACAATATCAATACAAGTAATGAGAATAAAGTAAACTATTAATTATTAGCTGATCCAATACCAAATTCTCCAGACTAACATAATGAGAATCGTATGGCAGACAAAAAGGACAATTACTAAAGAGATCTTGAGAGTTAACACAGACACTACGATAAGTTTGTGAGGAAAGACAAACATTCAGGGCTGGGTTGTTCAGAGCTTGTTTGGGATAACCCAGGCTTAGTGTGAAATTTGATTACAGATCTGAAAGCTTTAAAAAATTCAGTTAAGTTCTCTTTGTCTACAGTTTTAATTCTGGATGCTTTAAAAAGGAAGGAAAAAAATCTTCTGAAAAAGGCTCTAGAATAGAGAAACTAAGAAACCTGAGCCGGGTTGCTCAAAGCTGGGTTAGGATAACCCAGGGCTAGTGTGAAATCTGATTTCAGATCTGATAGCTTTAAAAGAAAATTCAGCCGAATTCTTTTTGTCTATAACATGACTCTTTTATGCTCTAAAAAGAACACAGGACATTATTCCAAAAAGACATTTGAATAAAGGAATAAAGAAACCCAGATTAAAATTCAACCTTGGTTTAGCACTAATCGGCCTTCGAACAACTAGATATTTGACTCCATGCTCGCCATAGCGGTGGGGATGACCATAATTACTCCAAGGCAGAGTCTTTGTCCTTCGATTGATCAATTTTTCTGTCTGCCTCTCGGTTATCAGATAATTCTCAAAAATTTTGCTCCTCGTAATCTTCCGTCATGTCTCCAGGGTGCTAATGCGTATAAAGTATCGTTTGTGATCACATAACTTTAAAAATTTAAGAAAGTGGAACCAAAAGTAAATCCATCTGCATTACCTCCTTTTAAATATCCTGACCCTTTTCAGCCAACAGAGATGTTTAGGGATGGAGGCCATATTTCACATAAAAAAAAAAAAATTGGCAGCAAACTGATGCTCAAGTTTTTGCAGATACTCTGTCTCTGACCCAGCTCCTTTTAGTTCGCTTTAGATTTTTACTCACCGAGATCCACCTGTAAATACTGATCAGTGTTTGATTCCTGAGCGCACCAGGCGGTGCCCTGGGAACCAGTTGGGCCCTGATTGAGTCTGCCTCGACCTGGCCCATGACTGGCATCAAGAGTAGAAGATGCAGTCATGGCCTGATCCGGGATATGGCCATCCTCTACTCCTAGTTCCTTTAGCTTGGCTGTAGGGGAAGAATCGTTGTATCAGTAACTTTCTCTCTCTCTTGTGAACGCTCTAGAAATTTATGCTCGAAATTTTGTTATTTTGCTTTTTTTTGTTTTGTTTTGTTTTGTTGTCTTTTTCTTTTTCGATATATTTGTTTTTTGGTCTCAAAAAGCTAAGCTCACCCTACTCTTCGTTTAGTATCTTAGCTTATTCGGTTAGGTGACATAAACCAAAGAAAAGAGGGTTTCGATTTGTTATTTGGTTTTGTTCTAATGTTTTCGTGAATATACCAAGAAAATATTTTTATTTTATTAACGTGACAGAGCAAAGCTAGGCACAGGGGTATGTGAAATGACAGAAAAAAAAAACAATTAGAAATGTTCTGGTTGGTGATCAGTGTACTATACATTACATTTCAGTTTTGCACAACATTGTGGTAAGTGTCCGTGAAGAAATATGCATGTGCCTTCAATTAACCACAAACGCATAACAACGCGAAATGCCATTGAAATGAAATCATTTAGACGAATCTATCACTTAATATCACAAAAATTAGGATGAACAAACTTGAATGGACAAAGATGTTTAGTGTTTATCAGAAATAAACGGTGGATAATGAATATATCTAGAAACTATTATTTTAACATGTACTTGAAAGTTCGTGTGTTCACCCGAGCATCACTCAAGCGTTTGAATGCGTTAAGTTCAGATTATGCTAGGTTAAAAACTAGAGTTGAATAACGTAATTAACTAGCTAAGAATTGTTAAACTGCCACGGAACTACCAGGAAAGTCGTGATAAAACATGATTCCTAAAAGACAAGAAGTATTCTATGGTAAATAACTAACAGCAGTAAACTTACCAACATCACAATTACAGGAGCGAACAACATCGATACACAAACCAAAGGCAATAATATACGTCAAAAATATCGCTTGTGGATATCTTACTAAACGCTTCATCGGAATACCGTGTTGTGGTGATCTCACAACGCTGAGTAAATACTCAAAGACTCGAGAGAAGCAGCAAAAAGCTTCTAAGAACGACTGATATTACAAAAAGGATCACAGCTTTTGTTATATGTTGACCAATCTAGAAAAAATGTTGAATAGTAAATTACGTGTTTTCCTGTGCTCATTTCATAGTCCACTTCACTTGCAAACCTATTCCTTAACATAAATCTTAGCTAGCAACGTTCAAAAACATCTCTGGTTATTTGGAAATTTTAGGTTTTCAAATAGCATCATTTATCTGGGGAAAAAAAAGACGGTCACTGATCGTCTAAGGTCATTTGGATCCTTTCGACAGTTTCAAACTTTTTTACGTTCTGTATCGACACTCAGTATTCTGAACAAAAGAACAAAAGATGGAATATTCAAAACATAGTTGTATAGCAGATATACATATCATGAGCTCGGATCATACCTCACGCGATGATTTAGTGGACCTTTATCCGAGGGTCTCAATTAAGTTAACCGTTAGCCGTAAAGTGGCACAAAAAATTAGCCGCTAAACGTAAAAACTGACAAGCTTTTAACTATTCGTCGTCAAAAAATTGAACCATAATTTTTTTTTTTAATAATCAGTGTTGATTTGAAAGTTTCATAATTTTAGACTGTCATGTGTCTTGTCTTGCTTGTGGCACATGCGGGAAAAAGAAAAGAAAGTTACTCTATATCGACCCATCGGTAACTCTATCGGAAATTACCCTCGTTGCTTGACTTTAATATTAAAAGCAAGCGATTGAACATGTTTTAGAAAAATTAAAATTAATTCATTATTTAACATTTCCGCTAACTGTAACAGAAATAGGTTTACCGTTAGCCGTAAAGACCATCTTCTCCAAAACATTGAGGAGAGTAAGATGTATTAGATACTATTTTACCGAATTAATTTTTTTGGCAGTACTTGAAAAAACATCACTGACTGATTTCATCTATCTGAGTGACTATCGGCCGATAAAAAGTCATTCTAAAATCGAAAACGTTAATGTACGTTAACATGGTTGGCGAGTTTACGTTGAAATCCATGGTTATTCCAATCTCAGTACATGTGGTCAAATTCAGACTCCGATATTCGGAAATGCATTGATTTCAAATCACGACTTGTTATTTCCAACATTTTCTTTCCATCAGATTTTTTGCAATGGTAAATTTTCGATCTCTGTCCCCATTTAATATGTAAGTTGTTAGTTTTTCTCTTTCTTTTAAGCAATTATGGTTTATTTCATTGGCAAAACCCGCGAAAGTTTTTACTTGGACTCCAGCAAACGTGCCTGTATCAAGGCCATCCTCAGAAAAATTTGATGGGTGAAATGGGACGAGACATGGATCGATAGGACACGAATACAAGAAAAAAGAAAGAATAAATGAAAAAAAAAAACAAAAGTATTTAGGAAACAAAGGATAATAATTTCTGTATGAAAAGTTACATTCAGAACCATGTGAGAGTGTAATAAAAGTCGCAAACGTTTTTCTGTTGTTTGCCGACCTTTCTTCGGCGTGAGCTGATCCAATTCAAAAACATCTAAAAATCAACTAGCGTGTGCTAATATTTGTCCCTTTTTCATTGTCTGTTTTCCGATTGCTAAACGTCTCTTTTTCATTCTTCTTTGCAAAACGAACGTCACTCCAAGTCTACAACAAGCATATAGTTTTTAAAAGTACCAGAATTTATTAGGTGTCACCTTATGAGCTTCTGAATATTATCAGTGTAATTCACACCTTACAGACCTGCTCTCATGAACATTCTGCTAATATAACAATAAAACAGCATATTTACAAGAACCATATAAAAGCTTATGCAAGAGTAGAAGACGGCAGAACCCCACTGACTCGAACTTCCGTTAACTCGAACAAGTTTTTGTTTCCCGTTAGCGGGTTCTACTGTAACACTGCTCGGCTAACTCGGTTTCATAATGAGGCAAGAATGGTTCCCCCCTCCCCCTCCTCCCTTATAACAAATATCCCAAGTACAATGAGCATTTGTGCGATGCTCTAACAAACTGATTGCTTTTTTCGGTTGCTTCACCTTTTCTATGCGATTATAGTATTAATACAAAAAAACAAAAGTGGTTAAATATCATCCAGTTTAACATTATAGTAAAAGAACATCATAGTAAAATAGGAGAGTCCCTTTAAGTAAGCGTTGTTTTCTTAAAGCGGCAATTTTGTCTCTGTTACAATTTTGATACCATTTGATACGTGTGGGGAAACGGTAACAAAATTCCATGTTTACTTATAGTTCTTTTGTTTTCATTGTTGTTGCTGTTGCCGCTGTTAATGTAATATAATGTAAACTAAGTCATGATTGTGCTCTCGAGACGGACAATCAGCTGGTCAAAATTTGGTCTTGCGCTAGGATTTGGATTCCAACAATCTCCCATGGTCCGGTACCTAAAACAAAAACAAAAAAATGGTTACATAAAGCTGCGTTTACATAAGAACTCATAATTTTTTAATTTTGGTAATTTGGAAATGTTGTTGTCATTCCATAAACATTATGAAATCAATAACTATATCAGGCCCTGAAGGGATGAGATAAAAATTTCCACCATTTGTTTGCTTTGGCTAAATTTGTTAAGTATGGACTGCATACTGAGATAACTGAAGGCTTAGTTCAATCTCATTTAAGCACTGCCCATATCGTTTCCCATATCGTTGTGGTAAAAAACAAGTCAACAAGTTTAGCGAGGTCGGTACTCTTATCGACCGCGATATCCGTCATCGAAATGTTATGGACCACTCTGATAACGAATATTGTTGTCGATAACATTCCAAACCATTCTGCACCACTGTCGATTTGTCAAACCGAGTGGAACGATGTTTTTTTCTATATTAACTTTTTTTGAGAACTCGGTGTAGCATATGTTTAAATATTCAACGCGAAGTGAAAATTATGGCAAGCCTTTAAAAACAATTAAGAATATCTAACATTTCTTCCGAGCATCCGTAAGGTTTCCCCAATCTGTTTCCCCTCTTTAGCTCCTGTATCAGTTCCGCGGTACTAAGGCCAGGGTAAGGTTTCAACCCTAAAAGCAGGGAATATATCTTAGTTACATTAGCCGTCCTAGATATCGTTTTTAAAACACATAACGCCAAGATTTCTACTCTAACTAATACGCAGAATCTTACCACCTTGTGCTCGATACTTCACCGTTTCAAAACTGACTATGAACATCAATCTATCCATCATCAACTTAGGTTCATACACGAAAAAACTGTCACGCAGCAGACTTCTTTTCCTTTTGCAAAACAGATATGCATTCGACGCAAACTTCTGACAGAAAGTAATTTTAAAAATGAGATTGAACGTTGTGAATTCTCTTCAGAAAATGCATCACAATGTTGAATGACAAATGAAACTGCAACTGACTCGCTCAGACTCAGTTTAAACTCAACAGCAATAATTTTTTTGCATCAGATGCAGTACTAGATGGAAACAGGACTTACCTCCTGATTCTATTTCCCAAAGCAGTACTCCATAAGACCACCTGCGTTTGAACAAAAAAAAATTAAAGATTAAAAAGGGTCCAGAAAATAAGAATTAATATTTTGCTCATTAACAATAGATTTAAGGAAAAATTAGTATTTGGAATTAGCGAGATATTTTGTTCTGTTTTAAATATCTTAGTCCGTCCTAAACTCACCACGTCCCTCCCTCTGGCTAAATGTATAAATGGTGCTGATGAACTGTCAAGGAAAATTACGAAATTTTGGGGCTCACATTGGTAGCTGAGCATTCAGTCAGGATTTTAGCCTCATACCTAGGCCATTTAAAGTGACTTACACGTCAGATTCCATCGTGAAAGTGTATGTCTCCAAGGACTCGATAGCCATCCATTTAACCGGAAGTTTGCCCTGAAAGGAGCAAACAAAAGAATTATGTATTACATGAGTTTAAAATTCTTCGACAGAATGACTGCGTTGAGGTTGGCCTTGGGTTGCCGGATGATTTCATCCGATTGTACCATATAAGATATTTTTGGGAAGAAGATGTAACGTAGTGGTGAAGGTATTCTTGGACCCTGCGTCATATAATGGTTGAGTTTTATTTCATGTTATTATTATTATGTCCTCTTTCCGAGTGTTTTTCTCTGGGTCATCCAGTTCCCCCCTCACAAAAACCAACTTTTCAAATTCCAATTGGAGCTGTAAAGAGTGGACAAAAAGAACCACCTCATGGAATATCTACTGGTAAATTCCCATTCTTTCCATTTAAATATATATTTTGAACACCAAACTTTCATGATGTAGTGCACAAGAGTATGAAGATCAGCTGTATGGAGGGAGTACGAATCAGATCTGAGAACCACAAAAATGATAATACTTTTAAATCTATATACTCCTTGCACTTTTAACACGTAAATTACCTGAGTTTCTTTCTTGTACATCAGCTGTTCGTACACATCACGTGCCATACCATAATCGGAAACCTTAGCAACGTAGTCCTTCCCTAGTAAAACATTCCTTGCTGCGAGATCTCTGTGGATACACTGATACAAACAAAATTCCAAGTCATTTTTGATTGTTATAGGTGTTTGTTAAAGTCACTTGACAAACATCAAATTTCTCAGCAGTTTGTGCGTTATCAAAATTTACCCTTTGTTTGAATGGTATCATAAAGGAATTCTGTCCACAGAATCAAAACTAAGATTGACGAGTTATCCTGCATTAAACGACTATGAATATATGAAAGTCATATATTTGAATTGCGGAAAAAGATGTGAATATGAAAACGATCTTCGCAGGAATGAACACCACTTGAGTAGCAGTGAAAATAAGGCCCGAAATAATTCAGGCCGGTACGGGATTTGAACCCATGACTTCTGCGATACCGTGGCAGTGCTCAACCAACTGAGCTAACAAGCCAACTGGGAGCTGATCATTATGTTGGTTCCAAATAAACCCGTAAAGTAATGAATAAACGACTGAGAATATATGAAAGTCATATATTTAAACTGCGAATTAAGACGTGAGTGTGGAAGCGATCTTCGCAGCAATAAACTTATAGCCTTATTTTCACTTCTGCCCAAGTAGTGTTTATCATTGCAAAGATCGCTTTTACATTCACATCATCTTACATTATTGCGTAACGTTCCCCAAACAAAAACCAAAACATTTTCAAATAGAAAATGAGGTGAAAAAGGAAAAATATCAATAATATTTGCAGATTCAATCCCCAACTGTCAGAGGTTAAATTACCAAAAAATAAAACTGAGTGGTAAACTAGACAGTGCTGAGGATCGATGGGGCATGGTAGGAAGGAAAGTGAGTACCCCTAAAATGTTACAGCTACTACTTTGAACTCACCCTACAGCGTGCTAAATGTGCCATTCCTCGCGCCACATCGACGGCTATTGATGTTTTCATATGTTCTGTTAAGCCGCTTCTAGTGTTATTTCCATCTTGTTGTCTGTACCGTTTTAAGAAATCTAGCAGGCAACCGTTTTCTGCTAGCTCTATTATAACGAGTAGGTGGTCTAGAGATAAAGAAGTCAATGGAATGAAGACTTATCTACAAAAATTTCAAAGGTTAAGGGCGCCAAGTTTCAAAATTTTTAGTATTTCGGTTATGACATGTAAAATTACGTTCCTTATAAGGAAAAACAGCAATTGTTAGGTTGGTGAGATCAAAAACATCAAAATGGGAAGAAAAGAACGAGGATAGCAAAGAATGAAAAATATTGACTCTGACTGCAAATGACGAGCTTGGGAAATTAGACTGTTCTTTTGGATGAGCAATATTGCTTTTGACGTAAAATGAAAATACAAAATATTAGTTTGGTGAAAAATAATCACAATAATATGATAAGAATGAATGAAGAAACTAAGGATGGTCAAAGGATGGAAGAAGCGAGGATGGTCAAAGATGGAAAAGATTTAAAAGGGTTGCAAACAAACATAAAAAAATTGGGCTAAAAGTTTCAAGTTGCACTAAATGTGAATCGCTTCTTTAATCCCCACCAACTACCAAAGGTGATTGACGTGTAACTTCTTCTCACGATATTGAGACATTATCCACCAAATATGCGAAGAGCTTGAGGATCAAAGCAGCACTAAATCATAACTAATTGAGTAATAAATGTGTGGTTACTAGTAGGGAGAACTGCATTTAATTTTTTATAGTAAAAGGGTTACTGTAGGGTTCTGAATGATAGTTCAAGTGTTTTACTGACCATCTTGTGTGCACGCTCCGATCAAATTCACAAGGTTCGGATGGTGTCCTACATTGACCATGATGTCCAACTCATTGAACAAGTCTTTCCTTTCCACCTCTGTGGCAGTTGCTGTTAAATAAAACAAGGGACTGACTACCAGGTAATAAGTAATAGTTGACCAACTGAATGATTGCCTGACTGACTGACTGACAGGCTTACTGGCTAAGTGCTGACTGACTCACTGACTTACCGACTCACTGCCTCACTGACTGGCTGGCCAGCTGACTGGCTGACCGGCTGACCGGCTGCCTGGCTGACTGGCTGACTGACTGGCTGGCTGACTGGTTGCCTAGCTGACTGGCTGGCTGGCTCACCGGCTGACTGCCTGACTGGCTGGCTGATTGGTTTACTGAATGACTGACTGACTGGCCGACTAGTTGGCTAGCTGACTGACTGACTGACCAATTGACAGACTGATTGACCAACATACCGGTTGACTGACCGGCTGACTGACTAGGCTGGCTGGCTCGGTTAGCTGTCTAACTGGTTGTCTGGCCGGCTAATTGACAGACTGTCCTAACTACTAGTTGATTGGCTGACTAGTTCACCGACTGACTGGCTGTCAAACTGGCTAACCGACGGACTAACTAATTGCTGCCTGTCTGACTGATTAAAACTGACAAGCTGACTGCTTAACATGCAACGCGTGAACCTTGCATGCAAGACTTACGTTTTAAAGCTTTAACAGCGCAAGGAGTGATCCCGTTCCTTTTTAGCAGCTCTCCTTTATAAACGACACCAAAGGCTCCCGAGCCCAGTTCATTCAACAGTTTAATATTCTGGTAGGGAAACTCTTCCCAGTTCATCTCACCCGGCTTGTAAGCAACGTTTGAAAACGAGTATGTTAATCCTTTAACATCCTCATCATGGTAAACTGCTGCTTTGTTCTGAAAGAGAAAAAATATGCGTGGACAGTGATTTCACATCAAGGATGGTGTTATTTTAGTCAAACAGAAGGGAAAGGTCGACAGAACCTTTCGTACTGTGCGCTATATTTCTAATGGAGAAATGCTTCGATTGTGTTTTCAGAGTAATTCGGGATTACTTTGGTTTCGCCTTGCTCTGCTGTGTGACTAATCCTGAAACTTGTACACGTTCTTGAAAGCGCTTAAAACAGCTTGCCTGTTTTTTACCTTAAGTTCACATCCTTGTGACATTTTTCTTTGTCGTGATAGGCTGCTGAAACTACTTTGGTTAAGATGGAATTCTCTTATTGAATACAACTGGAGAACGGTATCTGGTTTATGCTTATACAGGATTAACGCAACAATTGTATCTGCTGTTATGGTACCTTTTGAGCTCGAAGCCGAGTCTCTCTTCTCTTTCTTTCCCGCGCTCTCTTGCATTTGCAAACAATAATGCCGATGATTATGCCAAGAATCAAGAGTGCACCTAACACGACCAAGAAAATAATCCACCAAGCCAAAGCTGTAATAAAAAATATGCATGATATCAGAATGAAAGCCACACATGACATTGTTGACCTTTTTCAAAGGCTTTGTATCAGTATTAAAGGAATGGCCATAGGTAAGACGAAACGGGACTTATGGCGTAAGATTAAGATGTGAGTAGCAATAAAGTGTTAAAATGGCTTTTTTAAAGCCTGACTCTAATTCAAAATTTCTCTCCCTAGTTTCGAGGTGAGGGGATCCATCGAAATTTTAAAACAGGAAGACGAAATTTCCAATATATGTTTGCCAGAGTATAACGACCTGCGTTTTGATGCTTACAAATTGCGAAGGTACGATAGTAATACGTAAACCTTAAGATTAAAAAACTAATAACACAAGTGACTTCACGAGTGAAGGTTAAAAAAAAAAGTGAAAAAACTTTAAATTCATCGAAAACCTGTAGATAACTTTGTTAATTTTACAAATTACTGTATATAACTAAAAATGGCTTACGTGCAGGTTCGGTTTCATGGCCAGTTTCTTCGTTGAAATTGGGTCCATACGAGTTAAAAGCACCGACCCGTATCATGTAGACAGTCTCAGGTTCGAGAGACTTAATCCTGTAAGAGTAGCCTGTAGTTTCAGCGGTTGCTGTTTGATTATGCTCGCTGTAGGTCTTTTCACCATATGCTCTGTATTGCACCGAGTAAGTGCGAACGTCGAAAGTTTCAGCATCTTCCGACGGTTTCCATCGAATGCTCAGCTCATCAGATTTGATATCAAAGATCTCCACGCCACTAGGCTCTGGAGGTTCGGCTGAAAATAGAGAGGAAACGATCATAAGTTTTGAAACGAGCGGACAATCAAATCGATTATCTGAAGGCTAAAGGATAAAACAAGGTGCAAGTATCAAAGTTACAGAGACATTTGAAAATTACTCAAACAATAACGAGTGTTTTTGGATATTACAACTTGAGGATTTTTGCCTCTGAGTGCGTCAGTGGCTTTAACCGCTAATTTTCCACGTTATTTTGCTTTCCTTATATCCTTCCAATCACATGATGCAAGAAAAGCCTCCTTATGTAAAGTTTTTATTGACATTAATCCTTTCTTACCCAGGTGACTAAATCTTACGAAACAAGTGGTCCATTGACCATCAGTTTGTACATTCTCCACAACGTTTTTTTTTTTTAAATATCTCATTTTCCCAACAGGAGTATTTGTTCAGCAATCAAAAGCTATCTTAGTTGGCAATCAATGATACTTTAAGAAGAAATTTGAAATTAGGAGTGTTGCCACTTCTTCTGGATTGGACACCACTCCATGGAAGGTAATTCATCTGCAATTTTGTTACGTTTCAGTAGCAGTGGCAGTTTGTTATCACCCACTCAAACATATCCATGCTTCTGGGTGGAAAGAGGAATTGTAAGAGACTGGAGTCCCAGGATATATTGAATCCCGCTCAAAATTGTAAAAAGAACTTGTAAAGAACCAGTTTTACTACGACAAACTTACTCTTTGGAATGACTTTGGACACTTTTAGCCGCTTTACAAACCCATCTTCGGCTTCTTTAATTGTCGTTTGGGCGACTGAGGCCTTTTTATCTACTATAGTTGTCTCATTTTTGGGATCAGTTGTTACAATTTGGATAATAACGTTGAAATCCACTACCACACTTCCTTTCCTGGAATATCAAGGGACAAAATTCGTTTTAGAAAATAGTCATACTGTAGCTACAATGATTAATCACATGGTAATTTATAGAAAGATGGAAAACAGGGGACAAGTTAGAGGGAAAACATTTCTTTTTTTATTTTACCGAGCATGAAATAAGATTTTTCCTACTCTGGTTACTCAGCTGTAGAGAATCGGAGCGTAAAATCGTTGGTCTGAGTATTGATTACTATAAAGGGACTCAGAGGGTTTACTTAGCCCCATGCAATAACGACTTACATTTCTTATTAATCATGGAATTGTTTGTTATTTATCTTTGATAAGCGAGAGCGATTCTTTGGATAAAATTTATGTGCCATGGAGATCATTGATATATGGTATTTATCCACGCTTAGATCAATACAGCACATGAAATAAGAGATATGCTATTACATACTATTGAGACTGTTTCACGCGAAAATGAAATATTCTGAGTTTTTAACCGTAGAGTTAAGAAGTAGGAATACGCTCTGGTACTCACGTCATTTTCAAAACCTCTGTTCTTATATATCCTGAAGTATTTCTGTAAACGATGTCCATCTGAAACATAACAATAGGTGTTGCTTTTATTTCATTTACTAGTACTCTTTAAACCCCTGCACTCAAAGCATTGAACCTATTGACGAGGTGACATATAAGGAGAAAGACGGTTGTTAAGACATTCGGTAGAATAAGTGGTACGAACAGACGGTGGGGAGGAAGGAAAGAATTCAGAGAAAGAGGAGGGAAGGAGGAAGGACTGAAGAGAGGGAGAGGGTGGGAGAAATGGTAAAGTGTTGGGAGAGGAAACGAAGGAGGGAGAAGAATGGGAAGGGAAGAGAAAAAGAGAAGGAAGGGCGGAAGGGGATACGAGGAAGAGAGAGAGGGAAGAAAGAGAGAGAATGAAAGGTGGGAGAGGAATGAGAGAAGAAGGAGGGAATTACTGGAGGGAAGAAGAGAGAACAGAGGAAGAAAGAAAAGGAGGGAGGAAGGATTGGAGAGGAAAGCAAAAAGTGAGGAGCGGAGGAGAAAAAAAAAGGAATGGGGAGAGAGAGAATGGAAAGATGGAAGGAGGAAAACAAATCATACCTCCTCGGTAAAGTTTTTCTCGATTGCCTTGTATTGTGGCGATGACTTATTCTCCAGCTCTTTAGTGTAGTTGTAATTTTCAACCTGCAGGGCCATTTCCACCTTAACTTCAACTGTAATAAAAAAAAAAGCATAACATGCCCATCTCTACAACGGACAAAATATAATACTTCTTCCTTCCACGCGACGGACTTCGCCGAAAAGGAGGGAATGCTTCTAAGTATTAGGAAGTTATTAATTTATTTGCGACACGTAACAATAAACGACACTTGTCGTTCCCTTTGAATCTAAAGCAAAGTGTGTTTAGGCTGAAAGGCTTATCATCATCTACCTACCAATAACATGTAGCGTGATGGTGTGTGCCTTTTCGCCTGCTTTACAGGTGTAGGCACCAGAATCTGCGATGGCTGCGTCAGTAATTTCAAGCAGTCGTCCTCCTCCTTTAACCTTCAACAAAAACAGCAACAGCGTTAGGCTTATTTTCTACAAATTTTTGTTTAAAAGTCCTTAATAGCCCTTTATTAGCAAGGCTATTCGGGGCCAGCTTGTTAACCTAAGCAAGACTAATGACTAAGACTAATGATAGGTGATAAGATATTTAGAATGAAGATCTTTTTCTTCACGGCTTCTATTACAAGGTCACATTCACAACCCTTGGTACTCAATTGGCTCTTACTGGCACTAAGCTCCTTGGCACTTATTGGCTCGATTGAATCTACAGTCCTGACCTCTCCTCAGGAGACACTTTCTGAATTATGAAAAGCGTCCTCTGAGTTAAGTTTCTCTTGAATGAGGACAACTGGAAGTGCATTTTTCCTTGTCAGGACCACAGTTTGTGTCCTTAGAGTGTGGTGAAACCACATCACACAGGCACTAAAGAGCTTTATTTTTAGCCGGCCGGGAACAAAGTTTGCTTCCCAGGAGTATAGGGATCCCTTGGAAGAGGTTTCCATACGTAGAAATTCCACTGTCGTTAGAAAAATCGATCGTTTTGTTTAGTGCCATTGGTTTATTTTGTGAAAATGACCCCTGTAATAGAATTTTAACTTTGAAGAAAATTACCAAAAAAAGAAATGATGAATTCTAGAAACGTGGAGAAAGGCAAGCAGGAAGCTAGATGTGTTCAGTGAAAAGGGATTACAGGTGTTCTTCTCGATACTGGAAGTAATCGAGATATATACAACTCAGCTCGAAATGGGAAAGGCACACATTCTTAACAGTGCCACTGTGTTGCCTTCTGTAATTGGAATGGGAGACCTGCTGCACTCTATCAACAACTGTAGGTGCAGGGAGGGGATGGATGGGTGAAAACTATTTAGAGACCGTAAGAATGTGGGGTAAAAATATGACCTGATGGGTAGTATTAAAAAATGTTCAGCTTGCAGCGTGCAACCATAGAATTATGGATGCACGCGGGAGGCTGCTAAGCACAAAAGAAGCGTAAGAAGCGAGGTGCTAGTTTCTTGAGTGCTTAGTAAACCTTCCAAGTACATCCAAAACTCGATGGTTACTCGCTGCATGCTGATCATTTCTTTAAAACTTTGATACTTTCAAACATCTTTCGCTTAGTGTGGAAAATAAAAGAAAGTAGTAGAAAAAAAACGTATAGAAAATAAGGAAGGAAAAGTCACCTTTCTTTTCGCATTTTCGATCTCGGTTCCATCCCGACGTTCCCAGGTATAACTTCCATCACCACTTATGGTGCAGTTCAGAGACAATGACTGTCCCTCGGTTACATTCACAACATCGGTGGCGGTTTTAACAATTACTGCAACAACAAAATATGGAACCAAAGTTAGCTAATATATCGTAAACTAACCTCAGCATTATTTCTCATAGATTAGTTCATTTTTAACTTTGGTGAGTCAGATATATATATTTTTTAACTTTATTTCATTTTTGATATTAACTTGAAGGACGAAATTATTTCGGGAGACACCGATTTAATTTGCCTGGAGGTAACAAGAAAAAAGACGGAATTTCCTGATTTTCATTAGAATCGGAATTCGCACGGAAATTCAAAACTTTTCAATAGCAGGAAATAGCGAAAGTTTCTTTAGCTTAAAAATTTTGACACTTGAACGCAATTTTTGCCTTTATGGTTTGACGGCCATCGAGCAATTTGGAAATATGTCTTGAAAGCGCTTGTTCTTTCAAGATTTGTGGCATAACATTTGTGGCAGTACATCTCGATGGTGACAAGGAAAATAGACAACACGTGGCTTGAAAGCGTTTCGTCTTCCAAACGTTTTTTCCCTGCTTTTCTCGTTATTTATTACAGAATATGTTTCACTTGAGAGTGAGCTTTCAAGTTTGTCAGGTGGGGCCTGACATAATTCATAGTCTGCAAGTTGTTCCTTTAACAGCGAACTGAAACACGCAAGCTTCAATTAATGTTTTCACAAGTCTCTCCAAAGTGATCAAATACAATGCGTATTCGACTAGTCAATAATCCATTCTCTGATTACACGCGTAGGCTCACTTACTGCTATCACTTACCGAAAACTTACCTGGCTTGTAAGCGGAAATTTTATTGTTGCTTCTACGCAATCAAAGTTCAGCAATGAGGTAAAGAGATCAGAAAATCGAAATAAAAACAAGAATTGTACTTATCTGACTCAAGCAATTGCCGTAATCCAGCTTTTATGTTCTAAGAGAGAGAGAAAACTGCAGGTTAGATAGAATAAATAATGGCAATAAGCTCATTTTATCGTCGATTACTAATTATGTGAAAGGGAAGGCTAGTGTTCTTCACGTTTCTGGGCCGCGAACCGTTTTTGTTAACCGTGATTTCAAACTAACCTAGACCTAGCTCAGTGCCAACGTTTTAAAACTTGCGCGACATTTCAAACTTGCGTGACCTGCTGGACATGTCAAAACACGTTTTCCAATGCAGTGACACTTCGTAGGCAGTCCAGCTTGTACTTTGCCCTTATCACGAGGCTTGGGTGAATTATGAAGTGATGAGTTTCACAATATCCAAAACATAATTTTTGAGCATCGTTTGGTTGGAAGACAGGTTTTTCAAAGTACACTGATCTCAGTAAGCGATCCGAAAAATCTCAGTGAGAGTGGCTAGACCTGCTGGTTGGAGAAAAAGGAGTAACGTGTGACGTGATTGATCTAAGTGTTTTGTCAAGTTCATCCCGAAGTTGAGAAAGTAGGACCGTTACCGAGGCTTTTATTAAAAGCTCCGGCAGAAATTAGAGTTATTCCAGTTGACAAGTGAAATGCTAAATAACATTTGTGTTCCTGAATACCGCAAATGTGTCTTTTTTCCTCCACAGTACTGTAAGATGAGCGCACGTTCCATAAGTCTGAAGTCTTTTCGATCCTAAGAACTGTCGGTATTTACTTGTCAATCAATCGCAAAGGTTGCATTAAAAAAGAAAGTTTGAAAAATTCAGGTGACAGTTTTTTCCAAATGCATATCATCTTAGTTGATTTTAAGCCAAACTTTAATCTGTCTTAATTTATGGCTGGAATGTTGTTGTTTTGGGTTATTTTGCAATGGACAAATAAGATGTCGTTACAATTTCATTTGTTGCAGACTTGAAAGTTTCCTACGGTGAAATATCTCTGGTTTTTGCTTATTTCAAATTCTCGCTTAACGTAATTACTATTTGGTAAACCCTAATATTGTTTATTTAATGTACCGCAGACAATAGAGAAAATTCTGAGATTGGTCTTCAGACACAAACTAAACAAAGAGTCACTCTGAATGAAAACAAAAACACATTAAGCAGAAAAATGTATCTAGAACCGTCGAACGAGTTTAGAGCTTTGTCTGCACATAAATACATCTTGGTGAAAAAAGCAAACATGAAAAACGTTGAGGTGTTAACCATCTAGACGTCTTAAAAGCGACGAATAAATGCTCTTAACGAGTGTCCTTCGTAGAGTCATCCACACACAACTGAAAGAGCGCTGAAATGGTTCGATTTTAGAACAGTAGACAATGACGTGCACTGGAGCGTAGCACCACCCTGCTTATGCCTAAATAGCTCAGTAGGCGCTTGAAATATTTCGGGTCGCAATTTCACCACCTCATCTTTGATACTTATGGTGAATTGTGATATGTTTTCCGAGTGATGTTTTTCATCAAAAAACACGATATCTTAACCCTGATTCTATGACGCAGTCATAAGACAGGAAGTTGTAACAACGTCAGTGAACCGTAAATCGGTGCGATAAAGATCCAATTAAGGGGATTTTAAAATCGACGCGTTTTCATCGAATTTGTTAATGTTATTCATTTTCTTTCGAGGAAAATGTACATATTTGAATAAATTGCAACATGATTTTGATTTTTGTAATGTTTCTCAACTTGTTTGTTTGTCTTTTTGTTGGAAGATTCTTATACGTATCTTTTTTCTCTGCGGGTGTAAGATAACTACAGTATCAACTGACATCACGCCATGTCTGTGACGAAAACTCTAGGGAATCTTGATTCCTTGTAAATGGAGACTCTCACATTTAAATTCTGACTGTAAAAATCTAGAGCGAACATTCTTCTTTTACTCGTCGCAAGATGCTTTCCTTAAGGACAAGCATTGTTAGGCTAAAAGCTTCTATTAATAATTGCCTCGAGGTCATTAAAGATATGAAACATAACAACACATCTACCATAATGTCGCTCTAAGGTACAACTGTTGTGGAGATACGCATTTTGTATAGCCCTGTGTTACTGATCTCCCCCATAGAGTAAGTTGAGTAATGTACGATAAAATAAAGAATTGAAGATAACAACATTCTTCCGCCCTAATCTTCTGAGAGACAAGTTTCTGCCAAGAAACGATTTATAAAGAAGCTACTCGTATGTTGGTTTCTGCACTCGACGTTTTTAATTCCCTAAATTAAGTGCAGTAACTCGATTCACCACCAACACGAGAGTTCGAGCTGCCAGGTAGAAAACGGAAACGTATTTACGCATTTACAGAAAGCTGGCTCGCGAGGCTTTCCTCTTCGTCTGTTAACTACGCCGTAACTAAACAACTCCTGCTAGCCACGACATGAGCGAGAGAAATGATTCAATTTCCTTTGAAAGACAGAGACCCTTTTAACCCTAACACTTACTGATAACGTCCTTACCTTTGTGATTCCTCGTGCAAAGGCGATGTGTATACGTTGGTTTACAACGCGGTCTTTGACGAACCTCAATCGTTTTAGAAGACTGCATCAAGGCATTTGTTATCCCGCAGTGTGGGCGTGCTTTTCATGAATATGTTAATTATTGCATTCTTCCGTTGTACCATGTTCAGGATGTTCGGGTTACAATCTAGTTTGTTCGCAGTCAAGAGTTTACACACCCCTGAACAAATTTCTTCAAACTCTCTTTCTCGTAACATGGGTGGATGAATTTCAAATATATTTCATCTACAAACCCAATTCCACCTAGTTAAGGTGAATTTCCTTGATTAATTAGCTTCTACTTCCTGTCATTTCTTTGTTGATCAAAAGTTATTTTCTCATATTTGTCTAAGATTAAGTGGGCCACAGGCGATGTGCGCACTCTGATTGCGTTGCATCATGGTCGTAAACCGAAAAATAAGTCATTTGCATCCTGTCGTGGTCGAGTGAACAAGATAGCGTGAATAAACGTGGAATTTATTGGAAATTCACTGTCAATTGCCGCTCCTCCGGAAGTTAAAAAGTGTTTGCGGGCCTGTACGACTCCTATTATCCCTCCGTGACAAATTAATTATTATTAATTACGAGGCAATTGAAGAGATTCATAAAGAATCGAAACTGCAGTCTTGCCCGAGAATCTATTCATTTGGCAGCAGTTTCACACACAGCCGATGGCTGTGTGAATAATATCAAATTGGCGAGTTATTTAACGGGGAATCGTCCCTTGGCATGCAAACGCATTTCAAAGAGGCAGCGACCTTCTAATACACGAACTATTTTCCATGTCATACACTTAAAGGCGTGAATATGGGATTCGCGAAAGGAGAAGCCTAACACCTCCTACACCAAATTCGTCACACTCAACGTTTATTAAAAAACGTGCAGAGTTTCAAATATGCTTAAAGAATAGAGAATACCTAGAGTGAGGTTTTGAAAAACGTATCTCTGGAGTTATTTTCTGCGGGAGAGACTGATACTTAAAAAAAAAAGAAAAACCGCACACACATGAAAATATTACCTTTTGTAACACAATCTCATCCGGCTTTGCCAAGTGGAAATGACACCTTAAAACTAACCCTTAATATCACATCGTAAACGGAAGTCATGAAAGGATATCCTAACAACAGCTAAGCTTTCAGGTTAGAAGATTTAAAAGTGCAAGCGAATGGCAGGAGTCGCTCAAGCAATCAACACCTTTTAACGATCGACTACCTTTTGCTTTCCGATGTCCCAGCGGATTTGGACCCCCCGGTCCAAATTCGCTAGCGGATATGGACCCCCCGGGCCTTTTTACTTTAATCCCGTCTGCAATTTCCTAGGATAAATTTACTCTGAGTCCTGAGTCGTTATTATCAGGGTCGTAACGAGGTATATTTTTTCGTCGCTGATCCCGTAATTTTACGCAAATTTTTAATCCCTGATCCCAAAAGTGATGAAAATTTTGATCCCTGATCCCACAAAATTTTGTTGATCCCAGTGTATTTTCTATCCATAACTTTGTCTGGTAATCATTTTTTACCAATTCGCCAATGCGACATTAGACTAAAATAAAAATGAGCTACTTCACATTTCTTTCACTATAATATGATGGTCCAAAGTATTAGAGTCCTACCTGAATTATCTCGGTTCCCACTTCTTTTGTTCGTTTTTATCATTGTAGAATATTACCTTTGGCAATCATCGTTGAAGGATCCGTCACTTCGTTGACACGTGTTAACAATCTTGATTTTTCTCAAATTTAACTATCAGGTGAATTTCACTTAATTCAAAACACACTAACTAGTGCAATATTATACAAATTCTAAACGTTTTGTACGGGAAACACGAGGAAACAAATTTTTCCTAAAAATCTGATAACTTTCGAATCTATCCGCTTGAAAAAGCAGACTGCTTGAAATTGACGTTGATATTAGCCTCATAAACTTTAATAAACTTTCTGTAACCAAAATTAGAATAAAGCGTATTTATCGCAGAGACCTTCCTCGACATTCGTTTGAAAAAAAAAAAACCGTTTGGTGATGCTATAAACTTTAAAATTTCATGAGCATGCGACCTAGTCAGTTTATGATACAAGTTTTTGTTATCATCTATTTGCAGTATCTGTGCTATTTGTTAATCCGTTTTCTAGACATCTGAAAAAAATCTATTGAAAAATATCTATCGAGAAAATGTACAACGTGTGTGAAAATTTGACTCCGGAAAGGCCCTGGAATTGTTCTGAGCTTGTTAAAGCACAAATCGTGTCACCCTCCTGCCAGATCTACTGCGTCCAGCTTCGAAACGAGTCGGTTGGTCATCATCGTCTTCACTTTTGTCGCCATCACTGTCGTCCTCACTACTGCTATCATAATCGGCCTCGTCAGAGCCGTTAGCCAAGTTTTTTAGGCGTTGCTCCTCGTTTCGGCATAGAATGAATTTCTCACCATCCTGAACCACCGTTACAATATCTAAAATACACTGAGGTGGGTTGTTGTTGTCTTCATTGCCTACAGTGTATAATAGTGCATCTTCGTATCAAGAAATGGCCCATTGTTCCGGGTCAACTTTTCCAAACAAAAGTCCTGAGTAATTGGTAGTCCTGAGGGACTTTGACCGAAGGGAGGCGGAAAAGCTTGTAACTGATCGAGAAAATTATCGGAGTGGCAATTTTGCTGCACTGGGGGAGTGGGTAGTGTAAATATGAACTAGTAAAATCAATCTCCATCGGTGTACCCAGGGGTAGACTTGACCCTCGTTTAGCGCATTGAGCCAAAGGTTCGCAAATTCAGAAACAATTAAATTTATCCGTATTGCAGTGACTCATTTAAACCACCTCTCTCTATATGTAAGTCAAGTCGCCTGGTTTTTACCAGTCAGTTTTTTCAACGTACAAATATATTTTTTGGTCTTACTACTGATGTTAAATGTAATCGAAAGTGACGGTTTTTTGTGGAGAGCCTCGAGGCGATTGAAGACCTTGTTTCTGGCGCACAGCTGTTTTCAAAAAATCCAAAAAAAATCATCCCGACAATTTGTGTACGATGAAACATTTAGCCGGCTTCACGCACTCCGTAGGAGTTTTAAAACATATTTTAGGCGCACTTTTACCAGAATAAACAGTACATTTTCGCCCATTATTTAACATAGTAAATGTTTTGTTCAAGATGACAGACAAGACAGATACCAGAAGCTGTTTATGTCTTTCTATAAGACACCAAATGACTTCATTAATAAATCATCTCCTATATTTTTCCAGCTTGTCTAATTCTTCGGCGCAAGTTGCTCGAACTTTGAATTCAAGTTACACTTGAAATTGTTTAAGTTCTCATTAGGTGTGATATGCCACTGAAAAACAGCTTAGTAAAACGTCGGAAAAATTGTGTGATTCACATTTCTAGTCATTAAGTCTCTATTGCTTACACATGCAATTGTATTAGTCTTAATGCACGGATGGTTTAATTTGAAAACTGTCAAACAATCTTTAGAACTTATGCATAGACGAACTTTTTTCAACAGTCGTTACCTATTTGTTTTGTATCTGAGGCGAAGAACTGAACATAAATTCAAGAAAAAGTTCCAGTAAAGAAGGGTGAAATTGTTTCAAAAAAAGCTTCAAGAGATGGGGTTTTGCCTAAGTTAAAGAGGCTTGCATTTTTCAGGGAACTTATTCAGCGTCGCTCTTAAGGCCCTGTTTACCATTCGAGTTGTTATCAGATAGTTGTCTTTTAACTGTCGACTGGTCTCATTCGCGTTTTCAACGACGTAGAGAGTACTTTATTTAGGCAGGCGATAAATTAAATCGTGCTATTTTTTGCAATTACGTAGAGACCAAACTGTTCGAGTAAAGCTCCTGTGGACTTATTTTCTATCGATTACGACTCATCTTTCGTTAAATGTGTTTTATTGGCGCCTTGAAACGAAGTAAGTACGTGCATATGTATAATATGGAATTAACAATCAAGGAAATACAAGACTAGAAATACAGAATATTTTGGGTGAAACTTGTCTTCATCCTGAACTTTTCATCTTACACTTAACGAAGGGTAAATTAGGATTTGCATGGTTTTTACTAAAGTATTCATGAAATAATCAGTTCGGGAACTTAAACGCTGACAACCATAGCAATACTGCTTCCGATGAAGGAAAACAACTCAAGGCCTCTCAGAAAGTGGCATTACATCGTCGTTTTATAATCGATAACAGAATCCTTGGAATTTTTTAGCCATCACGGAAACATTACGGCATTTAGGTTTTTAAAATCATGTAGGAACATTAAGCAGCAGGCTCGTAGTACATCAAGGTGGTAAGACATCCAATAAATTTTATTCGTGCCTTCTTCTATTTCATTTTTTACGGTCTTTTTAAGGACAGGAGTCCATGAGGAAACGGTTGCTAGATCCTTTTTTCCTTATAACCTATACTTTTGGTGTGCTGTCTTGTAAAAAAAAAAAAGAAAAAAAAAAGAAAAATTATAATTTCCGCGTAACTTAATCAGCCCAGGGAAAATGGAGGAAAATTAATACTGCCTTCATTTGCGGATTTTTGCCTATCTGATAACAGGAATTTAGGATAATTTTATGTCTCAATTCCGCGCTCAGATATTTCCTCATGATTTCAGCTGAGATAAAGGAGGTTAACACATAAAATGCTTGGGACAAGACAAATTTGAGTAAAGTTTTTAATTTTTTTTGTTGATGTCGCTGTTACCGCTGTTATATTTTAAATTCCTAACTTTTTGTATAAAAACGCCCTAGATAAATAGCTCCAGCCCTCTCCCTCCCAAAAACGGTAAAAAAAAAAAAAAAAGTTGAAACAAGAACAAAAATTGGTAGCATCAAGCATCACTTGTCTTTTGTAGAGAGCATTTTCGATATTATTTTAGGGAAGAGAACAAAAGCCATTAATAAAAGCTATACGCAAATTTTTCTCAAGTTCCTTTTCTATTTCATGATCGATAAGTCATAAAAAAAACTTTATTCTTCTTTATAAACCTTTTTCTCTTCCTTCATTATACAAGTCCTTGAAAATTCAGATTTTTCCTACTTGAGTTTACACGATCGCCTTTGGTTATTTAGACCGATTATCATAGAAAGAGGAAATTTATGCTAATTTCAATTGAGACAAGCCATCTTTTTTCTGGCATCACGCAACAGATTCATACATGGGGTGATGTATGAATAAATTCAGTATACATTGGACAATTCGACTTTTTCCCGGAAATAGTAAACTTAGATTAAAAAATGTCAAACTCTATATTTCCCAAACCAGAAATATCGAAATAATCGGCAATTTAACGGTCGACAGATGCCACCTTCTATTGAGGTGAGTACCTTTAAACTAATCATTGAACATGTTTGTGCTAATAACTTTCTCTTAAACTTGCACAATACGCGATTTTAACTTTTGATAGATAAGCTATGTTTATGGACGAATATACAACAAAAAATTGCAACTATTCTTTGCCATATGTCAGTACTGTTCTCTTGTAAAAATAATTTTTCAGATACGATTGAGAGCGGTTAAAATGTGCTTCCGTACGATGCAGAAAGATCAAATTTCCGCCTAGTAAAACGCGGGAAAATTGAACATAACATAGTGTCAGCTTAAATGTTATTGAGAGAGGAGAGATGGGAATGTAACTATTTTAAATGAAGTAATTCGTATTTGCCGAAGTTTTTAGTCATTTTGCATCTAAAATCCAATTTTCTGAATAAGAAACGCTAAAAAAACTTTCGTTAAATACCCTTTAATTTTTCAAAAATGAGTTCCAATCATGGGTAGATGTTGAATGTCGGATTTTGACTTAGTCGTTGCTAGTTGTTGTAACTTTAATTCTTTTTGTATCAGTAAAATAGAATAGGAGAGATATATAAATGAAGTTGTACTCATAAGTGAATCGAAGGATAAAAAAATGATTCGCCGTCTGCGACTCACCTTTTCCAAAAGTGAAGTTAGTCAACAATGCAGTCCAGGTTTTCTGTTTATACCACGCGCGTATGACACAAGTTTTAAGTTGATCGCTAGCTCCAAGCAATGGATTAAGCTTCCCAAATCGACCTGTCGTTATGAAGAAAACCTTTTTATGAAAAAAAATTTTTAAAAAAATGCTTGCAGCTGTCAGTTCCATGTGGAAATTAATGCAAATGGCGCAAATGGATGTTATCCGCTTCGCTCGATGGAGAGATGTGGGTCTCTTAGGAATATCTTCACATGTTAACATACGTATTAGACACCGAAATTAGTCCTTTGACCAACATTGTAAAAATTTCGATTAATTCTTTTAGGTCCAATTGACGGCGAAAAACGCTAGGAAAAGCAAATACTTAGACGTTAAGTTGTACGTTTTTAAACCAAAACCTTTTGGATTAAAAAATCCCTATTATTTAACATAGTAAATGTTTTGTTCACGAAAATAAAATTTAAGGATAATGATCTTGTTTCTTTCAAGCAGCTGGAGATATTTTCTCGCCAAGTGTTTGTGATACCCACATTTGGAAACTCGGTAAATTTCATTTTCGTTTTATTTCAACTACACAGAAATAGGAGTTAAGGCTGAATATCAAATCTTATCATGGGGTGAAAGTCAAACTCAAGTTTATCATGCATTAAGTACAGTCATCTCCTACCTTTCAAGATCCAACGTTCTTTGGTGCCCAACACTAGACTTATTTAGCCAAACGCGTTTTCTTTTGTTAGTCTGGTAGCTATGGTTACGATAGAAACTGTTGGTTTCAAGCCAAGATGAAAATTAATATTAGAAATGAACTTCCCACTTCCTGTTTGGGCTCTTTGCACAAAAAGCTAAATTGGTAGAATAATACGCGGTGAAGAATTTAGATTAGTACGGATTGACTGGAGTAACGTGTCTTGGACAATAAAATGTCATTATTAATTCCTTGAAAGTGTCGCACGTCACGTTAGGTGCAAAGGCATTATAATTATAGATCGTCTTTGGTAATTCCTGTCAAACAAACACAATGCAGGTGAATTTGAGAGAAGAAACGAGAGACTTTAATAAGAATTAAAGGCAAGTCCAGCGAAAATGGTTTTGAGACTCACACAAACATAGATAAAGAGGAAAATTTTGCACTTCGTACTCCTTAGCTCGATGAATTTTATTAAATTGATTACAGTGTGTATATAGTTAATCTATGTTAATGAGACTGGAAAGAAATATGTTTTCTTTCTGTCATCCATAATTTTCTGAAACGTGTTGATTTTCCTTGTATGATTCTTTATCTTATTTTCTACAATCAGTTTATAAAATAATATAAAGATAAAATAATAAAGATTTGAACGGCTGCCCATGCACTAGAAGTGATTATCAACATTGTCTGTGTGCGTACAGCGTTTAAAGTCTGGTTAAACAGGTGTTCTTAGGCAATATTGCCTGATGCGTTATAGTTAAACAAACCCCTTAGAGACTGGGGCTCCATGCTGTGGTAGACCAAGCACACACCAGGGCTGGTGAGATCCAGATATAGAAACTTCTTTCCTTAGTGTAGAGGCAGTAAAATCATTGTGTTTTCGCTAAAAAAATTGGGCTGAAATGGCCGTGACCATAAGCTGCACTTGCTAGGCTTGAAATTTTGAGGACTATGTCACTCCAACCAATCTATTAATAAAGTTTTCATTGTGAGACATACGTTCTAGGGTTGTTTAGTGCGATTGTAAAGGGACTGTTTGCGTCCGTCTGCGATGACGGACGTTGGGTTATTTTTCCTTTCATCAAAATGCTCCATTCAAATCTCCTTTCTTCTTCTCTTCAAAAAACTTTTTCTTCATTAAAAACCTTGTTTCTGGCGCACAGCTGTTATCAAACGAGGCGCTCATCGTTTTTAGAACCAGCATGTTTACCTGACACGAGGATCCTTCTTTGCAAAGGCGCCGAATTCATGTAACTATGTTGATGACACAAGATATACTGATCAAAGCAATGATTTCTAGTTTTTGCGAGAGCATGTATTTGAGTTATTTTCGTTTTCAATCAAACGCGTGGCAAGATGAGGGTGTGTTTTTTTTTTCTCTCACAAGTCTCACAATGAAGAAGGTGCGAGTTTTTTTTATTTATCTTTTGCAAAAAAAGCAGGTCCTGTTTAAAAGTAATTCTCTCTCATTAAAAACTATCAGATTTTTACAGCGGATTTTAACAATCTTTGTTAAAAGTAAGGAGCTGTCAAAAGCTTCTCCAAATTTTCGTAGAGGGCAGGCGCTGACGCACAGCTGTTTTCTAGCGAAGCACTTACTTTCTGGAACCAACAAGTCGACCTAAGAAGAGGATTCCTGTTTTACAAAAGCACAGAATTCTTGCAACGATGTTGATGACACAAGATGTACTGATCGAGGAAATTATCTCTAGTTTTTGAGAGGACATCTATTTTGAGTTATTCTCGTTTTCAGTCAAACGCGCGGCAAGACGAGAGTGTGATATTTTACTCACAAGTCTCACAATGGAGAAGTTACGAATTTTTTGTTTTTCGTTTGTTCTATATTCTCTTTCGGAGAAAAAAAAAGCAGGTCTTGCTTGAGCTTACATAGTTTTACGACGGATTCAAACAGTCTTTATGAAAATTATAAAGCTATCAACAGTTTTCCCAAATATTCCCTTTTTCTTCGCGTGTTAAGTTTTTGCTGGGCTTATGCATTTACGCTACGGTAAGCAAATTATGGGAGGCGATTGCGCAGCGCTTTATGCAAACTAAGAAAATAGGATAACTTTCATAGCGCGAAATTGGATTGCCCTAAAATTTGGTAGATTAATCTGACAGCATCAGTGATGTGATTGAATAGACGTAACCTGTTGAGCAAAAAAAAAAAAAGGAAGAAACTAGCAGAACATGACTATGCGAAAAAAATCTCACCTCCTGCTCTCACACAAAAGGATGAATAGGTATCAATTTGATGTCGGTTTGTGTAAACACAAAAAAATTGTGGAAGGAGATTATTCAGTTTTTCTTGCTCACGAAGCGCGAAATTTAAATATACTCGGATTGAACAGTCGAGTCGAATGGGAGAAATTGACGAGCGTGTGCGACTATTTCCACTCGCCATTGTTTTTTTAACTCCTTTCGTTGAATTGAAATACGGAAAGAGAAAGATACCCGTAAAACTACATGAATTAACGACGCGCGAGGCTTCGAACGTTATTACCAGGTTTTAAATCATACGCTAGAGGAAGGAGAATATGAACCTTTCTGTGCACATCAGGAACAAAATCTCATTCACGCAGCGCGAAATTTAAATACCCGCACATTAAACAATCGAGCAAATGACGAAAGTCTTCTACATAATTCAACGGCGTGGTAGGCTTCGGACGTTAATACCGGTTACACATGCTCTCAGCACTTTTGTATCGCACAGTGAGCCTCTAATTGAATATATCTTTCGCCAGTTTTAAGCAATGTAAAGGAAAAAACGGTGACATTTCTTTACTTCAGATACGAAAGCTACAGTCGCCCCACCATCCACCCCACCGTGACTATTTATCTCCTAAAAAATCTACCATAATCACCCCCACGGGGAGGATTTGTCGTATCATCAGTTTTGCCGATGGTTTAAATCTGCCGCTCGTATGATAATCGGAAATTTGAAAAATCCCGCGTGTATTTTAAAGCTGTTTCCGCCATTGTTCCAAAGTAGCCATATACGGTCATTGTTAATCGTTAAACAAAGCCTGCTCAACTTTCAGCTGATCCGTTTTTCTTGATACGTTCCTCTGACGGCTCAAGCCAGTTAATACGCATGGTACGCTCAAGGATGCCACCATTACTGCAATGAAGGTCCTCCTGAAGAATAGCAAGGAAAAAGGGCTCCAAATAACGTTTCCAGTAGTGTTTTAGGGCGACTACATCTCCCTTTGAAAAACGAACTGGACGAGTGTCAATCTGTGCTGTTTCAGGTTGTCCTGCGTCTAAGGCTTGAAGCTCTTCAAGCATGTCAACAACATTTTGAGTTTTGGTTTGTTTGAACTCTTCGGATCATGCTTAGAGATAGAGGGAGAGTTCCAGCCTTTTCTTTCGTTTTGTTTCTTACTCTTTGCTGCCGTACGCCTTGCCCAAATTCTTTAGCAAACAGCCTAAGTTCCCTTGATTCTTCACGCAAAACATCCTTCTCCTTAACACTATCTTCTTGCCTAAAATGTGCTTCGCTAAGCTTTGCACGATCATAAAGCCACTCAGGCTCCCTCTTGTTTATTGTTCGTTCGGTGTAGTGGCTTTGGGGTCCCGTATACACTGAAAAGGAAGAGTGATACACCTTCTGTACGGATTCAACAATACAGCTTGGTCTGCGGCTGCCGTAATCATGCATGTCTGGCATTGGACGACTTGGGGTTCTCATTCCCGCAAAGAAATGTTCCACATTTAGTGTCGTGAAACTTGGAAAGCATATATCCTTTGCAATATGCTGCAAATCGTTTTCAGAGAAGAACGAATTCGTTTTCTCAAATGACGAATGAAGCATTTTAAAAGCGTCCCTCGTAGGTTTTGACAATGCTAGATCAGGACCCTGGGGACATCTTCGACCTGTTCGAAAATACGCCTGCCTCTCTACGTCTTTCATGAAATCCGCCGCTTCTTTGAGAATAATCAACCCGTCTTCCAAACTTGGTTGGAAACTTGGCTTCCTTGATAGTTCTTCTTCAAGTTGGAAGAGTTCAATAAATAGCCCCAATTTCTCTCCGAGATGTTTATAGCTTTTTAAGCTTGAAATTAGTCTGACAGCTTGATTGCTGGTGTCACAGACAAATATAGATTCTCCATATGACACAAGCGCTGATGGCGAGTGAAACCTAACTGTAAAGCCGTCTTGCATCCCCGGCTGGCTTCCTCCCAGTGAGTGAATTACCTTGCCATCAATACAAAAGTTAACTGAATGGTCATGAGAATCAGAGAAGACGAGCTTTTGTGCTGTTTTAGTAATGCCAAGGATAACTGACGGGTCCTTTTTAACAACACTGGTTAGTTCGACAGAGGCCTCTTCACGAGAAAGACATTCAATTCCTTGGTTGTGCATTGAGATCAGGAGCCCTTCCGGAGCGTCATAAATGCAAAGCGGTTGACCCTGGTTTACCACAAAATAAATCTCCAGTTGGGCTTTGTAACGCTTCTGCTGAATGTCAAAGTCAAACTGCGATATTTTGAAAATGGTCTTCTTGTCAAAGGTGTGGTGTTGCTGATTGTTTATATCGGGAGAAAACGTGACTAACCTTTTAAAATCTCTATTGTTTTACAAACCCGGCGCACGTTTTTAGAGGGATGTCGGCCCGCAAATTGACTTGCAGATAAAGACCAGAAATTTATAGATCTTTTTATAAATTTCTCATCCTCAATCCCGTTTCTCGCCGGAAATAATAAAAAATTCCCGCGTCCCGCCAGAAAAATAAGCAACTTCCCGCTTCCACGCCATCCCGCATCCCGCCTTAAAATTTCCTTTCATCCCGCATCCCGGCAGCTAAAAACGCCTCATCCCGTATCCCGCCAAACCTATGTTAGACCCTCTAGATGAGGATCTGAATTTTGGCCGCGGGGTGTCCGCAAGGCAAGAGTTACTGTAATAACATTTACCAGTAAACCTAAAACTGATGACATTAATTTTATAAAAAAAATCCTTCAAATTAATCCATCTATTATTTTCCTTGATCAAAAGAAAACTTTTCTTTCATATAAATTGCCTTTAGAATAAATACTACTCGGGTCCACGCTAAATCCCACAACACGACGAAATCTCATAGTCCATTTGTGCTATCAGTTTTCAATGTGTTATCAGTTGTTACATCATGGTTTTTGTGTCTGGTCTTTTCGCCGTTTTAGAAGCAATTCTATGTATACTCTAGTCCTTATAATTGGTAACAACACACAAACACTCATTATTCTAAGTTACCTGCTTGTTGAACGTCGCCTTAAGCTTCGCTCATGCCGTTGATCGCCTTTTCTGCTGAGCGACCAGGAATGTGACCTAGAATGTCGAGTTTATGAAATTAAATTTTGCCAAAAGATTGCAGATTTGAACCAGAAAGAAAACCGTAAATCAACGTTTACTCCAATTTACCTTCTATGTGTGTGATTATCTTTTCTCTTCTTTCGCTTCCCCATGGAAAAAACTTTCTGAAATGTTGATTTTTTTAAAAAACGATCCAGTAATCTCCAAGTATACTCAGTGCCCGTGCTCAGTCGAAAGCAATCCAACGTGCTCAAATGACCTATTCCTGGCATATTGTATGACATGATTGAACGTCATGCAGCGCGAGTAAGACAATAAAATCCTGGCAAGTTATTAACAGATTAACGACCCAATGCCTAACCAGTCAAGTTCGAGTCAACTAGTACTCTTGATTCTGGTCTCCGGTGAACTATCAATCAATAAGTCCAAATACCAAGGAATACTGTATAAAATGGGTCATAAAATTTCAAAAAGCTTTAAAAATCCATGTTTAGGCGCGCATCGTAAATTATTGTTGTTATCTAGACGCCTGATCCTTGAGCCCATGGAAAACACCCTGATCCCGATCCCGAGGGCTTTGATCCCGGATCCGAGGCTGTGATCCCTGATCCCACCCTTTTTTAGGCCTTTGATCCCTGATCCCATATACCTCGTTACGACCCTGTTATTATTTTAAATTAAACCGAAAGCTCAGTTTTGAATAAGCTTTTGTTAAACCGTCTTACTCGACAGCCTTTATCATAAAGTTGATAGACTTTTCTCATGAAGGAGATATGATCATCTATGAGCTGAAACGAAAACAAAGGGACCTTTAGGAATACTGAGAAAATCGATAGCTGGCAGGAACCATGACGCCATGACGGCCTATGACAAAAACAACGGCCGTGCGCTCAGAATAAAGCCCTCGCCTTCTTTCTGATAACTGTAGAGCACATATATCGAAGTTTACCGTACTAATTATTTTTAATTTCCCAGAAAAAAACGTACTTGAAGCTTGTGTCCTCAACCGTCCAAAATAAGATATCGCAGCTCCACTTTAAATTGTGATTTTTCCCACACATTTCAACTGACGCTATTCAAACTGCTTTTGACGCAAAGCTCTTTCTGTGCTTTATTAAGAGAATTGGGTCCCAAGGGTCATAAATATCAGAGACAAAAATGCGGGACTAAAATGCGGGGCTAGGCCAAGTTTTTAAAAACAGTGACGCCATGTTTTAAGACGTCGTGGTGTAGACAAAATTATCTATGGCCCGGACTGTTAAATGGGACGAGATGTGGATCAATCGAACACGGAGTAAACAAAAAAAAACAAATTAATGAATGAAAGAAAAAACATAGTTGTTCACGAAACAAGGGATCAAAAATGCTCTCTGAAAAGTTAGATCCAGAGCTATGTGAGAGTATACTCTAAGTCGCAATCTTTTTTTTGCTGTTTGCCAATCCTTTCTCGACCCATTGTCTTTTATTCGTTTGCAAAACGTTTCTTTGCGTTTTGTTTCATTCTTTTTTGCAAAACCAACCTCCACGTCACTCCAAGTCAACAAGTATTCACTAATTCGGAAGGTACCGGAATTTATTTGGTGTCACCTTACATATGTATATGAGCTTCTGAATATTATCAGTATAATTCACACCTTATACACCTGCTCTAATAACCTTTCTGCTAATATAACAATAAAACAGCATATTTACTAGAACCAAATAAAAGCTTATGCAAGAGTAGAAGAAGGCGGAACCCCACTGACTCCAACTTCCGTTAACTCGAAACAGTTTTTTTCCCTTAGGATTTAGCGGGTTCTACCGTATTTCCAAATTGTAACACTGCTCGGCTAACTCTGTTTAATAATGAAACAAGGATGGTTCCCCTCTCCCTCCTCCCTTAGAAGAAATATCCCAAGGACAATAAGCATTATGTGCGATGCTCTAACGAACTGATTATCAGTTGTAGTTGTGAAGTTAATCTGTTGCTTTTTTTTTGTCGCTTCACCTTTTCTGACATCCTTGGTAATCCTAACGTAATTTTATATTTAAACCTTCCTATTCCCTGTAAAAGTTCCTTGTTTAGTTGTTGTAGTTTTGTTTTTGTTGTTGTTCCTGTTGTCGCTGTTAATGTAATATAATGTAAACTAAGCCATGATTGTGCTCTCGAGACGGACAATCAATTCGTCAAAATTTGGTCTTGCGTTAGGATTTGGATTCCAACAATCTCTCATTGCCTGGTACCTAAAACGAAAAAAAATGGTCGCATAAAGCTGCGTTTAGTCGAGAACTCATATCTTTTTTTAATTTTGGTAGTTTGGAAACTTTGTCCTCATTTCATAAACATTACGAAATGTAATCTATATCAGACATTACGAAATGTAATCTATATCACATCATTAAGGAATGAGATAAACATTTCCACCATTTACGTGTTTTGCAAAATTTGTTAAAAAAAGAAAACTGAAGGCTTAATTCTGTCTTATACAAGCACTGCCCTGATCGTTTCCCAAATAGCTTATTACCTCTACTTATTTTCTTTACCACAATTGGCAGTAATTTCGCATTCTGATTGACCAATTTGCTGTAGTCGGTAAGAGTACAGACGAAGCAGCTGCGTCAATGTGTCACGCAATACATTTATCAGCTCTCAAACATAAATGACGTGGAAATTCTGATGTCGATGTTATGGTGGAAAATAAATCGAGAGTGCTTTAGCGAGATCTGTACTCCTGTCGAAAGCGATATTTGTCATCGAAATGTTGTGGACCACTCTGATGACGGATATCGTTGTCGATAACAAACCACTCTAAACCACTGTCGATTTGTCAAACCGAGTGGATCGATGTATATATATATATTTTTTTTTTGAGTACTCGGTGTAGTATACGTTTAAATAGTCAACGAGAAATAAAAATTATGGCAAGCCTTTAAAAGCAAGAATAATGTAAGAATATCTTACATTTCGTCTGAACATCCGTTAGGCTTTTCCATTCTGTATCCGTTCTTTAGCTTTTCTATCAGTTCCGAGGTGCTATCGCCAGCATAAGGTTTCAACCCTAAAAGCAGGGAATATTTTTTAGTTACATTAGCCGTCTTAAATGTCGTTTTTAAGACACGTAACGCCAAGATTTCTACTCTGACTAATACACAGAATCTAACCACCCAATGCTCGAAGCTTCACCGTTTCAAAATTGACTATGAACATCAATCTACCCGTCATCATCTTAGGTTCATACACAAAAAAATGTCACGCAACAGACTTCTTTTCCTAAGCATTTAACGCGAACTTCTGACAGAAAGCAGTTTTGAAAATTTTGAACGTTGTGTATTCTTTTTAGAAAATGCATCACAATGTTGAATGACAAATGAAACTGCAACTGACTCGCTCAGATACATTCTGCATCCGACTCAGTACTAGATGGAAACAAATCCTACCTCCTGATTCTATTTCCCAAAGCAGTACTCCATAAGCCCACCTGCGTTAAAACAAAAGCAAATTAAAGATTAAAAAGATTCCTGAAAATAAAAATTAATCTTTTGCCCATTATATATAGATTTAAGAAAAATTAGTATCTGGAATCAGCGAGATATTTTGTACTGTTTGAAATATCTTAGTTCGTTCTAAAGTCACAGTCTCCCTCCCTCTGGCTAAATGTATAAAGCGGGGTGCTGGTGAACTGTCAAGGAAAATTACGAAATTTCAGGGGCTTATATCGGTAGATGACCTTTTCAGTCAGGATTTTAGCCTCATACCCTATGGCCATTTAAAGTGACTTACACATCAGATTGCATCGTGAAAGTGTATGTCTCCAAGGACTCGATAGCCATCCATTCAACCGGAAGTTTGCCCTGAATGCAGCAAATGAAAGAATCAAATACATGAGTTTGAAATTGTTCGACAGAATGACTGCGTTTAGGTTGGCCTTGGGTTGCCAGATGATTTTATCCAATTATACGTTATAAGAAATTTTGGGAAGAAGAGATAACGCAGTGGTGAGGCTGCTCTTGGACCTTGCGTCATATAAAGGTTGAGTTTTATGTTGGTTCTCGTCCTCTCCCCGGGGGTTTCTTCCGGGTCATCCAGTTATCCCCACCCCCCCCTCCCCCCTCCTTCACAAAAAAACCACCTTCCCAAATTCCAACTGGACCTGCAAATAGTGGAAAAAAAGAGCCACCTCATGGAATTACTACTGCCAAATTCAAATTCTTTCCATTAAAAGAGACATTTTGAACACGAAACCGTCATAATGTAGAGCACAAGAACATGAAGATCAGCTGTACGGAGGGTGTACGAATCAGATCTGAGAACTACAAAAAATTATTACATTTGTAAGTCTATATACTTTTAGCACTTTCAACGAGTAATTTACCTGAGTTTCTTTCTTGTACATCAGCTGTTCATACATACTACGGGCCATACCATAATCGGAAACCTTGGCAACGTAGTCCTTCCCCAGCAAAACATTCCTTGCTGCAAGATCTCGGTGGATACACTGATACAAACAAAATTCCAAGTCATGTTTGATTGTTGTAGGTATTTGTTAAAGTCACTTGACAAAAATCAAATTTCTCAGCAGTTTGTGCTTTATTGAAATTCACCCATCGTTTGAATGGTATCATAAAGGTATTCAGTTCACAGAATCAAAACCAAGAATGACGAGTCATCTTACATTATTGCGTAACTCTATGGAGAAATGTCCCCAAACAAAAACCAAAACATTTCAAGTAGAAAATGAGGTGAAAGAAGAAAAAATATCAATGATATTGATAGATCCGATCCCCAACTGTCACAGTCCTGCCATGCATTAAGAGGCGGTAGGCGGCTGTCAGACAATTTCCGTTGGCTACAAATGTTTCAGATTGCTGGAAACCACTTCTCGGGGCGTGTTGCTTTGTAACACACCATGCTTGCCACGAAGGCATACTTCAACTCTGCCGCCTACTCAGCTCACATTATACATTACAGTATTACAGTTTCTAACGGGAAACCTGTGTCAGAGGTTAAATTACAAAAGAAAAAACAATCGGTAGACTAGACAGTGCAGAGGGTTGGCGGGGTTATGGCAGGAAGAAAAGTAAGTATGCTTAGAATGTTCCTCCTACTACTTTGAACTCACCCTGCAGTCCGCTAAATGTGCCATTCCTTGCGCTACATCAACGGCTATCGATGTTTTCATATGTTCTGTTAAGCCGCTTCTAGTGTTATTTCCATCTTGTTGTCTGTACCGTTTTAAGAAATCTAACAAGCAGCCGTTTTCTGCTAGCTCTATTATAACAAGTAGGTGGTCTAGAGATAAAGAAATGAATGGAATGAAAGCAATGGGCTTGTCTAAAACAGTTTCAAACATTAAGGGCGCCAAGTTGCAAAATGTTTAGCATTACGGTTATGACATGTAAAATGACGTTCATTATAAGGAAAAACAGCAATTGTTAGGTTGGTTAGGTAAAAAACATGAAAATGGAAACAAAGGAACGAGGATGGCAAAGAATGAAGAAAATTTACTCTGATTGCAAATGACGAGCTTAGGAAATTGGGTAGTTCTATTGGATGTGTAATGTTACTTTTGACGTAAAATGAAAACACAAAATATTGGTTTGATGAAAAAGAATCACAATAAAATAGTACGACTGAATGAGGAAGAAGCGAGAATGTAAAAGATTAAAAAGATTTTAAAGGATTGCAAACAAACATAAAAAAAATCAGACTAAAAGTTGCACTAAATGTGAATTAACTTCCCAAGCAACTACCAGAGGTCATTGACGTGTAACTTCTTCTCATGATATTGATACATTATCCACCAAATATGTGAGGAGCTTGAGAGTCAAAGCACCACTTAATCATAACTAATTGAGTAATAAATGTGTGATAACTAGAAGGGAGAATTGCACTTTAATTTTTTAGAGTAAAAGGGTTACTGTTGGGTTCTGAATGATCGTTCAAGTATTTTACTGACCATCTTGAGTGCATGCTCCGATCAAATTCACAAGGTTCGGATGGTGTCCTACATTAGCCATGATTTCCAACTCATTGTACAAGTCTTTTATTTCCACCTCTGTGGCAGTTGCTGTTAATTAAAGAAGGGTGAAATTTGCTGACATTGAAAACAGGTTTATACATGTAACTTATATAATGCTCACAAGAGTTTTTCGTTATTCATGGAAATATAAAGAAAGTCAACATCAAATTTCCCAGGAGAGTATCTCTTGGCTACTTGAACATCGCAATTTGTGGCGATGTCATCATAAAGAGACTGACCACCAAGTAATAAGTATTAATTGACCGACTGAATGATTGCCTGACTCACTGGCTCACTGGCTCACTGGCTCACTGGCTCACTGGCTCACTGGCTCACTGGCTCACTGGCTCACTGGCTCACTGGCTCACTGGCTCACTGGCTCACTGGCTCACTGGCTCACTGGCTCACTGGCTCACTGGCTCACTGGCTCACTGGCTCACTGGCTCACTGGCTCACTGGCTCACTGGCTCACTGGCTCACTGGCTCACTGGCTCACTGACTCACTGACTCACTGACATACTGACTCACTACCTCAGTGCCTCTCTGACTGACCAGCTAACCAGCTAACTGGCCAACTGGCCGACTGGTTGACCAGCCGACTGGCTGACTTGCCAACAGACTGACTGGCCAATAAACTGCCTGGTGGGCTGACTGGCTGACCAGCTGGCTGGCCAACTGGCTGACTAGCTAACAGGCTGACTGGCGGACTGGCTGACAAGCTGACTGGCTGACCGGCTGATCGGCTGGCCGGCTGACCAGCTCACTGACTGGCTGACTGGCTGACTGACTAGCTGACTAGTTTACTGACTTATTGACTGACTGACTGACATTCTGACTACCTGACTGACTGACTGACCAACTGACAGACTGACTGACTGACCAACACACCGGTTGACTGACCAGCTAACTGACTGACTAACTGACTAGGCTGGCTGGCTCGGCTAGCTGTCTAGCTGGGTGTCTGGCTGACTAATTGACAGACTGTCTTAATTCCTAGTTGATTAGCTGACTAGTTCACTGACTGTCTGGCTGCCAAACTGGCTTACTAACGGACTAACTAACTGACTACCTATCTGATTGATCAAAACTGACAAGCTGACTGCTTAACATGCTACACGTGAACCTTGCATGCAAGACTTACGTTTTAAAGCTTTTACAGCGCAAGGAGTGATTTTCCCGTTATCTTGTAACAGCTCTCCTTTAAAAACGACGCCAAAGGCTCCCGAACCTAGTTCACTCAACAGTTTAATATTCTCGTAGGGAAACTCTTCCCAGTTCATCTCGCCCGACTTGTAAGCAGCGTTTGTAAACGAGTATGTTAATCCTCCAACATCCTCATCATGGCAAACTGCGACTTTGTTCTGAAAGAGAAAAATGTGTGCAGCCAGTGATTTCACACCAAGGATGGTGTAATTTTAGTCAAACGGAAGGGATAAGTCGACAGAAACTTTCGTACCGTACGCTATAATTCTGATGGAGAAATGTTTCAATTGAGTTTCCAAAGTAATCCGGGATTACTCTGGTTCAGTTGCCTTGCTGTGTTGTGTGACTAATCCAGAAACTTACACCACTTTCTTAAAAGCGCTTTAAGCAGCTTTGTTGTTTTTTACCTTGAGTTCTCACCCTCGTGATATTTGATATATCGGTATCTGATTTATGCTTATATGGGATTGACGCAATAATTGTATCTACTGTTATGGTACCTTTAGAGCTCGAAATCGAGTTTCTCTTTTCTTTCTTTCCCGCGCTTTCTTTCGTCTGTACACAATAATGCCGATGAGTATGCCAAGAATCAAGAGTACACCTAACACGGCCGAGACAATAATCCACCATGCCAAAGCTGTAATAAAAAATATGTATGATATCAGAATGAAAGCCACACATGACATTGTTGACCTTTTTCAAAGGCTTTGTATCAGTATTAAAGGAATGGCCATAGGTAAGACGAGACGGGGCATATGGCGTAAGATTACAAGGTAAGAAGCCCTTTGGTGTAAGATGTGAGTAGCACTACAGTGTTAAAATGGCTTGTTAAAGCCTGACTCTAATTCAAAATTTCTCTACCTAGTTTCGAAACGAGGGAATCCATCGAAATTTTACAACAGGAAGACGAAATTTCCAATACATGTTTGCCAGAGTATAACGACCTGCGTTTAGACGCTTACAAATTGCGAAGGTACGATAGTAATGCATAAAACTAAAGATAAAAAAATTATAGCACGAGACATCACGTGTGAGGGTTAAAAAAACAGTGAAAAAACTTTAAATTCACCGAATACTTGTGGATAACTTTGTCAATTTTACAAATTGCTGTATATAACTTAAAATGGCTTACGTGCGGGTTCGGTTTCATGGCCAGTTTCCTCGTTGAAGTTGGGTCCATACGGGTTAACAGCACCGACCCGTATCATATAGACAGTCTCAGGTTCGAGAGACTTAATCCTGTACGAGTGGTCTGTAGTTTCAGTGGTTGCTGTTTGATTATGCTCGCTATAGGTCTTTTCACCATATGCTCTGTATTGCACCGAGTAAGTGCGAACGTCGAAAGTTTCAGCATCTTCCGACGGTTTCCATCGAATGCTCAGCTCATCTGATTTGATATCAAAGATCTCCACACCATTAGGCTCTGGAGGTTCGGCTAAAAATGAAGAATAGATAGGAAATGATCATAAATTTCGAAAAGAGTGGACAATCAAAGTGATAATCTGAGGGCTAAACGATGAAACAAGGTGCAAGTATTAAAGTAACAGAAACATCTAAAAAATTACTCTAATAACGGCGAGTGTTTTTTTATATTGCTGCTTATTTGTTTCTTCATATCCTTCCAATCACATAATGCAAGAAAAGCCTCCTTATGTAACGTCTATTGACATTAATTCTTTCTTACCCACTTTCCCAACAGGAGTATTTGTTCAACAATCAAAAGCTCTCTTAGTTAGCAATTAATGATACTTTCAGGGGAAATTGGATACCAGGAGTGTTCCTACTTCTCCTGGATTTTAAACCACTCCATGACAGGTAATTCCTCTGCAATTTTGCTACGTTTCAGGAGCAGTGGCAGTTTGTTATCACCCATTCATACATATCCATGCTTCTGGGTGGAAAGAAGCATAGTAAGAGACTGGAGTCCTGGGAAATATCGAATTCCGCTCAAAAGTGTTAAAAAACATGTAAATACCCAGTTTCACCACGGCACACTTACTCTTTGGAATAACTTTGGAAGCTTTTAGCCGTCCTACAAACCCATCTTTGGCTTCTTTAATTGTTGTCTGGACGACTGAGGCCTTTTTATCTACGGTAGTTGTTTCATTTTTTGGATCGGTTGTTACAATTTGAATGATAATGTTGAAATCCACTACCACACTTCCTTTCCTAAAATATTAAGGGACAAAAGTCGTTTTAGAAAATAGTCATACTGTAGCTACAATGATTTATAACGTGGTAACTTATAGAAAAATGGAAATCAGGGGTCAAGTTAAAGGGAAACCATTTCTTTATTATTTCTCCGAGCATGAAACTTAACACCTTTCTCACATTGGTTACTCAGTTGTAGGGAATCGGATCTCAAAATCGTTGGTGTGAGGATTGATTACTATGAAGGGCGTCAGAGGGTCTATTAGCTCTATGCAATAACGACTTACATATGCATTTCTCAATAATCAAGGAATTGTTTGCTATTTATCTTTGATAAGTGAAAGCGACTTTTTCGATAAAATTTTTGTGCCATGGAGATCATAGATATAGTTTGTCCACGCTTAGATCAATACAGCACATGAATTAAGAGATATGCTACTAGATACTATTGAGACTGATTCACGCCAAAATGAAATATTTTGAGTTTTTAACTGTGGAGTTAAGAATTAGGAATACGCTCTAGTACTCACGTCAATTTCAAAACCTCCGTTCTCATGTATCCTAAAGTATTTCTGTAAACGATGTCCATCTGAAACATAACAAGAGATGTTGCTTTTTTTTCAGTTATTAGAACTCTCTAAACACTTGCATTCGAAGCTATTGAACGGGTTGACGAGGTGACAGATAGAGAGAAAGATGGTTGGTAAGTCATTCGGTGGAATAAGTGGTACGAACAGACAGTGGGGAGGAAGGTAAGAATCCAGGGAAAAAGGAGGGAAGGAGGAAGGACTGAAGAGAGAGTGAGAGGGTGGGAGAAATGGTGGAGTGTTGGAAGGGGAAACGAAGGAGGAAGAAGAATGGGAAGGGAGGAGAAAGAAGAAAGGAGGGCAGGAGGTGACACGAGGAAGAGAGAGAGAGGTAAGAAAGAGAGAGAAGGTAAGGTTGGGAGGGGAATGAGGGAGGGAAGAGGGAATTAATGGAGACTAGAAGAAAGAACAGAGGAAGGAGGAAAAGAAAGGAGGGAGGCTTGGAGAGGATAGCAAAAAGGGATGAGCGTGGGAGAAAAAATAGGAATGGGGAGAAAGGGAATGGAAAGATGGAAGAAATCATACCTCCTCGGTAAAGTTTTTTGCGATTGCCTCGTATTGTGGCGATGACTTATTCTCCAGCTCTTTCGTGTAGTTGTAATTTTCAACCTTCAGGGCCATTTCCACCTTGACTTGAACTGTAGTAAAAAAAAATCACAACATGCTCATCTCTACAACGGACAATATATAATACTTCTTCCTTCCTACTACATTATTGCCTCTTTGAGTTTTAGTCAACAACCGAACTAACACTTTGTGACCAATTGCAATCCATTTTAATCTTCCCATCCTTACCCTTGCTTGTTCCTTCCTGTTTATTTATACTCTCTTTTGCGGATTTGTCAACTACCGATTTAGCTATTGTTATCTTCAAGTTGAGGGAAGTTTTCTCGGGGCTAACATGTCTCCAAGAGCTTCCCAGATTTCTCCACGAGCTTCTCCAAGTTTTATTTCACTAGTATTTATGAATCACGCGACGGACTTTGCCGAAAAGGAGGGACTGCTTCTATGTATTAGGAAGTTATTAATTTATTTGAGACATTTAACTTTAAACGATACTTGTGGTTCCCTTTGAATTTAGAGTAAAGTGAGTTTAAGTTGAAAGGCCTGTTAGAATCTACCTACCAAGAACCTGTAGCGTGATGGTGTGAGAGATTTCGCCTACTTTACAGGTGTAGGCACCAGAATCTGCAATGGCCGCATCAATAATTTCAAGCAGTCGTCCTCCTCCTTTAACCTTCAACAAAAACAGCGACAGCGTTGGGATTATTATTTAGAAATCCTTGTTCAAAAGTCCTTAATAGCTCTTTATTAGCAAAGCTATTCTGGACCAGCTTCTTAACCTAAACAAGAATAATGATGTGTGATGAGATATTTTGAATGAAGATCTTTTTCTGCACGGCTTCTATTACAGGGTCACATCCACAATTCTAGGTACTTAATTGGTTCTTATTGGCAATGAGCTCCTTAGCACTTATTGGTTCGATTGAATCTACAGTCCTGACCTCTCCACAGGAGACACCTCCTGGTTTATGAAAAGTGTCCTCTGAGCTAAGTTTCCCTTAAATGAAGACAACTGGAAGTGCATTTTTCCTTGTTGGGACCAAAGTTTATGTCCTCAGGGCGAGGTGCCTTTTCAAATGAGAAACACAGGCACACATATTGAAGGAGCTTTACTCTTAGCGGGGAACAAAGTTTGTTACCCCGGAGAATGGGGATCCCTTGGAAGAGGTTTCCATACGGAGAAATTCCACTATCGTTGGAATAATTGATCGTTTTGTATAGTACCATTTGTTTATTTTAAGTAAATGACCCCAGTAATTGAATTTGAAATCTTTAAGGAAAATTACCATAAAAAAGAAATGATGAATTCTAGAAACGTAGAGAAAGGCATGCAAGAAGTTAGATATGTTAAATGAAAAGGGATTACAGGTGTTCTCATTGATATTGGAAGTAATCAAGATACAGCTCAGCTCGATATTCCGAAATAGGAAAGGGACACATTCTTAGCAGTGCCACGTTGTTGTCTTCAATAATAAGAATGGGAGACCTGCTGTACTGCAACAACTCCAGATGCAGGGAGGAAATACGGTGGGATGGATGGATGGTGAAAACTGTTGAGAGAGTCCTTGAGAAGGTGGGTTAAAATATAACCAGATGGGTAGTATTAAAAAATGCTTAGCTTGCAGCGTGCAAACATCGAACTATGGATGCGCGCGGGAGGTTGCTAAGCACGAAAGAAGTGTAAGAGGCGAGGTACGACTCTAGCTTCTTGAGTGCTTAGCAAACATCCCTAGTGCATCCAAAACTCGATGGCTGCTTGCTGCATGCAATCATTTCTTCAAAACGTTGATAATTTCAAACATCTTTGGCTCAGTGTGAAAAATAAAAGAAAGTAGTAGATATATACTTATAGAAAATAAGGAAAGAAGAGTCACCTGTCTTTTTGCATTTTCGACCTCGATTCCATCCTGACGTTCCCAGGTATAACTTCCATCGCCACTTATGGTGCAGTTCAGAGACATTGACTCTCCATCAGTTACATTCACAACATCGGTGGCGATTTTAACAATTACTACAACAACAATATATTGAACCAAAGTTAGCTAATACATCGTAAACTAACCTCAGCATTATTTCTCATAGATTAGTTCATTTTTGACTTTGATGAGTCAGATATGTTTTTATATACTTTTTACTTTATTCTGTTTTTGATACTAACTTGAAGGACGAAATTATCCCGGGGTGACACTATTTAATTTGCTTGGAAGTAACAAGAAAAAAAACCGGAATCTCCTCATTTTTCAATAGAATCGGAATTCGCACGGAAATTCACAACTTTTTAGCCGCAGAAAAATTGAATTTAGAGAAGTTAAGGATCAGTTACCACACAGCGAAAGTTTCTCTGTCTTAAAATTGTAACGCTTGAACGCAATTTTTGTCTTTATGGTTTGGTTGCCATCGAGAAATTTGGAAATATCTTGAAAGCGCTTGTTCTTTCAAGATTTGTGGCATAACATTTGTGGCAGAGCATCTCGATGGTGACAAGGAAAACAGATAACACGTAGCTTGAAAGCGTTTCATCTTCCAAAGGTCTTTCTCCTGCTTTTCTTGTAGTGCAGAATATGTTTCACTTGAAAGTGAGTCTTTCAAGTTTGTCAGGTAGGGCCTGACATAATTCATAGTCTGAAAGTTGTTCCTTTAACAGCGAATTGAAACACAAAAGCTTCAATGGGTGTTTTCTCAAGTCTATCCAAAGTGATCAGATACAATGCGTATTCAACTAGTCAATAATCCAATCTCTGATGACGTGCGTTGGCTCACTTACCACTATCACTTACCTGGCTTGTTAGCGGAAACTTTATTGTTGCTTCTACGCAATCAAAGTTTAGCAATGAGGTGAACAGATCAAAAAATCAAAATAAAAAGTAGGAATGTACTTATCTGACTCAAGCAATTGCCGTAATCCAGCTTTTGATGTTCTAGGAGAGAGAAAAAACTGCAGGTAAAATAGAGGAAACAATTGCAATAAGCTTATTCATTCCGTTCCTGCGCCGCGAAACGTTTTAGTTTTCCACGGTTTCAAACCGAACCAGACCTCGCTGAGTGCTAACATTTCATAAACTTGCTTAAAGTGCTAGACATGCCAAAAATCACATTTCACAATGCAGTAACACTTCGGACCTATTTACATGGAGGCCTGGACCCCAGGTAGGTGAGGTAACCCGCCTAGGTGGGGTAACCTGCCTGTTTATATAATTTCTTATTTTATCTTGATCACGTTTACATGATAGGTGGGTCGCCCGGTTTGCTGTAGGATAACCCTGTCGGCCGGGGTGACAATTTGCCATGTAAACGTCTCAAGGTGGGGTAACCCTCCTAACCGGGGTGGCGTTCATGTCACAAAAAGATCAAGCGAGCAAAACAATAGCGAAACACGAGTGTGTTGAACCTTTCTACATTTTCTAGCCCTCCCATACAGAGCTAAAGAGCTTGTACTTTGCCCCTACACGAGGCTTGAGTGAAGCCCAAAAAAGTAATGAGTTTCAGAATACTGTTTCCAAAACAAAATTTTTGGGCATCTTTAGGTTGAGAAACAGGTTTTTAGAGTGCACTGATTCCAGTAAGCAATTTGAAAAATCTCAGTTAGTGCCTAGACCTGTTTGGAGCGAAAAAGAGGACTAAGGTGCGACGTGATTGCTGGTTATCTTTGGTCAAGTTCATTCCGAACCCAAGGAACCAATTTGAAAAAGTAAGACCGTTACCAAGGCTTTTATAAAAAGTTCCGACAGATAATAGACTTATTCCATATGACGAATGAAATGTTAAAGAACACTTGTGCTTCTGAATAGCGCAAATGTGTCTTTTTGTTCCCACAGCACCATAAGATGAGTGCACTTTGCATATGTCTGACGTCTTTTCTATCCCAAGAACTGTCGGTATTTACTTATCAATCGATCGCAAAGATTGCATTGCAGTAAAAAATTTGATAAATTCAGGTGACATCTTTTTAAATGCATATTATCTCAGTTGAACTTTAGCCAAACTTTAACCTCTCTTAAGGTCATCCACACACAACTGAAAGGGTGCTGAAACAATTCGATTTTAGAACAGTGGACAACCACGTGCACTAGAGCGTAGTACCGCCCTACTGATGCCGTCAAAGCAAACCGAAATAGCTTTGTAGGTGTGTGAGATATTTCTGGTCGCAATTTCACCTCCTTATCTTTAATGTTTTGGGTTAGTTGTGGTTTTTTTTCCAAGCGATCTACTTTATCAAACACACGATATCTTAACCCAGCTCCTATGATGCAGTCATAAACGAGGAAGTGGTAACAAAGTCAGTGAACCGTTAATCGGTCTAATAAAGATCCAAATAAGGGCAGTTCAAAATCGATGTGTTTTCATCGAATTTTTGAGTGTTATACTAGTGGGAAAATGGGAATTCTGGTTCATTTTGAAAACAAACTTGATTTTCAGGTCATCTCATGAATTTAACCTAAATTTCAAGTCAACCTTGAAATCAAACTTTAATTTAAAAAAACAGCAGTTGACATTTTAGAGACAAAGAGTTCATTAATTTCAATGGTCTCCCTTTGAGGTTTGAGCTGGAAATAATTTCATGATTTAAGAATGTCTTCTGAAAATATTTTGCGTAGCCCTTCGGGTCATGGTCCAAGCCCTTCATGCTAGGGGCCTCGAAGCGTCCCAAGCTCTTCGTGCCCAAACCCTTCGTGCCCAAGCCCTTCGGGTCTGGGACCACTTAGGCGCGAAGCGCTTCGCGGCCCAAGTCCACCACCATATAATAAGAAGGAACTTGATAATGAAATTACCCATTACCGACGTGTTGTTGGCAAATTAAAGAAAATTAGATCCTTTGTCGCACAACATACACGGGAGTAACGTCAGCTGTGTGGCGGTTTCTCGCTGTGGAATTGGGGCGATAGCTGGGGTACCCATGGCTGGTTTACCCGGCTTTTTTAACATCATATCAACAGTGTTTAGTGTTGAGAGCAAAAGTCTCAATAAAAAAATTGCAAAACATGAAAAAACTATTTCAATAGATGAGGCAAAGCACCTGTCAGTCACCAGGTTGTTTTCAAAAATAACCTCAGGTATACACTACCTAATGGGTGTAAGAGAGGTTGAAAATA